ATGACGGTAGTTTGACGTTATATGTTTTTAATGGGAATGAATTCTGGTTTGTGTGAAAATAAATGAATGCAACAACACTTATTTATCCATTCATATAAAATACATGAAATGAGTCGTGAAGTATCAAAGTTATGAATAATCAAAGAGTAAAAACAGTAAAACATTACTTTTTGTAACATGACAGAATGAATGGAATTTTACATTCCTTATTTTATAATTAATTGGACAACATATTTGTTTTCCAATGTTTAATCAATTTATTCACCATACATGTATAATATATAAAATGAGAGTCATGAATTATCAATGAGAAGAAACACAATTGGGCACAACCCAACACCAGACCATCACAAGTCAATCAGGCACAACCAATAAAACACAGCCAAACATAGATACAACCGAGAAACCAATTACATAATACACAAGCGTAATATTAATGAAGACATGAACCAACCTTTTTCCATCCAGGCATAAGTTGAGTTAACACAGATCATATAATACAATCAGGCTCAACCAGATACTACTCTCAAAATGGGAACAACCTGTTCTTAATATCACAGCACAACCACATCATACTGTAACATAAAACAACCCATTGTCGGAAGTAACATAATGCAAAGAAGAACAACCGAATACCAAACTATCAAACTCCTCTCGCATTTAGTGTAAGTAGTCACAGGCTTATTTTTTTTATTCAAGAATGGTGTCGCATTCCATACCCCAGAAAGGGTACCATTTTTACCAAAATATAGAGCACAAGATGCCAGATCCCACATCCACGACTGACTAAGCGGGGCGTGGAAAATAACACTAACAGAATCGATGTACAGTACATATCTACACGTTTGCACATATAGTGGCTTCGCTTTATGTTCTATGATGTAAGCTGGGCAACTGCTACAAACACTAGAGTTGTCACAATCATAACTACTACGACCCAACTGAAAGTGACGAATAGTATATACTAAATTGCAAATCGAACCCTCTGAAAAGATATGGATAAGAACCCCATTTTGTTTTAACAACTACCGAAAAAGTAATAAGTATTTTTACTTTTTTCAATAACCTCATACAAGGAGTGTATTCCTACCAGAATGAGGGTTCCATATGTATCCTTGGTGACTTCAACTCTAGATTGGGATCCGCCAGTGATTATATTGAAGGTGTGGATAACATCCCCCCAAGAGCTGTCATTGACTACACCGATAATGCATTTGGTGACTTTTTTATGAACTTTCTTGTTGATACAAACATATGTACCCTCAATGGTCGAACATTAGGCCATGACGATTGGACATGCATTTCCACAAAAGGAAAGTCTGTTGTTGATTACATCTGTACTACTCATGAACAAATTACAGATTTCAGTGACTGGAAAGTCCTTAAAATGTCAGACATTATTCAGCAATTTAATCTCGGTGTTCCTCAACATATTCCAGATCATTCAATAGTTCAATGTGTTTTTAAATTCAAGCCAATTACCAAAATTACAAATCTGTTCGAAGCTGGCAGTGTACCCAGTACCAATGGCACTAAGCAATATAAAGTAAAATGTCCCCCACAAGATTTTCTACAGGACATCAATCTTGTGAATAAAGTTAAAAATGCAATTAATCAAATAGAATCAGATGCTTCAATGAGGGGAAAAATTAATACAATCTATGGAGAATTTGTTGCTGTATTAAATGGAGAAATGGAGCGTGTATTTGAACCTATTAAAGTGAAATCTAAATATGGAAATGCCAAAAGTTTTAAAAAACCCTATTGGAATAATGATCTTCAAACTCAGTGGAATAAATCCAAAGAAGCTGAATCTATATGGCTGAAATGCAGGGACACTGGTCAACGTCGCCATTTGAAAGCTGCATATTGTATTGAAAGGAGACACTTTGATAAGCTTCTAAGGAAATGCAAAAGGTCATATCAACTGAAGGAACAACAAAACCTATTAGATCTGTATAATCAAAGTAATTCCAGAAATTTCTGGCAGAAAATAGGAAAAATAGGAATCGCCAATGAACGCACAAAAGATATACCATATTCGACTATTGACTCTGAAGGTAATATCAAAAGTGGTCAACAGGAAACACTGGATAGCTGGGCTGATATATATGGATCCCTATATGCTGAAAACATTGATGACCCAAAGTATGATAATGAACACTTGCAGCAGATTAAGCTAGAAGTTAATAGCATGGACAATAACCCTGACCCTTACACAAATGAAATGTTAAATAGCCCTATATCACTAGAGGAAGTGGCAGATGCAGTAGCGCGTGCTAAAATACGCAAGGCAGTGGGAATTGATGGTATACCAGCAGAGGTACTAAAGTCTCGCAATTGTATCCTACTTTTACACAAAATAATAGCTGAATGCTTTAGTCATGGAATAGTGCCAGATCAGTGGATGGTTGGGATAATAAACCCCATTTTTAAAGAGGGTGATAACAGAAATCCCCTACACTATAGAGCCATAACATTGATTTCAATTCCATGTAAAATCTACTGTGACACGCTTAATAAGAGACTGTCCAAATATCTTGAATTGAATAAGCTCCTAGTGGATGAACAGAATGGGTTCCGACCTGAGCGTGGATGTCTTGACCAAGTGCACTCTCTGTATTCAATAATTAACAATAGAAAGCTAGGAAAACAAAGTACATTTACATGCTATATCGACATGACCAAAGCGTTCTGTAGCGTAAACAGGGACTGTCTGTGGTACAAACTTAACAAAATTGGCATAAAAGGCAAGATATTTTCTGCTATTAGTTCCCTTTATCAAGATGTATCTTCTTCAGTTAGAGTTAACAGCCATTTAACACCAATGTTCAGCATAGAGAAAGGATGTAAGGAGGGTTGCGTTTTGTCTCCGACCCTGTTCGCCATCTATATCAATGACTTGGCAACTGATGTGAAAAATCTAAACTGTGGTATCAAAATTGATGGCATGGATGTATCTGTCCTCTTGTATGCAGATGACATTGTCTTGATTGCAGATTCCCCAACTAATCTACAACGTATGCTCAATGTGGTTAATGAATGGTGCTACAAATGGCGCATTAGTATGAACCAGAGTAAAACTAAAGTGGTACATTATCGCCCACAGGCTTGTCCAAGATCAAATGCAGTATTTCATTGTGGGACTATGAACATTGAGTATGCTGAAAGGTACAAATATTTGGGAATATGGCTGCATGAAAATGTAGACACCAACATAACTGTCAAGGAACTAGCTAAATCAGCCAGCAGAGCTCTCGGGGTAATAGCCAGTAAAGCCACGGCGATTGGAGGTATGGACTATGATGTATTTAACAAACTGTATGATAACTTAGTCCAGCCCATAATTAATTACGGCTGTTCTATTGTGGGTCTGCATGAACGCAGACCTCTGAACAACATCCAAAACCGAGCTGGCAAGATGTTCCTGGGGGTGAGCCCAAAAACTAGCAATGAGGCAGTAAGGGGAGACCTAGGTTGGTCATCTCTCCTCAATAAGCAACATATTGAGTGTGCTAGACTTTACTTGAGGCTTCACAATATGGATAGAACCAGGACAAATCACAAAATACATTTATGGTCTGCAAAGAAAAAGTCTAGCTGGGACTATAAAACACAGCAGTTATTAGTTAAAGGAGGAGTCCCAATAACAAATGGCACAAACGTCTCAACCAAACTTGCTCTTAATGCACTGAAACATTACCTGAATCAAAATGACACATTCCTAACCAACATATGGGATGACAAAAATAATGAAGCAAATGGAAACAAACTTAGGACATTTCGTCAATTTAAATATGGTGTGGTGACTGAACAGTACTTAAAAAACAGAATGCCCAGACAACACAGGAGAATACTTGCTCAGTTCCGAACAGGAAGTCTCCACTTAAATATAGAGACAGGTAGATGGAACAATACACCGGTGCAAGAACGAAAATGTATTCTCTGTGATAATGATTGTATTGAGGATGAGATACACTTTTTGACTCAATGTGAACATTATAAGGACATCAGGAAAGAGTTTTATGACAATGTTAAAGTAACAGCCCCTCATATAAACATTAACTCAAATGATGGCCTGGGTACACTGATCAGTCTTATGCATGACAAAAACATCCAAAATTTATTGGCTTCAACTCTATTTAAAATGTGGCAAAAAAGGAACTTCAATATTGAGAGGGTCTGAAATGATCAAAACAAATGCTCAACAGATATTTATTCTAGTCAACTGAAAATGCTTACTCTAAAAACATGCTGATATTATATTTGAACAGTGCAATAATTGTATATTATAGAATAGTATATTTATTTAATGGACATTGTTCCAGATTGTAGAAGGACCTAAGTGTCTCATAAGCCGACACCGGCTGGTAGTGTTTTAGTTTACTTTGTATTTGACATTGTATGTATACTTTTAACACTAGTGACACTATAATAAAATATTTTAATAATAATAATAATAAGTATTGAAGTGTGACAAAGTTAAAATTGTTATTTTCCCATGGAAAACTCATTGCACCTATTGTTTCAGCATATTTTTTGTCATCAGAAATTTATTTTCAAGCTAGAGTTTGAATACTATTAACTACTTTTGAAGAAGTTTAAGACTCCTTGTTGAATAATCTTTTCAGCAATAAAATCAGAAAAAGAAGATCATCTTTTGAGTGAGAAAAATGTTAAAATGATGTTCCCATGCATAATATTTCAAATTGCTCGATCATTGATATTCTATTCTCCTTGAGAATTCATTTGACAGATAACATATTGAGAAATGAGTTAATGAGAAATGTCATATCTAAATCGAGAAATTACTCATGGTTAAAAAATATGACTGTCTAAAATCACTTGCCATACTATACATGTACCTCATGTTTTTCATTAATCAAATATTAAAGAGACAAACATTGATCGTCAACAATTTTAAGATATAAAAACTTTGTTTGAATAGTATGTTCTTTAAGATGCCTATATAACAATCAAAACTGATAAACAAAGTACAAAGTTGATACATGTATTTGATAAAATTCAAACATGCTGTTTTGACGCTGTATAACTTAATGTAAAATAACAACAATGATATGGCGAAGGAGTGAACTGTTAAATATACCCTCGGTGGTCAATTCGTTGTGACTCAAGCAAACAAATAGTAACATCGTGTGCAGAAATAAATGTGCAGACAATAACCTACGGAATATCTAGTATAAGAACTACACACGCTATGGATTAATCGTTGTGCGATTGAACGTAGTTATTCATTTGCGTGAGATTGATATTACAAGTGAATTCTAGTACAGGGTAGTTAACAGACTTTGAATCTGTTTCCAAGTGAGCAGGAAGCAACTATATGTCGATGTAACAAGGGGGTAAAAATGTGAAAACATTTTATATAATACCTATATTCAAGTCACATGACACACAATACAAATGTCCTACTTTTCAAACTAAACTGTACACTTTGTGATCTTGTTAAGGCTCGTATACTTTTCCAGCGAGACGAGATGAGCAGTGGTAAATCTTTGTTATTCTTGGCCGTGATTGCCCCTTTAGCATTTCAGGGTATGTAAGGGTTCTCTTTTATCTAGTATACAGGGCATTCAATAAGTACTGATAAGAAAGCTTGTTTGATTATATTACTTCTATTTTGTATTTTTGTTTTGTAAGTTGAGTAATGTTTTACTAGGCTGCATGGGAGAACCTGAATCAACACTTAATATTTTTTTCCAATTCAATAACACTAAGTCTTTAACTTCAGTTAAGAGTCCTGACTGTATAACGTTCAGTACATTAGAACAGTATTACGAAATCAACACTTATTGAACAACCTGTATAATAACTTTATAGTAAAAATTAGAATTAAGAAAGGAAAGAGATTCCAGAATAAAAGATATAGATTAAAAGTGATATTTAAATGGTATTGCTACATTACCACGCCTTGTAGTGTTTATTCAGTCATCAGTATTGGCTCTAATCATCCTTCTTATCTCTTGTTTCAACTCTCTGATGCTTCCATAGGGGGGAAGCCATGATTTTCCAAGGGGGTTCAATTTTCTCCGGCCTGGGGGTTCGGTTTTTAACGAAGGGGTGGGGGGGTTCAAGGCGAAGGGGATGGAATTGGGGGGGGGGGTTCGCAAGACAGAAACAGTTTAAACAAACCAATCAAATTACAGAATGCAGTATGCACACTCATCAAATAGCTGTGGTGAAGATGTATGATTCATTGTTCGCGCGAAAATAGTCATTTTTCTAAGAGTGGGATTCTTCCCGACCTTTGCTGGTTTGTTGATCTTTCAGAAAGGGGGTTGTTACTGGCCGGATTTGATTAATGAAGAAAGGGGGTGCAGGATAAATGGGGGTTCACATGAGGCCCACAAACCACCTCACGATGCCCATGCAGCTAGAGTTGTAAAAGTGGACAATATCTTTGAAATTGCTCCAAAGATAAAAGTTTGGAGATTCATATTTTGTGATTTTTCGCATTTGGAGCATGTTTCTTAAAATGGCCATAAAATCTTTGAGTCCTAGTAGAATGAAATGACATTGAACAAGGTGTAATTGTACCAAATATAAATTCAAAATCCATGTTCCAACACAGACGGAGTTATTTACATTTGTTTGGGTTATATTTTTGGCTCACTCTGTATTATATGATAGTGTTTTCAGCAAGCCTTGGATATAAATTTGGTTACTGCCCAGCGTATGTAGACAGCGAAGGAGTCCCTCGTCTAGGCTTTTACTGTACAATGAATTTCAAACCATATGGACTCCAGCATGTGTTCTGTTGTGGAAACATAACGTACCGTTACTGCTGTGACGATATGGAGAAAAACTTTGAAGGGATCAAGTTTTCAAAGCTATACCTATACTGGAATCAATGGTAGGGCGTTTTGAACGTTCGATTTTACATAGTTTAATTATGCCCACTTTGAATATTCAATTTCGAGCGTTCTTGGTGTTTATACATCATATAATGACCCTAAATTACCACTTTGGTCATGTGGCCAGTCATTAGTACATTTTATCTTCCCTGCAAGCTGGGATTATAGGAGTTGATTGCAAAATACATTGAAATGCCAATAAGAAGCTGTAAGCATTAAATGTTGAGATTTAAAGATATCTCATTTTGTTTACTAGGGTATATTATAAAACAAATAGTCACGATTTGTGTGCTATTCTTTACTTTCAGTTGGGTCGTAGTAGTTATGATTGGGATAACTCTAGTTTTTGTAGCAGTTGCCCAGATCACATAGAACATAAAGTGAAGCCACTATGTATGCAAACGACTACAGTTCAGATGTATTGTGCATCGATGCCGTTTGTGTTATTTTCCATGCCCCTATTTGTCAGTCTGGAATGTGGTTTGGTATCTATCAGGCATCGAGTGCTCTATGTTTTGATTATGATGGTCCCCATTCTGGGCGGAATGCTACGCCCTCCTGGAATAAATAGATTGGCCCGTGACTACATAATCTATTTTCAAGAGTATTCTATGGAATTGATATCGTTAAAGACAAATTAAGAATGATTTATCCATCAATGTTTGCATTACATTTAACTTACAACAAAATATGATATCCTTATAGCATCGACAGTGATTGTGGAAAAGGTAAATAAGAAATTACCATAGCAATAAGCTACTGTATTAACATAAGAATGAATTTGGACTTCAATTGTCGGTGAAAGGATTGGACATACTTACAACGTTTCACTTTTTTAAAACCTTCATGGACGAGCTCGGAGGAAAGGCTCCAGAAATTTGTTCTGGCGACCGTCTTTAGCTCGCGTTGGGTCTGTTCACAGACAAATCGTCCAAATGACGCCCATAGTCAGTCGTTATTCCGCACAAATACGTGAACACAATTGTAGACGTTTATAAAGGTTCAAAGTAGATTTTCATTAAGATTTACTAGTAGGTTCGTCGTTTAATTTATTGAGGACATCGTAGTTTAGGGTATTTTACACCAACCACCCCTCGTTTCACAGACTTAGGGTTTGAGAACTTTTGAGAATTTGCTTGACTCGGGTTAGGTGTTAACTTTCCATATAAAACATTTCAAATGCAAAGTATTGCCAAACATTTCAAATGCATAGTATTGCCATCTATAAAAACACAGACATATTTTTTACTTGATGACAGAACCTTTTGGCCTTATTTACCTAGTCATTAAACCTGTACTGAACGCCCCTTTTAGGACAAAATAAATATCATAGCCGCTTGAAATTAGATTTGTTAAAAAGAATCAATAAAGTGGCTATCTAAAGTTGAAACGACCCTTGCCGTTTGTGTTAAGATGAATTCAAGTAAAACTTAACGTTAACGCTTTAAACAGATTTGACACCTAAAAGTATAAACATACGAAAGCATATATACTACGATGCACAGTTGAGAGTTTATTTGTGTATGACACTCTACTAAGGTGATTCGGAAGAGGCGCTTCATCGGCATAATCAGGTGCAAAAGGTATGTGTGTTTTTTATTTTTGTTATAACAAACATCATTCAATCAATTTTTTGATCCGATTCATTTTTGACCAGTTGAACTGTTTTTGCAAAGTTGCATGGAGGAGTAAACAAGGGTAAGAACCTAGTAGTAAATATTGGAATGGTGTCTTATTTGCTACTGACGAAGGAATCCTAGCCCCTTTACTCCACCCACTACATGGCTGATTTATACGAACCATATTGTAATGTATATTGCGAAATATGTTTATATGTTATATAATTCGTCCTACTAGATGTCTGAATCGACGAATAGCGAGAGAGGGAATTGGACTGGGAAGCTCGATTTCATTCTTTCTTGTATCGGATTCAGTGTTGGACTCGGCAACGTTTGGAGGTTTCCGTATCTTGCTTACGAGAATGGAGGAGGTATATGATATAATATTCAAAGGGTGGGGCAAAGAAAAATAAACCATGCAAATCGTTAAACAACTTACACTTAAACCGTAGCTGTACCACGAGCGTTTAGAGAAAGGCCATTAACAATAATACTCGAGGTGTTCCCGTATATCAAAAGAATTAAGATTTTTAAATGTAAAATTCACCATTGACAAGTTAAACTCAAAACTTGATCAGGTCAGACTGATTTAAACTGCGCAAGTCTAGTATTTTGTAATAAATCAACACTTTAATGGATCTATGTACACGAAAAAAACGACTTGCGATTCAAGTTTTACATTTATTGACTAAAGCAATCTATTTTGAAATAGTTTTTTTAAATAACATTTTCTTCAATTTAGGCCTTGTACACTGTATATTGTATTCCCTTAGTTTCAAAAGAAACCTTTTATGACCTATATAAAATATAATTTAGAAGCATTTTTATACCATATGCCATATTTTAGGAGCGTTTCTTATACCAAATGTCATAATTTAGGAGCGTTTCTTATACCATATGCCATATCATATTTTAGGAGCATTTCTCATACCATATGCCATTATGCTTCTCGTATGTGGGCTACCTCTGTATTTCATGGAGCTCGCATTGGCACAATTCTGTTCACGGGGACCAGTTTCGTGTTGGACTATATCTCCAATGTTTAAAGGTAGTATGTCACAATGAAACATGAATGATTATGATAAATTATTTCTCATATAAGGATATTGGGGTAAGTCGAGGCAAATCTAGTATATCTGTCCGAGACCCGAAGTTCTTCAAGACAGAGATATTTTGACTGAGGTGGTTCACAATTCACATATCCCGGCAGATAACTCTATGACGAGTATACATCCACTCCAGGTGATATTTACTTGGTATAATTTCAATTCGAATAGTTTCATAACCCGAATACCCGGAACCCGAACGTTCCAGGTATTATGTTCGCTCTTGTTCAAACACGACCGAATATGTGATAAAAACTATATTCTGCTCACTGTTGAATGCAACATTTTACAAACGTGGTTAGTGTTTTATGTTACTGTACTTTAAACACGTCTTTGTAGGAGCTATTGAAAAGTTACTTTTTTAATCATTTTAGGTCTAGGTTACGCAATGGTCATCATTTCCTCTCTGGTTTGCATCTACTATAACGTAATAATAGCATGGGCAATATTTTACCTATGCGCGTCCTTTACGTCGGAGTTACCATGGCAACACTGTGGTAACGTATGGAATACAGACGCATGCATGGAGAGAAACGCGAGTGCTCGGACATTTATTCAAGGGTCAAACATAACACTTTCAGGTAATAAATCATGGATGTAAGTATAGGAGATTTTCACTATCATAATAATTATTTATTATTTTGTGTTTCTGGATAAACGAACGTCCGGCAGAAATTATGAAAAAATGTATTGATGGTCAGAACAGGCGTCTGTGGGCGCGAACCTAATGTCTCGGTCTTTCTTGATCTACGGCAACCGTACTGCGCCCGTAGCTTCCCAAAATCGAGATAAATATGCAGCATAAAATATAATGATACGCCGTACGATGTGGTTTTCTATATCGATTTTGTGAAGCTACGGTACCGTACGGCCGCCGTAGACCAAATATGACTGAGGCTTAAACGTCTAGCAATAACGTACACGATAAAATTCTTTCATTATATCAGCACGATTAAAATAAAATCCCAAGGTTAATAAATGTATTAATTTAAAAACTTAAAACAAGTCTGGAGTATTATATTTATTATTATACAGAATGTCCGTAGATATTGCACATGTACTTTTTAGATATTTGCTCAAACTCAACGTTGAAGGCTGACATTAATGATTCAACAATAGTTTGTCCAACTGCACCAAGTCAAGAATTTTGGAAGTGAGTTACCGAACACTTCTCATACGTTTGGGATAAAGAAGCATAAAGACAAATATTGTGTATAAAGTGTTACATACCTAGACAAATACTAAACATATAGCATTGTGCCAAATGGTCATATAAAAACGAATTACTTTAAATCCGAGAAAAATATTTTAAGTAATGTCTAAAGAAAAGCGCATAACCTTTTTTATTACAGTAACTACGTGCTAGAGATTTCATCCGGTATTGAGGAAACAGGGATAATCCGATGGCCTCTCGCACTATGCCTCTTGCTCGCATGGATCGTCGTATTTCTTTGTCTTTCTAATGGAATAAAATCCTCGGGGAAAGTAAGACGTTTTTTCTGTAATAAAAATAAGATTTTGATTGATTTTTATAATATATGAGTGACCGATAGATGGAGGCACCAGTATAAAATATTTATAAAAGAAATATGTAGGTCGTTAACCTCATCCATATTTAAAAACAAATAATTAATTGCTAACTGTATTTTATCATTTGAGGTATTTCTCATACACTTCATTATCACTGCATTGTTTTTTTCTGAAAACTCAAATGGTACATTATGAGACCTTTATTTCAAATGTAGAATCTACAAAGTATGACATAGCTAGTGCAGTTTCAATAACGAAACTTATCTGGTTACACGTACATTCAATAAGACACAACCTTCTCCCAACAGCGTCCCAACTCACCTTTGAGGCGAAAGTTGATGGGATCTGGTATTTATAGTTTGTCATCATCTGGACGCATGCGCATTTTATACTTTATCGGACAGTTTAACCCGTTTTTTCAGGTTGTGTATTTCACTGCATTGTTCCCATATGTTGTTCTCATCATCTTGTTGGTCAGGGGAGTAACACTGGAGGGTTACTGGAAAGGGGTCGAATTCTACATCATCCCGGAATGGGAACAAATGAAATCTGCAAAGGTAAAATGATCGATTCCTATTCAATAACAAGTTATGATTCTCTGTCTGTACTAAATGTTCATAACATATATATCGCTGGGCTTAGTTACCCACCCGCGAAAGGCTAAGACCTCGTCGTCGGCATGGCGGTGCTCACCAAGTTACGATACTAGTTCTGAGTTTCCAGCTCGAGAAGGAGACAATCCTATAATTCCTTAATTATGGTATGACCAAGTGGCATTGCACAAGGTCGTCCAATAATTTTGCCAGCTCGAGGACGAGACTGTTGTATAGTTAACTATGGTATGACCAAATAGCATTGCACGAGGGTCGTCCAATAATTTTACATAATCGCAGGTATGGGGGGCTGCTGCAACCCAAATATTTTATTCACTTGGAGTTGGATTTGGAGGACTCCATGCTATGTCCAGTTACAATAAGTTTCACAATAACGTCTACAGGTAAGATAAGGCTATATTCGGGTGTTTGAGTATCACATTCCTTTCGTCGTAAGTCGTACAACCGAAAGTCACTTTTGGATCACTTATCAAAGCCTGTATTAGAACTGTTGTAACACCCCTCGTACAAATATTAGCAATTGACTAGCTAGTTATCAAAATGTTGTGCCCATTCTGAAATATAAGAGCAGAAAAACTGAAAAGGTCAAATTTCATAATTTTTCGAGACCAAATTTCCATTTGCTTCAAATTGTAATGAAACACCCTATGCAGACAGCGCCTGTGGGAAATATTGGGTGCGGCGCAAATGAGCGGAGGGTGCGGATCTAACGGTCATTTTTGAATTTAAAATTGGGATATTTCTGAAACTAAGCCGTTTTGGGACTTCAAATATACCAAGATATGTGTATTTGACACCAAATATCAATAAAATTGTGAAAATAGTAGTGCAATTCATTTAATAGCGACGCAGTATGCCTTAAACATTTCCCAGACCTATATATTTTGAGACTATCCTTTTAATACTGCGTCCCCAGCATTCATAAAAAATGGTGTTCAAGATACACTACCCATGCAAATTATGTTCTTCAGATATGAGCCCCCTTTAAATATTGGGTGCGGAGGTACGTTTATGGAGCTCCTTCGCACCCAATATTTAGAGGGGGCTCATATCTGAAAAACATTCCGAATTTTTATAAAATCACACAGATACTGCCTGGCTTCCAAGATGTAAAAATAGTTTGTATAGATAGTGTACCTTGAACACCATTTCTTATGAATGCTGGGGACTCAGTATTAAAAGGATAATTTCAAAATATATAGGTCTGGGAAAGGTTTAAGGCACACTACGTCGCTATAGAATGAATTGCGCTACTATTTTCACAATTGTATTGATATTTGGTGTCAAATACACATATCTTGGTATATTTGAAGTCCCAAAACGGCTTAGTTTCAGAAATATCCCAAATTTAAATTCAAAAATGACCGCAGAGGTTTGGTGTCTTGTGGGCACTTCGGGTTGGAACAACAACCTTCACATTAAATGTACATGTCCACATGCTTTACCTACAGCGTAAAATGCAGTTTCCTCGACCCGTCACTAGGTATATTTGTTTTAATTTTCAAGGGATGCAGTCATTATCGCAGTAATAAACTGCGCGACCAGTGTGTTCGCAGGCTTTGTGGTGTTCAGCGTACTTGGGCATATGGCTCACAGGAGTAACGTGGAGGTTAAAAATGTGGTAGACACTGGTGAATATTTAAGTTACCCATTTGATTTAATAAGATAAATGCATGCACATACCATGGTACATATAATGAACAGGTCGCCGAACCAACTACCTCTCTATTTTTCCTTGCTACGCCCTTGGTGTGTGGCTAATTAATTAAGATAAGTACTGTAAGTTTACGACGTTATGCAGTCTGGAGGCCGACATTATAAACCCACTGTTATTTATCGGTTTTTATAATAAGATAAGTAAATTAATTATAGTAACTTACTATTAATTGTATCGTTTTCAAGGATTTTTTCTCATGTACATGTAGGTCCAGGTTTGGCGTTCGTTGCGTATCCAGAGGGTGTAGCTTTAATGCCAATTGCCCCTTTATGGTCTATTCTTTTCTTCTTGATGATATTCACGTTGGGACTTGACAGTCAGGTATAGCTTCCTGTTATTAGACGTTCCAGTGTTCTCAAATATTTTGAAGTGACGGTTAGCACAGACACGAGTCCCACCATCACAGTATCAATGAACTCAATCCATAACTATGTAAACTATATGTATTAGTTGATTGGATCATTTTGGTGGTCAGCGATTGATACCAAAACTCTGCGTAATGCCTGGGTCACGTTTGCTCCGATCCATCGGCCGGCGCCCGGCCGATTGAATGTTTTGCTCAATATTGTATTCAATTTTGAACAAAATATTCAATCTGCCGGGCGCCGTAGTGAAAATCGGAGCAAATGTGACCAAGGCATTAATCACATCATCTGGATTTAGACTAAGTAATGCCTTGGTCACATTTGCTCCGATTTTCAGCACCAGCGCCCGGCCGATGAGTATTGAGTACAATTTTGAACAAAATACTTAATCGATCGGGCGCCGTCGTAAAAATCGGGGCAAATGTGACCATGGCATTATAATTAGTATGTGTAACGTAGGCTTGCTTGTAGTCATGTACCTTCCTCTCAGTCACTCACATCGATAACAAATAAAACTCTGTAGTTCATCCTACCTTTCAGTTTGCGATGATGGAGACTGTCATCACAGGCTTAACTGACGAGTTTCCAGTTTTACGTAAGTGGAAGACTTTGTTTACGATGGCAATCTGTATCGTTTTCTTCTTCTTAGGACTTCCAATGGTAACTAATGTAAGTGTATCAGATTTAAATCAACCCACTTTATCCCACGCACCACTGGAGAGAAAACGGAAAACGATCTAATATTACCATTCGACATAACAAATGATGTGTTAAATTGCATTGATTACTATTTTATCATCCAAATTCCCCAGTATTTTAGCTCACATGGTGAGCTATTACAATCACTCACATGTCCGTCTGTCTCTCTGTCCGTCCGTCCGTACGTCTCTCTGTCCGTCCGTCTGTCTGTCTGTCAACAATTGGCCCATTAGTGTGTGCCAAATTGCTTTCTAAGTGGCTTAGTTAGGCTAAACCTATGTTGTGGTAGCTTACTATGAATTGACCCATAGTCATTTTAGATTGATCTATTATCTATTCATTTTTACTTGTCTGCATTCAAAATAGTGACACGAAAGGGCTAAACGGCTTGCACCAAGGTGCGACCGTCAAAAAGATGAGTTTGAAAAATATAAATTTTTTTAAATAATACTTGTAAGTATACAAAATAGGATGCAAATTTGATATTGATGTGTAATGATAGTCCATTCGGATGTGGTAATTTTATGAAAAACAATTATGGTAAAAAATTGGATATTTATGACCTTAAAATGCGTTTTCAATTAAAAAGTTATTGTTGTCAAGGATATTATTCCTATTTTATAGAATCAATGTCTTTTAAATATACCAATAACCATTTCATTAGTTTTTGACAAAGTAAATAATTATAGGGCTCACACAAGGATCAACTTTGTTCACAGCGTTTTCATTTAAGTGATGTTTTGAAAGAATACGAAGGTAAACTCAATTTTATATTTTATTTGTTGAAGAAAAAATAATTATATGTTTGTTTTCTTGTTTCGACTGAAAAATCTCAATTCATCGCCCTTGCTTTGCAAGCAGGAGAGTCTACACCAGTACGAAAAAGTCTTCAAAAAGTTGATCCTTGTGTGAGCCCTACAATTATTTACTTTGCCAAAAACTTATATAATGGTTTTTCGGATATATAAAAATCATTTAATAGGTAAAATAGGAATAGTATCATTGACTTTTGATTTTGAATAAAAAGGTATTACGAGCATATAGTGCATTACTTCCAGGACAACCCTTTATATTTATAGTGATGCAGCAGATAGTGAAGTTGATTCTTTTTAGTTTATAGCTTGCAGACAGTGATCTAAGAGACATCATCTTGTAGTAATGGGTGTGACAGTGATGAGTTTTGATGGTTTATCTTATGGACGTCATATTAAAAGATACCAATTTGCATTACATCAACATCAAAGAAGTTTGATTTGTTCACAGATACGTGTCAGAGTGATACCTGTAGCAGTTGCACTAGATTGATATACAACAAGATATGTGTGAGCATTCATTGCAACATTTAATTGAGAGTTCTAATTTTACTAAATCTGATGGAAAATTAGATAATTTAAGTCTATCTCTTTTGGTTTATTCAATTTAAATATTACTTTTCCAATACAGATACCTTAGTTTTGAAACATTAGCAGCAGTTTCATTTCAAAAAGATCAGTTTTCAACCTCGTATGTTTTGTTCATAAAATGTGTATTCAACATAGGTCAAAAGTCAGGGTCATTTCAAGTTTAAAAAAATCAATATATAGGGTAGTTGGCATTTTAAGACATTTTTCCGATGATGTGACCCTTCACAACCAATGATTATGTGACCGGAGGTGACTGGATAAAAGCAAACAAACTTTCACTTAATATTGGCAAAACCAATGCTATTCTATTTGGACCCCAAAAAAATCAAACAAATCTGAATCTTAAAATACGCAATGAGAACATAAATTTCCGGGAAAAAATTGACTTTCTTGGAATTATTATTGATAAAAACTTGAAATTTAAAGAGCACATAAAATCTGTTGAAACAAAGATTTCTCGCGTCATTGGTTCTCTTTATCACATTAAACATCTACTTCAAATAGACAGTTTCAAAACAATTTACTACTCATTGATACACTCTCAATTAAATTATTGCAACATAATCTGGGGTAACACATTTAAATCATTTTATGATCGTCTACATAAACTGCAGAAACAATTCTTAAGGCTAGCTTTAAATAAGGATAGACTTTCTCACTCCGCTCCCCTATTTAAAGATCTTAGAATATTAAATATTTTTGATGTCAACAGATATTGTACTGGTCAGTTCATGTACAAAATCTTTAATAAGCACCCCAGTCTTCCAAAAAATCTATTTCAAGACTTGTTTGATATCAACATTAATATTCATCATCATTACACAAGACAATTGCATTATTTTCATATCCCTAAATGCTCTAAACTTTCCCTTCGCTATCTGGGTCCTAATCTTTGGAATGCTCTACCACATGATATTAAAAAATGCTCCACTCTAAATATTTTCAAATCTTCATATAAAAAACTACTCATCTATCGTTAATGTATAATACCAATATCATACTATACTGTTGATTTTATACTGGTACCCGATTTTTGTAACATTTTTACATTGTACATTCCTTAGATTAATTGTTAATACCATTTTTATATACCTACATGTAACATAATATAAGTGTTTTCTTTTATATGTAGTCTAGTTGTCATTTTAATGATTTCTGTTAAACCGCAACATATACCCACTAGGGTGTCTAGCGGCTTGTTTTTATAGTGTATATTATATAAGAATTATGAAATAAATAATTGAATTGAATTGAATTGAGGTAAAGATCAACTGAATGGGTATAGGTAATTTCAAAGTCAATATCTAGCAATTTGATGTTTTAAGGCAATTGAGAATAATTCTGACCTTTGACAACCCATTATTAGGTGACCTGTTGTCAATGTCAAGATCATTTCAAGGTCATCAATATCTAAGTATTTGGCGTTTTTGGGCTGAGGTTACCCTTTGTGTATCATGAATGTGTGACCTGAGGTCAAGGTTATTCCAAGGTCAAAGATCAGTATCTAAGTATTTGGTGTATTAAGGCACTGGGATCTGCTGTGGCCCCTAGCGACTCATGATAGGGTGACTTCCAAGGTCAATATCTAGCAATTTGGAGTTTAAAGGCAATTGAGAACAATTGTGATTGGCGACCAATGATTATGTGACCTGATGTCAAGGTCATTTCAAGGTCAAAGGTCAATATCTAGGTATTTGGCTTCTGTGGGGCTGTTCTATTTATAATGACCAATGATAAAGTGACCAGAGATCCATGTCAGTGTTTATACTATTATGGATCAAGATCATTTCAAGGTCATAGCTCAATATCTAATTAGTATTTGGCATTTTGGAGCTGAATGTGTTTTTGTGAATACAATATAATTTTGTAAAGTCCCCGTGATAAAAATGATATCATCCAACTTCTTCACTTGAAAAGAAAAAAAAGAAAAACATCATGAATCCCTCTCAACCTTTATTTTTAAACTTATTTTTTTATGATTTCATTCTGGTTTGATTCCTTGACAATAAGATAGTTTCTAAATAGCAGAAAAATCAATGAAATCTCGTGCTGCCATCTTTTATTCAGCTTTTAACTCGGGCTAGAGCTCCATTCATTTACATGCTAAAATCTTGGAAAAGTGGCTTAATTTCATGATTTATCAAAGTGTGTTTGTTGAATCTGTATAAAACTTGAATGATATACCACATGATGACCCTGTTTATGTACATGATGTGATTAAACATGCAAATGTTGATTGAGATACAAATAATCCACGGATTTAAAGAATTTTAGCATTGCATCTATGGACATTTGGCCCAAGTTTTTTTAAATTGTTATAGAAAATTATTCAAATTACATAACTGTGTAAATCAAAGCTATTAAAGGAGAAAACATTTCACTGAATTCAAATATGCCATTTAAAAGAAGGTAATGTAAGTCATTAGAGGTCTAATATGCAAGTCTCTTAAAATCTCACGAAAAACGAGATTTAGCGAGATTTCAAATGCTATATGGAAACTATACTATTGAAAATATAAATATATGAAAATATATCTGAAATATTATTGATAATTAACATCCCCACCTTGTCACTCTGAAAAATATCAGGCTTATTTTCTAAAGTATTTTTTCTTAATTTGAATATATCAAAAGTTCTAATGAATTAACAAATTCTGAAAAGGGGACAGGTATTGAAATGCGATAAACTTAAAAACCACAAATTCCATGTTATTTTCCATTGGAAAAACTCAAACTATCCATTGTTTTCATCATAACTTTGGTCATTGAAAATTGATATCTCCTAAACTAGACTTCTATTACAATTCTACTAATGAAAAGGTTTTAATCCACTTGTTGAATAATATTTTCAAGCAATTCAAATAAAAAAGAAGAACCTCTGTTGAGTAAATAAGTTCAAAAAATGTTGAGATGGGTTCCCTATTCATAGTTTTTTAGATTGTTCGAATGATATTTTTATTATCATTGAGAATTGAATTTTCTTGAAAGATAACATATTGTGTTTTTGAGAAATGTCATATTTATATTGAGAAAGTAGTCATGGTAAAATATATGACAGTCAGATATCATTTGCCATACTATACCTGGTCCTTTGCCAATTTGAAGTTAATTGTAAAATTATATCAGAAGAGAGGATATCCAAATATGAGGTCATTATAATGACTGCAATCAGTAATCAACGGTCACGTTGACGAAGTTTTTCACGAGAGTTACTTTCTCTAGTAGTTCTTAATTGGATCAGTAAGCGGATGTATTTCCCAGATTCCAATAAGTGTAGTAAAACATGCAAAATAGAATGCACATTGGTTTTTGAATTGTAAAGATAGTCGATTAGGGTATGGTTATATTATTAAAAACAATTATGGTAAAAATTGGGTATTTCTAACCATATAATGTTTTTTATTCCAAGTTCAATGACAATCTTCCTATTTTACCTTCGAAATGATTTTCATACCACTGAATAACCATTATATCAGTTTCTGGCAAAGTAAATAAGTGTAGGGCTTACACAAGGATCAACGTTTTTTAAGACTGTTTATGTACTTGTAGATCCCCTGTCATTCTAAGAGGAAGAGCAATGAATTGCGATTTTTAAGTCGAAAACAATGAAATAAACACACTATGTGCATTTTGTTAAACATTTAACAAATAAAATTGTGTTTAACCTTATATTTTTTCAAAACATCACTAAATATGAAAAGATTGCAAATAAAGTTGATCCTTGTGTGAGCCCTATATTTTTTTACTTTGCCAAAAATGAATATAATGGTAATTAAAATATTTTGAAAACATTGAATAGGTGAAATAGGATTATTATCATTAACTACCATGACTTTTGAATTAAGATGGCATTTTCAGGTTAGAAATATATAATTCTTCATAATTATTGTTTTTTATAAAAATGGCCACACGCAAATGGACTATCATACTTATCAATATCAAAATTTTTTTTTATCAAACTCATCTTTTTGATGGTTGCACCTTGTGGCAAGCCGTTTAGCCCTTTCGTGTCACCTTTTTGAGTGCAGACAAGTAAAAATGAATAGTTGATGGACCAATCTATAATGATGATGGGTCACTTCATAGTAAGCTACCACAACATAGGTTTTTGTGATTTTCTGGAGTTTTGGCACACACTACATTTTAAAAGCTCTGTAGGACCAATAGGATTCCCGTTCTAAGTTATTTTTGTTTATAATCAATAAAGAAAAAACATATTTGACCCCTGCTTCAAAATCTCGCCTATTTCCAAAATGGCCTTCATGTTTGTCTCGCAAAATTCCCCTTTGAACCATTTGCTTTAGAAGCTCTGTCGATAGGATTCCCGTTTAAAGTCATTTTTGTCCTACATCAATATATCAAAAGTTCACCTATTTTCAAAATGGTCGCCATTTTTGTCCTGCATTGTAAAAAGCAATGTCATTGTAAAGAGTAGGTGTATGAAATAATTTTTTTTACAAAAAATCGGCAAAATATTATATACGTTTTTTTATTTTCTGCCATTTTAGCCATCATTCACTTTTGAACAACACCATGTGAGGCCAGTACCCACGGTACTATTTATTCTTAATAACTATGTTCTGTCCGGGATACTAAATACTTTTTGTGACCTAATTCGTTTTACACATTCCATAACAGTTGAGACTCGGTACGTGTGTGTATCGAGCATGTATGTATCTTTACAAACTAGAAAAATATTAGATATTCTCCATTTCCAGTCTTCCATTTCACTGGACGGATTTTTTGTTTAATTAGACATTTGATATTGCAGTCTGGGATGTACTGGCTCCACCTCATGAACTGGTATAGCGCCGGATTCTCACTTATGTTCGTAACTTTCTTCGAGATAGTTGCTATTCATATATATGGTAAGGAGGGTTTAGTCAATTCCTCATAAGCACTAAACAGTCAGGCTCAGTAACCCCCCTATCACACCAAACTAGTTCTCAACAGTTCTTTCCAGTCATACGAAAAAGTCGTAAAACGGGCTAAATCTGGCTGTGGTCGGGAAATATGTCTAAAATAATTAGCTGCTTCGTTCATAAACAGTCTTCAATACGTCCATCTCATTCGCAGTTCGATCTGATCGCACCATGTCGGTGTGTAAACGTATTGCAATTGATATCTGATTGCACAACGTTGTATAACGCGTCCCTAGTAGGGTTGAAGTACGAAGCAAATTACGCTCCTGGTCTAGTAGGTCATCTCGTTTGAAGTACGTTGTCACACGATCTGATTACAGAACGGTATGGTCGCCATCGAATTTTGAATCATTTCAAAATTCTAAAATCACCTTCCCGTTTGAGAACGTTCATGAAGTTCGTAAGAAGACCTTAGAAAGTTGCAGCTACGTTGAAGTCCGTTTTCGAGAACGTAGTGAGAACTAGTTTGGTGTGATAGTAGGGTTACTAAGTCAACATTCGAAAATAAAAATCTTAAAAATCGTAGATCTTTGATTTCAAAAATAATTTGTGAGGTGGTTAAAAGATGATAATAAACATTTTAACGTAACAATTTTGAGTACATCTCGAAATCCATTCTCAACAAAGCGTTCGCGAAAAAATTATTCGAAATATTTCAGTTCAGGGTAACAGGTGCCATTTTTTATAATTGAACAACAAAATTGAACATTTTGCATTTCTAGATAGATAGGTTTCTTGAAATACGACTGTTTTAGCGATAAAAGTCATTAATAATATTTTCCTCGGTGATTCCATGATAAATAGACAGTAGCTGGGTCAATATTTTGTGTTCAACCTTGTTTTCTTGACTTTTAAACATGAGTCGACAATTATGTAGGAAATTTAAATTCCAAATGTCAGCGTGTCAACTCGTGTTTTCCACAATATTTAGCCTTTTATCATGATAGCATTTTCGCTAAAAACTGCATGCAGCGTTCAATGAGATGATATACCCGCTATTATTTTGATTGCACAAGACGAAATTTCCCTTCTCGGGGAGCACTTTGGTAACTCTTTGAAGGTGGATTCTTGAAAATCGTTTGAAATCAATTCGTGACCATCATATTTGGCTTTCGAAAATTAAGTTGGAAGTTACAATGGTAGGAGATTACCGAAAACGTCAATCACATGGCAAGGCAAGGCTCTGTGAACCAGCAATGTGCATTTCGAAAGAAAACTTCACAAATATCAACAATTTTCATTGAGTAGGAGATTAAATTCGAAATTACAACTTTGACAAAAAAATGTATCTTTTGAAGTAGGGGAATACAGGGACATAGGGGAAATTCAGAAGTTTAGGCCATATTTTAAAGATTGCTTCACCAATATGTAAAATCATATCAAAATTACCATTTACACGTTTTGTTGATAGGTTTAGAGGTTTAGTTTAATTGCGGCACCATTCTCAGTAAATATTGATGAACATACGAATTTCGAATGTTGACTTACTTAGTGATCCTGACTATTAAGAACATATATATTTCTTTTTATTTTCAATATGTTAATTCAATTCATATCATGCTAATATAAATGTATGCTATGCCATATAGCAAGATGGAAAATATACATTTTTGTAGCAAACATAAAACAATTGAATTAAAAAGCTGATAATGAATTTCTGAAACAATAATAGCATTTGTACTATTTACGTTGATACAGGTTTAAAGAATTTCCTAAATGATATCAAGATGATGATAGGCTTCAGGCCAAATCCATATTGGATTGTGACGTGGGCTTTTGTCACCCCAGCAGCTATATTGGTAAGTTTTGAATTGGCATGTAACACATTGATGCAAATAAAAACGTACACTTGATTTTCAACAATTCTGCATCCCTAAATACGAAACGTCGTATAATTTCATCTTGATTAACAAGTTGCGTTATAACCTTAGAAGTAGAATTTGTCCCTCTATTCATTTATTTATTTTGTATACATTACCAACGTGTTCATGCAAGGGCTTCTTTAATACCCGGGGCTTAAGTTGTGTACCAAACGAAACGACACGACATCCGGGGCTTTTTCATATACGTTTTTCCTTCTCCATTACGTTTTTTCATCTCCATTACGTTTTTTCATCTAGTTCTATTTTAATGTAATCAAATAATACCGTTATTAATACTAAATTAGTTTACATCTTACCTTAAGCTAATAATGCGTATTTTTATGTTTCTAGTTTATAATTGGTTACTCTTTCTACGACTATGGTGCCGTCACATACACAGGCAATCCCTATCCCGAGTGGGGAGAGATAGTGGGCTGGTTGATGGTGGTGTGTTCGGCCGTAATGATACCATTGTTCATTGTAATTGAGTGTTGCAAGCGTGGATGTGTAAGTTAAAAGCTATTTTGATTTTATGCTACATGCAACCATTTATTATCCCAACGAACGAAGTTCTGTAGGGATATAGTGAAGCCGTCCGTCCGTCCGTCCGTCCGTCCGTCCGTCAGTCAGTCAGTCAGTCAGTCAGTCCGTCCATCTGTCCGGAAGATAACTCGAATACTAGTCGACAGATTTTCTTCATATTTGGTGGAAAGATGTATATTGGTAAATAGTTTTACGCAAAAAATTTTTTTCAAGATGGCCGCCAGTTTAAAAACATCTTATGTTTACATCTTATGTTTTTCATTTTAAACCAAAATAATAAATATTATTATTTGAAATTTTGGAAGTATGTTTACAACATCTATTTATTTCACATATATCCCAGGTTTTTCACCCTGACCCCCAGGGGCCATAAATGGGGGGTCAGGAAAACAGAAATTTTTGCTAATTTTAAGATCTTTCTGAAGTATAGCTTTATTATACTCAAATGAAAGGCAATTAAGGGTTGATTGCAAATATTTTATCTTTTTTCTGATTCGAGCCTCGCAAAATTCAAAATGGCCGTCTAATGTACGATTTCGCAATATCTTTTCGATCCCTTCAAAGTATGGCTATATTATACTCAAATTGAAGGAATTTTGGAGTAGATCACAATTATGGTATTATTTTTCAGATTTGTACCTCAGAAAATTCAAAATGACTGCTTTGCAGGAATTCGCAATTCTAAAATCTAATTTTTTCAACTTTAACCAAAGTAATGAGTATAATTGATTGGAATTCGGTAATTGATATTTTGTTCGTTTGTGAGTTGTTAGTCTAGCAACAGTCCCACCCAAGTGAGCGCCCCCCCCCCCCCCCTACACACCTCTCCCAAGTGAGAAGATGTGTAGTCAAGTAGGAGGGGATGGGTCCCATGGACTTGTAGCTACATATGGATAATTAAGCTGTTATATAAATATATTGTTTTGCCTTTTAAAAAAGCACGGGGAATTGCATTAATTGTTTTTAGACGGAGCCTATTCAGTTTTGTTCATCATATCGCCTCATGTATTTTTGTAATTCCTGGATAACGATACTTTGTCACCTTTTGACCTATTGAAAGTGGTTATTTAACTAATTTTCAGAAGGGTGCAGCATTCCATACCCCAGAATGGGGACCAGCTTTAGCAGAACACCGTGCTCTCGATGCTAGATACCACACCCCTGATTCACAAATGCAGGCCTACCACAACCAAGCATTCTCGAAAGACCAGATATGAGAAGTTATGAAGATGATAAAAAGAAATAATAAACTGGAGTGCGATCTCAGTAGTTTTAAAATCGATCAAACTTTGCTGAAGGACAAGTATGACGACTATTGTAAACGACATACTCCGTTAGCATGGTCTTAAGATCCGGAATCCATTCCTATGTTCGCAAAACCCCCTGAGAGGATGTATAAACCATTCCACTAAACCAACATTTTTACATTAATAACACTATTACATGTATCAGTAGTTATTAGGGAGGTTAACCATTTCACGTCAATAGGCTCCATATGGAGCCCTATTTTAGAAATATAGACCGAAAAGCAGGAGTTATATTGTCGAATACACTTCGCAGGGCTAGGCACAAACGTTTTCTGCACCCCGAACGACCGAAGGGAGTGAGCGGTTCGAAAGCTTTTGTGCCTAGCCCTAAGGGGTGTATTCGACGATATTACCCCTGCTCTGTGGTCTCTATTACGATTCGAACATGAAAACTCACCAAAATGTTCGATGGTCCGCCATTACTACGACCCACCGTTATGACGTCACACATTACACGTATTACCAGGGGTATTGATTGCGAATATACCCCGGGTGAAATGTTGACTTTGTTTACAGATTATGTAAGGCGTGAATACAGTAATGTTCGAATTAAGAAATATAGACCGAAAAGCAGGGGTTATATCGTCGAATACACCCCGCAGGGCTAGGCACAAACGTTTTCTGTACCCCGAACGACCGAAGGGAGTGAGGGGTTCGAAAGCTTTTGTGCCTTGCCCCAAGGGGTGTATTCGACGATATTACCCCTGCTCTGAGGTCTATATTACGATTCGAACATGAAAACTCACCAAATTGTTTCGAATATTCATCATGGTCCGCCATTACTACGACCCACCGTTATGACGTCACACATTACACGTATTAACTGGGTTATTGATCTCGAATATAACCCAGCTGAAGCATTGACTTTGTTTACAATTTAAAGAAGGCGTGAATACAGTCATGTTCGAATACGTATTATTATGCACTTTGCTAAAATACTCAAATCTGATTGGTTAAGAGCTGCAGGGTCTACTGCAACATGTTTATCAGATGACTGTTAGATGCATGTCAGTAAGGTACTTTCAAAAATATACTAAACAATACAATTAGACAAATAGAATCTTTAATGTATTTCTAGACGTTAGGTATGTGTGATCAATGTCGACCAGAAATACTCAATACCATATAGCAACAACATTCTCAATTCCCATAATTGAAACAGCAGCATTATTGGGACAGATTCGTGTAACCAGCAGCTGCTATACACGCATTTATTTAAATTGGTTAAAAATCCTTAACATACAGTACATGTATATTGTAATTAACACAGGTTACCCTGTATTCAGAATAAGTGTTTATCAAAATATATCTATATCATACTAGAAATTGAAAGTCTATAATCTCTTAATTAGTGTTTATTCATTGCAGCAGTTTTTGATCAAAAGTGTTGATTTTCAATACATATGCATCGTTATCGGGATGTAAGCAAAGGATTGAGGTCGTTGTTCCTAAAAGCCATCAGTGTTTCCCCCACTCAGCCTGAAGTCACTGTTTGCCTTGACCTCCTTGTGGCCTACTCTATGTACGCCCTGTACTGCACTACCTCCACTTGAGAACGTTCCATCTTTAACCGTTATAGGGTTGATCACGTGTCCGCGCTTCTCCAAACCTCGTTTTACCTCCTGAAATTAATCACGGGATATGAAGTTATAGCTGGTGATATATCAAACATTATTTTCATAAAGAACACCCGTTCTGTATTGTTCTACTGCACTTCATAAGCAAATTATCTAGTTTCCGAGACTTAAATCGGGTATAACTTAGAAAAGTATGTACAAAATAGTTAATTCAAAGTTTAAATCGTGTAAGGAATAAACTCATGCAACATAAACCATTCAACACAACGCAAAATCTTATTCCCAGACTCTGTAATATAACGTGTTGAAGCTATAAAGTTTATCGAAGGGATTTTCCACAAATTTCAGTTTTTCAATTTCCAGCTGTTGCATGTATAAGGGTATTACTTACATCAGAAATACCATCTTCTACGTTAAGAACGGGTGGTAACAGTTGATGATGTATTCTCCGAGCATCCATAGCTTGCTTTATGTTCTTGTTGCGTTTTAGTGTGTGCAGCGCCACCTGGAGTATAAACAACAAAAACATAAACATTCCAGTCCTTAGTTTATAAGAGTCGCATCTCATTACATTAGCAAGTATATGGAAGTGACGTTAATCTCAGCGCCGGTGAGCTCAATGTGCAAGTATAATACCGAATTGACCGTCAGTCAGTGTCAAAATATTTAGTGCGTATCTTACCAAAGAAGTTGCTGTGATGATCCTTGACCCTCCAGCTGCGCCTACTACAAGAGTCACGTCCCCGGCATCGTCAGTAACGATCGTTGGGGACATGGAAGACTGCATACGTTTACCAGGGACGATGAAATTAGAGGGAGAGGGACTGAAGCCCCAGGCATTTGCCTGTCCCGGTGTGCTGAAATCATCCATCTCGTTGTTGTAGATGATACCAGTTACATTTCCTTTTACCAATGACCCGTATCTGAAATATACATATATATTTAGATAACGCATGAATTGAGAATTATACATGCACTTGTGAAACATCAAAGAAAGACTGAGGGAATTACGCAAATTACGCATTACGCAAAATCTTTTGCATGATGTATATTCATATGTTTGTTTTCAATTCACGATATAAGTCGCTATCCCCGACTGCATAAAGCTGAGACGTAGAAAATTTACCCCCAGTTGATTGAAGACGTGACAGAGACTGCATCTCCATTGGGTGCAAGGACGCTGATGTGCGTGGTGCCGGCGTCTGCAACCACAGAGAATGGACTGTAGTGGGATGCGTTAGCTGTCATATTCATTTCTGTTATCCTTTCCCTTATGCTTGCAATGAAATCTGGATTCGTCATATTCGTCATTAGCTGCAAAGAAATAATATTTAAATGAGATACTGGCGACATCTCTAGTACAGAAGCTTTGTAGTATAATGTATACAATACATTTCAACATTTTGATCTAAGTGTATGTTATTTACCTCTAATAATGTACCATTTTCGAAGTCAGTGTCTCCAAAATATGTTCGTTTGGCATATCCCCACTTAAAGGCCTCTGCTATTTTATGATAGCTCTCAACTTGTTCCTCAACAGATTCAAACTTCAGATCAAATCCTGCAAAGGGAATTAAAATAAGTTGATTTATATCAAACGTAACCAGGTATTTCAAAATGAACCCATCCCCATCTTCCAAAAGCAATCTTAGACAGTCTGTTTAGTACATGCCATGAAATGTTCATTCAATTCAAAGTTGCAGTATCTTTCACCTTATTTATTGGACACCCTGTATGTAACAGATTATAGCAAATGTTGGCCAAGCTTAATGCATTTCGAGTCAATCATACTTACCATCTAAAAGCGACAGGATGAACTGCACTACTATGCCGCTGGACGGGGGAGGAGGTCCATATAGTTTGGTGCCATTCTTAAGTGTACTGATTACAGGTTGCTTAACTTTAGCTACGTAGTTTTTCAAATCATCTTTTGTAATAATTCCACCTGAAACAAATGGCTATTGCATCAATCCGAACTAGTTTTACGATATGGTAATGATAAAGATATAAAAATAGGGAGGTAAAGTTACACGTTTTTAACTCGCACGTGGACGTCCAGAATTATGATATTCTAGGATTAGTTCTCCCATTTGTCAGTTTGTAGTGTTTACCTGGCCAATAGAGTTCAAGAGAATACGGAAAATGATTAAAAGTGGGTCCCTGGAAAGTGAATTGAGAGCTGGACAGTAATCCCCGGGGGTCGAAATATTACACGCTGGCGTACACGTTCTCTTGAAAACGTGTAAAGTAACCTCCCTAATATAAAACGTTGGCGTTAAATACACGATGTTTATCGAAACACATTTAGATATCTAAACTCGTTAAATGAACGACTATATGGCTCCAAGACAGACTTACCAAAATCTTGAATTTCTTTCACGATAGTATCAGTCAGGGAACCAGTATAGAATGCACTTGCACCCTCGTCTGCAATGACTTGTAGTGTGTTAGCGAGTTTTGGACGTTTCTGGATATCTCCTGCCTCTAATAGTTCAGCGTCGGATCCGCTTTTAGTGAGCATGTCTCTATCGAATGGATTAATAAAGTTACTAGCACGTGCCATGATTCTTTCATTTGAAGGTATCAGAAACTGTGTTTGATTTATGTCTGACAGTTCAGAACGTCAACCGTATAGATTCATATTTTCAACAGGATGTACGCCATCTATTGATGTGCATTATTGATAATTAAAAGATGCATGTGATAATAAAAACATATTTGAAGAAAGTTCACAATTTTTGCCGAACAAAAAGTACTCCAAAAGAGCTCACAAAATATGATAACATTGTGTAAGACTACAGCATAAGCCAATGTGGTTTTAACTTTCTTCTGTGCCTTGAAAGCCACGAATGCAAAGTTACCTCAATTCTTTAAATTTATCTAATGGCTTTGATCCAGTATCGCTCATATATCCCTTAGCTTCTTGGTACATATGTGGAGTGACCTTGACGCCATCTTGGGCCATTTTAATAGCGGGTGCAAACAAATCCTTCCATTCAAGATTGCCAAATCTTTTATGAGCTTCCCACATACCAGCAACATCGCCTGGTACGCCGACCGCCAATCCACCTAGAAAGATTTTGAACTTCAATTAGACGTTTGTCAAGAAGTTAACACACATGAATCACTGTTCTCTTTACTGGCATAATAACGACTATATGTGTATTTGTCATAACGGACTGGACTTAAAAGATGCAAGTTCAAATACAAAGCTGGTGAGGCAGTGGTATTTCAAAATTAATATTTAAGACCTTAAAGAGATTTTATATTGGTGATGGTAAATGATTGAATGTTGTGGTAAAATATTTGAACAGGAGTTACTCTTTTACCCCATACTGAAGGCTTTTCTAGGCTTGAATTTAGGTACATAGTCTCAGTTGCTGCGGCTGGTGCAGTTTCTCTAGCATCTATAATTGTTGTCTCATTGGTTTCTCTAGAAATAAAATAAAATTGATGTCCAGCCATTCATGCACTAGTGAAATCAAGTCAAATGTTAACAAAAGTTAAAACACATCAATACTAGATATATAGCACTGGCGGATCTGGATGGGCCCAGAAAAAAATTGGGGCCATGAAAAATTTTGAGCCAAAAAAAGGCCTTAAGGGCCCAAAAAGTGGGCCTTTTTGGTCATAAATGGTCCTTATAAGTCCTTATTTTGTAATTTTAGGCCAAATTTTGAAGAAAACGGGCCTCGAAATTTCAAAATTTGGGCCCACTTTTTGGTTTTAGGGGCCCAAACTTTTTTTCAAGCCAAAAATTTGGGCCCCCCCCCCTTGTTGATTCCCAGATCCGCCCCTGTATAGTACTGTATTTTAATGTTATACCAAAGTGGTAAGGTCATCCTGGAGAAGTGTCCCCGGTCTTCTGACGCTGTTGTCAAACTGGTAATTGTAAAAATTGTCCTATAACGGAGACAAAATCTCAGTGTGAAAAGCCTGCCATCCAAAAAGTAGTTATTAGGTGTATTGTGAACACCCATCATTTTTCATTCATCGTGACAAAAAAGTGAGCCAAAATATTTTATCCAAACTGTTTTTAGTATTTTATTGCCAAGTTAATACGCCTGAATAAGCCACCGATATAGTTCTTGCATATACCAGTGTTTGTTCAAACTATACGTACGATGAGTTTGCCTATATCTAACGCATACTACAACACACCAAAGACATAATACATATAAGAATGATAAATGATATAATCTGAATGTTGTGGTAACTGTAATATTTGATGAAAAAAACATGGGATTTTTTAAAGCCAAAAACCGGCCTAAATATCTTAAGCAATCTTGACTGTTTCAAAATGATATTGCTACCTAAAAAGGGTCACTTGAAGGATGTGTAGGCCGTAGGGTACTTGAATCCGTCATTTGCATCATTCTTATATGGCAGCATTGTATTGCAGGTCTGTATGTCTTGCTTGTTTGTGACACACACTAGTTACCTTTTATAGACAGTCATGAAGAATCCTCCGCCGATACCGCTGTTTTGAGGGCTCCCAACTGCTGTACATAGCAATGCAGCTATAGCGGCATCTACAGCAGACCCACACTTGGCTAACATTTCCCTGGAATATATGGAATATATACATATGGAATATACGAAATACTACCCTTTCTTAATTCAGCATTAGCCAGAGCCAACGATTAACGCACGTGTATTTTCATTTTTTAACTACAAAAACAAATACTAAATAGATGGTGAGTAGAACCAATGGACGTGGCACTTGTAGTTAAAACATTTTCCCAAATTCTCCAAATCAAATTTTTTGCAGAAAATGCAAAAAATGACCATTTTTCATCAAAGCACTAAATGAAATTGCATCTTCATATTTGATATTTCTTCTTTCTATTGGTACCATGTGATAACTAGCCCTTTTCGTTAGACATTTATTTGCGCAAATAATACACGTTAATAATATTATCTTGGGTAAAAAGAATTGAGTATATTTTGGGTTCGATGCTAAAATATTCATAAATGATTAATCTTCAGCAGAAATAATCGCAAATCCTACGTTGCAATTTCCGAACATTCTGGGTTAGGTGCAGCGACTCCAGCATAACGGTACTCTCCCAGGGGCGACGTGGATGCTAAACTGTCTTGAGGACCTGGTTTCTCCTTATCTGCATCTGTTGTACTAATGGTTACCTCTGATGGATTCTTGTCCCCTATAATAGGTGGCATAATTTTAAATCCAACTGATGAATGGGGTGTACGTACAGTAGTATAGCAGTATAATATTATTTAATAGACACTAGGGAACCTTCCCTTTTGAAATGTTACGATGGTGTCATGAATGAATACTGTGTCATCTAATTTGCATAAATGTGACACTCTGTATATTGGCATGTCATATTAATGGCAGGGGGTTGAAGAAATCTGAAGATGTTACTTGGTTATTGACTACGTACTGCTTAGCACAATGGGAAGAAAGTATTGTTTTTAGTCTAACCCCATGTTTGCCCCCTGATATTAATAAGTAAAATATCTTATCTATCTAAGCAATAGTCTTGTGCATGAGCCATTTCGAAAAAGAGGGTGGTTGTCGACAAAATTTCTGCCTCTGACTAACTATTACGTACCCTTTGCATTCGTTTGACTTCACCTCTTAAAAGAGAGCTTCGTGTAGTTTAACAAGACTCTGCACGCAGGGTAACTACATGTATTACGTTGCTCCTTTTATGATATGATTGTTCAAAAATAGTGAGAAGCATTATATTGATATGCTATAAATACGTTATGAGATGTGACCATACCCAATGAAATGACATTGTACTTGTATGAGACTGAGAGATGCAAAATGTAGTTAAAATGTTTAACATGCGACACTATTTAAGCTTATATGTACCATACATGCATCTTCGGCTGTTTATGTTAATTTCAAAGAAAACTATGAAAGTTATACTGCGTGTAGGTTTATCATTATGTTCGTGTACAGTGTGTTCTCAAGGCCCAATTATTAAGTAATACTTCTTTAGCTGGATTCGGCCATTTTCAGTTAAAAACACTTCAAAATGTTATGCTGTACATATGTTGTACTATGCCAATAAATTCCTTTTATATTCAATAATAACAAAAACTATACTGTAGCCTAAGCTAACTTCCCTTTAAATCAAGAGATTAAATGTAGGGGATCAAATGCTTTGGCAAAGAGACCTGTACAATAAAGCCTCAATAAAGTAACCCTTTAACTGAATCATAAATAGAGCCAACAGAAAGTTCTAAAATCACCAAGCCCGATGTTTTGTTCAAGAACCCTGTTTCTCTCTACTTAGATTGGAATCCATAGTACGTATACTCCATAACAATATTCTACCCCTTTGAACCCGATCAATTTAAGATAATGAGGGTGTCTTGACTTAACATGGGGATATGTACCATTGACTTAACATGGGATATCGTCATGTCGATCATCTTAGGGATAGATTCCAAATCCTCATTTTCTGAGAAGAACTCGAGTTGATCAAGTCTCAACAAGTAGATTAATTTGGGATAGTATCAATTGGTAGAATCCATTTCACTTGTAAAAATAGATAGGACATAAGCTTAATTTTAACGGATGGCCTTCTCATTTTTTGTTTGGTATTAAAACGAGAGATTTGACAATACATGCTTGACTTGTTCATACAGAGACCTATATATAATATATATGATAGCCTGGTGCATTTTCTTTCTCTATAAATACGCTCTGTTAGATAAGGTGGTGAAACCAACAGAGTGTGACATTTAAGTGTTGCCTCCCATCGTTGTATGCAGATCACTTATATGCTGGGCTTTCAATAGCAGGGGGCGAGTGTCCGAAATCACCGTTTGTTTTCGCCGTTTGTTAAATGTCAAATGTCAAATGTCAAATATTGTCTAAGTTTTGGGGGGAAATTTAAAGTCGTCTATAGCCTATCCTTTACTTTATTCAGCGATCTTGTTTTGCACTTCCTTGTCTATGATTTGTAACTCAATTTCGAACTGCAATGGAACTCACTATATTTCGTAAAGATCACATGACCTCATCATAGTAGTTAACAACGGAGTAATTTTTACCCGTTTGGGCTATGCATTTTAGATCAATGTCTGACCACTGTCATGTGCATGATAATTCAAATTCCAACCTTTGGTATAATCAGAGTTGTTTTTTCCACTGGACATGTAGTTACATGTATGATTGATATAACTCTGTCCAAACAGCCACACTACAGTCTTTCCAATGGGTGTAAAATTGTGTTAATCAATTAACGGCCCCATATAAAGTTTATCCACTTTGGCTTATATTGTTGTCTTATCCAATGTTATCAAAGTGTGAAATGTGAAACTTTTCATGAATTTCAAAAATGTTTTTTGAAGGACTTTTTGTTCAAAATATCGTGAATTTATTTAAAACTAACTTTTACAGGTCACACTTATCCTTTAAAGCGATAATTCACACCGATGCATAGCACGATTCATCTTCGCTTTTTTTTTTGCCGACAAAATCAAGAAAATTGGTTGATAGATTAGCGAGCAATGAATTTATCCATGCATGAAAGTGGTTCAGGGAATTAAAGATGCATTTCAAAATTTTAATTCTCATAGAAACCAATGGTAAAATAATATTAAAAACATAATATATTCATCCCTTTAACCTTGTAGCAGTCAACATTGGTTTATTTTTTAAGTTTAGCATATTTAGAAAAGATTGACATTGAAAAATATTGCCACCTAAGTGATGTCACGATGTGGTCACTTAGGTTGAAAATATTTTCGATATGCTAAATCATTGAATTTGCACATTAGATATAACATTTTATTTTTAACATAGTGTGTCCGTTGTTCAATCTTTATATTGGTGTTAAAAAAATATAGAGGTTCTTATATGAGTACCTGTGCAAGATCGTCCATTCTTGATGAGCTTTGATAATTCTTCTTTATCTAGTCGCAGACGAGATAAAGAAACATTATCAAAGCGACTGTCGTAGGAATTATGAATGTAGTTTCGCACAGGTGTCAACGGAACCAAACAGTGAACCCCGCTTTGCCGAACCCGAGTTTCCAGGATTCGCCTCGCATGTCTTTGACTCTCTCTCAAGATTTGGGCTCTATTGTACCCCTACATTATCATCCTGGTGTCTCGTTAATATCACCCTTGTAATTACAATGCGAAGTTACTTAAGCATGATAAAAAGTGTATGTGTGGATGGGGGGAAGGTTTGACCCCCCACTTACCAAAAGCTGGAACATGTATACCTTTATACTTAACCGGCCAAGTATTAACAGTACAAAAGGGAGAAAAAATCCATCAGGTCCATAATTCTACACGTTCACGTACAAGTTTAAAAAACGTGTATCTTAAATTTATTTAGAACTACGCCTTTGTACCTGCGACACACTTTCGCAATGAAACACAATGGCGAAAAACTAAAAATACTATATAAAATAACTATCTATACACCATCAATGCGGGGTGTCACATTCATTACAACACACCTTGCAACAATGTCTTATGAGGGTAATTTCTTATATTGAGAAGTTTATCATCTATTGCAATCAAATACTTGTAGCTAAAAAAGCGAATTTGTTTGAGCAGTCTTAGCTCGACATATTATAAAGAAAACAATATTTACACCATGGTATTCTTAGTAGACTGTTCAATTTGGAATTTCGAAGCTTAGCCAAACATCAGCTTTCTAACAAAGATCATCAAAAAAATATTTTATCAAAGTCTTCCATGCAAATGAAGGTGCAAATTCACATTAACAAAAAATTAAGATAAGATCCACAATATGTTTTTAAATGGTTAAATGCGCAAAATGTGTAGATATGTTTTCCTTAATAATGTGTGAGGAGGCCTTTCAGCCAATTTTCGAAAACGTAGTGAGAACAAGTTTTGTGTAGAGGGGAGGGGGATATCTCCCGCCTCGGTCTCTCTCTTGCAAACGGGTGAAGGTAAACAGTAGAGGGGTTTATACACTGGCAGGCGATTTCCTTTTCGAAGACATATCGAGTGAAACGTTTGAAATGCTCTAAATGACGTAAGCATTGAAAAGTAGGAAATTATGCTTGCATTGAAACGGTTGAACTGATCTAGGATGAAGAAAATATTTATTTCTTCATCCTCAAACTGATTAAAACGATTGAAACGCAATTTACAGTGTATATATGTATCTAATTCACCTATTATAATACAACAATTTTTCATCTGCCTCTTGTACACAAAGTTACTGAAACCATGTTACGCCAAATGGAGACCATATTATCTCCACAGTTACCGGTTTCAATATTAAGGAGTGTATTCATATGAACGATATCAGAATTTCATTGAACTACTGGTGAATTACGATAAGTGCATTCCCATTGCTTTTTATGATAGCACTAGTCATAGATGTTTTTGGGAGAGGGGATCTGCGTTTAGAGGCTAAGGGCTATGTCTATTTTTAACCAACAAAACAAAATCAATTTAAGTTGTGGTATAGCTTATTCAATAAGTTAAGCTAATTTCGCTCTAAAACATTTAACAGCATTATACAATCCATAAACAATCTGGAAAATTTGGCTAGGAAATGTTCATTTTTCGCACTGTAGCGGTTGTCATATAGTAACTTGAATCAGGGTTCGGCGGAGCAAATCCCAACCTCAAAAATTACAATTTAACAGAAAAAGAGTAACAATTTTTCTTTGTAATTTGTATGGTCATGATTTGCTTCGGCGAACCCTACTTCAAGTTACTATGAGAACCACTACAAAATATAATATACCTCAGCCAAATGTCAGGATGGTCTTAAAGCAAATTTAGCTTTACTTATTGAACAACCTGTTAATCTAATAAGTTGATATTACTATCTGCTAGTGTTCAAAAGCATGAACAAATCAAAAAAACGTACCTAATATCCCTAATGACAGCAAGGTTGCAACGACAATTACACCAATTGCGAGAAAGATAAATACTGCCAGGAGAAACACCTCACAAGAACTGCACTTCCTCATGTTGACACTAACGTTGCCACTAACCGACGCTTAAGTTGCCACTCGTTGACGTTTACGTTGGTAGTCGCCGACGCTTATGCTGGTCGAGTCTGCCTGGGTATATCCGTCGTCTTCTTTAAAACCCACAGATTCGTAATTCTTATTGTTTAAAATGACCGGTGTTCACTTAATTCCTGGTTTGTCTATACCTTCAACTTCCCTGTTCCACTTTTAACGTATTAAAATGTTTTTCGTATTTTATTCAATGAATCATGGCGTTGTTCCATTTGACCTCAGAGCACAGCGTATAAAGGTAGCTATAAAAAGAAAACATTGGATGCATTTTTTCTTTATCGAGATCGTTACTAGAAATATCATAGTGTACCAGGATTACCAACAAAATACCATATGAGGCTCCCCAAGAGGGAGTATTCTAGAGAGATCATGTATAGTCACTTTCAGAAATCTAAAAAATACCATAATTCGCTAAAAGTGTATTCGGGTTTATTCATTTTTATTCGGTCGTGTATATTAGATATGACATTTAGTTACATACAAATATAACCAGTTCGGATTTTGACTCTCTTTCGAGCTGCCAGTTATAAACTGTCACTATTTTATAATTAGATGTTAATCTATCAGGGCCATTGACTGATCTTTTTCTGTTTTTAAACACTTCAAAAACACATTATGCATGTACATATTGACCCCTTGCTGTATACCCCTTGGGAAGCCATGGTACATTAATCCTGTAGGATAATTTACCTTTTGGCCATGTATGCTGATTATGACACACTGTCTGCACGTTTCACATATCATTGATACATACTGTGCAATGTCTCAATATTGGAAAGTATTTTAGCATTTACTTGTATATAGAAACAACACAGATAGTTAAGTTAACCCGATATTTTAAAGAGATATCATAAAGAAATCAACATAAAAAGTAGCTTCATTAAAAACATTTCAAAAGTGAAAACTAACATACTTTTCTTTAGTAATTCAATTGCCTTAAAACTTTTTAGAGCTAGATGTTATATTTTAGAATTACAAATTAGTGTTCATACTTACTCCAGTCAGTTAGAATTTCACCCAAGTTAAATTTCTCAAATAAATTCGTTAATATAGGCTATAATAACAAATACTATATCAAAATAATATAATTCAGTCTACTTCGAAACTTTACATTTAACTTAGCTCAACTTAAACTTCAAAAGCGCATTAACACAGTACAATACATTAAATTAATATATACCGATCGTAATAACCCTACTTTTGAAAAACAACCGAATACAGAATACGTTCTAGCCCACGTCTTTTATAGAAATAGTTTGATAGAATTATAGGTATAAGGTAGTCGGTACACTGTAACACTATTAAAAGTTGAAGAAGAGTCTAAATAGTAAATCAGTGACAGGTTTTGCAAATATTTTCGCGGCCCTACGTGATGTTCTGCTTTATGCATGTCAATACATGGAATATACTTGCCATATGCATTAAACACACGAATGAGTAATACACCTGTATACAAGGCATGTTTGACAAAAAAACTTATATTATCCGTGATATAGTGTCTTATTTTTAGTAGGACGACTGGTTAAAACACATTTTTATTAATCATATCATTTTATCTAAGAACCTTAGAAGTAGAGAGTGCCTTGAAACCTCAGCAAGGGAGGATACTGTACATACAATAATGTACGGCTGGTCGTACGTCCCTGTGGTCCTTCGGGAGGTACATAGTTTCCTCGGAATAAACCCCGATTCCATATCCTTCCAGTACTTAACCCACGTTTGAAGCATAGCTATTCCCATTCTCAACGTGAAAACACGAATATATCTACCAAATTATTCAAATAACACACAAGATAAAAGTAGCAAGATGACTTACCTTTTCATGCGACAGTCCCTTGCTGAAATATGCACAGCTAAAGTCAAGATATAAAACAGCGGTGACGCTGTTATTTCCGGATGGATGACCGGTAATTTCATGGGTCTATGTCCACGATATAACATGCTTATTATTTTATGATCAATGGGGGTTTGCCAAAATAGCTTTGAAATCTAGTTGAAGCCTCGTTTTTAATGAAATTTTTAACCATTAACGACCAATACTTTCTTCTATTTGATGGCATATTTGAATCATGTGTATAATTTCTATCAATACATCTTTAATTTTCACAGTTAAATTCTTTTATTCACATTTTCAGGATCTTTAGGTTTTATGGAAATGGGTCCCCATTGACACAACGTTTAAAGCCTCAATAGTGCCCCTTGTTAGCTTTCACGCCAAGATCCATTTTTGACAAGTTGATTCCTTTTGACGCGTTGTCATTTGATAATCGTGTCATGTAACCGCAAACATGCAAAATTTCAAAGTTTGATAGTTTCATATTCGTTATTCGTGTTTTGACAAAAAAATGTTGTTGTTTTGTATGGTAAGTAGAAAGTAAAAAAGGTAACGTTCAGGGAATGAGCCCTTGGCAAGATATCTATATTTCCCTCGGGATATACCCCATATCCAAAACCTCCTATAACATAAGCCTCATTTATCCTTTAGCTTGAAATGATATCTTGACTCGATTCCTGCGGCCCCTCTGCATGATATGTGTATCATATAATTCCTCTTGATAGACCTCTTAACTAAGGTTCCGATTTACCGTTGGAAAGCTGCTGAGAGTGTATTTAAGCGTTAAGAACCTAACCTCAATTTGAATTATTGCTGAATGCAAATTTAAATATTAATCCTTTCATCACCAAGGGGTAAAATTAAAAAATCAATCATGCTTTTTCAATCAAAATATATTTTGACAATAGGTTTCTATTTTCAATCTAAATGTCCATCACAACAACGTTTGTGGTATAGGCATCACAACAGTGTACAGTTATGATGTTTACACTTTGTGGTTATGATTACATTTTCTCTTTGAAATTACCATCCAAAAACCATTTAAACCATGCCAAGTTTCTTTTTTACATCATAATTGTTCAGTGATTTTTCATATAAAACAGGGGAATGTGCTTTTATTGCATAAAGGATATATTTGTGTCACTCTCCATAATCAGTTGTGCAACTTTGCTTCTCTCCTTAGTTTATATGAGGGTGGGATATATTGTTTCAGAATGCCTATATGGACTGTTGTGTTTAAGAACTCTTCATTGGAATCACTCCATATTAGACATTACGCATGCTTGAGATGGATATTTCTACAACAGCAGCAGAGTGACATAGAAAGATGCTGTTTGACTAAAAAGGTGTGACAATAGAGGTCAAAGGTCAAATATTTGGCTTGATGGATTTCACTTAACATTGATATGTAGTGAATCAACCGTACAAAGGCAATTGTTTAGATTGTCTACAGTGCTCCTCTATAATTAATCATATCATTGATAAGTAAACGTATAAGGGTATATTTGAAAAAATGATTTTAGGGTCAAGGGATATGATGATACCCAATGTTAAGTCAAAGGTGCATATTCTCATGTTAAGTCAATACACGCTAGGTGCAATCTTAAGATTCTCAGGAGAAAATTATTAATTTGTATTGTACATTCCTTAATACCAAAATTACACCATTAAAGTACATATTAGTTACAAATATCAAATTTCTTCTGAAAACAAAAATTCTGACGCATTTTGTAGCATTATGGGGTCACTGCACTTAATGACCCCTCTCTCTCTCTCTCTCTCTCTCTCTCTCTCTCTCTCTCTCTCTCTCTCTCTCTCTCTCTCTCTCTCTCTCTCTCTCTCTCTCTCTCTCTCTCTCTCTCTCTCTCTCTCTCTCTCTGCCTATCTTGGTTCAAACTCTTAAATGTTCTCGTAGGTATAATTTTTCATTAAATTAGTTATTGTAAACCTAAAAATAATTCCATTCTGGCCACAGAGGTACTTGGGTACGAAAGGGTCGATATCTAATTTTGAGTTCATTAAAAATTCGAATAGAGGTCAGATTCTTAAAGCTGACCCTTTCAGCTTTCCAAATGGCAATTGGAACTACACACTTCTTTAATATCAAATCTCATTTCTACTGAAAACAAAAATAATGGGACCACTGCACTTAATGACTCCTATCTCAGTTTATCTTGGTTCAAATTCTTAGATGTTCTCCAAAGTATAATTTGACATTGATGTAGTTATTGTAAACCTAAAAATAATCCATTCAGGCGAAATGAGTATTTGTCATTTTGAAATTGATTTTCATAAAGTTAATAAATGACCCCTTTGGGATGAAAGGGTTAATATCTGATTTTGCATTCATTAAAAATTCGAATGAAGGTCAGCTAGATTCTCAAAGCTGACACTTTCAGCTTTCCAACGGTGTATTGGAACATTAGTTCAGAGGTGGCCATTTATATCATCCTAGTTTGCTCTACTATAAGACATCCTCTGAATACTGGGTTTCAAACATCACCACCCACCTACTCCGTTTCTTTATTCTTCCAATTATATATTTTTTTCAAACATCATCAACTTTTATCAATTTTGAGACACTAAGTGATTCAACAAGGCATATAAACATGTAAAACGTCACCACCTGCCATTTGCCACGGACGCTGAAGGCCGTATGTCAAACGCCGAATACCGTCCATTAAAAGGTTAAGACTATAACATGATGGCACGGCTTCTGGTGGTGACATAAAAATGAGAAAACTAAATGAAGTAGCTTAAATATACGTATTGTATTTTGTTAATTTATTTCCTTCAGATTGAAGATTTACATTTTCATATATAAACGGTGAGTTACATTTCTTCAGTTAGTTAGTTTTAAATCGTCCCTGAGACATCTGTCGGTGTAACTCATACTATATTAGAGAGATTTTGCGACTATCACTTATAGCATGTTTATTACCCCGTATACCTCATATAATGTATCAATCAATGTACATGTTATCAAACGCTTTATTAGTTATACGGAAATAATAAACAATTAACATGCTATAAGTGAGTTGCGAAATCTATCTATTATGGATATCAAGTGCATACGTATATATTACTCTATACCACTTAAATACTGCAGATGTCCGTAGTTTAGCACCGTATTTTAATATGTCCATTAGACATCTATCGGTGTAATATATACTGTGTCATGGAAATCAAGTGTATGAATTTAGTGTTTACATCACTTTAATACTGCAAATATATGTATTTAGCTTTTTATTGTAGTATTCATGTCTCCCTACTCCTAATCGTCTTCAACCTGAAATATAAGAAGGTATATGTACTGATTGGACTGATTATAGTTAGTTGGTCAAAAACATAATTCATAAAGTATTGAAAATGTATAGCCTATTATAGTAAAGGTATATATTGAATTAATGAATTTAATTAGCCTTAGACGTATTAGAAACTATATTTCTCAGTATAATATATTATGTCCATCTAGCAAAAACACGGAATAGCTGTTCATCTTGAGCAATACCATTTTTATCGACTAGTTACGAGGCAATTAAATGATATCACTAGAAATGGTTTTGTTTGGGTTTATACCATGATCACAATCAAAAATTCAAAACATTTTGCCTGATTATGGATATTAGCTTATGAGGCGGATAGAGGATTTTCTGAAAATAACAAACGGATCTCGATAATATTAAAATTATATCACTCGGTGTTAGTACAGATAGCACACAAAATCGTGGGATAAATCGTTTTATCCCATACTTAGACGTGTTACGGGTACATAAAGCCGGTTTGTAAAAACTTATATTTTCATCAGCGGGCAGATATAGCTTTACGTCCCGCTCCGAGCGGGCAGATATAGTATATCTGCCCGCTACGTCATAATCGCTGTTCCCGTATTGGTTCTTTTTTGTAACGTTCGCATACTGTAAACGACAATGGAGAAAAACGCAAACAATCGCGATCTGTTTGATGCTTTAAGGAAGGGAAGGAGCAGTATGCCCCGTTAATAATCAAATATTTGAACAGGAAAATCCGGCTACGGACAAGAATAAAAAACTGGACATGAATAGTTTAAAATAATTCCACGATTGGTTGCAACAATTGAACAATGTGATTGGTATGGGATAAACAGATCATCCTATAGTCGGTTCAGGATATTGGGATTATCCCTTGGCCAATATAATATATCTTCCCTCGGGACCTACGGCCCTCGGGCAGATATATTATATTGGCCTCGGGATAATCCCAATATCCTGAACCTCATATAGAATAATCTCTATTTATTCCATACTTAGTAATGTTATAGGTAAATAACATACGGGAATATAATTGATATGCGACGTGAGCGGGTGATATACGAGTACTTATCCTATGACAAGTGAGGTTCCAGGTACGTAACAGCGGGATATAAAATCGATATCTTGGAGGAGCGGGACATATATATATATCTCCCGCTGTATATCTCCCGCACCAATATTCCCGGGAAAACTTCTTTTTTTTTTTCAAAATTTTTTTTAATTTTTTTTCAACTTTTTTTTTCAAAATTTTTCAAAAAAAATTTTGTCCAAAATTGTCCAAAAAATTTTTCACATTTTTATTTTTTTTCAATTGTTTTTTCTAAATTTTTTTCACATTTTTTTCAATTTTTTTAAAAAAAAATTCAAATTCTCTGAAAATCTTGCAAACTTAAAGACAAAGAAAACGCGTACCTTAAGTATGTTTTGGAATTTTGGATCTTTATAAGGTATGATGTACCTAGAACCTCAGTAGGTATGAAATGCATCTGTTATGTACGGTTGGTTTTGGATAAAGGGACAAAAGTCACTTGTCATAGGATAAATTAGTTATGTGATGCTCGGTTTTGGATATGGGGTATATCCCAAGGGAAATATTGATATCTTACCGAGGGCCCGGCCCATAACATAACTCTCATATACACCCGCTGATATCACCCGCTCATCAGATCTACGACGTTACAAAAGGGAGTAGATACTGAGCCAGGGCACTTGGCTATTATTCCTTATAATCTTCTCAGTAAAGAATAAATCAGTTATTTAATGCTCGATTTTTGATACAGGATATATCCCTCGGTAAATACAATATCGGTCGGTACGGTACCTACGGTCCCTCGGGTAGCAGATATATTGTATAAAGATATACCTGTATCATAAACCTCCAATTAAATAACCTCTATGTATATTATCTTACCTCCAGGTCCATACATAGCGGTTTATCATAGGTTCGTTACAGTAAGGCTTTCCTTCATACTGAAATTATGAAATAACAGTTATGACGAAACACAGTGAAGATTTAATAAATGCATTTAAAAATGCATTTTATAATCTGTTAAGATGGAAAACACTGTAAAAGACATGTAATGTTGAACATATTGTTTTGCTGGTCAATACTTTATGAAGTTTCATGTGAATATATTTCAATGCCCCTCAACACCCCTCCCCATTTCAACACGAATGCATGCGTATTTATCTCGCCATAAAGCTATGTTCACACTAACGGCGAATGCCTCGCTTTAAATCGGAGAGCAAAGCGCCGTCATTTTTGTCATTTTTGTTCATACCAACGGCGCTTTGAAGCGGCTTGGAAAGCGACACCAAAGCGTAACAAAGCTTGATTAAAGCGTCGGGGTCGTAATAAGGTCGTAGAAAAGCTCGGAGTAAAGCGGGATATTCGGCAAGAGCGCTCAAAAAATTAATCTGTTTAAAAATTTTGGGCGCTCTGTTACGAATTGATTAAAGCGCCGAGAGCGTATCAAAGCTTAACAAACCGTAACAAAGCTCAGAAAAGCTTGGTCCAAAGCGTAAGAAAGCTTAACATAGCTCTGATAGGTTCCTAACGCTTTGATCCCGCTTTGACCAGGCTTTGTAACGCTTGAAATCACGCCTGGATAAGCTTTGATAAGCATTATTACGCTTTGATGCGATTATGACGCTTTAAATCAGGCTCTGATACGATTGCCAAGCTCTGTTGTGCATTGTTACGCTCTGTTAAGCTCTGTCAAGCATTGGAAAATGTCGAGATCGCCGATTTCATGCCGCTTTTGATCCAATGACTGTTTAAAGATGCAGTAGATCCATAAAACCATTGCATCTTTGACTCGAGAACACGATGTCAGAACAACAAGATCCAGAAATTCCATATGGACCAGAGCATGACCTATCTGAAGAAGACATGATGTTTGTCGCACGGCGTGATATACCGTGTGGAAACTTGTCAAGCGTAACAAAGCCTAGTAAAGCGTTTCAATCCTTGATTAAAGCGTCTCAATTCGTTGGAAAGCTTGAGAGTCCATCATGAAAGTGTAACAAAGAGTGTCAGATATTGATGAAAGCGTCAGACCTCGTGTCAGATCTTCATGCCAGATCGTAGCAAATCTTGAGACATCTTAGCGAAGCGTGTCAAGTGGTAATAGACCATGAAGAAACTGGGGTCCCCGCATTGAACCAAGCTCTGTTAAGCTTTCCTACGCTTTGGGTCAAGCTTTGTTGAGCTTTGTTACGGTTTGTTAAGCTTTGATACGCTCTCGGCGCTTTAATCAATTCGTAACAGAGCACCCAAACTTTTTAAACAGTTAAAATATTTTTGGCGCTCTTGCCGATTATCCCGCTTTACTCCGAGCTTTTCTACGACCTATTACGACCCCGACGCTTTAATCAAGCTTTGTTACGCTTTGGTGCCGCCATCAAAGCGCCGTTGGTGTGAACGTAGCTTAACACCCAATCTCCATTTCAATACGAATGCATACATGTATACCTCACCATACACCCAATCTCCATTTCAACACGAATGCATACAAGCATACATGTATACCTTGCCATAACACCCATTCCCCATTTCAACACGAATGCATACATGTATACCTTGCCATAACACCCATTCCCCATTTCAACACGAATGCATACATGTATACCTCGCCATAACACCCATTCCAAATTTCAACACGAATGCATACATGTATACCTCGCCATAACACCCATTCCCAATTTCAACACGAATGCATACATGTATACCTCGCCATAACACCCATTCCAAATTTCAACACGAATGCATACATGTATACCTCGCCATAACACCCATTCCCAATTTCAACACGAATGCATTCATGAATACCTCGCCATAACACCCATTCCCAATTTCAACACGAATGCATACATGTTTACCTCGCCATAACACCCACTCTTGCATACAAGTATACCTCACCATACACCCAATCTCCATTTCAAAACGAGTAATGTCGTATACCTCGCCATGACTTCCCGTAGAAACAATTTTGCCGCATTTCTCACATTTGAGACAAGTTCTGTGCCAATCTTTACTTCGAGATGTCACCTTGTCAGCTGAAATAAAAAGTTATGAATATGGTATTATCATGCACATCATTAAAATCCCGCAGTCAACAGAGCTACCTACAGTACTACACACGAAATAAAAAACGGAAAATTACGCCAGTGTCAACTTTCGGTTGACACGAAAAAAATCAATTGGCAAAAAAATGGTATTCAAACTGTTAGTTTGACTTGATGTTGGCACACTTTGACACATTATAAGTTCAATTCACAAGCTAACGGAGCACCACATTTATGGCCCCGAAATGACTTATCCATCATCTAAACTCGAGTTTGTAGAAAGAAATTGAAACGTGGCCATTTTGCAGTCGAAGAAAAGTGCTTTATTTTTAGTCGGTAATCTCAATTATGAATGGTATTGCGGTATTACAAGCGCGGACGTTAGAGAACATTTTTTGCACAGCTTTTAAATGCTATTTCGATGAAAATACAGATAATAGGTAGTACAGAAAGTAGGTACATACGTAGTACCAATCTCTTGATTGGTTTATTCATCTTGATAAAGATATGGTGCCAGAGTTAAAATACAGTAAGAGTCACGATTGGCCTATGTAAATACGGTAATAAATTTAGGAATTCAAGACTTTTCACTGTAGAACGGAGTTTCCTTAACGAAAATTACAATTCCCGGCACCATAATAAAAGACGACTACAATAACACGGTTAGGGATAGGCGTAGCCCCCCCCCCCCATAACCAATAAAAATATAACCATGTGATAGAAGATGGCTTGTTAATGCCACAATCTCAACCCCCCCCCCCCTGACCGAAAACCGAAATTTCTTTTGGCGATTGCACCACCACCCTCCCCGACTGAAAGCTGGCTACGCCCCTGCTAGGTGTAGGAATTTTTAATTTCTACAAAATGTGAATAAACCACGAACTTCAAACGATGTTTAAAGTAACGGAATAATGTATTGCACTTACCGTGGTACACTTCTTTGTTGCATTTTGCACACTTGGACATATTGAACTTTTTCCTCTCCAAATTTTCATTTATACGGAGTAGTCACCTGGTCACTGGCTTATTGTGGATTTGTAAATTTATAACGGATTTATATAAACTCTTCTTGTAACTATAGTTTAAGGCCAATTTGGGAGATTTAAACAGATCCAATACTGCTGGTTGTATGTAATTTGCACAGGGGTTTATATTTGGCATACATACAAAATCATGTGTTTCACCATTATTAATAATTTCATGAAATACAGGGTGGGCCAAAGGTGTTAACGATTTTACAATCTTTAAATTCATTGTTATTGATATGATTCTTTCATATTTTTGAGATGACAAAGAATCCATGAAAGGGTTCACATGATCACTTGATCGATTATATGTAGATCTAAAAACATTGCTCTCGATGTACAGTATTACTTAATAATATGTTGCTGTTTGATGTTTGACTGTTGAATGTGTGTAAATGTTTATAGTGTTTATATTTACGTGCAAAATGTCACAACCGTCCAATTTTTTACAGACGCCGAACACCAATTGCCGAACGCCGTCACAGTCCACAAAAAAAACTCACTGCGCCAACTATTATCTATCTTTGCCTATATGTTTTTTTTACCAACAATATTCTTTAAACTGCTTGATGAATCTATTTTTGTCTGGTAGAACAATAGAAATGAATGTAAAATGTATTTTACAGAAATATGGAATTAACCCACGTCCTCTATTTGCAACTTAAGTGTACCCTCTTTCCCTTTTAAACGTGGTCACGTGGTAGGGTAGTGTGTATATACAAGTGTATCGTATTTAATAAGATGAAAAACTAATCGATAAAATGCTGGTATGATATCGTGCAATGCATCTCTAAATAAAGCCAATTGGTTGAAAAATTCTTCGTACCAGCATCATATTTGTAATATTGCAAACAGTCTGAACACACGATTAATTATCAATACCTTGAGATCATCCTTCAGAAATCCTATCGCTGGTGTAGGTGTTCCGACAACCGTGTTATTTGATGGTCGAGAAAAACATCTTATTCGAACAGAGATAATGATAAACCATACACGACCTGAACGAGGGTTGTTCTAAATGTCTTGAAAATTTTTGCTCTCATATTAACACTTTTTAAATTGTTGGCAGCATATTTCACATGGAAGAACTTTTGAACATTTGTTGTTCACTTTTGTAATGGGTACTTTTAAGGAGGCTAAAATGAGTCAAAATCATCCAATATTTTGAATTTAGGACCACATTATATGCATGCAATACAAATTTATTTATTGTTATATTACTATGAGCACATATTAGATTTGATTGATGTATACTGGACAGTGCCCCATTTCACACTTCTAAAATATTGGCCTTTGCAAGTAATGCACTTTTGCCTTTTGATCACCCAGTTATGGTAATTTTTTCCATCGTGACTCGCGGAGTCTGGCCTCTCAGGTTTTTAGTGTTTAGCCTCCTGGTTTGGAGTTGTCATTTAAGGGTCAGTCATCATTTTTAAATCATCATCTTCTGACACCTCATAATGTACATGTGTATACTCCTTGTATACATTCATCACGGTAACATGAGTTTGTGTGGCTGGGAGACCAAGTAAAGTATGAAAGGTCGCAACTGAACATTGACTTCCTATCAAGTTGGAGAATTGCAGCCATTTTGCAATTTCTTGACCATGACTGAGTTTGTTTTGGATCTATTGAACTGTTGCAATATAACATCACAATACTTAATCTCATCGTTTGTGCTAGGTGAACATCATATGCTTAATAAATGTAATGATGTCCTAAACATTTTAAAGAAAGAAGTATGAATAGAATATTGACCTTTTCATAATTAAAAAACTGGTACCTGCCCCGCCCATCCCTAACCCATGTAGCTTCCAGATCCGCCACTGACCACAACTGGCTAACAAAGATGACAAAACAATCCCAAATCTCAGGTGAACGTGTGCGACATCTATTAATTAAATTACCTGTAAAACACGCGTCTAAACTGCATTCCACATAAGAGAAGGATTGTCAACTTGAGGATAAACGTACGTCGGATGTGACCTTCTTTACAAAAACTATATAAAGAGGATATATAGAGATTATCCTATATGAGGTTCAGGATATTGGGATTATCCCGTGGCCAATATAATATATCTCCCCGAGGGCCGTAGGTCCTGTTTATCCCATACCGATCTTGGTCATCTGGTTCACATTGTTCAATTGGCCATCAGAAAATTTCCATTCAATCGTGGAAATATTTTAGAAGATTCATGTTCAGTTTTGTTTTCTTGGCCATGACCGAGTTCTTTCAGATATTCACCCAGATTTATTTTCTCGAATCTTTGATTATTATCTGGATGCTCATTCCCTTCTATCATCAAACAGATCGCGATTGTCTGCGTTTTTCCACTGTCGTTTACAGTTATTATGCGAACGTTACAAAATAAACCAATATGCGAACGGCGATTATGACATAGCGGGCAGATATACTATATCTGCCCGCTCGGAGCGGGACGTAAAGCTATCTGCCCGCTGATGAAAATATAAGTTTTTACAAACCTGCTTTATGTACCTATAACACGTCCAAGTATGGGATAAAAACAATTCCCTTATCCTTAGATAAATGTGATATACTTTTCTTAAGAACACTAGAAGAACACAAGGTTAGCCTACACTGTATGTCTACCAAATGAGACCTCCCACCGCAGAACACAGATCGCAGCACTATCAAAATGAGGGATTAAAATGTTTTCTTTATATTGAAACATCACTATGAAATGAACATTTTAATCCTCGCTGGCTTTTTAGCCCTTTTAATTCAAGACAATAGGCTCCAAATATATCACGGGGAATTTATAAAATATTTTGAGATTTTTTGTAAGGAATGGATCGGAAGATTAGTTTTGATTGCAATTTTTACCACCTATACGTTTTTATTTGACAATACAAAGACTTTTGCATTTCATGTTTTTATATATGACCTTGAATCAACGTCTGATATATGTCTTGTATTCAGCATGATCAAGCACAGAGTTTTGCGATCATTCCAGTTTTTATGACATCCTCCAGGTCATTAAACCTACGTTCACACCAACAGCGCTTTGATGGCGCTTTAAAGCGGCTTGTAAAGCGGTACCAAAGCGTAACAAAACTTGATTAAAGCGTCGGGGTCGTAATAGGTCGTAGAAAAGCTCGGAGTAAAGCGGGATATTCGGCAAGAGCGCCAAACATTTTTAAAGCTACGTTCACACCAACGGCGAATGCCACGCTTTAAATCGGCGAGCAAAGCGCTGTCATTTATGTTTACTTTTCCAAAAATATCACGATCTCCTAAGTAATGTTACGCTCTAATAAGCTCTGATACGCTCTGATTTCCCGACTTGTTACGGTTCCTCACGCTATGATCCCGCTTCGACCAGGCTTTGTTACGCTTAAAATCACGCTTTGATAAGCTTTGGTAAGCATTATTACGCTTTGGTGCGGTTATGACGCTTTAATCAGGCTCTGATACGATTGCCAAGCTCTGTTGTGCATTTTCGAGATTGCCTTTATCATGACGTTTTTGATCAAATGGCTGTATAAAGATGCAGTAGATCCATAAAACCATTGCATCTGTGACTCAAAAAGACGATGGCAGAACAACGAGATCCAGAATTTCCAGATGGACCAGATCATGACCTATCTGAAGAAGACATGATGTTTGTCGCACGGCGTAAAAGAGCGTGAGAAAGCGCGAGGAAGCTTGTCAAGGGTAACAAAGCGTTTCAATCCTTGATTAAAGCGTCTCAATTCGTTAAAAAGCTTGAGAGTCCTTCATGAAAGCGTAACAAAGAGTGTCAGATATTGATGAAAGCGTCTGACCTCGTGTCAGATCTTCATGCCAGATCGTAGCAAAGCTTGAGACATCTAAACGAAGCGTGTCAAGTGGTAACAGACCGTGAAGAGACTGGGGTCCCCGCTTTGAACCAAGCTCTGTTAAGCTTTCCTACGCTTTGGGTCAAGCTTTGCTGAGCTTTGTTACGGTTTGTTAAGCTTTGATACGCTCTCGGCGCTTCAATCAATTCGTAACGGAGCGCCCAAAATTTTTAAACAGTTTAAAAATTTTGGGCGCTCTTGCCGAACATCCCGCTTTACTTCGAGCTTTTCTACGACCTACTACTACCCCAACGCTTTAATCAAGCTTTGTTACGCTTTGGTGCCGCTTTACAAGTCCCTTTAAAGCGCCATGCTTAGGTGCCGCTATGCTCGCCGATTTAAAGCGTGGCATTCGCCGTTGTTGTGAACGTAGCTTTAGAGAAAGTGGGTCAGTTGTTTCACATATCATAGTAGCCAATTGCAAAACAACACAAGTCCCAATTCTGTATATTTATTCTCATTTCTTCACTTCTAAGATTAAAGTCTCTACATTTTGCATACGTATTCCCAGGAAAAATCCTATCATAGAATTTTATTGGTTTTAATTGTAATTTATTTGTTGAAAATAGAGAGACATTTGATTTTGATCGGTCTATCACCAAAATTTAGTGAAACAAAATGCAACATTTTGACGTTATTAATAGTAATCACTACTTTTGGAGTAATAACTCCAAAATAACCACATATTTTCTTATTCACCACAAGTGTAACTGTAACTGTTTTAGGTAAGTGAGACATTTTCGAGAAAAATGATATGCAGAAACATGATATTTTAAATAAAACGGGGCAACAGTGTCAAGATATAGGGAGAGAAAATATTCTAGCATAGTAAGAGCATTCAATATACAGTTAGGAAGAATAACACAGGCCTTGAGTTTATTGATTTTCTCCCTATATCATGACATGTATAAAACGGGGCCAAAAACGACCTTTTGAGCTTATTCCATTCTAATCAAATGAATGATGACATATTTGGTATCATCTTAATGCTTGTAACATGTGCTTCACTGTGGTATGTATAGTATGATCTCAGATGCTATAGTGTGACATCACAGTGGTACCAAACGACCTTAAATGGAAAAAGAAGCACCAAAATGCGAGAAAATAATGGTGAGACTCGAACATTCTTTTGCACATTCACTATTTGCCACAATCCATTGCAGGATCTGATGACTGGCAAAAAATAATTAGGATGATAGTTATTGTCAATAAGATTAGAGACACCATATTGTATCTGTCATTTATAACTTGAATTTTATTAAGTACGTAAAAATGTTGCATTTCTTGCAAAAAATGGAAAATTTTGATTATAGACCAATTAAAATCAAATCTTTCCCTATATTTTACAAATAAATTATACTCAAAACCAATAAAGTTCTAGGTTAGGATTTCTCAAAAAAATATGCATGCAAAATGTGTTGACTTTACTCATAAAAGTGAAGAAATGAGAGTAAATATACAGACTTGGAACTTGTATTGTCTCGGCTACTATGCACATGGCCTCTGTATTTTGAACCTTTCACTGGATTAGTTGTTAGATTAGCAATAGTTTTTTGGGCTATCCTGGAGGACATCATTTAAGGTTAAGCTGGTACGTTATGACAAATCCTATCAGCCCTATCCTATCACTCCTGTAAATCAGGATTTCCAAATGACCAGAAATGTGTGAAAACGACACACGTAATGAAGTTCACATAACATATTAGCATTCTTACCTGGTGAAAAATAAAAATGTCTCGGGCCACGATGTTTGTTTAATTGTTGTTAAATGTAATTACAAGTCAATCAGTCTAACAGTGAGATCACACCTGCGACCACTAAATGCAAATTAATTAAAAAAAGTTTTAAATTGACGATACCTTGAAACGCCGTGCCACTGACCGATGCTAATTTATTCATTATTAATCAATTGGTACAAGAGGCAGTGTAAAGAAAACTAGTATATAAGGGAAGCATTTGTTTCCGATTGAGTTAACTTCACGAGCACGCGAGCCCAATATATGAACAGTAAATTCAATGAACGAGTAGATCTGAAGGAGTACATATACATTATATGAATTAAGAACTAAAATAACACTATGTCTCTATCAGAAATTAATTCTTACATCTTGCAAATCCAAGGATCACAAAAGTTGAATAAAGATGAAAGTGGATTCACTTTATTCGACAAAAAACAAGAATTTTGTCAAAATGAAACTGAAGCTTTACACACACTGAAATGTCATAAGGATCACTTCATTTCTTCTTCTCCAATGGGAAACTATTGTCAGGCAGCCGCTGTCTCTCCAACCGACATAGGATCAGAAACAGCTAAGTACGGTTTAACCTTAATGTCTGCAACGTAATTTTTATAACATTAAAGTCCCCGTCTAAAGTTTGAAAATATTTTTTTATCATTCATTTACTATTTGTCAGGATTTAAAAAGTGATTTTAGAGATTTTTGAACAAAAAAATTTTTTTGAAAAAAAGTTGTGAGCATTTCATTTCTCAAATATTCAAATTTCCCGCCATTTTTCAAAAAAGTTGAAATTTCCTAATCATCAAATATTTCTTAATGCATTTCAAAAAAGATTATATTTTTAACACCAATGCAAAGATTGAACAAAAGACACACTATTTCAATAATAAAATGTCATATTTAATGGGCCACTTCAATGTTTTAGCTTATCAAAAATATTTTGAAACATTAGTGATGTCACTAAGGTAACAAAAACTTTTTGAAAAAAATTGAATTTTTTTTTTCGATGTCAATCTTTTCTAAATATGTTAGACTTTCATAAAAAACCAATGTTGATTGTCTAACCAGGTTAAAAGGAAGAATAAATTATGTTTTAGATATCATTGTACCATTGGTTTCTATGAGAACTAAAATTTTGAAATGCATTTTTCTCAGAACCATTTTCATGCACTGATAAGTTCATTTCTCGCTTGTTTATCAACCGATTTTCTTAATTTTTTCGGCAAAAAACATGGGAGGATGTATGCTATGCATTGGTATGAATTATGGCTAATTAGAAGATATGAGTGACCTCTAAAAGTTGGTTTTAAATAAATCCACAAATTTTGGAACAAAAAGTCTATCAAAAAACACTTTTTGTAATTAAAAAAAAAAGTTCCACATATCACACTTTGATAACATTGGGTAAGACTACAATATAAGCCAAAGTGGTTTAAACTTTACATGGGGCCTTTAAGACTCGAGTGGGATCATTTGGACCCCCACCTCCCTCCCTGGCCAGGGCGGTTTTCATAACTTGTCCGATTTCAGTAATGTTGGTATTGTTGATAACCTTATTCAATTACGTCTTCAGAAATTCGTTTTAAGAATAGGTCAACAAAGGTCCAATCGAGGTCAACGTAATCTAGTGGTAAACATTTTTTGTCAGTCCGTGATAAATTTTCAATTTTTCGAAATAAATCTTTGGGTGCCAAAAATTGCTTCGAATCTATTATCTTTCAACTGAAATAAAAATCAAGGTAAACAACTAAACTTTTACGCTTTCAATGATAGCAGGTATCGCGAAGTAGTAGTATTCCAATATAATTTTCGGACCATAATTTTGCCTAGCAAGCCCGGGTGTAGGAGAATGACGTAAAGATTTAATGTAGGATTGATCTGGGAAGTGTATGTCTAGGTTGATAGTTATAGATTAGAACGAAAATGAAATTAAAGTCTTTCTCCATTCTAAACTAACAAGCATTTTTATCACATGATAAGTCACTCACTTAACATTAAATCTCTTCTGGGAAGTAGAGGTTTCTTTGAAAATATGTCCAGGGCGTTGAGACATAGGTTGAAACGAAAATGAAAAGAACATATCCATTTACAGGCCCAGTGTTTAAGATAACTTGCGAAGACAAGCTAACCTTGTATTCGCAAATGCAAATATCGGCTAGCGACTACCGGATTAACTTCTATTTTATGCCCAACTCGTTTATATATGAATTGAATAGTGCCAGGTACTATTCATATTTAAATGAGTTGCTGATAAAATAGTAGGTTAATCCGATAGCCGACAGGTGTTAGTTGCATTCGCGAATACAAGGTTAGTCGCAAGGGAGAGGAAGTTATTTATATATTAGACAACCCCTTTGCGATTTTAATACTCGTGTGATGATCAATAATGTTGGTTATTGTACTTATTCAATGACCGCTTCTGAAATATTTATTGGGTTATATGTTATAAACCAAAAGAACCCAATAATAAGGTCTGTACTTATTAACGATTAATATTGTAAGTATAAAAGATTAATCCACTTTCCGGTTATCTCAAAATGTGCTTGGAACTATACCATTTGACTTATATGGGACATCCACCCCAAGAGAATATCCTAGGAATTAAAGCATGTGAATAGTTTACACAATTTGAGAAATTGTTGACATACATGAAACCTATTTGAAACAGCATTTATATTATTCAAAAGCGTTCGTAATCAATGATTCCAAGCCTTCTGAAGTTTGAAAAATAAAAAGTACCTGGGTGTTAATCCATAGATAATCCATAAAAAGAAATATTTTGGGGACTACATGGTGCAATTTTAGAGTCAATAAAATATAGAGTGTATTGATGTATTGATCAATTTAGATAAAAAAAAAACACAAGCGACATGCATAAAAAATCCTCCAATTCATTCTACAAACAACTCGCGGTCCTTTTTGTGATACTCCCTAGAACTGCTTGTTGTGAATTGAACAAATATTCATTTATGTCCTAAAGCTAAACATTTGTTAAGAACCATTGCAATTCGGAGGGCATTTTCTTTTTTGTAATTTACTCACGCCCGAACGCATGTGCAGTTTTATACATTTGAGGGTACTCAATTGCGTGTCATTGTGAAGCAATAGTTGCAAAGATGCATTATAATTCAAGTCTAACTTTTTTTATAGAGATATCCTGTCCAAAGGAGGTTCAGCAGTTGATGCGTGTATAGCAGCTCTGCTTTGTAACGCAGTAGCAAATCCCCAATACAGTGGACTCGGTGGAGGCTTGTTTATGACCATATACAAAAGGTACACTTATAATTCAAAAAAGGTTAAACTTAGTTGACTTTAGTAGGACAGCTCAATGAAACCTTTGTCCATATGTCACTTTTTTAACCAATTTGAAATCGTAAGTACTAGTTCTACACTTTGTTATTTGCATGAGGTGGTAGGCCGGCTATAAAAGGCAGGAATGCTTCCTCGTCCCTGCGTCCATATTAAGTTTTATCCGTTTCAAACCCAGGGGTTTCAACTTTCTTCTTTGTGTTGGGATTAAATATGGTTTTACAAAATAAGATGATTTGATCAGATTAAAGACCAACCTCATGTTTCTTTTATCTTATCCGTCTTCAATTGGCATACCTTAATTGACGCTTCAATGAAAAAATATCGTGGGAAACGCTATGCCCAGTTTCAGAAACTGATGACCTGAAGGTTACCTGAATATGTTTACTTACAATCAGCATTGGTTTGAAAAAATAGTTTGCTTTTGTTATAGAATACTATATGTAAAATCGTAGCCTGTATTGTATTGTATTGTATTGTAAAATAGAGATCATTTTAAATGTTTTTTAGTTCCAGCATGGGCTCTATCAGGTGGTAGAGCCCATGGTTCCAGGTACAATTTATGAAATTACTTGAGGTATCTAACGATCCCCAAGTTATTCTTGATCCCTGGACACCCTGCAAGTTTAGACTTTTCTTAAGATGACGATGAATGAGTGTTCTATAGTTTTGTCAATAATCATATAATAAATATAAACATATAATTAGAAAATGTAAATGAAACACATATTCATATCAAGTTGTCTAACGACTAGTTCAATGTATCTAACTATTACTCGATCAGTTGTGCTGGATTTTAAAATTAGATTTAGATCACGTATGATAACGACAGATAGTGGGTATTCAATTGGACGACATTTATTATTGTGATGCCCATGACATCAATCTGACAAAATAGTTATGTAATTTGATACCAAGCATTGCTATATTCATAAAACAACTGAGAATACAATAAAAGAAGAAAACAGTATTACTCATATATTTCAGGAACTCCAAAAAAGTAACGATCATAGATGCAAGAGAGACGGCACCTTCTGGCTCAACTGAACATATGTTCATAAATTCAGAGAAGATGAAACCGTCAATTTTGGGTAAGAGGCTTTACATTGTGCATTTCCGGTAGCACAAAAAGCTGAGCCATCTGCGCTCAGTAATTTCATTATAATCGAAGGTCATGGTGCTAGAACGGACATACTGACTGTCTTATCACAGTTTTCCAGCAGCTGAAAGCTTAAATTAAGACCTCTATGTTTAATATAATGAATTCACCTATCCATACGGGCATCAAAGATTATATTTCCGATATAACATTATAGTCTAATAATAATTCGAACATGGCTGTATTCACGCCTTCTATAAACTGTACACAAAGTCAACATTTCACCCGGGGTATATTCGCGAACAAGACCCCTGGTAATACGTGTAATGTGTGACGTCATAACGGCGGGCCGTAGTAATGGCGGACCATAATGAATATTCGAAACATTTTGGTGAGTTTTCATGTTCGAATCGTAATATAGACCTCAGAGCAGGTATAATATCGTCGAATACACCCCTTAGGACTAGGCACGAAAGCTTTCGAAAATTATGGTTTTAAGGTACGTGTAACAGAATTACTTTTACTAAACTAACCAAAATTGACCTCCCTTATCGTATATGTAAGTATGCAGTGAACGGCAAAAATTAGCAAAAAATGAAAAGTGCTCTGATATTCGAATGGGTTTTACCGTTTAACAATCGAAAACGGAGAATAAAAACATTACATTGTATAATACACCAATTTTTAGGTGGGTTGGCTATCGCAGTACCTGGTGACGTGAAAGGTATGTGGGAGGCTCACAAACTATTTGGAAAACTTCCTTGGGAGGACTTATTTCAACCTGCAATTAGTCTTGCAGAGAAGGGTGCTTCTTTCAACGAACAGGCTTCAAAGTGGGCAAAAATCGTTAACGGTGAACAACCAGAGTCTTACAATGAAGGTGCTGAAAATTTCCTGGATCTCTTTGAGGAACTGAGGTATTCAAAATATAATATTAATTATTATATCACTATCTAGCTAGCGACAGTATGATTGGTCAAAACTGGGTCACATGTCGTGGGATATCTGGCGATATTCAATGGCAATGCTAATCAGATAAGACAACCGTGAGATATCTAGCGATATCCCACGCTCCCGGGAATTTTCAAAGAATTTGTTTTCGTTCAGTGTAAATAATTTAGTTCAGTTTAAGTCAAAATGGCAGACGAACCGAGTAGATTCGTAAAAATATCTGAAGACTTAATGACTTAATAATATTAGGGATGTTTAGCTAGACAGTGATATAATAAAACAAATATTTCACTCTATTTTCGGTGAATACCTGTAGCACTTTCACAAGGTGATATTCCACTTGCCCTTCGGGCTTCGTGGAATATCACTTGTGAAAGATGTACAGGTATTCACCTCAATAGAGTGAAATATTTGTTCAATATATGATAAGATACGCTCTGATGATATTATGTAGTATTATATGCTTATTTAAAAGTGTAGTATACTCACAATATTTTGTTATCAGGTCAATGGTTACTAAAGAGGGAAGTAACGAGCTGCTTCAAATAGGAGACACACAAAAGCGTCCTAAACTTGCTGAAACGTTAAAAACTATTGCAAGGGAAGGTGGAGATGCTTTTTATGAAGGCTCTCTAACTGGTACCATTGTTGACGAAATAAGGAGCTCTGGTAAGTTCACTACATATAATGATTTCGCTTTAGTTTTAGATAAATGCATTATTTATGCTTTTATTTAATTGCATATTTATAAGCTTGTTAATCAACCGTATTTTTCACAATTTATCAAACCCTTTGATACTTTCAGGAGGTATTATAACTGCGGATGATTTAAATAATTATAAAGTGAAAGTAAAAGAGGCGTTCACAATTACCCTTCAAGATGGAACAGTTCTCGCAGGACCACCTCCTCCAGCAAGTTCTGCAGTTGTGCAATATATTCTAGCTTTGTTGGACGGTAAATGACGCTACAAATCCATTGTAGTACTCTAGTCTCTGATTATGACATCATGATTGTCATGGTAACACATCGGTGAAGAAATATTCAGAATTATAGTGCCCCTTTAAGAGAATACAATTTTGACTAAATTAATTAACATTTTATTAAACACATAGATTTTAAATCTTGTTGTGCCACCTCTTGTTCAATAACATACAAATGAACCGTTTCCTTGTACTCTTGTACTCATAAACATAAACATAAACATATAGACCAAATTGATGTAATGCTATACCTTATATTATTATAGGATTTGATTTGGAATTCAGCACCATTGATGAAGAAATTGAGAGTTATCACAAAATAGCGGAGTCTATTAAAATGGGCTTTGCTAGAAGAACCTGTCTTGGCGATTTAGACTGCCAAGTAGACTCTGCACTGAGTGAGGTAATGAAGGGAGGGGGTGAAGTGATGGATGAAGCGTGGATTAAACATGTTCTAAACCCCCTATCACACCAAACTAGTTCTTACCCGTTCTTGCCAGTCCTACGAAAACGTCGTAAAACGGGCTCAATCTGGCTGTGGTCGGGAAATATGTCTAAAATAATAAGCTACTTCAGTCATAAACAGCCTTCAATACGTTCATCTCATTCGCAGTTCGTTCAGGTCGCACCACGTCGGTGTGCAACGTTGTATAACGCGCCCCTTAGTCAAGAAGGTCATCATGACCTGATTACAGAACGGTATGGTCGCCATCGAATTTTGAATCATTTCAAAATTCTAACCCCCCTATCACACCAAACTAGTTCTTACCCGTTCTTGCCAGTCCTACGAAAACGTCGTAAAACGGGCTCAATCTGGCTCTGGTCGGGAAATATGTCTGAAATAATTAGCTTCTTCGTTCTTAAACAGTCTTCAATACGTCCATCTCGTTCGCAGTTCCTTCAGGTCGCACCACGTCGGTGTGCAACGTCGTAGAACGCGTCCCTTAGTCTAGAAGGTCAACATGACCTGATTACAGGACGGCATGGTCGCCATCGAATTTTGAATCGATTCAAAATTCTAAAATCACATTCCCGTCTGAGAACGTTCATAAAGTTCGTAAATAGACCTTAAAAACTTGCAGCTACGTTCATTCCGTTCGCACACAGTTTAAAACCAGTTTTGAAGAACGCAGTGGCAACTTGTTTGGTGTGATAGCTATATTTTTGCTAACTCGTTCATAAGCAGTCTTTAATACGTTCTTAATCCGTTTAAACCCATTTGCAATTAGGTCTACCTCGTTCTCAATGCGTCCTCAGACAGTTCAACTCGTTGTAAGACGTCCCTAGTAGGATTGAAGCACGACGGTTCCGTTTGTAGTACGTCCAGTTCGTCGTTAGTACGTTGTCACTCGTTCTAATTGTAGAACGTGACGACCACGAGAGCATTTTGAGCATGTTCTAAGTTCTAGAGGACCTACCCGTTCAAGTGCGTTCGATAAAGTTTGTAAATAGACCCCAAACGGTTCTAAGTACGTCCAGTCCGTTCGTACACAGTTGAAGCCCGTTTTCGAGAACGTAGTGAGAACTAGTTTGGTGTGATCGTAGGGTTAGCAATCTTATCAAAGAGTGTGCCAATTCTTCCTAACAAAACTTTTTCTCTGAAAACGAATCGAGATACCTGATAAAAATATAAAAGATTGAAAATACAGAATTTCCAGGATTAGAAATTATTTATTTTATATATAAAATGAAAACAGTACTTTCATTAGGCAAATGCTGTATCCTGATATTGTTTTGACCAATAGCTTGTAGATCGTATGAGTGACCCTGACCACATTGATTCTATCAGGTCAAAGCTGTCGGACAGAACATTCCCTGCGTCCCACTACAGTCCCTATAGCTTAAAGACAGACGGTGGAACAGCGCAGATTAGCATTCTAGCACCCAACGGAGATGCAGTTTCTTTAAGTTCGTCACTAAATTTTGGGTAAGAGCGCGATACCTTTGGGTTGTCAGTCGATTTCCCTTGATCGTTGTAAGTAAATCACTTTTTGGTCATATTGGTCAAACAAAATTATACCAATCTGTACTATTACATCCAGGTATGGGTCTTTGGTGAAAGGAAAAACAACTGGGATCATCTACAACAATGCAATGGACGACTTCAGTACACCGGGGGTCACTAACGAATGGGGACTATGTGCGTCACCCTACAACTACATCGTGCCTGGGAAACGAATGCAATCGTCAATGGCGCCAATTATAGCGATAGATGGCTCTGGCGATGTAGTGCTGGTCCAAGGCTGTGCTGGAGGTCCTAAAATCATACCATCATCTGTTATGGTAAGCTTATATATCATAATGTTCTGAGACATTAAAGTTTTCCCATTTAGAATCGATTCCCAAGAACACTTAGAGATTTAAATAAATGCTGTCATCATTCTCGTTACACTGGTTTTATCCTATTTTAAAATTAAATAGATTTTTGATGAGTTTACTTCTTGTTCTAGGCCGCTTTCCAAGTTTTAAAGCACAAGAAGACAATTAAAGAGGCGCTTGATTTCCCAAGAATCCACCATCAACTAGATCCAGATGTACTTTTAGTTGAGGAAGGAATATCTGAAGTAAGATAACGTTGCTACGTTCAACTAGTATACTACATTTAGTATTATGTTTGTATAATTTGTGTTCCTTAGTAAGATGAACATATACTTGAAGCACATTAAACATAAACAGAAAGAGGTATACGCTTTGTTTATGTTTACTTATTCATGTTCTTGAGCCTATGATATTAGAATTGTTCACAAGATATTGCACTACATTCTGTGATTTGACAGATATAGGTCTAGTAAATTTCCTTCATAGTTTACCACATTATAATATAATAACTATTTATTAAATGTGATTTACATTGTAGTGTAGGTACAGTACGATTTTGATTACTGATTCATCACTGCATACATCTTGTTGTAATATGGAAGAAAATTAGGATAACTGGTTTCTTTCAGGCTGTCATAGAGGGCTTAAGGGAGAAAGGTCACGTTTGTGAGAAAGTAAAAGAAATAGCATCTGCCGTCCAAGCAATTCATAGAAAGGGTGATAGCAAGATAACTGCTAATAGTGATTATAGACGGGTCGGAGGTGGCGCTTGCGGATTTTGACAGGCTAATTTAATTATGCCGGTGTGAAAGAAATTATGGTCCCCTGGGGATTATGGTCCCCCTTCTTAAAGGCCCTTACTGGCCCTGATTGTGGAAACGATAATAAGGGAAAGAGTTGTATTTAGGTCACCATAAAAATCAATCGAAAGTAGGACCATAATTTGATAGGACCTCCTACCCTTTTACACCGGAATAGGATAACATATCGGGGGGGGGGCTGTTGACAGTGACCCTTTCCCTACAATCTGACTTTGACTATCGATTTAATAGAGGGTTTCTAATTTTCTATATAAATCTCGTTGAAGTCTCGTTTTAGTGAGATTTTAGGAGATCGGCGTTTTAACCATTAAAGATCAACAAGTGCATGCTGCTATTTCATATATGGATATGCACCGATATGACAGTATTTGTCAATTGTTGTCAAGGATAATGTGTGCCTGCATACATAGTATTATTACTGGACTGAATATATATTGGTTTCGCACTTATCTTATGCAGAGATATATTTCCACGGTACGATATTAAAGATAAGCACGTATTGTAAATAATTTATTGTTAATAAATTCTGAATATATTTTACAAGGTTATAATAATTTCTTCCATGTCACCATGCAGGATAAGTCGGTTACGCTTTTTCTAAGAAGGTTCATTGTTTAGGAATGAGCTTGAAAAATGATTAGGATACCCAAATGATTCCTTGGTTAGTGGTCTCGTCCTAATCTATCCAAAAGATCAAATATAATTTCTCCAGAGCAGAAGCTCAATAATTGCTTGTTCGAGCACGTAGGTTATCGCAAACAATTTCAGAAGGTTATATCTTGTATTATGACTATTTTCTGACAATGAAGACAAGTTTATCTTTTAGATCTCAAAGAAAATTATATACAGAAATAATCAAGTCAAACAAACTCGGAGATATTTAACTAGCAATCAACCCATCAACACACTTTTTCAAAAATGTTGACCCCATTTTCACCAAAAATGCAATCATTTTTACAATGTTTAATGCATTACTATTATTTATTTTGATGTATCAAATAGTTCTTGAAAAAAAACTTAATTGCTTTAAGATAAGTGTTCCCCATGTTATTTCACCATTGAAAAATCTCACGCTTTCCATTGGTTTCAGTTCATTTTGGTCATCCAAATTCACTATCTTTAAAGCAATCAACTTTTCCTTTTAGGAAATCGAACATGTCTTTAAGCACATTCTAATTATGCATTCAACAATGTAATAAAATGTTGCATTATTGGTGAAAATTAGGTTAACATTTTTGAAAAAGTATGTTGATTGGTCCATTGCCCCTTTAATATCATTTAGGCCTGATTAATTAAATTATCATTATTTATACTTTTCTTGAAGATAATGAATGGATCTAAAAGATAAACCCATGTTCATGATCAGAAAATATTCATTATTCAAGTTAGAATCGTTTGCGATGACCAACGTGCTCCTTTCTTGTTAGCTGGTAGAAAATATTCCTCCGTTTTCAGGCGCTGGCGGGACGGCGGTGAAAGTTGAGCCATTTTTAGTCGGATGTGCTGCTTCTTGGAAATCATTGATCATAAATTAATCATCATCCGGTACAGGTTTGATGTATATTGTGTTTTGGCTTCCGAATACACTTGCTTTTTGCAAGAATATTAGCAAAAAATTCAAGTTGATACCCAACTCGGCCTAATTCATAAAGACACGCGAATTCGAACTCAACAAGACATTGTTGTGCAAAATGTCACCATCTTCCATTTGTTACAGAACGCTGACACCAACCGAGGCCACAATAGTGGACATTACTTATTGTGGTGACATGAAAATGACTATATTGGTTCCTCATCGCGATCGTGATACCCGAACCGAGCATTTTCTGCAAGCACGGTCTACATAGGGAATTGTGGAAAAGAACAATACCCACTTGCGGATTTGCCCCCTCCCGCCTTGGGTGGGCCAATAAAGAAAATTGGGCCTGGGCCCAAAATATTTTAGGGGCCCAATTACTGGGCCGTTTTGGGCATTACTGGACTTTTTAAGACCTTATTTTTAAACTTTAGGCCAGATAATCAAAAATGGGCCAAAAATTGTCAAAATTTCACTTTTTAGTTTTAGGGGTCAAAATGTTTTTGAAGACTTGAAATATGCCCCCCCCCCCTCCTCTCCCTTTATTGGTTCCCAGATTCGCCCCTGATACCAATACCAAGAATAAAATAGTGCCTCGACTAACAACCAGCATATGATGATTTTTCCAATACCAGTATTTATGCTTCCTGTTTATTATTATCTCAAACCTTCAGATGCAGGTGGAGGCAGATCAAATCTGCTTGAACCCCTTCCTATGATAAAGGGTATGCTTGGTACATACGAATTGATGAACCTTGCCTTCTTCCAAGGCCACTATATCGTTCGTCCAAAGATAAATCCCTGCATGTTTTTTACTGCTGTATACGGGTTATGTCGTAACGTAATCATACAATTTGAAATCGAATGCCATTTTTCCACATCACAATTTGAAATGCGAGTTTTGGTTTTATTACCCATAGCCGTAGGGGGGTCAGGGTTCCCCAAAAATATTTGTGGAAAAATTCATTGCAATAACCAGAAACATTAATTCAATTTTTATGACCAGTAAATAAAAACAAAATAAAGTTGTACACCTCGCTCCAAAAGTTTGGCAACCTTAGGCACGGGTTGGGATTGTCTAATTTTGGGAAGAGTCCGGATCATCATGACACCATGCAAAGAAATAACAATACTTGTGCACAATTTATTTTCTAACTTAAAAGCTGCTTCATCTCCAGTGAAATAAACCAACTGTCTTAAAGTACTAACAAATTGATTTAGTTTTGCAATAATTCGATTTATTCTCTAAATCTTTTTCAAGCAACTGTTCCTATTTTAAATCAATTTGTTTTGTTTTAACATGAAATTTGTTTGTTTTGTTTTTAACATAATAACAACTACTTATTGTCTTAATACTGATGAAAACACATTTTCTTTCAAATCTGTGCGCCTCCGTTTTGTTTTATTTCAAACAGAAAATTCTTGCCCGGAGCAAATATCAAATAATAGAAACATTTTAAAATGAGTTATTATAAAAAGCACATTGTATCATTTATATATGTATCATTTATAAACACAAGCATTTGATCGAATGGGTATAGTATTTATTATCCATCACTTCGATTTCTTTTATATTAAAAATTTGTGGAATTAAAATGCGAAATTATATTAAAACATATTATACGATTACAGTTAAGACAAACGCAAGCTTCGGTGTCTACAATCAGCTTCTATCTTTAAAAACATTCCGATGTGACTGCTATACTCAGGCCGTAGCCAAGATTTCTCATAAAGGAGTTCTACTTTTGCTAAACCATGCTCCTTATTTCACATGTACACCTCCATTTACAGGTTGACCCAGAAAAATACCCTCTCAATTTGGCATAACTCAAATACATATTTTAAAATCTATCTGCGTAGATAGATTGATCAATGGGTGTACTTATGTTGCATCTATGATTTCAAGTATTAGAATGATCACATTTTCCATCCAGGTATAGTTTAGTGATAATGTCCAAAAATGTTAAAAATGCAATTTTCTGAAATTGAGATTTCTGTCTTAGCCATTATTTGAGCCATTTCTGGATTGCTTTCATACATATTACCAATAGTATGTAAAATCTACCCTTAAGTCGAAAGTCTTGTCAAATGTGATGAACTGACTGCTTATTGGATAAATTCCAATGATTCATGCATTGAACTCTCTATCTACACAAAAAATGGTTTTCTTATTTTCAATTCAAAGAAAGAACAAATGGGTATTTTCAACACTATGTGTTCTTTGTTGTAAGGCATTGCAATTTATAAAAGGTTTAATTTTAGAGCCTACGGAGTACAGTAGATATCGTGTTATTTCAATTTGGTCTTTTTGGAATTTCAGCCCATGTTTCATTTTATTAAAATAGTAATTATCATCTGTCACTTCTATCGTCAGATAGTATTCGTGTAGCAATAAATACTTTTTTAAATAGATATTACATTCTTCGAAATATTCTTTAATCCAGTAACAAACTGTTCATACGAACACTCCTCTATTATAAAATGAAATACCAAATAAAAATCTTTTGATTTGAAATCTTTTCGAAAAATCATTATCTCAGTATTAAAGTGTGGGAATCGCATGTTTCAGAGTTTTACATATCTTTGTGTGAACTTTAAGTTTAACTCAATGAATTAGGAATGAGGATTTCTCCCTAAAATAGCCCATGTTTCATCTTAGATATGTTAGGATTTGCCCTTAAACTAAGCTCAATGTATGTTAACTCTTGATTTGGATTTCATTAAACAAATGTTATATTAAAATGTATGATATTGCCTTCAAATTTCAGGATATCTATTCAGTAAGAGATTCACCAAAACTATTTTAACATACAAATTCAATTTGTCTAACTTTTTCAAATTCAATTGTACTTTGCGAAAAAAGTGAGGTATCGGACATGATGTCAATTTATTTTTTCCAGCCCTAAAAAACAATTTTTTCTTTACACTAAGAATTCCAACATTAGGAGGCTTAACACTCAATAAGGGAGTTACGGTTGACACACCTTTGGAGGGGGTGTAAATTGTATGTAAGAAAAATAAAAAATGGTTTTATGGGAGGAACCCCAATGAAGGGGGAGATTTGTGGATAATATAAAAAATGGAACCCCTGGTCACCAAATCCAGCTGGCTACGCCACTGTTACCTTACCCAAAATTCCAAAACACGTACACATGAAGTGATCAATGTATGTAAGTTCACATCTTCTGGATCGCTCGCTTAGAATTTACAGCCAGTTACTAATGTCAGACAATAACGACATTTCGTCCAGTTTTCGAATATCGGGATTTTTCTTGGAGCCGTTTATTTTAAAAATTGGCTAGAGACTCGAGTAACATGAACCAGCAAATGAGGATTTTTCCAATACCAGTATAATTTATGCTTCCTATTTATTATCATCTCAAACCTTCAGATACAGATGGAGACAGATCACATCTGCTTGGACCACACCCTATAAAAACTGGTATACTTGGAAAGTTGTTAATCTAATATTTGTACACAAGTATGCATCTGCCGCATCATAAAGATTCATAGTTTACCTCATGCACTATGCCATTGCTCCTGTGGTTTTAACTAACAAACAAATACTAATTAAATTCGAGGGATTGTTAATAAGTGAATAAGCACACTACATGCATCTTCAAGTTATTAAATTTACAGAAGTAAACGACCACCTCGCATTGCAAATGATTAAATACAAGATGTACCAAAATAAAGCACATATTCAAGTTTTATTGCCAACATGGGTATTTTAGATCAGAACTCAGAAACTTTTTCAGGATAATATGAATGCAGTTATAAGTCACACTACATTCTTTTACGTTTAATTTCTATTTGTCTAATTTTGATGCTTTCATGATTTTATGAATGTATAAACTATAACGATGAGTTGCATATCTTGATCGGGGATATGACTGAAAAGTTTATAATAAAACTATATTTGTATATTTAGGCTGCATTTTTGTATATGCTTTTTTGACTGCGAGCAAGATTTAATTTGCAAGATCGTAGTTATGCAACAATTGTATGTGCGAAATACCGCTGTCTAAAACAATTGACACAACCGTATCAATTTCACTTGAACCGCGGTCAAAAAAGCATATACAAAATACAGCCTCAGTATCAGAGTAACATGCAACTTCCCTTTCAAACGAATTAAACTTCCACGAAACTGAGAAATATGCCAATACCAAATTTTAGCTTATTTATAAAATATTATTACCTTACAAAATAGTTATACATAGCCTATACGATATTTACCACTTTATTCGACATTATATTGTCTATATTGATATGTGAGCAAATTTTGAATGTAAAGCTGTACTAATTTTCTTGACCACCCTGTATTATTTGAATGTTTAAAATGTTAAATTTGATTTGCAATATGTTGATGCATATGGTTCATGTTTGAAACTACATGTACTTAACCATGAATAGTGAATACGCATCTTTAATCGATTATTCGTTTAAATGCAGCGTCTAAAGAGGGTTGTGATTGACCAAGCAAAATATTTTAACTGGTTCATGTCTTCAGGGAATACTACTCGTAGTGTAAAATCACAAGGATCAAAGACATTGAATGAAAATGTAACTAAATGTATTGTATCCGGCAAAAGAGAAGAATTGTACCAAAATTTGAATTCTGGTTTTATTTCTTCTTCTTCATTGGGAATATATCACCAGGCGGCTGTCGTAACTACAGCAGATAAAGCGTCTCAAGTAGCAACGTAAGTAGATGTATATTGAAATGTATTGAATCTCAGCTCATTTAAATATTAAAATGTAAATTTACTGCATTGTATCAAGTACATATAAAACATGTTTTATATGTCTCTGATTGTATATACGTACACTCTAATTCTCAAATATTGGAAAGTTATAAACCACTGGTGATCCACTCGATTACGCTGGTTACCGAAACGGTTCGTTTTGGTAACAAAATGTCTGAACGTCGAAGGTATGATTTTTCTTATTTCCTCATTTCACGCGTTGTAGGTAGAATCCCAACGACATTTATTTTCACAAACGTGTATCAGTATCATATGTTTTAGAAAATTCACATGTTTGCGAAAAAAATAGCTCAGAAGACAACAGAATCGTCGATTTAATTCCTCACTTAAGTTACATAAACGGTATTGACTAAAAGTGCAGATCTTAACTGTTTTTCGAAAAACCGTTTCTGTAACTTAAGTGAGGAATTAAATCGACGATTCTGTTGTCTTAGCTTGTGAACTATGTGTTCGCAAATATGTACATTTTCTTAAACATATGATACTGTTATAGGTTTGTGATAAGAATGTCATGGGAATTCTGCCTACAACGTGTGAAATAAGGAAAAAAGAAAAATCGTACCTTCGATGTTCCGACATTTTGTTACCAAAACGAACCGTTTCGGTAACCAGCGTAATCGAGTGGATCACCAGTGTAAACGAAAGCTAAGTACATGGCCTCCTACGAACCACGAACAAAAATCTAACGCACCGGTCACACTTGTCCCTGTTATAAGCCTCCTTTTGTATTTCTAATTGTGATTAAATGATTGTAGAGACATCTTGATTAAAGGAGGCTCGGCAACAGATGCAGCAATAGCCGCCCTATTATGTAACGGAGTGATACATCCTCAGTATAACGGGCTGGGTGGAGGAATGTTTATGACCATATACGAAAGGTACAATTTATGGTTAATTCATTGAAACCATAATTGGAGAGAACTGGTATAGATACAAAAACTGTACATGTAAAGCAGGGAATTTGTTAAAGGTTTTTTAATTTCCTAATTGGTGTCGATGTTATTTGCACGTACGTATCACTCATTCTATACATGGTTTACATCTCAGCTTTGCAAGGACCTTGATTATTAGTTGAGGGATAATGATTTTTTAAACTGTAAAAACATTTGAAAAATTTAGTGGAAAAATGTACTGCTCCTACAAAATATTTTATTGTTTTAAGGGACTCTCAAAAAGTTACAATTTTAGATGCCAGAGAAGCGGCACCTTCCGATTCTACAGAACACATGTTCCAAGATGCACATGACCCACTTGCTTCCCAAATAGGTAGAAACATTTTCATACAGCCACGTGTCCCTGTTTGCCCCTGATTATTAATGCTCTAATTAATACAAAGTTGGCGTGGTTATAAACTGTTGTTTCTGCGTATTTATCAAAGCACAACCACGTTCAGTTTAGAAATAATATTTGAAATCGAGCCATCTACGTGCCGATCATACTTTCTACCCTTGGACCACTGAGTCATTCACAAGCGCTTTGAAAATTAATGGATTAGGATTAATTAAACAAGCCCTGGACTCATTGAATTATACCATGAAGGTGTTGTTTCCATTTTTTTCATGTAAAGTTTAGAAAACAACGCCTGGGTGGAATGAAGCGGTTCGTCTTGAGCAAAATATTTTCTACAAAATCACTAAATAACATATTTAGATGAAACTTTTGCAAGGGTCAAGTATTGGCAAAGCATCAATTTGCAATCTCATCACCTTAACAACCATATACAACAAATGCCTCATGATCATTTCATGCACTGCTGTCATGTAAAAATACTGATTGGCTGGAATCTCACACACCTTACCTATCCATGTGTGAATATCATTTTAAACGCTCTAATTCAGTAGTGACGTCATATTCTGAATTAAGATATAAAATTGTCGCCGACAATCCAATCAATCGAAGAAACTGTCTTTATAATGACACATTTATCGTGAGTATTTGTACACAAGATTTGTCCCATTTGTTCACCATAGTATGTTATTTCATCACAGCTCAAAATCTTACAGTTGACCCCGGAACAACCTAAGATTGCGTTCTAAGGCGATGTGCAGGTTTAATTCCCACTTCACCTGCATTTGTTACTAACCCGCACAAAACGATGCGGGAATTGATATAGCTTAACACCCATAGAAAAATGATTTCTTCTAATTTGCTTGTATAAATTATTAGCTGTACGTACACATTGGCCTGAGCTTTAACTATATAATATATTGAACTTTTGAAAACGGAAAGACACTTTCTCTTACTTTTACTTTTCATGATACTTTATCCTGTCTCTAGGTGGTTTGGCTATCGCAGTACCTGGTGAAGTAAGAGGAATGTGGGAGGCTCACAAATTATTTGGAAAACTGCCTTGGGCGGACTTATTTCAGCCTGCCATTAATCTTGCCGAACAGGGCACTCCTTTCAATGCACAAAATTTAAATTGGGCAAATATAATCAGCGGTAAAAAAACAGATGCGCAATCAAAATATTACAATAAAATCGAAGGGGGTGAGAACCTGCTCAGTCGCTTCGAGGAACTAAGGTAAATAAAATATCAGAAAATGAAGACGAAAATTCTCACTATTGTTACATGTTAATACGTAATACATTAACGTGTAATAGAACCCCATAAAATTCTTTGAGAACAAATTCTCTGAGATTTGAACCCTTTCTTAAACAATACGAGGGGTGATTCAAAAGACCTACAAATACAAAAGGACCATATGTAAGTGAACCTATTTACGATAATCGATGATATTCAAATTATGTTATCATTCTAAAGCCTGCGACAATCATGTGTGTTGATATCAACGACAATTAATTTAATGTGTTCCATTTTAGCAACGGGTAATCGTCACCATTATGTATGTACTGAAAATATTGCTTGCTTTTTCTGAAAAATAGCTCAATTGTAACTTATTTGACAAAATTAAAGTTTGAACATATAAACTTGGACAACAAAATATATAATAAAGTCCGTCGAAAATTACCAATGGTTTAATAAAGAATGATTACAACCCAGCTCCAAAAGGGGATTGTTTGATATTTATTACTCATGTAATAGAATGAATACGTTTTATTATGTCCATATATTTTGTATCCTCCAACACACGCCTAACTCATTCAATTTTACATTAACATTCATTTTTTTGCAAATGATATATAATTGAGAATTTATGTAACAAGTTTTGATTACTACATTGGATTAGTTTCATTTCTCAAACTTATATTTCGAAATCAGATACGTATTTACCTGAGATCTTAAAGCCCCCCTCACATATGAACGAATCCAATAAGCGTAGTTTTGCGAATTTGATGGGAACGTAAATATGCGAACCGACCGAAGCATCATTGCGCATGCTTCCGAAGCTTTCCGAGTGGATAATTACACATACGAACACCCCTACGATGTTCAACGTACATATAATAATGGGAACGAAGTCCTATTCGCCAATACACGCAAGTTGACGTCGTGGGCCTTTCGTTCATATGTGAGGAGGCCTTAATGTTTGAGGATACAAAATATCGGACAACACAACTTAAATTCACTACAAAAATAACAATATTTTGTCGCCATTTTGGAGCTGATCGCAAACATACTTTCTAGTTTTATATAGGTTGTAAAATATCAATTCAATCGATGTGCTGTCATCCAGGACTATATTAACTGCAAAGAAAACTAGACTTTGATTTTTTGTCAAAAAACTTTACATATCTAACACAAATGCTAAAGGGAAAGGAAAACTATTAAGAAACCTAGCAAGAAAGGCAAATTCTATAGGGTACCCCAGAACCCATGAGAATTTTTTGAGGGAGGTTAAAGGCATGCGTTGATGTACTTGAAACTTGCCACCCACACTGGTTAAACATGTATTGTGGTATATGTGTTAAAGTTTTCAATCATGTTAATTTGAAGAAAAATCACTCAAGCCTACATTGTAGTTTATCTCCCTGAAAATATTCTCGTGAGTTCTGGGACACCCTGTAACTGTAAACCTGTCATAAGAAAAAGACTCTATAGACTCTATAGTGTATATCCCGAAACCATGATCTAACTTGAAAGAAATTATGTCTAACATCCCCATTTCCCTCAATCGAGAACAGAACACCAATGGCCTGTTCATTCATAGAAGTAATAACAATCATGTTGAAGAAAAAATTTAAAAATGCCACTAGCCACTACTCATAACACCAAGCTAACATAAAGCTGTTTGAAGATAAAATACGCGATATTTTTTATATAGCCAGTTATGTTGTTATCAAAATAACACATATAAAATGTCGTTGATATCAACACGCATGTCGCAGGCTTTAGAAGGATAACATAATTTGAAAATATCAATTATCGCAAATAGGCCCAAAGTATAGTGTTTGAATGTAAATCATAAATTGCTCTTCATGTAGAAAATGATGAAGAACCATTGAATAGGTTCTGTAATAAAATTCCTAGTGAAATCACAGGCTATGAGTCCAGCACAAATGACATGGTGACCATCCAGGCCCCGTATATCGCGAGCAAGTTCCCGCCTGTTACATCACGAGCAATAAACTCGTGTTAGAAGCGGGGCCTTGAGAGGTATGATAAAATATTTTTATCGTTGAAGAACGTCGTTGCCCTGCAATTGAAATAGCCAGTGTACTATGAGATAAAGTTATACTGAGTTTCACTTACTAACATTCCATAGAAATGTTTATATTTCAATTTTATTATATTTCTCGAGGCCCCGCTTCTAACACGAGCTCGTTGCTGCGATGTCAGCGGGGCCTGGATAAACACCGTGTATGAGTTTACCTATGATGTATACCATCAATGTTATTTGTACGTAATTGAAAGGTCAATGCTAACTAAAGAGGGAAGTAACGAGCTGCTTCAAATAGGAGACACACAAAAGCGTCCCAAACTTGCTGAAACATTAAACAATATTGCAAGGGAAGGTGGAAATGCATTTTATGAAGGCCCCCTAGCTGAAACTATCATTGAAGAGATACAAAAAAGTGGTATGTAAAACAAGATTTGTACAGAATATCACCCCAAATGAACCTGAAATTGAGGTTGTATCCAAATCTATACTTTGACATTAAGATGTTCATTATGTTTTGTTTCAATCAATGGTTTCATTATTTTTTTTACATAAAGCCAGAACATATTCTATACGCCCGTGTTAAAGTGAACTACCTGTACATATATTTTCATAAGAGCATTAGATGGTTTTCTACAGGAAAATAAAATTTTGGGTCACCGACTTTGAGTTTTTATCATTGATCTGAATAAAATATTATTTATTTTTCGTAAATTATATAATAAAGTCAGAAATACATATTCATCCATTCAACCTGAAATGTTAACAGATCGATGCAAAACCAGACTAGTGCTAATATTGGGTTTTGACTAGTATGCTGACTTAATCAGATTGTGGTCATTTTGAATTCTTAATTGATAAATCAGCAATTTTGAACTTTTACACGTTTGTAATGCCTGGGTCACATATGCGCCGATCCATCGGCCGGCGCCCAGCCGATTGAGTGTTTTGTTCAATATTGTATTCAATTTTGAACAAAATACTCAATCGGCCGGGCGCCGTAGTGAAAATCGGAGCCTATGTGACCAAGGCATAAAGAGGATTGCTCCCAGGGTTCCAACTCGATATCTTTATTAATCTCTAATTTGTGCAGTTGTGCTGATTTCTACGGCAAAGTTCCACGAGTAAGCTGAAAGGAAGATGGTCGATATTCAAGTGACCTTGACCGATATCATCAACCTTCAAAATGTCGTTATTTTCTGACATTATAACTGACTTTAAATTCATAATCAGCAATCCAAAAGATTCGAACAAACATTTTTTACACTTTTTGTGGTATTGACGCGATATTTATTACTATGTCATGTCTTGTTTGATATCATTCCAGGATTTGATTTGAAATTTAACACAACTGAGGAGGAAATTAATAGCTACCATACGATCACAGAGGCTATCAAACTCGGCTATGCTGCAAGAACCTGTTTCGGTGATATGGATTACCAAACTGACTCCGAAGTATTAGATGTAAATTACATTTTTATGTACACTGAACTTCAAATAACTGACATCGATTCAATTTTAAATCAAGTTAATTTTTTCTTGAATTTCATTTTTTCCTATATATTAATTGAATTCGAAATAAGGCCATTCAAACGATATATCTAGATAAAATTCCTAAAAAGATTCAATCGCATAGGTTATTTTATTTTTCTAGCTTTTACATTGTATGAGTAACCCAGATCACATTGCCTCCATCCGGTCGACAATATCGAACAAAACATTCCCTGCGTCCCACTACAGTCCCTATAGCTCTAAGACAGACGCTGGAACAGCACAGATTAGCATATTGGCACCTAACGGAGATGCGGTTTCTTTGACAACGTCTTTGAATAGTGGGTATGCGAATTTTTCATTAAAATTGTTAATATGCTTTCATTTTTTGTTCATAAGAAATATCGCTGGCCATCATAAGTGAAATAAGTTGTATTATTTGGATCTCGGATGTCTAAGTATCCACTTGTTATGCACTAAGTTGTTCACGGAACATATACATGTACCTTAAAAACCTAACAACCCGAGACTCTCATATTTAGGTATGGATCTTTGGTAAAAGGAAGAACAACCGGCATCATCTACAATGGTTCAATGAACGACTTCAGCAGACAGGGCATAACTAACGGACTTCCTGCGTCACCAAACAACTACATCGTTCCTGGAAAACGTCCGCAGTCTTCTATGTCACCCATTATCGCGATGGATGCCTCTGGCAATGTAGTACTGGTTCAAGGCTCTTCCGGGGGTGCGAAAATTATAGCAGTATCATCTATGGTAGGCCCATATACAAGGGCCGATCCAGAAGTTCTGATAAAAAGTCTTTAACTTAAAAGTGTATCATTCGTATTCCACAATATTTTCAGAGAAACAGGGTCATTTATTCCCTCATAAGATATAAAAATTTGCTGGTAATGAATACTCGTGAAGTTATGGTTGCTATGGTAACCTCAATAACGTTATAGCGGGGCAGGGTAAAACTTGTGAAGTTTAAAATTGGGTTTCTTTTGAACAAATGATCAAAACCCCATTACGAGGTTACATAATTTTACAAATGTCTGATTTAACCGTAACTGCTGTTATGTCCTCTTCTCATAAGTGTGAAATCATTATAAATCCTGTTTGATACAGAAAACATGAACGCTTCATGATACATTAGACAAGCAAGACATGAGACACTAAGCTTTCAATTCATCTACGTAAAGCAATTCCTAAAAAGCTACCGAACAGAGCCAAAGATTCAAACATGTTTGACTAGGACAACACATGGTATCACAAATCTGACATGATCTGCAATATTATCAGCAAAAAGTTAAATATGTAGGTATTAAGTCATTTTCCATACTTCCTAGATAATGCCCCCTGGACCCGAGTTGTTGTATTTTGACATTGGACCGGTGTGAAAGAAATTATGGTCCCCTGGGCCGGAATTATGGTCCCCTTTCTTAAAGGCCCTTACTGGCCCTGATTGTGGATACGATAATAAGGGAAAGAGTTGTACTTAGGTCACCATATATATCAATTGAGAGTAGGACCATAATTTGATAGGACCTCCTACCCTTTTACACCGGCCCTAAAGAGAGGGATCCGAGTGTCCCATATTTTAGAACATTTGTTGAAATCAAGAATGCTGTCAACACCTCACTAGAACTGAAAAGGTGTGTAGATACCAGGGCGTATTAATGTAGTATATTAATGCAGAAGGACATTATTTGAGTATCTTCGTTAAGTTTTATCTTTAATAGGATTGCACAGTTGGATTAAGTTTTTTAGATTTTCAATATGAGTTATGACGTCAATATGGGCTCAAATCCTTGACCAAGTGCCTCTACCATGGGGTAGGAAAAGTGTGATCACCGAAAATTCTATCAATAAATCATTCTGAAAATTCCTGTATAGGTATATAAATCATGTAAGTTGTGTAAGAATTTCAAGTGATTTCCTTTACTTAGGAAAAGGATACAGCATTTTTATCAGAACTTCTTGACCGGCCTTTGTATTATGTTTTTGAGACGTTTTGATTGGAATTAAATTTCAAGACGTGTTATTGTCCAAAGAGTGATGACATCAACATGCAACATGTGTCTGAAATAGCCATTGAGAAGAATTAAGTTACACGAACACCTAAGGGGGGGGGGTCAAAAGGGCACCCCCCCCCTTGTAAAATTTTTATTAGTATAGCTAGGATGTTCAAACTTTCCCCAAATATACTTCATTCAATTCTCTACAACTTGGTGTAATAACTTTAACAGCCATGATGATGTAAGATTGCGTAATTTTATTCTAAAGACAACACGTATGGTAGCTAGCTTTTTACCGATTTTGTCAATTGGAGCTGATGATGACATCATAATAAATTAATAACGAACTAGTAAAGCTAGGATGGTCAATTTTTCCAAAAATATACTTTATTCAATTCTCTAAAACTTGGTGTAATAACATTAACAACTTTGATGATGTAAGATTGCATAATTTTATTCTAAAGGCAACAGTATTGTAGAAATAGTGCTAGCTTTTTCCGATTTTGTCTATTGGAGCTGATGATTAAGCCTACATCATAATAAATCAATTACCCTATGTGCAATTTTGCTGATTTTTTCAGAAAACATTTTTTATATCTGTAGCTCCAGCTACTGAAAATTTGAAGATCCTACCAGATGCCAATAAAAAGTGATGGGGAAAAAACTTAACAGGGGGGTCACCCCCCCCCCCCCCTTAGGGCTTCTAGGGTTAAAAGGTTGTCATCATTCAATATTTAAGTTTTAAAAGTGGTAATTCCATAATAAAGAATGTACATATAAAGTGAGTTTGCCTCTTCTAGACTGCGTTGCAAGTTTTGAAGCTGAAGAAGACAATTAAAGAGGCGCTCGATTCACCGAGAATTCACCATCAATTAGACCCGGATGTACTTTTTGTTGAGCAAGGAATATCTGAAGTAAGTTCACGTTGTCACATACTAATCATACTTAGAGAAAACTTCGTAATCAGTTGTGATTAGGCTGGAAACAATTTTTCTGGAAACGACACGACACGTCTCCTATAATATCAAAAATATCACTAGCTGTTATATGTGCAGATGATAACACAATAGTCTTGGAATAAAATTACATCGAAGCATATGACCTCTGTAGCGGGTTTTTATTTCGTAATTTGTAAAAAACGGCCCGTAGCCAGAATTTGCCATGAGGGTTCACTTTTTCAAAAATTCCAGGGGCGTTCACTTTTGACAGTGTGGCCAAAAAAGGCCGAAAATCACTTAAAAATGCTCAGAATGGTGAAAACTGAATGATTCTGAAAACAACTGGACAAGGGAAGGGGTTCGCTCAAACCCCCGAACCCCCCCCCCCTCCCATACCCCCACTGGCTACAGAGAAAATATTGCATTGAATCGAATTTATTTATTGTTTCAGGCTGTCATAGAGGGCTTCAGGGAGAAAGGTCACGTTTGTGAGAAAGTAAAAGAAATAGGATCTGCCGTTCAAGCAATTCATAGAAAGGGTGATAGCAAGATAACTGCTATTCTATACTCATCACTCTCTATCATAAGACACAACACACATTTCTTCAGTTTCAAGAAATGAGAGCGCTTGGCACGCGTGTTTATTAATGAACATAGTACAGCAGTTACATAAATAATGAGAACATGACAATGTATACGCATACAGTGAGTGAGTTAGTGAATGTCACTGGAAAATACAAAACAGTATAACTGCACATGTATGACAATTCGATTGACACCATTAAAACCTCATCCAATTAATTAGGATTTATGAGGACTCTTAAACTAAGCAAAGACCCAAATTATCGAGGCCAAAATTCAAAAAAGGTCTTTGCAGAGATAAAAAGGTATGCCAATCAAAATATCAATTTGTACGATCAAAATCTGACAAAATTTATGAAACATACAGAAATAATATAATCTACAAATTAGGAGTTAAGTGTATTCCTCGCACGCTGGCAAGCCTCAGAATGACGTGTTCCTAACACTTACTCACTCACTCCAAACACAAATAACCGCCAAACCGTTCAGCCAATAGAAATCATTTATGTTCTCAAGTCGCTACACTGCGTTCCGCTTCACCGAACATAAATAGCTAATAGTGATTATAGACGAGTCGGAGGTGGCTGTAACGGATTTTAACAGATAACCGACGTAATAGAAAAGGTTCGCCTATAATTAAGTGAAAGCACAACTTGCAATGTATGTTTTTTATGTAGTTATACGTTATAAATATAACTTATACGTTATAAATAGAACTTTTAACTTGGACTTTTATTCCACGGTGAAAATGATCAATAAAGGAGGGCCTATTGCTCTTCCTTGACTAATTGGGACTATAGCTAAAATTCTATTTCTCTTAGTAAGATATAGCTCAGTTGCTTATAAAACAAGCATCAAGACTTGGCCGAATTCATGAATAACTTAGAAAAATCGTTATCATTATATTCCTAAAATTTGATTGTATTGTTTGACCTCTTGCGATTATATGGAAAAATTCTGGTAATAAAATGTTTTAAATGGTAAGAAAACTAATATGTTCCAATCATAAATTACCTAAATATTCCACACAATTTTGTTGAATCTGCTTGGTTCATAATTGAAAAACAAACAAAATCTATAGAATATTTTTTACATTATGATAATCTATTTTGTTGTTCGTATGTTTAGAATAACGGTCTGTGTCTTATAAAATGTATAAAAGTTCGAATCAAAATCTTTACGTTTTTTACCCCTTGTGATGAAAGACATTTCGACCCTAAAGCCGGAAGTTTTTTTCAGCAAATGGTATTTTAAAAGAATCAAGCCATATGCACCTCCATAAATATTGCTTCAAATGTTGCTGCGCTACGGTGTGCTATGGATCCTTCATATTCGGAAGTCATACCATGGACTATCTATCAAGGGATCGAAGTTGCCAATTATAACATTCGAGATAAAACATATTTCCAGGGCTCGTCACCTAGAATCACACGATTTGAAATGTTAAAAGCAGTGGCAAATAAAATACGTGATGAAATGAAATTTGCATTGCAAAGAGCTTGATTGTCTCTTTTCCATACATATGTACAACCCATATCTATGTGACCAGTAGATATAAAAGTGCAGTTTTTACAATCAATGATCAATATACAATTCTGCCACACGTGACACCACGAGCAGAACAAATTAAAGCGCTATTGAGAAAAGTTACTTGATTTTTTATTGATATATTGCAAAATTCAAACCAATCTCCCATTGAAGATGATCCATTATATTGTCGTACTAGTTTGAGAACTTGATCGGAGGTCTCGCCTTTATAAATTTGGTAAAAACTAAAGTTCAAAATTGCATGGCTAGGTAGCTTATCAAACAACAAATATTAAGGCAAATATTAAAACACTTTCTTGCCAATAAGAAAAGTGAATAAATATCACTACTTAGTTAACTTGCGTTAATTAATATTACCGTTTAGTATTAAGAATTTCAAATTGGTTCTGATCGTGACGTCATGGGAAGTTAACTTTGAGACGCATAAATAGTCGGAATAAGACAGTTTATACTTCCTAATATCCACTAAATTGAATATCCACCAAATAGAATTATCGAAATATGTCACTTTAATATCAAAGCAAGTACCAATTTAACCAGTCTGGTTTTATGAACGTAGTTTTGGTGGATTGTTTATGATAAACTTAGCGAGACAGTCTCTGGCGTCTGTTCTTTCAATGTCATTTATATGTTTTAAAAGTTCAAGAATATCAACATTCTTCTCTGTTATCAGTCGGTCCAGAAGGTCTTCACACTTATTAGGCATATTCGCCACATCGAATTTGTAATAGTTGTGCCCATCTTTGGGATAGAAAGACCAACCAAGATCTTTGTATGAACTGTCTTTATTCAGCATCTGGCATACCGTAGAACGTATACCAGAGGGCAAATGGCTGATGGAAGGTACACTTGAGGGTGGTAGATCTGTAGTAAACAAGATCATATATTACATGATAAACAGTCTGAAACTAAGAATTAACTGATCAATCACAATGAATACTGTTGGTTTTCCTGACCCCTGAAAAAGTACAATTGGGCTTATTTTTATATATTAATCATGATCATTATTCTAAACATCAATTAAAGTTACACCAAGTTACAGCACTTACCATTGAGCATCTTTATTGCCTTGTCATAATTACTCGCGTCCTCAGCAGCATTCATCACTGTTATGTATTTAAAACCCGCTGTCTCCATTGGTGTAACACGATCCTTCTTGATTATCTTTCCGGTCTGAATTCCCATAATGCCATCTGAGTTGACAGCATTATTATGAACGGGGTCACCGCTTCCATTTGTTGGAGACTTCATGTTATCTGCGTCACAATTTTTACCAATATCCCCGCCTTCATTGCCTGCAAATGATATTTCATAAAGATCAAGAGCCTAAAAAATTACCAAATCCCATAAATTGTGGTTGAAATGAAAAGACCCTTAAAACTTTTTCTATAAAGATTTCTACTATATACCTGCATCAAGTCTATTATAGGTCGCAGCAGCAGTACGATGATCTAAATGAACTTGATCATCACCCCCGGCAGTTTGGAGCTGCTCTATATTCCTTTCTCTGTTCTTATCTTTGAAATCAGCCCCGAAATCAACGTCTGGTATCTTTGTGTACTGTCCTTTCATTATTTGTTCCTGAACTGACACTTTCCTAGTATGTCCTAGACTGTCGTCTTCATGTGTAAATAGAGGTTCATTATCAGGCGGAGAAAGTGGTAGCGTCACATTAGCATCTTTTGAAACATCAGCATCAGCTGTGAATAATAACCACACGGTTTAATATTGCTTACAACTAGATATAATACAAAACTCAAAGAGGTTGCCCAACCTCAAACAAAGTAAAAAATATGAAATAAGATTACAATAAACTTTGATCGAGTCGAATGACTAATTACATTTTGAATTGTTGAGTATCTCTGTGCACTCATTGACTCTACGGCGACAGTAACGATGGAAAAACACTTGGTCGATTACAATGGCGATAATAGCAGCAACTATGATGGGGGCAACAACAGTTAGGCTAACATCTCCCAGTAATGATTTCCTTGATGGACCTCGAACTAGAATACAGAAATGAAACATTAAAAGTATATGTAAATAATCATTAAATGCAACTAGGAAAATTTAATAAACCTAATGGAATTATTACTCTTTTCAGGAGAATTACTTTTACAAGCTTTATAGCCATACAATATGTATAAAATCAACACAATTTAAGAATTTCAAAACAATTATATTGGAGATCATTGTGTCATGGTAACAATTACCTGTATTATTTGATTTTGATGTGTTATTTCTTTCTATAATGGCTCCTCCAAAATCAGCAATAATATCAGATACATTTGTCTCTGATGTTTCATCATTGGCATGCTCAGTTGCTAAGGCACATGCTTCCTTGTCTTTTTTCGACATTGCGAGGGCACAGTCATCACATGCTCTGAGGGTGCCCGGGAAAAAGTTCATAGACGATGGAATGAAGTATCTAAAATAAGCGAAGGTTAGCTGTTTTAATACCTGTACAATAAACAATTTTCATGTTTTGGATGATTGTACAATCAAACAATACAATGCATGTAAAGGGCTTGTAATCAAGGGACACTTGATAGTTATGAGTGTAAAATTTAACGCCATAAATTAAACTACATGTATTAAAAAAAAAGTAGAAATATCTAACCCATTCTTGCAGGGTCCACATACAGCTCGTGATGTCGGTGTTGCAGTTTTATTATAGACACGGTTAAAGGTATGGCACTGTGGACTCCTCTTACATTGTTTCGTATCATGTTTGTCACTATACCGATGGTTGGTATGGTTACATAGGATACATTCGATTCGTATGTCGTTACCATTACCATTACCACAAGCCTGAAATAAGTTCAGATATCTTGGTGACTACGTCAGTATGCGCTGTTTTATTATATATTTTAAATCAACAACATGTAAAGGTGTAGTCATAAAATATTCACACATAGCTAAGCAAGGTATGTCCATTCAAGCCAATCAGAACACGCTATTTCACGTAATTGCATTCCGTTATATAACCAATAACGCATTTGTTGTATAGTTGTCAACGTGAGGAGATTATGATTTGCCAACATGACCCTTGCAAATAGTTTCATTGAAAACATGTTCTTTTAGTGATTTTGTATCTTTTAAATGATTTTGTAGAAAATATTTTGCAATGTGTGAAAATAATTTAAGTCTAAATCTGATTTCTAGAAATCAACCACCATATGCAAGGTTTTAAGTCTGTGACATAGTCACGTAGGTATAAAAGTTTGCCATAACATAAGCTAAAAATAATGATAAGTAAGTTCAGTTTATCGTAAAAGACCTCTTTGTGTAAACTAACTTGATAACAAAATGTAAACAACAAAAGGGGATTCCCCTTTCTTTGTATTGTAGAGTGCCTGGGTATCAGGCTATATAGTCTCCTGATCGGTCAGGTGCCATTTCGTAAATATGTCACAACTGATCTAAACAACGTAAACCTTTATAATTAAGCCACACCGCCATTACAAGGTATCGTACATCAACAGTATGTGTTTCCTTAGGGTCTGTCGTTTTATCTATTGCCCTCTATTAACATTAAGGGGTAGTAATGTGAGAGGACTTGGTGCAACGTAATGAAACATAGTCTTACTGCAAGAATGTAGACCCCTTCCCACCCCTTATCCACTTCACCAACACAACACTTTTGGGAGATGTGTAGTTTGGAGGGGGCTTATAGCTAGACTAAAAAATGAGTCAGTCTTGTGATAAACACTGAACAGTCCTTACTTGTGATAACCCCCACCCAGGAAGGCAGCTGATGCATGTCTGGCAAGATCCTTTAGATGATATCCACCTGCGATTTTCACACTGTTTGCATTGGTCCTTGGTCATTGTTCGGATATTGAAACCGCCTTCGCAGAGCTTCGCGTTTGTCTTTACTTGGACAAGTGAGACCAGGAGTAATCCTAGAATCTGAAATAATGACATGTATCATTGTTAGAATCTAATTTTAGGATCAACTTTTCAATTGACTATGATCAGTAATCAATTGTTTAAAATTAATCAATATAATATTCCGATATATATCTATCTACGAAAAACACACACATTTGAGAAAACATGTCTATTTATAAAATTATTTTCCAAAGAATAAAACGATAGATATAACTATCTACCAACTTACCAGCTTAAGCTTCATCGTAGCAATAAAAAGAACAAGGCTATAAATCACTGTGAAATATCTCTGTGTGAAGTTAACCCACGGTCAAAATAACCTAAAATAAAGAAAAATAGCAAAGTATTAAATCACTACCACTGAGGTGATCTTGATAAGAGATAAAGAATGAGTTAAGCATTGGTTAGAATAATATGATGTTATTTTTCATGTGATATTTATCAATATATTGCCCTCTTTAGATTTACGAATAAACATCACAAGTTTTTAAATAACAAATGGTAGAGGTGATAAGATTAGAAAATAGTGAAGTTCTGGTGCTTTCGGTAAGATATTTAGTATGATGAAATGAATGTGCAAATATTAGAGTAACATTTGAAATGATATATAGATACACCACTGACCCCTTCAAAGCATAAGATCTACGTTAAAGAATGCTAGAAAACATAAGAGACTGAAACTGTACATGCATTTCACGAAGAACCAGCTGGTTTTGCCATGATGTATAATATCTTGGTACGTGCGCCAGAAGATATGATGCACTTATGACACGCTGTTATATGACTACATGTTAGCTCAGAAAAAAAATTCACAAATGTGTTAAGAACAGTACACGAAACATCTAGGAGAAAGGCCAGACATTGGGAAAACTAACTCTGAATCTCACACTATGATGTAACACAAGAAGAAATAATCCCCCCTCCCCCTTTCACCCACAAGTTCTTTACAGACATGCTATTTCTACAGATGTTTCATTAATCTGACACTGGTTAATCATATAGTACTTACTTTTTTTCCTATGATCAAAGACTCAATATTCCTGGCGATGATATCTCAGGTATTCCTTTTTTATGTGCGTCGTAATAGCAATCGGAAAGTTTTGTTAATGAAATGTCCAATAGTAGCACACTTGCTATGATCATACGATGGGTGAAAAATAAGGTTTGTTTATACTCACAGGTACGTGTGCACTGCGCATGTACCTTTCTACAAGTAGAAGTTCTGTTAAATGTTAATATGCACCTGAACATACAACGAGTATATTTTAACTATAAAAAAGGTCTTATCAGACGAATAAACAATCTTGTAAGCACTAACATATAAACTCATTCATTGACGAATTGATCCTCGACTATGATATATTACATCTTCAAGATCAATGACATTAATTAATTTTTGGGACAATGCCAATTTTATTACCTCTTTCAGTTATCAAATTGTAAATTTCATATGTTTTGATATGAGGTGATTCTTTTACTGTTCTAGAAATAACTCTACACAAGTTAACATGACTTAATATGAGTATTAATGTATTACCAAGAACCTTTTTACTGTATTCAATGGTGGAACATATTTACAAAAGATTTATTATAAGAATTTATTTCGTATTTCTAATTACAAAAGATATTTACAAGTAAACATTTAGGTTCTAAACAACTTTAAAAATCAGTTGACATGGGGTCAGGGAAACAAAATGGGCCTCCCCTCGAGCTAATGCAAATTATAGTACATTACTGTCTATCTCAGTTAGTCCAATGGTTGTTGTTTCAAAATATTGCCCATTTTGCCGTCATATTTAATAATAATGGTAAAGCCCATTGGCTGTACACTAGATTTAAAGGTCCCCCAAAGGACAGAATTTTCAGTTCACTGTCACGGTGCAGACATCAAATTGGATTCAAACATTCAAATGGACCAGTGTGTATGCCATTGGACTAATTCGAATTCGATATTGGTTTGCTTTCTTTGGCTACGAGCGCTTTTATGTTATCTTGATGTTGTACTATTATATGTGGCGAGATGATCTCTGACGTCAGCCCTACGAACTGTGTCAGAAGTATCAATTTTAAGGTGTCTATATTTTGCTTAATAATGAGATGATCAAATATACCCTAATATTTCAAGATATTGCATGTTTCACGACTTTTATTTCCATGTCTATTCTGTCCTTCATCCTAGATGCATCTTAGCAGAATTGTATGGTCAAGTGCTATAACATAAAAATTGTGTCTGTAGTTTGAAACAGATAACTACTTACTAGATGTAGTTAATAAGTAGGCCTATTAAAGTAATGTTTATATTTGAAAGTTCTAGTAAATCAATAGTAGGTAATCAAATAAAAATATCATGGCATCAAGAATGTGACGAAGGATTCACTGGCGTAAATGTACGGAGGCAACGTACGAAAAAAATTCTTCTTTCACATGTAAAGTCAGTCTCTTATAATGCTCTTCGTACACACATCGTCAAATATGCAGCTCGTCGTCATGTCACTGTCACTGGATTCAAGGTGATTTCTCGCAGATCCTCCGTGAAAGGAGAATGGTTGATGGTCAGAATCAATGTACTGGCTAGTCATTATAATAATGCCAATGACAACTCTTTCTGGCCTAGCAATATCACTTGTAGACCTTGGCTGTCATCAACTGATCATGCCAAAACTGTGGCTAACAATGCATCAACAAATTGTGACTCTCATGATTCTGTCCATAGTGATGATTCTTCGAGCTACCCATATCTTGATAATTATAACAACGAATCTTCACGGGAAAACGAAGCAGCATGGGGTGATGACGAGTATCATGATCAAGTATACTCCGGTTCACTTATGCATGCCAGCTCATTACCTAAATCAATCGTATGAAACCGTATCTTATGCGACTTATCATCTGGTTTATATCCTTGGCATTTATGTCAAATCTGCTGAAAATCACAACTTGGAATTGTAAAGGTGCTATGTTCGGTAGTCCTTATCTTACAACTCTCTTAAACTCGTGTGATGTTCTAGCTCTCACAGAGCATTGGCTATTTCCACATAACTTACATTTTCTTGGCTCTCTTGATAATAGATATACCTTTCATGGCACCTGTGACAAAGGCTTAGTGAACAACGTTGGTTATTGCCATCGTGGTTACGGCGGTGTTGCCTTGGTTTACCGTAGAGATCTCTCTGTATTAAGTAAACTAACATATAACGACAGAATAAGTGGCATAGAATTGAAACATACTGAGAATCTTAGTATTTTTGTTTTCGTTGTGTATTTACCTGCAGTGAATCATTGCTTGCCAGAGTACAAAGAATGCATCTCTGTTTTATACGAAATATTTGCCACTTATTCCCATCGCGGTATGGTAGTTTTTGCAGGTGACTTCAACGCCCATCTTGGTGTTAATAGTGGCCCCCGGTGTAGGAAGTCGATACCGAATGACAGGGGCAAACTTCTTGAGCAATGGCTCTCTGACTGTAATCTCTTATCAGCCAATGCTCAGGAATCGACTTCTGGTCCGTGGTTCACCTATTATAGTCATGATGGAAAACATAAATCTTGTATAGACCATGTAATCATTCCTAATGCTAAGCTAGATCTAGTGTCTTATTGTAAAGTACAAGATGATCACTCACTTAATATCTCGGATCATCATCCAATTGAATTATACCTCAAAGTCCAGGCGCCATTCGTTTCACTCGCACCTTGTCTAACACGTAATATTACACGTTGGCGAAAAGCAACAAAAGATCAACTTATCTCTTACGCCAACACGGTCAATCAGCACTTATGTAATATCATGACTAGTCCTTTAGATACAGATTCTCAAATTAATGATTCTGTTATTAATCTTTCAAGCATATTAACCATGAGTAGCAATACTCACATTCCAAGTTCCAAATTTAGAAAATTCTTAAAACCATATTGGAACAAAGGTGATATTGCACCTCTACACAAGGCTATGAAGCGAGCTAGAAACGAGTGGATCAGTTCAGGTAGGCCTCGTGGTTTTCAACACGAAACATACCGTTTATATAAATTCCAGAAACGCAATTTTTCTAGGCGCTTGAAACAACTTAAATTTGAATATGACCAAGAACAATTGCAAAGCTTACAAGATGCTGCAGAAGTCGATAGTGGTTTGTTCTATAGATTGGTCAAGCGATATGGCAATCAACCTGCTCCGAATGTTGGCCATGAACTCAAAATCGATGGCAAGATAATTCGTGATCCCGCAGAAATTCGTAACGCATGGGCTGATCATTATGAATCTCTGGGTCGAGAATCCACCTTTCCACATTTTGATCACGCACACAAAGCGGAAATAGATTCTCAATTTCCTGCGATGCTTGCTCAATCATTTCAATCAAATGACGGTATTTTTGAGACGCTAATTGATAATGACGAAGTCTTGCATAGCATCAACACATTTAAAAATGATAAAGCACCGGGACACGACTTAGTCGTCATCGAGCATCTAAAACATAGTGATAGGCTAGTCATCGATTTCTTGACTAGAATTTACAATGCTATCGTCAAAGTTGAGAAAATCCCTTTAACTTTCAAATTGGGCATTATGTTATCTCTGTTCAAAGGTAAAGGCAAAGACTCGACTGACAGGGATAATTACAGGGGCTTAACCTTGTCCTCCTGTCTGTACAAAATATGGGAAAGAATTCTCAGCATCCGAATGACCCCTAAACTAAAAATCAAAGGCTGCCCCAACGCTTTCCAATTTGCCTATCAAGAGGGAAGTAGTAGTCAGTTCGCACTCTTCGCTCTCAAAGAGATCATACTTCACTACAAGGAACGTGACTCTATGGTATTTTCGGCATTTCTTGACAATCGCAAATGTTTTGATTTATTGTGGAGGAAAGGGTTATTTCAGAAAATATTCTCACTCGGTATCAATGGAGTAACATGGAGGCTAATCGTAGAAAGTTATACTAATACCACTGCACGTGTATTATACAATGGCTCATTTTCCCGGGAATTTAGTATTTATCAGGGAGTTGGACAGGGAAGAGTGACAAGTTCGATTTATTTTTTGATCTATATTGACGCACTCATAACTGAGCTTAAGGAAGCGCATTCAGGTCTTAAGATAGGTTCGTATGATATTCCGTGTATTTTGGTGGCAGACGATACTACTCTTCTAGCTTCCTCTGCGCATAATTTGCAAGTTCTGTTAGACATTGTATTTCGCTACAGTTCAAAATGGCGTATGGTTTACCACGCTGGTGATAACACTAAAAGCTCAATTTTGACATTTAATGAAACAAAGCAACAGTTTTTTCGAAGCAGAGGTAGTCGTCAGTGGCTACTAGGGACTGATATAGTACCTGAAACTCAAAGCACAAACTATGTAGGTAACCTTATCACTACTAACTTTGAAACGGAAAATCTGGTTAACAACTCAAAAAAGAAAATGTACTCAAAATTTTATTCGATCAAAAACACCTTGCGTTTACATAAATTTGGCGCTAATCCACTTGTGTTCATTAGACTATGGTATTCTATTATATTACCCACTGCATTATATGGTTGTGAGTTATGGTACAACTTGTCACCGCATGATGAAGATATACTGAACACTGCTCAAAAACATATATTCAAAGTAGTTCAAGGTTTTGAAGCGAGAACGGCATCAGACGTTGTTCTGGCCACTCTTGGTGCAATATCTGTATCGAGCTTCATTGAGAAATTGAAATTAAACTTTTTGTCGAGATTATGTCGATGCACTCATGAAGTTACAAAATACATATTCCTGTTTAGATTTTCGTCCCTACTCACAAACCCGGGAAACAATCACTTTGGTTTTGCTAAAGACGTCATGAGCATTGACTGTGATATTGCACGGAGTGTTGCAGAAACCTTCTTGCTTACCGGCTCAATTATGAAAACAGTTTTGTTTAAAAAAGCATCGCATTTCCAAATTTTCAACAGAGAGGAAAATCAGTGGCTTTCAAGAATGGAAGCCAATGATAATCTGCATATTTTTAGGAACATTCACTGTAAACTGGAACCAAGCTTCGCCTGGGTCGTTGGAAAACGATACCCATCATATCTATGGCAATTAGCCAACCTGGTGCAGCTTTCTGCAATGCCTTCATATAAGACATTCACATGTAAGAAATGCAACTCATCGTGTAATTGTATAATATTTCATTTTCTGCATTGCAATCAATTTTTATCTGAGAGAGACGCATTTTTTGAGCGACTCATTGATATCTTACCAGTTCAAGATAGTGTTATGCTTTTCAATTTTGATGATGATATTTTCTTACAGACTGTTCTGGGTAGCAGAATAGATTTTGACGTAGCCAATGACACCATTTATGAAATGTTCGTTATCGAATGTGCAAATACATTTTACAATATAAATATGTATTTCAAATAGGTACGCTTGAATTGTAATGATAAAATGTATTTAGAGTCATTTAACTTGTAAATATGTAAATATCAATAACCCCTTACTCTTCTGTAATATATGTTTGTAATGTGATATGCATGTATAAATTGTTTTGCTCTCCAATAAAACGGAGGAAATAAAGAAACATAAACATAAACATAAACATATAACATAAAAATTGTGTCTGTAGTTTGAAACAGATAACTACTTACTAGATGTAGTTAATAAGTAGGCCTATTAAAGTAATGTTTATATTTGAAAGTTCTAGTAAATCAATAGTAGGTAATCAAATAAAAATATCATGGCATCAATCATACATTTACAATGTAAAGTGATACAATGCAAGAGAAATTCATTACACACGCAAAGTGGATTAAACTGTGTTGGGTATACCGTGCATCGCATATACCAAATACATGTACAAACGATTATTTAAATATTTGTATAGTTTGAATAGTTGTATATTACCTTGAGAAAAAAAGCAATTTTATGTTGTTTATTCTTGATTGGCTTGGTCTTCAATTGCCAAATCGTTGCCGCGTTCTGTAATTTTTGTCGCGGTCGATGTTATCTTCGTACCTTCTGTTTGAGCAGCCAAATTATTTTCTGAAACATCCTCCTTTCCAAAACCTTTATCACCATTGGCAACATGGATAACTTGTTGTTCGCCATTGTCGAGTTCAATTTTCGATGGTCGTTGTTGAACTTCGCTGGGAATACGACCGCCAGTGTCTTCTATATCTTTACTATGTTCATTTTCAAGCAAGCCCTCTTCTACATACGATGTACAGTCTAAAAGAAACGTACATTGTAGAATTGTGAAAGTATTAATATTTGCAGTGCAGACTTTTAAAAATGACTAAAATAAAGTGTTATCTTACATAAATATTTATCATGCAAACGTTTCAGAAGAAACGAAAACCGAAATTATAAATAATATCACAAACCTGATTTATTTCTGTGAAATAAATCCCTACATATACACAATTGAAATAAACTGGGTTTCCATCTCCAGGTGGTAAATATAGTACATGCAATGAGGACACAAATAACGGATCCAGCGATGACTATTTGAAAATCTGAAAATAAATAAATAATACGAGTTAAAGATTTTATAAAGGTTTTTATGAAAAAAGTTTTAAATGTTAAATGTGTTTTTTTTCAAAAACCTTAGGATAAGATCTACTAAGCTCGATCCTCTAATTACCCGAATTAGGGTCGGGTTCCCTTGAAGTTGTGCTGGTTTCATTGTTGCTACACGTCTGCATATCTTCTGCAGAGACTGCAAGTGTACATGGGTCACATTCAGTGAGACGATTTGGTGAAAAGTGCATATCTTTTGGAATAAAAAAGCTGTAAAGGTAAATAATTCTTGAGAAAATAAAAGAATGGTTACTAATATACATGTATGCATCAATGCGAGTAAAAGGAGACGGTGACAATCTATCAATTTTTGGGGATGCAAGCAATGTGTTGGACATATGCTATAGTATTGGATAACTTTGTGATATTTTAAAGCGAATCATTGGTAACTATTTGTGAATTTCACTATTTTACTATTTGATAGTCAATGTCAATTCAGTTTTGTAGTGGGTTACGTTGAATCAACTAGCTATTGATCTGTCACCTATACGAGTCCTTGCCCATATTGTATGACAATATAAAGCGAAATGCTAATGACTTACCCGTCTAAACAGTGACCACAGATCGCTGAAGATGTTGATGTGGGTTTTTCCTTGTAGGCACGGTTAAAGTCATTGCAATGTGGACCTTCCTTGCATTGTTCAGCATCATATTTGTTGCTATACAAATGTTTGGTAGGGTCACATGAGATGCAGTCAATTTGCTCATCATGCCCGTGTCCGTTCCCACACGCCTAAATGAAATCATCAAATCTAATTTTATGTCTGAAAATATTATTATGGAAACTTCTTAAAGATATTGTGCATTGTTATAATCAATAGATGGAGCTAATGAGTGAATAAACCTTAATTGCCTATTGACAAATGTTTTGGTGGGGAATCCCCTTTTCATATCTATTAAAAGTAGTATAGTATTTGACACTACTCAAACATGTTTGTGTATCTAGTGGTATAATCAAAGTTCAATGTGACAAAAACATAGTTCTACCTAGCTTACAATTGTATCACTGTAATGAAATGCTACTTTGGTTTAGTTAGCTAAAAACTATATACTTGCGATAATCCTTTTCCTGGGAAACAGAACGGACACAGCTGACAATTGCCGTCACCGGACAACCATCTCCGATTATCACACTGGTCGCATTGTTCTTTGGTCATCGAATAATTGTTGTGGTTCTCGCCACATGGAATTGCGTAAGTTAGTGCCACTAGCGTCATGACTACAAGGACTAGGAAGATTAATTGCTGAAAACAAAGAAAACCAATTAGAATATCATTGAACAAGACAATGTAAAACACATCACATTGTATTGGCATGTAGAAAGTTTAGACGGAAGTATTGCGAACTATTGCATCACCCCATATTGCAGAGGACACATTTTTTTATTTTCAAATAACTTTCTGAATAGCATGTTAAAATCAACATGCTGATGCTGTTAAACTATATATCTGCTTTAAATGGACTTATTAGCATTTTGCATATTATTGATGTAGTTGTGTTTGGAGGAGTGTCATTATCAAGATTGAGTATACCTCAATAAAAAGGTTAGTGTAACATTGACAAGGGCTTACTTTTATTGACATTCTATGTATGTAGATTCCAGAAATCAGAATGTACCCAATAATAAGAAAGCATTGCCTTTTATTAAGTTCTCTTTAGAAATTGCTTGTTAAAAAGAGAAAGATGTGATATGTATCAGAAAGGTTGGATTTGCCCCTACCGGCCTACTAGCCAAAAAGATGTACTTGTTTAAGATTTAGTAAGTGCTTACCCTTATGATGTCCATAGTACATGATATTAACGCTTATTAACAAAATGTAAAGTTTGATATTTCTTGTTTTTCTGTTACGATGCCTTGGGTCGAGCTCAGTTTTTGATTTAAATTCCTTGTTCTCAGATAAAGACATGAAGGCCACTTAGATGTTCGATACTACAATAGAGAATATAATTAGATATGTAATCTCAAATAAATGTGCATAGAATGTATAGAAAATCGCCTACATGTAATTGCTATTTTCAATTAAATTAATGTATTGGATCAGTGTAATGAATCTATGATGACTATGATCCACACCCGTCTTTCACTGTTACAATTCATATTTCAATTGTAAATTCAACTTACAAAAAAGCCTCTCGTAAAAAGATTCCAAAGCTCCGAAGATATGTTTTGCGTAGTTCTTCGACGTTTTATGACTTATCTTTAAAAGGCCCTGTATTATTAAATGCATATTCAAATCAAAATGATGGCTGATGTAACATCAGATTCGAACGAAACATTATGATGCAATAATACTTTTATTGTAAAATGGTTGATTTTCACTCATTTTGATATGGAAATATTGCCATACAAGAATTTGAAAGAGTAAACTATAAGTTGCACATCGATGTTAATACATAATAATTTATCTATATTACAATAGAAGATGAGCATATGTTCAACATGAAGCAGAAGCAATAAAATGAATCAACACTTTTCTACAGGGTGGGCCAAAAAAGGCCTATTTTATAATGCATGGATTTCAATAATATTTTCAAGTTTTGAATCAGATCTCCCGCTTTCAATTGGTAATATCCAACGTTACAGTTTTACACAAGTACGTGTACTCAATATAACTTTTTGGTGGCGTCTGTAACAAATTCTTAAAACTTCCAATAACTTAACAAATAATGTTTAGACTGGCTTCAATTTTTCAAAATCATCTACAAGTTTTCAGAAGTTCAAATTAACTTTTAAGATTTGACCTTAAATGACTTTTGTAGGTCAAAAAGTTATTTTTTCAACTTGCTTCAAATTGACCATTTTTTCAAAATCATCTACAAGTTATCAGAAGTTCAAATCTGACTTTAGATTTGAGATGTTACCTTCAATGACCTTCTCAAGGTCACAAAAAGGTCAAAAGGGTATTTTTAACCTGCTTCAAATTGACCAATTTTTGCAAAATCATCTACAAGTTCTCAAAAGTTCAAGTCTGACTATAGATTTGACATTCACTGACATTCCGAAGGTAAAAAAGGATTTAACCTTCATGGGATTTAACCTTCATTTTGATAACTAAAGATGACTTAGTGAAACGGTAAAGCAGTAAGAAGTATTTGTGTTTTTGGGAGTAACTGAATGAATGGATTATTTTGGAACAAACCTTGTTAAGTTTGGAATTCCCTTCATTCATTTGTAAAAATAATCTGATGAAATCTGTACAATTTCATCTAATAGAATACTAATAAACAACAAGACGTTAATGTGTAACCACAATAAGGTTAATTTAAGGGTCAATTTTAAGATTTTCGATAAGGAGATAAAAATGTTTAAATCGTTTTAATTCTGGCATATTAGTAAAAAGGTAACAAACACCTGTATGACTAGTCTGGAATAAATCAATAATTTGAATTGAAAATTGATAATGTACATAACACTTTATAGGCCTTATTAACAATATACAGTACTGTACATTGTACCCCTCCTCCCCCGGGACATTGTATCACATTTGTTTTTACTAAGAGTTGCGCATTTTATGGGAAGTGATTTTAGATCAATTTCCACCAGACAATATATTTTCCCCCGGGCAAGTCCATCTGGACACAAAAGCTATAAATCAGGTCCTCCGATCATCCTCGACAAAACGTTTTCTAAAATAATATTTTTCATTTTATTGCATAAATAGAGATAACTACAATATGTCTTAAATGTGTTCATGTAGAATCATTAATAAAAAGTTCAAAGTTTGAATTTATCAAATTTAGTTGACCAAATGAAAACCTAAAACAATAGATACCATGAATTATAAACGGTAGAAAGAAGAAGTAATATTATGTTGTTTCTCTGTTTATATTTTAAGTTTTTTGTTCATTTTTAATGAGTTTTTAAAACAGCCAATGTTTATACTAATTTAGAATTGTACTCGTTTAGTAAACAATAATTTTTCTCAGTTCTTTCAGTATTTAAATAAATATTTGGTACTAAAATGACTTAATTTGGATTAAAACCCCAAAAAATGTCGCAATGTCTCATGATGATAAAAATATCATATTCATGAGCAAATGTGTGTGATTTTATGATTAATGATACACCCTACAAGATAGTCTCTCACATCCACTCTATTAATGTCATTAATGTGTTCAAGGAGCTCCAACACACCAACATTTTTCTCGTCTATGAGACGGACGAAAAGATCCTCGCACTTATTGGGCATATTTGTATCATCCATCTTGTAGTAAATGTGATTGTCTTTAGGAAAGAATGACCAACCAAGGTTTTTGTAAGAATATTCTACATTCAGCATTTGACATAAGTTGGATCGTATATCACGGTTTATCTGACTGAGTAGCAAGCGTGGCGACAATTCTACAAAAAATTGTATAGTCCATTATATTTGCGAATTCAGCATTATTTGACACTAGTTATACCTGTAATTTTCGGAATTCGCAAAATAAATATTTTGTTCCCAATCCATATGTCTGCGACACCAATAAAGATAAAGAAAATACGATTTTAAACGATTCTATGACATATTTGGGATATTCTAGTACCTTTCAAAATGTTGACTGCTGTATTGAACTGCTCGTCTGAAATATGAACCTTGTCTGAACCAAGATCGGTAATATCCGTTGTCATAGATGTATTCGAACCTCCACTGTTTGAAGCAGACTCTATTGCACAATTGTTGTTTGTCATTGCTGTTTGCACCGCCCTGGTACCATCTGTTAAAGCTGCGACATTGAGGTGTAATGAGTGGTCCTTACCAACTTCTTGCAAAAAGTGATGGGTATGTTCCACTGCAACAGGTGAAATATATTTAGCTTTAAACGTTAAAGTATCGTGTGTACAGGGTGATCAATAAATAAGGTAAAAGTATCTGGCATTTCTTCGGATTTTACCCAATCCTCATAAAATTTGCACAGAATAATGTTCAAACATTATTGAATTGATATATTAAGTTACAGATCAAAGTGATGTGATTGGTTGAAGTTATAGTTGCCATAGCAACAGAAAGCATGAAGACCCGGGGCAACTATCAAAAAACTAAATTTTCAGTCGAAACACTTTTGATAATATATTTCAAATCACAATTAAAGTGGCATATCATATTCTTATTTCATACTTCATAACTGCTACTTAATGTCCTTTGTTTTTAACATATAGTTCATGTCTTCTACTCCAGGCTTTGAACACCTTTAAACCCTTTTTCCCATAGCCTGCACATTTTCAAGACAGCTGGCTTCAAGTCATCCCATGAGAAGCTCTCTCTGCTCAAACTCCCTCTTCAGCTCACCATGACGGTAAAATCGTAAGGGGACAATTCAGGAGAGTATAGTGCATGACCTAACTGTGCAAAACCCAGTGCTTCAATGGTTTGTACCGTGAGAATAGCATTGTGAGACATTGTGAGTGCAATGTGAAACGTTTAGTTTTGCAGGCCTCTTAGTCTAAGCTTCTTCCTCTTTCTCTTATCAAATCTCTTCTGTGGATATTGTTTTTCATCATTGACCTGTGTCATAGACTTTCTATGACCACATCAGTTTTCATTATATATTAATCTTTTCCGTGACATCAAACATCAAATTTGCAAGAAAATATGTAACAATGTCAACAAAGTATTAAAACAATGAATGCTGGCATCCACGTTTATTTCTTTTCAGTTTGAAAAATATTTTTATCATTTTTTGGTTCAAATTGGACGCAATGAAATTGCCCCGGGTACCCCCAACTCCAGTTGCCATAGTAACTATGATATTAACACATCAGATGGGAGAAGTTATATATTTATATGGTTTAATTTAGAAATGTACAAGGTATATTCTGACCAAATTTCAGGATGTTTGGACCAATATTTACAAAATGCCAGATACTTTTACCTTATTTATTGATCACCCTGTACATACTGTGTATAGCATTATTGTCCATTTTGTAATGTTAAAGAAAAAAATAGATAATACTTGACATGTCGTAAAAATTGACTAGTGTATTTAACTAGATTGAGATACAATCGATACCTGACCATGTATCATCGTGTGACTGTTGCCTTACGTCATGAACACATCCACTAGTATTAGCATGTAGGATCTGGTCACGGTCTGCATGGTTGTTGAAGCCCACATTCCAGTCTCTTTCTTTACTGGATTCAGGCTTGTTTGGGAATTGTTCGATTTCAATTGTAGTAATATTTCCTATTTGGAGGTTATTATTGTGCAGATCTTTCGATGGCACAACTTCATATAGAGTATCATTTGATCGATAGGTCTTACACGATGGTCGATTTCTTACGTACCAAAACACAGTGGCGATTGCAATAGCAATAACGAAAACGGCTCCAACACTTATAAAAACTTCGAAAAACCTGGTTTTGTCATCAGATGTTGTCTCCGCCGATTCATCCACTTTCGTTGATAAGCCACATACCTTCATATCTTCCCTTGACCTTGCCAGTGCACATTCATCGCATGGTCTGAGTTTGCCAGGAAGAAAGTTCATAAATGATGGGATGAAAAATCTGGAAAATAGAAGATGTTCATAAAAAGGGAATGTCTGTAACTTGCTGTTTATCAAAACAGATACTTAAAGCTAATATAGCGTTTATAGAATGAAAGAAGCAGGTCAACGAGAGAAGACAGTAGTTTATATCGATAATTTTGACATAAATTACTGGTATGATAAATAGGAGATATGCGTATTCAATATCATCTGGGTATATATAAGAAACGAATTCAGGTTTAGTAAGTCATCGATAGGTGGCGTTAAAATGGCATCTATCAATATAAAATGCAATAGAGGGCTTACTGCAGTCTTTGAGCTTGAGAGATGTTTTTTGTGTCTGTGTGTCCTGGTGACCATGATCAGATGGACAAATTTAATAATATCATTTCGCACGCAGTGCTACTAAGTGCATACTAAGTTTTTAAGGTAAATGGTGGGCCATAAAGAGTGGGAACTGCATAATTCTTAGATACACTAGTATAGGAGTACAAAGATGAACCACGTGAAGCATACCAAAAGAAATAGTTATTTGACTTATAATTTACCCATCCACCAATAAAAAAAACATTATACCTATCATTAGTTTTCATGACATCTGGTTCAAACACACCATTTTGACTAAAAGGGATAAGTGTAAAAAGATGGCATTTCAAAAAAGAGTTTCACAAATCCGTAAAGTCGCGTTATTAAATGGAGATGACCATACACGTACACTGTAGTTAATTAATGGCAGTTATGTTCTGCTCCCCTTTGTACTATACCAAAGTGAACTCAAATATTACAAACCCCTTCAAACAACCTCCACATATGGCACTTGATGTCGGTGTTGCAGTTTTATTGTAGACACGGTTGAAAGTATGACATTGTGGGCTCTTCTTACATTGGTTCGAATCAAGTGCGTCACTATACCAATGGTTGGTATGGTTACAAGGGATACAGCTTATCAGTATGTCGTTACCTTCACCATTTCCACATGCCTGAAAAATGCAGTTGTTGTTATGAGGGTGCATTATTCTTTGTGCAGTTCACGCTACTTGTTCAAAGCGCAGTCCTTTTTATTTTGAATGCAATAATAGATTGATTAAGAATATTCAAAATTGGAGTAGAATCGGGGAATCCCCTTGTTCTCAGATCAGTCGAGGATACAGTCAGATGTTTTGATAATGTCTCAAGTACCTTGCTAAACAGGTGACATTTCCGGTGTCCTGATCATGATCTGTGTCTCCAATGGCATATTGGATGATTACGTATACACATTTGCCTCTTTGACACACCTCTAAGACTTTGCACCTTTTCAAAATACCAATTTTGCATATGAAAAGCAAGGGGAGGGGCGAAAAGAACTTTAAGAGGCAAATTGTCGATGAGCACGACAAAGGGAAAAGTTTTGATTTGTTGATTTTACGACAATAGAAAAGTATAGCTATTCGGTTAGACATTTTTATTTATTTCGCGCAGATTTCGCGCTGAATTTTGGGTTGAAATACACCATATTGTTGACTGATGCCATTGCAACCTAACTGAAATATTCCTATTGTATATATTCATTCAGAAATGTATCAGGAAAGCTATTGAATCATGGGCGGCAGAATGGAGATGTGAATGCACTCTTCTCTGAAACTGTGCAGACAATGTTTTGATGAGATTCCCGTGAAACTTAAAAATGCTGTTTTTATCAGAAAATAACAATTTATAGTCCTTTAAAACGTTCAGATTGCACTCGATGACAAAAATGTTCCGGGGTACAATGCCCCCGGACCTCCAAAGATGCCCGGACTTCGGCCACGCAATCATTTAACCGCGCAAAATATGTTTTGGGGAAAACGCATCCCAGTTTTCAAATATTGTTCGATGCCTCTGTGAATCTATCCAATTGATTCCCTTTAGGCTTGATATCATATCAACCAAGTCCATAATTAATGATCAACACAACCAGAGGCCATTTTATTAGAATCATCTGTATTTTTATGTTACGCACCAGCCCTATAATCGGCCAGCGCTGGTTAACGGGCGGAACAACCAAGCACCTAACCTACCTGTGATAATCCATCACCCGGATGACACTCTGTACATTTTTGACAGGAGCTTTTGGAAGATATCCACCTGCGGTTATCACACTGTCTGCACTGTTCCTTTGTCAATGTGCGGTCATTGAAGTCGCCCTCACAGGTCTTTGCATCACAGGTCTTGACGTTAAGGATGGGAACGAGCAGGGCCCCTAGCATACACTGTTAACATAATGCGCAACTAATGGATACATGTGAACAACTGCAGAATGAGCTGCACTACACACTTAATTACTTGAAATATGATGAGGCTATCTTATTTAAATTACGAGGATGCGCAAAATATCATTTTTCTGATCAAGTTCATCAGATATGTCATCAGAATGCAAAAATATAAGAATCTTATGTAAGGGTAATACTAATTGGTGTGTATACACACTTGTACGACTTTGACGTATCTTCAAACTAGAACGGCCATTTGAAAAACTGACTATGGAAAGAAGAAATGTTCAGATATTCCAAACTCTGAATAACTTGTCGAGACTGAGTTACACAAATAAATAAGATGCACTGTTATGTGTCAACTGTATCATGATCATCTTTGGAAAACCAAAATTAGAAAAATGTATTTACATAGCGAGGAGCTAAGTTACTTACCAGTTTGAGCATCTCCATTACCTGTTCGAACTACAATCAACATATAAAAGAAATGAGAAGTCAAATTAACAAGTTTTACGTTTAAACTTGCAATCGAGCAATCATACACTCATTTAGTCTCAATTTTCAGCATCTATTTGATTTGAGTTGTTTCTGTAATTTTGAAAAAGTATGCATTCGAGAGTGGGGTGATCCATAACCTCATGTGATTGTTTTTTCATTGGATATTTCTATCAACATGATATCATAACAAAATAGTTCTGTACAGAAGTACCCTATCACCTGATCACCTGTTTGATTACTGATAAGAGATCAAGAGTTGAGACCACACTTACAATAAAACGATAAAGATCCATTTCAATTTCTTCACTGATATACGATACCAAATCCACTCTTGGAGAATATAATAATAAAATTTCATAATATTTTACTTCAAAAGTCATTTATGTCACGAGAGTGAACTTAACGCTGGTCAGGCACATACACAGGCTTACAAAGTGTCAATTTTGAAAATTATTTTCGATTGGTAAATGTTATGATCAGATTCATAATTTGACTACGTGCAAAATATTCTGATAATGTGGACAAAAATACTTACCATAGATTACTAAATCCTTACATGGCTGTGTGTGGAACCAGCAAAAGTGATCTTGATAATAAACTTATATTATAAATTTAAATTTTAGCTGAACGCAAGATAAGAGGATTAAGTCAACTTGACCCAAAAAAACAAGTATCGGTGATTGTCAAGGTTTTTGTAAATTGTAATTTCTCGTAGTTAAATATTGATACAAATAAAATCGAACGATATATCTCATGATCTTTTTTTACATGGTTGATTGTCTAACTCGTAAACACGCATTTGAATTTACACTCCCCCTCCATAAGTTTGGCAACCTTAGCTCTCCCATTGAACTACAAGTTAAAGCCTCTTTACCTTGGAATTTTTATTTACTTAACCTGCAATGAAAATACTAATACTATTGATGGAAACGTATTTGACTTTATTTCCAATACCTCCTAATTTTCTCAATTTTTTCCTCAAGTATTCAATAGGTCAAAAATTGATGATAAATGTGATGAATTTTTGAAAATCGACATTCCCATGTTTACCAATGGGAAATGGTAGGTTTGCCGCAAGTCATATCACAGAATATCCATCCACCCGAGTCATTGCAAAAAATACAAATTAGGTAGGCAATTGAATTTGCTAACCTTATTTAACAAAAAATTGACAGGTTTCTTCAGGTTCAACAAAGTTTTAGGCCTTTGAAGTCAAAATTGTTTTTCAAAAAAAACTCTCCCATTGAAATAATACAGGAGGCGAAAAGTGATTTTCAAAAATGACTTTGAAGCTCTGTAACTTTAGTATTCATCAAGTAAACTGAAAACTTAGTGTACAAAATTCAATTTTCTATATAAAATATTTTACTGAATCTTTTACTGAATAAATATCCTGATTTCTGACAGGGAATGACGATTTTTAAAAATTGACGATTTTTTAAAAAGTTCATCAAATTCATCATCAATTTTCGACCTATTGTAATTGAGGGAAAAAATTGGGAAAATTTGGAAGTATTGGAATTAAAGTCAAGTTACGTTTTCATTATTATTTTATCGCAAAGTAAATAAAAATTCAAACGTAAAGAGGCTTTAACACGTAGTGCAATGGGGGAGCTAAGGTTGCCAAACTTATGGAGGGGAGTGTTCATTGGATACCATATTTAAGCTTGTAAATGTCTGTACATTAATTTTAATCCTTAATAACAATCATTTGGGAATATTTATAACTGGAAATTGATGCAAATCGGACTTCCTGTCGTCAAACCTATGGAGGGTATCAAATAAGAACAAAATCGGTACACTACTTTTCAAGTTACAGCAAAAATTGTAAAACAGCGTGTAAAGGCCGCCAATTTTTCAATACGGCTGTCATGTGCTGCTTTTATATGTACATTTCTAGCTTTATTAATGTCCTATATACCTTTTTTACATTTGAAACATATTACTATTACAGTTTTACATATTGAACTCAATTATTGTAAAATCGACAGTAAAATGGCCACCATTTTTAAACGAGCGGCCACTTTGAAAATCGGAATTACAACATATACAAAATATAGACCAATTGAGCCAACAGTATTTGAGTTATCGCCCGGATGGACATACGGACGGATGGAGGCGTTACCTATATCCCTCCGAACTTCGTTCGATGGGATAATTAATAAAAGTAAAGGAGAAAATCGTTCGATTATTCCATGTTTTATTCGTTTTTGAATATTATACATTGGTGCCCACTTTATCGGTCGATTCGTTTGCAAGTGTCTTCAATTTCTCAAAGTTGTCTATTATATACTTTGCCAGATAGTTCCTCACATCGACTCTTCCTATTTTATCAATATGCTCAAGCAGATCCAAGACGTTCAAATCTTTTGCATGGATGCATTTTTCAAAAACAGATTCACACTTATCGAGCAGGATCTCCTTGTCGAAGTTGTAAAAGTTATCCTGGTTATCTTCGAAGACAGAGTATGCTAGTTTGATGTAAGAACCCCCTGTATTTAATCTTGTGCATATGCTGCTTCTAACATCTAAGTGTAGTTCTCTTAGTAATAACATAATAGGAAAGCCTGTAAAAAGAATGCATGTGTGTTAAAGTTTGGGGTTGCATATGCTGCTTCTAACATCTAAACGTAGTTCTCTTAGTCATGTTAGTAACAACATAATAGGAAAGCCTGTAAAAGGAATGCATGTATTTTAAAGTTTGGGGTCTGTATTATTTTGGTTATAGGATTTTAAACAAAAACATACTTTGAATAACTATTTTAAGAAATATAAGGTTGTACCTTTGAGTAATTCACAGGCTTTCTCAAACTGTTCTTGACCTGGAGTCTTCGGACTATTTCCGTCTTCGCACTGAATTATGCAATTACTTTCAGTCCTCATTGCACTTTGCACTCTACTTGTACCTTCAGTGGGTGCAGCTATATTACACGGGGGCGGATTATTTAATAATGAATGGTCACACATGTTGTCCTTAGCATTGACCATCAACTCCCTTGTATGTCCTGCAATGGAAGTATTCTAGTCAGTTCTGAAAGGAACTTTGGGCACAATGAGTACAAATAATCAATTCACTAATGGTATTGATATCGTTTAAATCATTATGCAATGTTAACAAGTTATTACCTGTTTTGTGCAGTTCATCACGTATTACCCCAGTCCGTACTTCATTTGCTTTTTGAATCAGTCCGTTACGTTCCCCGATACTTTCAAATTGTTTCAGTTTCTGAATGTCAACGCTGCTACTTTCATCTAATATATTCACATGAATGAATGGTTTGTTGGAATTTTCTACACCATTTTCATCATCTTCTTTGCTCTCGAGGAATCTGAGTTCAACATCATCTGTATTTGATAATAATAGTACAATGTTTATTATAGTTATTACCAATTCGTTATATTACCATAATAATCCATTGACCTCTAACCATATCAGTTTGGTTTGGATTGTCTAAATATTTCTAACACTTTAAATTGCTAAGATCTTACCGCTTTGACTTGAGGAGGTACTGCGGACACCCCCGCTTTCTTCTAGACATAGTATTCCACGTATCTTCAACACAACGGTAACAAGTAAAACAAGGAAGAGTACAAAAACGGCCGAGCCGATAACTGCAGGGAGTATGCCAGCTTTTGCCTCCGTCGACAAAAGAAACGATTTCGGAGGGTCTTTTGCTGTAAAGTAAAGTATATGTTTGAAAAACATCGTACAGGTTTGGCCCTATACGAGAAACCGATGCCTCATCATGAAAATCGTACATCGTACCTCGCATACGTTGAAAACAATACTATGGTATCAAGGGCACGTCGTTTTTTGCACTTTAGGTTATTCCATGATTCCAGAAAATGTACTGCCCGAAAACTTCACAAGGCCCTTACCAGTGAAATATATAGATGACATAAAAATTCAAAAATGAGATACGTTGACGTCAAGTGTAACACAGATTCTATTCCATCGAGAATACATAATTTTTCTACGTCACATGACACTATTAGATTGCTAGTTGCTAACAGTTTCATCATCATTCAGTAATAAAGGTTCTTACAAGAATATGGTTGATCAGTTGACGTCTCATTTCTAGTTCCCCTTGTATTGCTAAAACTGGTGTTGGCACGTTCCTCTTCATATTCTACGGTAGTAACACCTTCACTGCATACACGCAAATCCTCATCTGAAGTTGCTAGACTACACGGATCGCATTCAGTGATCCGATCCGGGTGAAAGTCCATATAGGATGGGATGAAGTACCTAAAACATATATTTATGAATATTAGATCACAACACAAATGTATATTAATCTCAAGTAAATGCCTTTATATTTTAGAGCAACATGTTCATTTACATTTTTCAAATAAAAACTACAAATGCATGTACCCATTCAAACAGTCCCCGCATATGGCTGGCGATTCAGAGGTGGCGACTTTAATGTAGGCACGGTAGAATTCATGACATTTCGGGCTGCTCTTGCACTGTTTGTCATCGTATTTGTCGCTATAGAGATGTTTGTCATGGTCACAGGGAATGCAGCCGATGAATAAATCATTCCCTTTTCCATTCCCACATGACTATAAAAAAACAATACAATAGTAACTTACTTTCCGTATTCAAGAAAAGTAACGTTTACACGTCGCACGAGCGACAAAACAATGACCAGTATAGGGCGCAAATAGCCTTATGACCTCATAAACGACGAGCGTTACATTTTTTCAAGTTTAGTCAAACTAAAAATAAAATACTTTATTCTTATTTAATCATGATAAAATTCACAGGGTAACAAGATCTCGAGGAAAATATTTCTAAAATGTTTTTGAATTTTGAAAAACGTTCAGAAAATCCACTTGAGGCGTTAGTAAAAACTGATATGTGTGGAATTTGTGGTAAAAAATCGATGCGTTTCATTTTTTCAAGTCTCGAAAGTCAGCTCTTATTTTAATATTATTTGTAAAATCAACAAACCGGTTATTGGTGCAAAAATGCCTTGCTCCCGATCCAAAAATTCTAATTACAAAACTTTTATAAAGTAACGATTAGATGGTCTCGGCAAACTGTGGTTCAATGTAAAACAGTCTTCAGACAGTCAAAGTAGAGCTAAGCTTAAGAACAATTCAAGTCATTTGAATTGTCGGTGTCCTAACTTGTTACCAACAACCAATTAATGACATATCAATCCATCAATCTAGCCCTGGTCTCTTTGACTTACCAAAGAGGCAGGTGTTATTGGAAAGGTCTATTATATCTAAAAGTGATTCCAATTGCAGTTTTGGTAATTTAAAACATCTGGCAGGATTTTATTGCTACCCTCATGATCACAATGTGTTAACAAAGGAGGTATCGGAAGTAATATCATTATTTTCTTCAACAAGAGTCTCGTACAATCTTTGATTGTAAATATGTGAAGGACATGCGAAAACATTATTTGCGCTTTTTAAATATTCGATTGAGTGCGTATGTTTGACAATCATTAACCATTTAAGTTGTAGACTAAACACAAAGTTCATTTCAACTCAAAAATAATTCTTTTATAAGACATCCAATCTACTTGTTAAGCGTTAGATCATAAGATACTCATATAATTACAGAGCGTCGACATTATAAACACATGGAGTGACACACACCTGCTCTAGACCCCAGCCAGCATCGCATTTGGGACATTTCATGCAGTTGGCGTCACTGGAGAACCAGTGTCTGTCGTCGCACTTGCCACAATCTTCCTTCGTCATTGAGCAATCGTGGTGGTTTCCATCGCATTGGTCTGTCGAGGCCAGAAAGACAAGGTCTAGCCATATGGCTAGAAGGACTAACGCTCTTCTTGAAAACTAATAAATTCAAAAATTGTCAAAATGATAATATTGTCTTGTCTATCTTGAGTCATAACGGTATGCAAATGGTATCCTATGATGACCAGAGAAAGCTGAGGATAGTTAAATTCTGAAGTCGGCAATATCTAAACTGACTGGATAGAAGTGATGATAACGAATTCAGGGATCACCAAAATCGATAGGATTGGATTGAGATTTCAAATCCATTAATTATACTAATACCGGAAATGGGTTCATGGGAGGCATCGAGATGACTTACCATTGTAGTCTCCATGATCCATTATTGTTGTAACGTGAGTAGGAATGTTAACGAAAATTGAATAGGGCTCAGCCTTTTTGCAGATATAATATACGTTCTTCCTTCAAAGACGAGAGTCCAAATCTTGGGAAGAATTTCTGAAAGAACATGAGACAAAACACAAGAAATATTATTAAAAAGTACACGTCGTAAGTCATCATTATGTCCATCTCCGAATTCTGTCCTAAAATGTGTTAAAAAATTTTGTGACGAACACGAGAACAGTTACGACATGTACGAACGAGAATAGGTAGTTACTTTTTGTAATTATCCGGTATTCTTAGCTTTGTGAATTAATAAAGGTATGCGAGGTAGAGCTATACTATAAGAATATATATATAGATATTGCTGATGCAACTTCTGTTGCATCATGTTGCATCAGCAAGGTCAGGGTTGAAGTAGTTTGTGACGTTCGAGAAAAATGTTAATCAAATATAAAGTGGTCACGCTGACACGCGAATGATTCAAGCGAAGGTGACATCATTTTCTGAATCATAGAATTGACATTAATGTTTTGAGGTATATTTTGATCTACTGTGGATGTCAGAAAGATTTCTCTGTGTGTTTATACTGGTAGCAAGAGATACTTTTGAAGTGCTGTTCTCTTCTGCTTCATCGGTGTGGTAATTGGTAGTAGTTTTTAGTCACCCTATATTCTGAATGATTGTTTGTTATTCTGAACTATGTTTGATTTTTCCACCAATGGAAGAAACCCACGAGAACGCCACTAATACCGCCTTCGCACTTTCCGCTCCCTAATTTTCTGTTTTTGTTGAGACCTCAGTCAACAGCTGGTAACTTCTCATCCTCTTTCACATGTTATCTCTAACATTCCATCCCCTTGTTATTCCGAGTCTAATTAGTAATTTCGTTCGGTTCCGTCATTCTCCTTTCTCTCGCCCTTGCTCCCACTTCTTTCCCATGAGTCGCCTCATTTGAATCCCCTCCCACTAACTTCAAACATAGCTACCGTTTTATCTGGTTCCTTAGCAGTTACCATTCTTGTCTATACCACCGAAAATCTTTCCCATACCCTGCGTAATCTTCCCATTTTCTCTTTTAAGAGCGTATTTCCATTATGAATTCTTTCCTCCGCGTCAGTCTAATTTCCAACCACTTCCCCTCATAAGATTTAGAACTTATTTTGATTAAATTCTGACAGACTGAGTGAGTGTCTTCCGTGCTAATTAAACTCATTAAGAATATCATTAGTGACTTTTACTTACATTGTGTTTTTCAAAATATCTAAGAGAATAATGTTGCTGTGTGTGAAATCACCAGATGATATACACTATACACGGTCAGGCCCGTAGCCAGGCCAAAATTTCTTTCAAAATCATGCAGTTTTTCACCATTCTGTCTATTTTTTGAGTGATTTTTGGTCAAATTTGCCAAAGTGAACCCCCCCCTAGAATTTTTTTGAAGTGAAAATTCTGGCTACGTGCCTGCACGGTTGTGAAATGTTCAGTATTAGGAGACAACCGATGCAGTGCAACCGATGAAGTTTATATCACGGAGATTGCCGAAGTTGCTTTAAGGAACCAATCAAATTCCTTCAAGGATACATGTAGAACTTCGGCAATCTTCGGATGCAATCGTTATTGCATCAGCATGATATCAATGCAATAGAACTTCCAAGTTGTACCAAGGGCGTTACAATACCCGGGAATTTATCGGTTCGTGCAGTACTTGTTTGTGATAGCGCCCTCTGTAGGTCACTGTGCTGAACGAAACGCCACTTCCCGCTGAAATCACCGGGTATTGATCTTTCCCTTGGTTGTACCGAGTGTTGTTGTTCTTTGTATGTAGTCTAGATTCTAGAATGATGTACTGTAAGTACCACGAATGAGCATGTAAGATTTGCTGATAAAACAATCATGTCAACGTGTTCTCTACATTTTTGTAAATCTCTACTTCTAAAAAAGATTGCATATTTTGAATGGTAAAATTCCAGTACCATTCCATTTTTTCATTTTATAAATAGGGGGTTTCAGCTTGCATAAAAATCAAAACGCCAACCTATAAGTATGACCAATCGCCCATACAAATGCATCGCTTCAATATTTTCCGTTCACGTTTTGGTTGTGAAAAACATTGCAAGCTTAAACTCCCTAATATCGCGAGGACATATGAACCTATCCGATTATTCAACAATTGTGATACACTATTTTGAATATAGAAAGAACTTTTGTTAACAGGGCTTAAGACAGTCATTTTGAAAGACTTGATCGAATATTAGCTCCCTACGTCATGAGATAATCCCCGGTACTCTCAGGGCCAGCTAAAAATATCAAGAAATGCACTTGAATCTTTTAACTATTTCACTTTATTTTGATTTCTCATTGAAAAAATACAAACTACATCAGGACGTTTAACAAGAAATACACTGAATATTTGAACTCGTTCTCATTTTTTCATATTTGTAACATCTCATGGAAATTATTTGAACTTTATTTTGCTATATTTTATTTAATACTACGAACTACATTTAATTAGCGTTTAACAAACTTGAAGATACCTGTCAAGACATGCACTTGAATATCTTAACTCTTTTCATTTTTACTTTTCTACATCTTATAGAAATATAGACTTGCCCCAGTCGGTCTCTTTTACCTATCTTGATTTCTATTATTGTAATAATTCAAGATCAGGATAAGTAAAAAAATAACGATTTTGCCAAGGCTTATTGAAATACTACAAACTACTATACCCAGTATAACGTTTAACAAGAAATATACTTGGATATTTGAACTACATTTTATACAAGCTACATTTATAGAGGATAAAATACATGGAGATTTCTGAAGATTGTCAGGTAATGCAGATATAGGCACCCTGCATTGCTAATACTTTTTATTTTTGACTAGCCCTAATCCTTTAACACTGATTTAATTGCCCTGTCACCTATTGGTAAAGCTAGGTTAAATCTTTTTGTTTGCTTAAATCATATAGTAAAGGGGGTCCGAAAAAGACATCGTAATAAATTCGAACTTATGATTTACCAAATTAAAGATAATTAAATTCCCTTAAATGAAATGTTTTCATCAAGATAATCAATGTTCATTTTTGAAATATGAGTGTCAATTTGTTGACGAACCAGCCTGTAAAGCACATTAAAAATTGTTGATCAACACAGGAAAATATATGGGATATTAGGTATCGATTGAAGCAAGATGTATGACTAGCTTACTGATTGTCTGGTAGAATGACTAAACTTGGTCTAATACAATTATAATACTTTTAATATGTATTAGAGAATTTTCGTTATAAGTTTTTTAAAAACTTATACGTATACTTATACTTATAAACCCAATAAACAAGGTGTTTCATAATTTCCTAATTCGTCGGGAAATATTTCCTAGGACGGTAATAAAAAGGGCCAATGGCATACCATCCGTACCCCCTTGATGTAAAGCATTAAAAATTAAAAATTGACCTTATAATTTCATGAGAACTTTGAAATGATCGACTCGTTCGTGTAGTGATTAACTTTAAAGGGTCTTGTTTATCGTACACTACAAGGACCCGTCAACTAGCGTTTAGTTTATCATGTTCATAATTGACACTAGCAAAGGACATTGTATTCGCAGTCCCTAGTTGATGATGGAGCTTGACTATATCGGGAATAGTTATGCCCCACTTGGTACAGATTATGAAAATCAATTTGAATTGGTTTTAGTTCGACAAGACCCTTTAAACTATAAGTATACGTATAAGCTTTTGAAACAACTTAAAACGAAAATTCTCTATTATTAGGCACTAACATATTTACAAATTAACGACACTAAGGTCATACTGTACATAACAAATAGTAAATAAACAAAATAGTTATAGCATGCTCTTATTACATTCCTACATGTATATTGCTTACAAAACCATTCAAATTGCAAATAATAACTCCACAAGTGCTAAGTACATTTTCACTCTTGCAAAATATCACTTACATATTGTGATAATGCAAAGCTAAGAAACTCTTCAAATACTAAATATAATTAGCACTGGTGATCCGCTCAATTACTCCGACATTTTGTTACTGAAAAGAACGAACCGTTTCGGTAACCAGCGTAATCGAGTGGATCACCAGTGATTAGGCCTACTGATTAATATATTGCTTACATGTTGTATGATGCTAACCTCACTTGAAATCAAAATCTATGTATATACACTGCTTTAACTTAACACATGGTATATTGATTTGAGCTAAATATGTACAAGATTGGTATAATTTCTCACTCAACAGTTAAAGCTCATGTTGCATTACATGTTATACAATGTTATGGTTTTTTCAATAATGTGAAGCACTAAATCTGATTAGTTTTTTCTTCGTGCAGAACTGTTTCTTTAAGTACATGTACAGGTGTATGTGTTTTGTTCCTGTTTTGCAATATCATTATTGCAACAAATGCTATATTTTCTGCTATATTTTTCACCAATATGTCAAATTTGGTGAAACTTCATGGAAGTAATGCTATTTATCCCATACTTGGACGTGTTACAGGTACATAAAGCCAGTTTGTAAAAACTTATATTTTCATCAGCGGGCAGATATTGCTTTACGTCCCGCTCTGAGCGGGCAGATATAGTATATCTGCCCGCTACGTCATAATCGCCGCTCGCATATTTGTTCATAATTTGTAACGTTCGCGTAATGACTGTAAACGACAATGGAGAAAACACAGATAATCGGGATTTGTTTGATGGTTTAAAAAAGAGAAGGAGCATCCACTTAATCAATCAGAAATTTGAGAAAATAAATGTGGGAATATTTGAGAGAACAGGAAAATCCACTCACGGCCAAGAAAACAAAACTGGACATGACTATTCTAAAATATTTCCACGATTGAACAATGTGAACCAGATGACCAAGATTGGTATGGGATAAACATATTATCTTATAGTCGGTTCAGGATATTGGGATTATCCCTTGGCCAATATAATATATTGTCCCTTGGGACCTGCGGCCCTCGGGCAAATATATTATATTTGCCTCGGGATAATACCAATATCCTGAACCTCATATAGGATAATCTATATATATTCCATATTGGTATTGTGTTTTTTATTGTGAATTTTAAGTCATGTGATATTCTAAGCTACTCGATGGGCTTTCAAGAGAGCCCATGGCTATTCTAAGATTACATTTTCCACCTACATACTTTCCATAATGACCACTTAGTGCAACTAAGAGATAGCTTCTAACCAGAGGTAAAGTAGAGGTTTTAGTGAATTTCTAGTTTAATACATTAAGTTGACCATGCTGCATAGACATGTGATTTAATAGCATATCGGATGATTGAAATTCTTTCAGACAGAGTTCACAATAAAATACCACGCCACTTTCACGTTTGCCTTCAAATCTCACTGTTTCTTTATCAGATGCAACCCCCTGTTTAACTTTGACAGATTTTCTCAATTGTTGTTCAGGAGAGCTTCCTCCAGATTTGTTATTACATGAATTGCCAGCACCATCGCCTTTATGTTGAGTAATACTATGCTTATTCAAGGCAGCCTTTTGAGAAAATTCTTTGTGGCAAATTGTACATTTGTACAGCTTCTCATGAGTGTGTCTAGTATTAAAATGATAGTTTAGAGCAGCCTTTTGAGTAAATCTTCGTGAACATATACTACATTTATAAGGTTTTTCACCTGTATGAATTCTTAAATGGTTAATAAGTATCTGTTTTTGTGTAAATCTACGCATGCAAATGCTACATTCATGAGGTTTTTCACCTGTATGAGTTCTTAAATGGTACACAAGTGCCTGTTTTTGTGTAAATCTACGCATGCAAATGCTACATTCATAAGGTTTTTCTCCTGTATGAGTTAGCAAATGAACTTTTAATGATTGTTTGTTACGCAACTTCTTTTTGCAGATAGTGCATGTTGTATTTTGTCCAGCAAATGTTTTAAAGTGTTTCTTTTTGCCAGCTCTATTTTCATTACTTTCAGGCTCCTCTCGAAAATTACTCATTTTTACATTTTCCTGACTAAAAGTGTGCCCATCAGTCTGTCTAAATTTTTCAGAATATTTTTCACCTTCATAGTTTCTTTCATTAGATTTGTTTATCAAATTGGCATGATGTGTTCTCATGTGAAGCGGAAGAACATTTTTATATTTGAATTTCTTTTCACAAATCTCACATTGGTATTTCATTTTTGTATTTGGTACAACTGGTGCTTTGCTACTGGATTTAACTCCCATGGATTTAGTGGTGTGAACTCGCATATGGAGAAGTAAATGGTTACTATATTTGAATGTTTTTGAACATATTTCACATTTAGAGTTCAATTCATTTCCAGCAATTGGCCCAGAAGTTTTGTGAATGAGCATCATATGTTGCTTGAGAACTTGCTTAATCCTAAAGCGCTTGGAGCATATTTCACAGCTAAAAGGCTTTTCACCTGTATGTGTTCGCAAATGATGTCCAAGTGATTGTTTAGAGCATAACACCTTGTAACAAATCTCACATCTAAAATCTTTCTTTGTAGTTATTGTCACTGTATCATTACTACATTCATCCTTGGCTTGACTTTCAATTCTGATTGAATCATTGCTTGTTTCAATATCACTGTTATCTATATAACCTAATGGGGTGTCACATCTGTCAACTTCAGCCACAGACTCACAGGACACTATCTTTATACCTAATTTATTATCACTGTTATCTTTCCAATGCTCTTCAATAATTGAATCACCACCACCTTCACCATTGGGTTCAGTGTCCAACACTTTCTCTGTGCTTTTGAGGGAGTTAATGAGTGAATGTGTCTTCATATGGTCAACCAATGCATCATTGTTTTTGAAATAACATGCACATATACCGCATTCATATGTAGTCTCATTGGCCATGGTTTCACCTGGTTTGAAGGGTTGATTGGTGGTCTTTGATGCTTTGGCTGCAGCTGCTTCACTCTCAAGGTAGGCAGCATATTCATCATCACAGAATGGTATTCTACCAGGATATGTTGGAAAACTTCCTGCAATATATAAAATACTACAATACAAAACTATAATTTATTGAATGATTTGAAGTGCAATACAGGATATATTGTGCTTGAGAAATTCTGTTCTGGCTTTTACTATTGAGAGCACAATATATCCTGTATTGTACTTCAAATCATTCTATGTTATCGTGTGATCTCTGTATTGCTACTGAGATGATAAATGGGGACAATCTCAGTAGCAATACAGATTGGTACAGCACAAGAACTGACCAAATAGATGGCTTCATTTTACGGAACAGACGACAAAAAGATTTACAGATTGAAAAGTACTGTAACATCAACATTAAAGAAACATGATCTTAGGCATTATTTATATTATTATTTATTTTTCTCAACTTTTTAATGTTACAATCTATAAGTGTATGATTGTTTTCTATGATCTTCTTAAGTTAGTAAAAGTAATTTCAAAATATTCCGTAAAAGACCAGACATTATATGGGAAAGTATTGTAGACAGTCATAAATGTGATAAAAATGAAAACAGCAAATACCATGTTATTTTAATAAATCCATTTTGCCGATTAGTTTCAACCTAATTTTGATCATCATTCTACCTTTGAAAAAATTACAAATCTCTTGATGCAATAAAGATGAGAAAACAAGATCATCTTTGAAGAAATCATGACATATTGAAAATATGTTGAGGTAAGGTCCTAAGCTATAGAGCCAGATTAATGACTCAATACTACTGCTTGTCGAGTTTCTAAAGCTTTTGAAAAATTGAATCATTTTTACAATGATGTTTTTAGAAACTGGATCAAGATTACATGGCATTCTACACAGATGTATCCTTAATCCTCTATAATTCATTATAGATGTGAATGGTATATTCTTGTCTTAAAGCAATACAAGTCTGTAAGCAGTACACCAATATAGACTTTTTATTCCCTTTGTAACCACAAACATGGTATTTAACAAACAAAATGTCACCAACCACCATTTTTTATAGATGCCAAATGCCTGACAGCATGTGACAAATGTAGTTACAAAAAAGGAGAACATAACAACAAAACAAAGTAATATAATATTCTAAACTGAAGTAATTTTTATTTTCCTTTTAAAACAATAGGTAATATCTTATACATTGTCTGCTGAGCATAATACTTTATTTTTCAACTACAGTTTTGTAAAATAATTTACTTCATACATTGTTATAATACATGATTGTACATTGCTTTATAAATGAAGATACCCTTGTATATTATAATCTTCATAAATGAGGGTGATAATTGTATATTGCCTTATAAATTAAGACAACCTCTCAAAACAGAAATGACATTAGTTGTTAAAATGTGTTTTATTATATGTGTAGACACAGTTAGGTATCTTGACAATATATGGTTTTATTATGCACCTCATTAAAATATTCAAATCTAATTGGTTAAGAGCTGCAGGGTCTATTGCCATACGTGGCAGCAAGATCTCGTTCTATCCAGTATTGAAGCAACGAGATCTCCAACCATCCCGTATGCCAGAATACCTATCCTCGAAAAAAATACTTTCGGCGAGTCTATTTGTCGATGACGTCATTTTCTTAGAATCTCCTCCATGTTGAATTTGAGATGAATGCGAGGGAGAAATGATTTGCGTGATATGAGAGAATGAGATTTTTGTTCAATTTCCTGTGATTAACTGACAAAAGGTAGGTGGCGCTAGATAAGGCATCGGCCAAACTTATTATATATGGAGGGAATACTTAAAATATAAGGCCAAATGAGAGAATAAATGGAATTTTTGATTGTCACCAGGGTTTTTAGAGTATAGACTCGGCTTCTGTTTAAGTAGACCCATTCATTCTCTCGAAAAGAAATACTAGGCTCGGCTTCGCCTCGCCTAGTATTTTTTCCTCGGATAGGTATTCTGGCATATTCACCTCATGGTCATCCAGTATTTGTTTAGTATATTGCTTTCTAAATCAAGCCAACACATACTTGTTTTCTAAAACAAGATTAAAACATTGATATACATTTGTACAGTTAGGCACTCTTTCAATATGATTGTAGATTATTTTATAAATCAAGGCAATGCCTTTGGATATAAAACAACATATGTTTTGCTAAAACTTAGATTATATGTGTGTATTTATACATGTGTATTGCTAAAATCAAGGCAACATGTCCTTGTTTTCAAAAACAAGATTAAATATTGATATATGTACAGTAAGGCTCTCATCCAATATATTATTGTATATTGTTTACAAATTCGGATTGCATTTGTTATTGAAGCTTGTTTCCAAAACTAAGATTACAGTTTGGCAATCTTGCAATATATGTGATTGTAGATCCCTTAAACTAAGGCACTGCTCTTGTTTACAACACTGCGATTACATGTTTCGCTAAAGCTAAGATCACATGTGTAGATACAGTTAAGTACTCCTGCTATATTTGATTGTATTGTATTGCTAAAATCGATGCAAAGTGTCGTTGTTTTCAAAAACAAGATTAAATATTATTATACACAGTTAGGGGCTTGGTCAATGTTTCAATGTCCATCAAAAACATAATTTATTTAATTAGGTCTTTAACCTCCCCCCCCCCCATCCTCCTCCTAACGAAAGTCAAATTGATTCACCCACAGTATAAACAAGTCAAAATGTTGATTTGCATACAGCATACAAGTACAAGCCCAGCATACAATATCTACTTCTGCTTTAAACAACACATCAAATTCTCTAGCTGTTGCATATTTAACGATTATACCATTGCAGAAGATTAATATCTGGGAAACTAAAAAACAATGTCCGTCACCCAATTAAATGGGGCTTTACCCCCTCCCTAAAGTTATTTATTACGTTTTTTGAGGGACATTGAAATATTGACCCAGCCCCTTAGGTACTCTGACAATATATGATTGTATATTTCTTTTAAAATCAAGGCAACATGTAAGATTTCAAAAATAAGATTAAATATTGATATATACACAGATACTCTTGCAATATATGATTGTATTCTTTCATTAAATAAAGTGGATGCCCTTGTTTACAAAACTGGGATTGCATGTGTTGTTAAAGTTTGTTTCCAAAACTAGATTGCAGTCAGGCAATCTTGCAATATATGTGATTGTAGATTCTATAAATTAAGGCATTGCCCTTGTTAACAAAATTGAGATTACATTTTTACTAAAACTAAAACTAAGACCACATGTGTAGAAACAGTTAGGTGCTCTTGCTATATTTGATTGTACATGTGTATTGCTAAAATCAAAGCAATATGTCCTTGTTCTCAAAAATAAGAAAATATTGATCATACACTGTTATGCTCTCTTGCAATATACGTATGTTTGTAAATGGTTTCTCTGGAATTTGGACAAGATTCATGGAAAAATTCAAAATGGCCACCAAGCAATTTACCGAGCATGCCCTGTACCTAATCTTATCTTGACACTCAGAGTTTGCTCTTACATGTGTAAAAAATTCAATTTGGATGGATGAGTTGCTTTCTTGGAATTTTTATGACAAGATCTATGAAGAAATTAAAAATGGCCACTAAGTAATTTACACAGCATGCCCTAAATGTTATTAGATCTTGATACTAGTCTGCCCTTGCATCAAGTTGAACAGGTAACCAGTTATTGATTTAAGTGAGGCAAACGCACTCATCCATCCGCACGTACATCAGCTCAAGATGTCGACAATAAAGCACTTTTTTAAAGTGTGATAAAAATCATAGGTCATCAACTTCATTTTTCATAATTGCTCTTTAGAAAATATGCTTTTTGTCTAATATATTTAAGAAACAAAGACAGATTTTATGATTTATGGCGTAATATATGACCGAAAATTTTATTCTGTTCATTGTCTTTGGCAATTGCCAGAATAAAATTTGACATACATCATAAACTTGAGGTCATTGTTACGATTCTAATATGATAATAAACAGACAAGAAACACAACTATTTACATTCATGAATTTTAGCGGTCAAACATACTCCAATATAGAGCAACAAATCAATTGTTCTAGTTCTAGTTATTGTGATGTCACATATCATACGAGCTCGTATTAGAATGTCTTTTATATGCAAGTGCAACTTAAATATATTAAAATGCCATTACTATGCATAATTCATTAAATCCATCAAAATCATACATCAATATAAAAGTAAAAACTCACTTTCCAAAATCTCAAAATGTAAATGTCCTGATTATATTAACTTTCCACTTTTTCAACATATTAAGACCATTCTTATAGTGGTGCCATAATAACAAAACCATAGTGAATGATGATGATAATTCAGCTTATTCATAAGGGTGATGCTTTCTTCTATGATACCACACACTGCTCTTATGAGCAAACTTCATATGACAAATTGTACAACTGTAAGGTTTCTCTCCAGAGTGAATCACCAAATGTGATTGCATATTTTCCTTAGTGTAGAACAATTTGCTGCAAACTTCACATGGAAACCTCTTACCTTCTCTATTATGAGTTTGTAAGTGATTGTCCAAAAGAGTTTTTGTAATGCTACTATAGGCGCAAATGCTACATTTAAATGGTTTCTCACCAGTATGGCGTCTATAGTGAATTTTGAGTGAAGTAGAAGAGCTCAAATATTTACCACATACGTCACATTTGTATGATGTATGTTTATTTGAGTTGCTCATATTTACAGAGCTGGGTCCATGATTGAAATCCATGTGATATCTCATGTTTTGTTTAGTGTAGAAATGTTTCTGGCAAATATTACAAGTGAATGGTTTTTCACCTGTATGTCTTCTCATATGATAAGTAAATGACAATTTTGTCGAGCACACTTTTTTACATATTTCGCACGTGTGAGATACTGGTTTTCTTTTTCTTCTGTTTTTGGAAGTTCTAGCAGTTTCAGGTATTTTATTCAGAAACAAAGGCTCAAAATGATGAAGATTGTGTTTGTGAGATTGTGACTTTATGTTATGTTCTGAGTGCTGCATTGATATGTGTTTTAAAAGCATATCAGAAGATTGGAATTCTTCATGACATCGATCACAATAAAGTTCTTGGCTTCTTTCACTTTTGGGTTCAAATGTTATAGCATTTTCACCTGTTGCTATTTGACATGCTGAATTGTCAGGTTCTCTCAAATAGTTCTTCGGGGATTTATCACCTTTATGTTTAACAATATCACATTTAAGTGAATGTGCAATTAAAGACTTCTTACGAGCAAACTTACTTGAACAAACAGTACATTCATAAGGTTTTTCACCTGTATGAATTCTTAAATGATTAATAAGAATATGCTTGTATGCAAACCTATGTAAACAAACACTACACTCATAAGGTTTTTCACCTGTATGGACTCGCATGTGATATTTTAGTGACTGTTTGCTACTTAATGTCTTCTTGCAGACTTCACATGTTGTATTGAGTCCAATTGGGGTTTTCTGGATGTTTTTCTTGCTAGTTTTGATATTTGAAGGATTACCTGTGTTTTTAACACTTACAGGGACATCACAGTTACTCAAAGTAAGACTGAAATTTTCACTGACCTGACTTTTGTTGTGCTCGTTGATCTCACTTTGCGAATATTTTGCATTTGCACCTTTTTTATCTGATTTATTTGTGAGTGTATTATGACGTGTTTTCATGTGAAGTGGCAGCACATTTTTGTATTTAAACCTTTTGTGACAAATCTTACATTCATATGGCTTCATTTTTGTGTCAGATTCACATTCACTGCTAAATTCACTCCCACTATTATGTTGTTCAGAAATTTTGTGTATGTGGAACATATGATATTTCAGACTTTGTTTTGCTGTAAAACACTTATAACAAATCTCACATTTAAATTCTTTTCTTGCAGTAATTGTCACTTCATCATTTTTATATTTGTCCTTGGCTTGATGATCAATTCCGTTTAAAACATTGCTTGTTTCACTATCACTGTTTTCTAAACAACCTAATGGGGTGTCACATCTGTCAACCTCAGCCATAGACTTACAGGACACTATCTTTATATCTAAACTATTTTCACTGTCATCTCTTTTATGCTCTTTCATGATTAAACATTCTTCATCATCAGGTTTGGTGTTCAACACTTTCTCTGTGCTTTTGTAGGACTTAATGAGTGGTGCTGTTAAATGTTTTTTGTGTATCTTCATATGGTCTACCAATGTATCATTGCTCCTAAAATAAGTGGTACAAACACCACACTCAAATGCAGTTTCAATTGTCCCAGTATAAACTGTTTCAATTGTCCCAGTATGACCTGTTTCAATATGACCAGTTTTAGTGTGCTGATTTTTGGTGTTGGTTGCTTTGGCTGCAGCTGCGGCCGCTTTACTCTCTATGTAGGCAGCAAAGTCATCATCACTGAATGGTATCTTAGAATGTGTTGGGAAAGTCCCTGAAAGACATAAGTGATATAATGATTGCTGTATCAATTGAGATATGAGTGCAAGACAAAAAAAACAAATAGGCATTGATATGACAAGGTGTGAAGACCATGAAAGGGTGACCATTGTTATGTGTCTGCATATGCAAGGAGGCATACTTTTTGAGAACTTCTTCGAGTCAAATAATGTAAACACTGCATTTGCACATCAGAAGACATTACATAACAGTTTTCATACTGAGGAAGCAAAAAGGACTGGAAGATATTCTGCAAGTGTTTGCTAGTTAACTTTAATTTTAAAGTACACAAAGGGTTAAGCAGTCTGCCGATCTTTTCCAAGACACTTTATCTGCTCACCAAATTTCAGGTTTGGATGCAACAACAATGATATTTTGATTATTTCTTGTGAACACAAGTCTAGCAATATGTAAGCGCAAGTGGCAATGGGAAAATACCAAAAATGGTTACAGAACACAGCAAGAAAAAGAAAATATCCAAGAGTATGCCAGTCATGGAAAATATACCCCAACTCCATTCTACCTTTGAAAAAGTTATACATGTCTTGTCAAATAATCTGTTTCAGAAATAAAGACAAAAACGATATCCTTTTTAAAGAAGATAAGTCTGATATTTTGAAAAATATGTTGGGGTAGGAATAGGATCCTAACCCATGGTTTTTAGGAGGCCCCAATGGTTGGTCTCGTATCAATTTTATAGATATTGTTCTTTATCTATTCTTTATTAGGAGGCCCAACATTGGCCTCCTATTAATTTTATAGATATTTAGAGGTTATGTCACTATCGTGGCATATATGCCCGAGGTCTCAGTGATATATGGCCCGACCTTGGGAGGGACATTGATCTCTGAGAACCGAGGGCAAATGTGCCACGATAGTGACATAAACGATTTATAACATACCTATGATGATGTAGACTGGTCAGAGAGTACCGTTTTCTTATAGAATTGACAAACAAATGGTTTGAAAATGATTGAAATGAGTTTAGAAAAATCGCTCGCGCAGTTTTATCTTCGATTGATTGGTTATGACGTCAATGCCTTGACCAATCAGAAAGTTAGCGGGCGCGGGCTTTTCAAAACTTATATTGGCCCGCTGTCTTGTGTACACTTTGCACTATACATCGTCATAGGTATGTTATAATATTCTTTATTTAGTTAGTTTATTCTTTATTTATTCTTCTTAACACCTTTCTCCTACTTCCAACTAACTTTTTACTATCTCCTAAATGCACCTTCCAGGGACCTTGGTTAAACTTGGCAGGAAAGAAATTTTTATCTAGGTCAAGGTCAAAATCTAGGTCAAATCAAAGTTTTTTTAAGTTTCACAAATCCTGACACTATACTTCAATATTTTGCCTGAATTTTTGCATACTGATAGATATTAGTGTTCTATTTGTGTTAGCCTTTTTGCCATCTAGACATATTTTGTCCAGATTTTGAGATATTGAAGGTCAAAAAAGGTATTTTTCAACTTGCTCCAAATTGACAATTTTTTTTGAAAATCATCTGCAAGTTCTCAGGAACTCAAAACTGACATTACTTTTGACCTTTGACATAAGGATGACCTTCAGTGACCTTCAAAAGTCAAAAGTTGATTTTTCAAATTGATTTTCTGGATTCACATTTAGGTATAGTTAATCACAAAAGACCTACTGAGATCTAAAAAAGTAAATTCGCAAGGTCAAAGGTTAAGGACATCAAACTAAATCACAAACTGTTTTTTCTAAGTTTCTCAAAATTGATCACTACAAATCAATATTTTTGTATCAAAGTCGAGATATATGTTCCTCTGATGGTTCTACACATATTTGCAATTGCAATTTGCAATTCAACGTTACAGGATTTCCTTTAGAATCTTTGAATCAGAATGGTATAGCACACCATACTGTTACTTTCTCAAGCCTTGTGTTTGTGAAGGGTTATGAGCAGCCAAGAATATCATGTTCTGGTTATTGACAGGTCAAGATAGGTGAAAGTGAGCTTTTTCATACACATCATTCACGAAAATGGACATGATGATTTGATTGGCAGCCATCAAAAATGTCATACATAAAAATGTTAATGCGGAACAAAACTGACATCAATTCTTAGTCATCTCAGAAAGTTTGAGACCATTCATGCCAATAATGATTAAGTAAATATATTTAAAAATCAGTAACATTTTTGGCCCATCCTGTATGATTGTAAATGGTTTTCCTTAAATTTTGATGACATGATTTATGGAAAAATTCAAAATGGCCACCAAGTAATTTACCCAGCAAGCCCTGAACCTAATCATATCTTGGCACTTAGAGTGTTCTCTTACATGTGTAAAAAATTCAATTTGAACGGATGAGTTGCTATCCTGGAATTTTTCACTTTTTTAAAATGTTATGAAAATCATAGGTCATTGATTTCGTTTTTATAGTTACTCTTCAGAAAATATGTTTTTTTTGTATTTTTTGTCTCATGTATTGTCTATCATATGCAAGTGCAACTAAAATACATTAAAATGCCATTAATGTGTATAATTAATTAAATCCATCAAATCATATAACAAGATAAAGTGAAAAACTCATTTTTCAAAAATCTCGAAATGTATTGTCCTGATTATAAACTTCCCACTACTTTAACATATTAAGACCATTCTTATTGTGATGCCATTACAAACAAAACCACAATGAATGATGATATACTTTGGCTTATTAATTAGGGTGATGCTTTCTTCTATGATACCACACACTGCTCTTACGAGCAAACTTCATATTACAAATTGTACAGCTGTGGGGTTTCTCCCCAGAGTGAATCACCAAATGTGATTGCATATTTTCCTTAGTGTAGAACAATTTGCTGCACACTTCACATGGAAACCTCCTACCTTCTGTATAATGAGTTTGTAAGTGATTGTCCAAAAGCAGTTTATTAATGCTACTATAGGCACAAATGCTACATTTAAATGGTTTCTCACCAGTATGACGTCTATAGTGAATTTTGAGTGAAGTAGAAGAGCTCAAATATTTACCACATATGTCACATTGGTATGGTGTATGTTTATTTGAGTTGCTCACCAAACTATTTACAGAGCTGGGTCCATGATTGAAATCCATGTGATATCTCATGTTTTGTTTAGAGTAGAAACGTTTCTGGCAAATATAACAAGTGAATGGTTTTTCACCTGTATGTCTTCTCATATGATATTTAAGTGACAATTTTGTTGCGCACACTTTTTTACATATTCCACATGGTTGAGATACTGGTTTTCTTTTTCTTCCTTTTTTTAAAGTTTTAGCAGTTATAGGTATTTTGTTCAGAAACAAAGACTCAAAATGATGAAGATTGTGTTTGTGAGATTGTGACTTTGTCTTATTTTCTGAGTGCTGCATTGATACGTGACTTAAAAGCCTATCAGAAGATTGGAATTCTTCATGACATAGATCACAATAAAGTTCTGGGCTTATTTCACTTTTTGGTTTAAATGTTTTTGCATTTTCACCTGATGTCACGTGACATGCCGTATTGTCAGCTTCTCTCAAATATTTCTCCATAGATTTCCCACCTTTATTTTTAACAATATCGCATTTAAGTGCATGTGCAATTAAGGACTTCTTGTAAGCAAATCTTCCAAAACAAATAGTACATTCATAAGGTTTTTCACCTGTATGGGTTCTGGTATGAGTGCGAAGTGTTGTATTTTTTCTAAATCTTCGTAAACAAATAGTACATTCATTAGGTTTTTCACTTGTATGGGTTCTGGTATGATCCCGAAGTGTGGTTTTTTTTCTAAATCTTCGTAAACAAATAGTACATTCATAAGGTTTTTCACCTGTATGAGTTCTTATGTGATCCTGAAGAGTATTCTTTTTTCTAAATCTTCGTAAACAAATAGTACATTCATAAGGTTTTTCACCTGTATGAGTTCTTATGTGATACTGAAGAGTATTCTTTTTTCTAAATCTTCGTAAACAAATAGTACATTCATAAGGTTTTTCACCTGTATGAGTTCTTATGTGATCCTGAAGAGTATTCTTTTTTGTAAATCTTCGTAAACAAATAGTACATTCATAAGGTTTTTCACCTGTATGAGTTTTTATGTGATACTGAAGAGTATTCTTTTGTCTAAATCTTCGTAAACAAATAGTACATTCATAAGGTTTTTCACCTGTATGAGTTCTTATGTGATCCTGAAGAGTATTCTTTTCTCTAAATCTTTGTAAACAAATAGTACATTCATAGGGTTTTTCACCTGTGTGAGTTTTTGAATGCTGGAGTAGATTGTATTTGCGTGCAAATTTACGTAAACAAATAGTACATTCATAAGGTTTTTCACCTGTGTGAGTTTTTGAATGCTGGAGTAGAATGTGCTTCTGTGCAAACTTACGTAAACAAACAGCACATTCATAAGGCTTTTCACCTGTATGAGTTTTTGAATGCTGGATGAGAATGTTCTTCTGTGCAAACTTATGTGAGGTAGTACATTCATAAGGTTTTTCACCTGTGTGAGTTTTTAAATGGTTGAGTAGACTAGTCTTCTGTGAAAACTTACGCAAACAAACAGTACATTCATAAGGTTTTTCACCTGTGTGAGTTCGTGAATGCTGGATTAAAACTTGCTTGTGTGCAAACTTATGTGAACAAACACTGCACTCATAAGGTTTTTCACCTGTATGGACTCGCATGTGACATTTTAGTGAATATTTGCTACTTAGTGTCTTATTGCAGACTTCACAGGTTGTATTTAGTCCGTCCAGAGTTTTCTTGCTAGCTTTAACATTTGGAGAATAATCTGTATTTTTAACACTAACAGGGACATCACAATTACTCACAGTGAGATTGGGATTTCCACAGACCTGACTTTTATTGTGCTCATTGATCTTACTTTGTGAATCTTTTGCACTTGCACCTTTTTTATCAGATTTATTTGTGAGTGTATTATGACGTGTTTTCATGTGAAGTGGCAGCACATTTTTGTATTTAAACCTTTTGTGACAAATCTTACATTCATATGGCTTCATTTTTGTGTCAGGTTCACATTTACTGCTGAATTCACTCCCACTAATATGTTGTTCAGAAATTTTGTGTATATGTAACATATGATATTTCAGGCTTTGTTTTACTGAAAAACACTTGTAACAAATCTCACATTTAAATTCTTTCCTTGAAGTAACTGTCACTTCATTGTTTTTACATTCATCTTTGGCTCGACTATCAATTCTGTTTGAATCGTTATTTGCTTCACTATCAGTGTTATCTATATAATATAATGGGGTGTCACATCTGTCAACTTTAGCCATAGACTCACAGGACACTACCTCTATATCTAAATTAACATCTCTGCCATATATTCTATGCTCGTCCATAATTAAACATTCACCATCATTTCCATCAGGTTTGGTGTTCAACCCTTTCTCTGTTCTTTTGTGAGAGTTTATCAGTGGTGCTGTTAAACATTTCTTATGTATCTTCATATGGTCTACCAATGTATCATTGCTCCTAAAATAAGTGGTACAAATACCACACTCAAATGTAGTTTCAATTGTCCCAGTATGATCTGTTGCAATATGACCAGTTTTGACTTGCTGATTTTTGGTGTTGGTTGCTTTGGCTGCAGCTGCAGCTGCTTTACTGTCAAGGTAGGCTGCATAGTCATCATCACAGAATGGTATCTTACTAGGATAAGTTGGAAAAGTCTCTGAAATACATAAGTGATATGATGATGCCTCCGTCAGTTGTATTTGAGAGCATAATAACAAGATAAGACATTGATATGACAAGTGTCAAAGCGTAAAGCGTAACAATACTGCTATTTAAAGTGATACAAGGATGAGGTAAAAATGAAGCATGCGGTTGGTACACTGCAAATAGCACAGACAACATGCTATTAAAAGGGTAAGGAAGGATTGACTTGGGTTGAGGTAAACTTTTTGATTGAAGAGCTGTGGCAAATTCAAATACTTTTTGGTCTTGATGGTGATGATTGTATCATAAGGCGAGCTCACTGGTGAAAAAAAAATTAAAAACAAGTTGCAAAATAGATCAAATTGTAGAAGTATGTTAAGTAAATAAATCATGGATAAGTATAACCCATGTGATTTTAATTGGATATGATCAAAAGAATTAGCTCATGATAAAACCATGATCTGAGTCGTATTGCAAAAAACTGGAAGTTAAAACACATGCTGTTCCTTAACAACATGAATCTGAAGAGAAATTTACAAGAAAAGTTCATTCAGAATGCCCACTACTTGAATTGAAATTGATGGCAGTGAGCAAATTAGGTGCCCGACACCAGGCATTTACAGCACTGTGCTTGGGTCAAGTCACATATGAAAATCTATCAGTTGCTATAAAAATTGATTTAGTTAGAGTACAATAACTATATGATGAAATACCATAGCTGGCTTTCAAGCCTACCTGCATGTCCTGTGTAGTTTAATTCAGGCCCGGGAATTCAGCTATGCATATATTGCATATTTTTCTAGGAAGTCTGTCTGTGTTTTCCCTTTTGGTTTAACTAAGGAATGCTAAAAGTGCTTGTGGTCCCAAACATATCACATGTCCCAAACATTTTTCTATGTCTGGTACTTACACGACTGTAATTGAATCAATCATTGTGTTCAAAATTTTCAAAACCTTTTTCATTTATACTCTATTCTGAATGCAAAAGTTGTTTGCTTTTTAAAATTATCAATGGACAAACATTTTGAAATCATAATCTGTTGGATTAACACCCAAACAATATATTTAATCGTATTCAATTTGTCAAAAAAAGTGTATTGATTTAGAGCTAGAAGACACAAGTAATTTGCTCGCACTTTGACTCAGATCTAGAATGCATTCTGTTCACTTTTGAGGCGCATCATGTCAAGTGAGCAACCAAACTAAAACTATGTGGAAGTATTTTCTAAAAAAGTCAAACATTCAGAAGATTTCAGGAAAATATTATGTTTTTTCAGGAATGTTAACAATATTTTTGGTGTATCAATATTTGAGACTGCATCGATACACTTATTGTCACCAAAGGAGCAGAGGGTATCAATATATCGATCAATCATGGGACTCCTATATTACACTAACATTTCCCTTGTTGATCACCAACAAAAAAAGTAAATATACTTTGCATTTTATTACATTTTACTTTATTTTCACCTTATACATATGCTTTATTTTTCAACCTCAATTTTCTGCACTGCCTTATAAAGGCACTAATATTTGTTATTATATTAGTGGGATAGCAATGTTTATACATGCATTTACATTATAAAATCTCTGCATGCATGCACTAACCATTTAAAAGCATTGGCTAATAGTATTCTTAACATAACATTACACGAGCCATGGTAAAATTACATTTGTATTATAAGCGCAGCCTTGAACAATTGCCATGAGACACATACAGTGCATCTTTAGTGAATTAGCTCTGTTTAGGTAATTAAAAAAAACAATGTGATTTTTATGCAAATTTCCAACAAGTGAGTTGAACAGAAGAGCTCCATTCTGATATTCTGATATTCTGATCCTCATAGCATCTTTCTATTTCACCCCAAGAGTTATAACTGTCAATAAGTGTACTTGTTATCATGTAATCATTTACCTTAATGTCAATACATTATATTATAGGCATTGTATTTAATAGCAGATATAAGAACAGGCACAGGTACACAAGTTTTACGACCCCAATTAGATGAAATATGAGCTTGGATGAAATATCTCAAAATTCTCAACTTTGAGCTCTCCTAGATCGCCAAATCAAGCTCATTATATCATGGCATCTCAGGGCTGAGAAGAAATGAGATTTCAATTCGGTTTATTATGATGGAAGAGCTCAAATATTTACCACATTGGTCTCATCAGTATGATGAGATTTTTATTTGAGCTGCTCACCAAACAATGTACAGAGTTCGGTCCATGGTTGAAATGCATGAAGTATCTGACACTTCTGGTAAATGAAACAACTGAATGGTCTTTCACTAGTCTGTCTTTTCAAAAGATATCGAAGCAACGTCATTGTGGTGTACATTTTTTTGACATATTTCACATGGGTGAGAGATTCTTTTCTTTTCTTTTGGAGGTTTCAGCAGTTATAGGTATTTTGAAATAGGCTCAAGATGGTTGAGATTGTGTCTTTGAGATTCTGATAGCCTAGCTAAAGCCCATGTGAGACCCCCCCCCCCCCTACAGATCTCCCCAAAAGCACATGAACATTCTAAAGGTCTATCACTGGTATTCATTATTCATAAGAGATACATGTCTATACAAATAGTATTCTGTGATAACTATTTCAATATATAAAACCCTTCACAATATGTGATTTTGCTACTGTTAGCTTTCATAAGCAGCTGACATAAACTTCAAACTCCCATGTAAGATCAAGGCAACTTCTTCTAGGATCATTTTGATCTTGTCTCTGAGAGTCAAACTATTTCCACTTCCTATGATCCCAGATCTAGCACCTGTACATAGCCAATGCACACAAGCCTCTGGTGTTAATCATCCCAGACCTAGCATCTGTACCTAGCCAATGCACACAAGCTTCTTGTGTTAATGATGCCAGATCTAGCATCTGTACATAGCCAATGCACACAAGCCTCTTGTGTTAATGATGCCAGATCTAGCACCTGTACATAGCCAATGCACACAAGCTTCTTGTGTTAATGATGCCAGATCTAGCATCTGTACATAGCCAATGCACACACGCCTCTTGTGTTAATGATCCAAGACCTAGCATCTGTACCTAGCCAATGCACACAAGCTTCTTGTGTTAATGATGCCAGATCTAGCATCTGTACATAGCCAATGCACACAAGCCTCTGGTGTTAATGATCCCAGATCTAGCACCTGTACATAGCCAATGCACACAAGCCTCTTGTGTTAATCATCCCAGATCTAGCACCTGTACATAGCCAATGCACACAAGCCTCTGGTGTTAATCATCCCAGACCTAGCATCTGTACATAGCCAATGCACACAAGCCTCTGGTGTTAATGATCCTAGATCTAGCACCTGTACATAGCCAATGCACACAAGCCTCTGGTGTTAATGATCCCAGATCTAGCACCTGTACATAGCCAATGCACACAAGCCTCTGGTGTTAATGATCCCAGATCTAACTCCTGTACATAGCCAATGCACACAAGCCTCTGGTGTTAATCATTCCAGATCTAGCACCTGTACATAGCCAATGCACACAAGCTTCTGGTGTTAATGATGCCAGATCTAGCATCTGTACATAGCCAATGCACACAAGCTTCTTGTGTAAATGATGCCAGATCTAGCATCTGTACATAGCCAATGCACACAAGCCTCTTGTGTTAATCATCTCAGATCTTACACCTGAACATAGCCAATGCACACAAGCCTCTGGTGTTAATGATCCCAGATCTAGCACCTGTACATAGCCAATGCACACAAGCCTCTGGTGTTAATGATCCCAGATCTAACTCCTGTACATAGCCAATGCACACAAGCCTCTGGTGTTAATCATTCCAGATCTAGCACCTGTACATAGCCAATGCACACAAGCTTCTGGTGTTAATGATGCCAGATCTAGCATCTGTACATAGCCAATGCACACAAGCTTCTTGTGTTAATGATGCCAGATCTAGCATCTGTACATAGCCAATGCACACAAGCCTCTTGTGTTAATCATCTCAGATCTTACACCTGAACATAGCCAATGCACACAAGCCTCTGGTGTTAATGATCCCAGATCTAGCACCTGTACATAGCCAATGCACACAAGCCTCTGGTGTTAATGATCCCAGATCTAGCACCTGTACATAGCCAATGCACACAAGCCTCTAGTGTTAATGATCCCAGATCTAGCACCAGTACGTAGCAAATGCACACAAGCCTCTGGTTTTAATGATCCCAGACCTAGCATCTGTACATAGCCAATGCACACAAGCCTCTGGTGTTAATCATCCCTGATCTAGCACCTGTACATAGCCAATGCCCACAAGCCTCTGGTGTTAATGATCCCAGATCTAGCACCAGTACGTAGCCAATGCACACAAGCCTCTGGTTTTAATGATCCCAGACCTAGCATCTGTACATTGCCAATGCACACAAGCCTCTTGTGTTAATCATCTAAGATCTTACACCTGAACATAGCCAATGCACACAAACCTCTGGTGTTAATGATCCCAGACCTAGCATCTGTACATAGCCAATGCACACAAGCTTCTTGTGTTAATGATGCCAGATCTAGCATCTGTACATAGCCAATGCACACAAGCCTCTTGTGTTAATCATCTCAGATCTTACACCTGAACATAGCCAATGCACACAAGCCTCTGGTGTTAATGATCCCAGATCTAGCATCTGTACATAGTCAATGCACACAAGCCTCTTGTGTTAATCATCTCAGATCTTACACCTGAACATAGCCAATGCACACAAGCCTCTGGTGTTAATGATCCCAGATCTAGCATCTGTACATAGCCAATGCACACAAGCCTCTAGCCTTGCCCAAGTCGGTATTTTTTTACTTATCTGATCTTGAATTATTACCGCCTTGTACAATCCAATACACCTGCGCTGATATTATGCAGAGTTATTCAACGGTTTCGAGATTTCCATAATACCTACGCTATCGGGGGTATTGCGAAACCTTATTAATTAACAGATATACGCGCGGACAGTCTGTACACGACGTGTGACTTCAGGCTGATTGACCAATCAAAAACGTTATCAGGTTGACCTGCATAAGCAAAGCAATCTTCCCGATTTGAAATTCAATGCCGATGATCTGATCGATCGTTTCTTTAGAGTTACAATATATAATGTAATTAAATGTACATAGGGAATGTAAGAGTCATTAATATAAATTAAATCATGCAATAGATTTAAAACTGATTTCGCGATGAAAATGCAAGACCGAGTCCAATGTAGCGGGTCATGTAGACGATCAGTGATTGCCAATGCACACAAGCCTCTGGATTTAATGATCCCAGACCTAGCATCTGTACATTGCCAATGCACACAAGCCTCTTGTGTTAATCATCTCAGATCTTACACCTGAACATAGCCAATGCACACAAACCTCTGGTGTTAATGATCCCAGACCTAGCATCTGTACATAGCCAATGCACACAAGCTTCTTGTGTTAATGATGCCAGATCTAGCATCTGTACATAGCCAATGCACACAAGCCTCTTGTGTTAATCATCTCAGATCTTACACCTGAACATAGCCAATGCACACAAGCCTCTGGTGTTAATGATCCCAGATCTAGCATCTGTACATAGTCAATGCACACAAGCTTCTTGTGTTAATGATGCCAGATCTAGCATCTGTACATAGCCAATGCACACAAGCCTCTAGCCTTGCCCAAGTCGGTATTTTTTTACTTATCTGATCTTGAATTATTTCCGCCTTGTACAATCCAATACACCTGCGCTGATATTATGCAGAGTTATTCAACGGTTTCGAGATTTCCATAATACCTACGCTATCGGGGGTATTGCGAAACCTTATTAATTAACAGATATACGCGTGGACAGTCTGTACACGACGTGTGACTTCAGGCTGATTGACCAATCAAAAACGTTATCAGGTTGACCTGCAAAAGCAAAGCAATCTTCCCGATTTGAAATTCAATGCCGATGATCTGATCGATCGTTTCTTTAGAGTTACAATATATTATGTAATTAAATGTACATAGGGAATGTAAGAGTCATTAATATAAATTAAATCATGCAATAGATTTAAAACTGATTTCGCGATGAAAATGCAAGACCGAGTCCAATGTAGCGGGTCATGTAGACGATCAGTGATTGAATCTCAGCCTACATGTTCATTTGAATACAGCGATCGTTTCAACGTTTATTGTTGAAATCTTCTCACCTCCAGTTACCGATCGATGCTCCGGCACCCACTAAACTCTGATTGATATTTATCTGATAAAATATTTGTATTTTCATGAAGAATTCATGCAAGTTTGTTCGTGAAAAGTCCCGGCAAAAAGTAAAAAGTGTACTTGTTTTTGACCGTGCATAATAATGAGCTAACGCTGCAGGGCCGTCGTTGATTGGTCAAATTTTACCGACATAAACATTGAGTCGGTAAAGCACGTGGCTTTCTCTTTGGTACAAGGCGGTCATAATAGAAATCAAGATAATAAAAGAGACCGACTTGGGCAAGGCTAACAAGCCTCTTGTGTTAATCATCCCAGATCTAGCACCTGTACATAGCCAATGCACAAAAGCCTCTTGTGTTAATCATCCTAGATCTAGCACCTGTACATAGCCAATGCACACAAGCCTCTGGTGTTAATGATCCCAGACCTAGCATCTGTACATAGCCAATGCACACAAGCTTCTTGTGTTAATGATGCCAGATCTAGCATCTGTACATAGCCAATGCACACAAGCCTCTTGTGTTAATCATCTCAGATCTTACACCTGAACATAGCCAATGCACACAAGCCTCTTGTGTAAATGATCCCAGATCTAGCACCTGTACATAGCCAATGCACACAAGCCTCTTGTGTTAATCATCCCAGACCTAGCACCTGTACATAGCCAATGCACACAAGCCTCTTGTGTTAATCATCCCAGATCTAGCACCTGTACATAGCCAATGCACACAAGTGGCTTATAATGCTTCATTGCAAAGCCGCAACATGTGTATGTAATAATTCTATTTTACTATGAAATAAATCATAAAAAAAAAAAAAAAAAAATGCACACAAGCCTCTGGTGTTAATGATGCCAGATCTAGCATCTGTACATAGCCAATGCACACAAGCCTCTGGTGTTAATGATCCCAGATCTAGCATCTGTACATAGCCAATCCACATAAGCCTCTTGTGTTAATCATCCCAGATCTAGCACCTGTACATAGCCAATGCACACAAACCTCTGGTGTTAATGATCCCAGATCTAGCACCTGTACATAGCCAATGCACACAAGCCTCTGGTGTTAATAATCCCAGATCTAGCATCTGTACATAGCTAATGCACACAAGCCTCTTGTGTTAAATCATTCCAGATCTAACACCTGTACATAGCCAATGCACAAAAGCCTCTTGTGTAAATGATCCCAGATCTAGCACCTGTACATAACCAATGCACACAAGCCTCTTGTGTTAATCATTCCAGATCTAACACCTGTACATAGCCAATGCACAAAAGCCTCTTGTGTAAATGATCCCAGATCTAGCACCTACACATAGCCAATGCACACAAGCCTCTTGTGTTAATGATGCCAGATCTAGCACATGTACATAGCCAATGCCCACAAGCCTCTTGTGTTAATCATCCCAGATGTAACACCTGTACATAGTCAATGCACACAAGCCTCTGGTGTTAAAGTGGATAAGATGGAAGGGACAAGAGACTTGAGGCAAGACTAGAATATGGGTTTGTGTTAAGATCTGAGTGCTGCATAGACATGTGATTTAATAGCATATCAGAGGATGTGAATTCTTCGCGACATAAATCGCAACGAATCGATGTGTCACTTCTATGTTGAGGTTCAAATGTTTTAGCATTTTCACCTGATGCCCTTTGACTTGCTAAAGTACCATATTCTCGAAAATAGTTCTTCATAGGTTTACCAACTCTACGTTTAAAAGTACCACATTTATATGCATGTACAATCAGAGACTGTTTCTGCGCAAACTCTCTGTAACAAAACAAACATTTGTAGCGATCTTCAGCTGCTGTATGAATTCTGATGTGATTATCCAGTGCAAACTTTCTACCAAATCTTTGTAAACATAAATTACACTCAAAGGGTTTTTCACCAGTGTGAGTTCTTAAATGATGGATAAGAACTTGCTTGAATGTAAACTTCCGTAAACAAATGCTACACTCATAAGGTTTTTCACCTGTATGGACTCGCATGTGACACTTTAGTACACTTTTGTTACTTAATGTCTTCTTGCACACTGGACATGTTGTAATTTGCATACAGGGTGGTATTTGGAGGTTTATCTTATCAGCCATAATGTCTAAAGCACCATATGTATTTTCAACATTTAGAGGGAGATTACAACTATTTTCAATTTTCTGATGTTTATAAGTCTCACTTTGTGAAGTGTAATCATCTCCACTTTTTGTATCTTTAAGTGTATCATGTGTTCTACCAGACTTATCTGTGAGTGTTCCGCTTTTTCTGTCATAATTATCTGTGAGTGTTTCATGTGTTCTATCAGATTTATCTGTGAGTGTATCATGTGTTCTACCAGATTTATCTGTGAGTGTATCATCTGTTCTACCAGATTTATCTGTGAGTGTATTGTGTGTTCTACAAGATTTATCTGTGAGTGTATCATGTGTTCTATCAGATTTATCTGTGAGTGTATCATGTGTTCTACCAGATTTATCTGTGAGTGTATCGTGTGTTCTACAAGATTTATCTGTGAGTGTTCCACTTTTTCTGTCATATTTATCTGTGAGTGTATCATGTGTTCTATCAGATTTATCTGTGAGTGTATCATGTGTTCTACCAGATTTATCTGTGAGTGTATCGTGTGTTCTACAAGATTTATCTGTGAGTGTTCCACTTTTTCTGTCATATTTATCATTGAGTGTATCATGTGATCTTACAGATTTATCTGTGAGTGTATCATGTGTTCTATCAAATTCATCTGTTGGTGTATGGTGTGTTCTTTCAGACTCATCTGTGAGGGTATTATGATGTCTTCTCATGTGAAGTGGCAGCACATTTTCGTATTTAAACCTTTTATGACAAATCTTACATTGATATGGCTTTATTTTTGTTTCAGATGCCTTGGCTGAATATATTGGACTTATTTCTTCATTTTCTTTCATATTCCTAGCTTGTTTGTCATTTGTATTTCTTTTGATTCCATGTCCTTTCAATCTACCTGTGTGCAATTTCATGTGATTTAATAAGTGACTTCTGAATTTGTATGATTTGGGACATAAATCACATTTATTGCGTTCATTCCTATTATTATATTTTAGAGAAATCTTATGTACATGTAACATATGGTAACTCAGGCTTTGCTTTACTGTGAAACACTTTGAGCATATTTCACATTGATTGCTGAATTCACTCCCACCATAATGTTGCTCAGAAATCTTATGCACATGTACCATATGATATTTCAGTCTTTGTTTTGATGTAAAACACTTTGAGCATATTTCACATTTATTGCTGGATTTACTCCCATTATTATGTTGTTCATAATTGTTGTGTATATGGGACATATGATATTTCAGACTTTGCTTTACTGTAAAAAATTTGGAGCATATTTTACATTCAAAAGGTTTTTCTCCAGAGTGATTCTTGACATGATAATCCAATCCTTGTTTAGAGCCAAACATCCTGTGACAAATCTCACATTTAAGATCTTTCTTTGTAGTTATTGTCACTTCATCTATTTTACATTCATCCTTGGCTTGACTATCCATTCTATTTGAAACATTTCTTGTTTTCCTATCAATGTTATCTATAATTATGACCTAATGGGGTGTCACATCTTTCAACTTCAGCCATAGACTTCCAGGACAGTATATTAATATTCACATTATTGTCACTGTTATCTCTCCTATTCTCTTCAACAATTAAATCATTACCACTTTCAAAATCAGTTCCAGCATTCAACACTTTTTCTGTGCTTTTGTGAGACTTAATGAGTGGTGCTGTTAAAATTTTAATTGTCCCAGTATAATCTGTTTTGATTGTCCTCCTATGACCTGTTTCAATATGGCCTGTTTTGAAGTGGTGATTTTTGGTGTTGATTGCTTTGGATGCTGCTGCAGCTGCTTTACTCTCAGGGGAGGCAGCATAGTTATCATAACACAATGGTATTTTACCGGAATATGTTGGAAAAGTTCCTGAAACAGAATAATCCATCTGAGGCTTGTGTATTGTAATTACCAAAGGGCCACTAATGATCTTATATCTACCAAACGTCCGAAGATGATATTAAAAATGTTATTGTTTTATTGGATAAATAAAATATTCTGAAATTACAATATTATAAATTTATCTTTATTTGTTTATTTATTTACATAAACATTTCCTTAAGGTGACACTGATAATAGGGTGCATAAATGGTTACTTACATGTGATGTGTAGGCTAAAACGCTGCATTTCTGTCAATTTAAAACTAAAATAAGTCTAAAAGCATTAACATATAGGCCTAAAAGATAAGCATAGCATGGAGTTTATATAATCTTATAAATACCATAGTTATGCCCCCCCCCCGCCACATTCAGAAATTGTGTATTGTACCACAATAACCTATTAAATTTTGCAATATTTAGGGAGCTGGTGAATACTTCAGTTATGGGAGTGGGGAATTTATCCTCAGGTGTTGTAGAATATGTAGATCTCTCTTCTGCAAACTTGACTCTTTATCGCAAGTTTTCTGAATGATAGATTTCTTTATTCGAGTGCCCTTTAAGACTTGATTCCCAATTCAGATCTCACTTTATAATCTGGAGCCTGTTCTTGTTTTGTTTTTAGTAAGATTCATAAAGATATTAACGATTCAAAAAGGTTTGCTTTCCTCGTGACTGGTTTACTCTTCGATGTTTTCTTTTTCTTGCTGTGTTCGAGTGTAACAACTTTTGGTCCTTCCTCTTCGACATTTGTGCATACATATTCATATGTTATGTACGACTTGGATTTGATTTCTGATTTAGTTTTGTTTCTTGCACGTTTGGTCCAGAAAGCTGTGAAATATGACGTCATCCGATTCGTAAGTCTGGCTGAACCATTGTGGACTGATGATCGATTTTCGAATATTGTACAGAAATGGTCAATTCGCAATTCGTAACTCTTTCACAACATTTATTACATTACAAAAGTCTAAATGTAAAGTGTGTTCATGGGATAAAATAGATAAAGCTTCAAATGTTAAGTGTATCTGATCAAGCATGAAAAAAGCTACCATACTTCAATTGTTAAGTGTATCTGATCAAGCAAAAAATAAGTATCATACTTCAATTGTTAAGTGTATCTGATCAAGCAAAAAATAACTACCATACTTCAAATGTTATGTGTATCTGATCAAGCAAAAAATAACTACCATACTTCAAATGTTATGTGTATCTGATCAAGCATGAAGATAGCTACCAATTTACTTCAAATGTTATGTGTATCTGATCAAGTATGAAGATAGCTCCCATACTTCAAATGTTAAGTGTATCTGATCAAGCATGAAAATAGCTACCATACTTCAAATGTTAAGTGTATCTGAGCAAGCATGAGAAAAGCTTCCATACTTCAAATGTTAAGTGTATGTGATCAAGCACAAAATAACTACCATACTTCAAATGTTATGTGTATCTGATCAAGCATGAGAAAAGCTTCCATACTTCAAATGTTAAGTGTATGTGATCAAGCACAAAATAACTACCATACTTCAAATGTTATGTGTATCTGATCAAGCATGAAAATAACTACCATACTTCAAATGTTAAGTGTATTCGATCACGCATGAAAATAACTACCATACTTCAAATGTTATGTGTATCTGATCAAGCATGACAATAGCTACAATACTTCAAATGTAAGTGTATCTGATCAAGCATGAAAATCAAGCAACCATACTTCAAATGTTAAGTGTATGTGATCAAGCAAAAATATCTACCATATTTCAAATGTTAAGTGTAAATTGATCAAGCGAGAGGTAATGAGAGGTAAACTATCAATAACAAGAGGTAGAAATAAACTACCATAACTAATAACTTCAAATGTTGTGAAGAGGTAAAAAACTATAATGTTTCAAATATTATGTATTTAAGCAATCAAACATTAAAATGCCATCATGTTAAGTTTAGTTTTCAAGATGAGAAATCTTAGTGAAATTCCTGTAGTATGGAAATTAAGTTTTGCAAAACTATGATGAATGGACTTACCTGTCCCTCTCAGTGGTCCACTAAAGGAAGGAAATGCAGATGTGGCACTATCAACTTCACAAGCTGTATCATCATCTTCATCATCATCGTCAAGTTTTATCACAACGGGTTCCTGTCTGGTGCCACTTTCTGTAGAAGTATGTGGTTTATCGCTTGGTTCATCAGCTTTGGCATTATGAACGGGTGCAGCAAAATTGTTGAGATTATTGATCAAGAAGTTAGGTTTACTGAAGTCTGGTGGATTGTGAAGATTATTTGATGGCATATTTTGGTTCACTCCACTAGAATTATTGAAACTGTTGGTTTTACATTGAAGTTTACTGGTAATGTCTTGTCTTATGTGTCCACTTCCTTGGATTGAATCTGAAAAGTTAGAAACTAACTATAGAAATGTTCATGAGGATTAAAGGCAAAATCAGATCTATAGGGAGTGACAAAATGACAAGAAACATGTACAGTTTACATACCGATACTAAAGTTTGTATTCCTTACGATCTCTAATATAATATACAAAAAGATTTGTTATCAATTGGTGAAGTTGTTAAAGTTTCAAAGTGCAAAAATGGGGAAAATTTGGGGAATTTTCCCATAATAAAATAATGTGATAACCTGGTGATATTTATAGAAAAAATGAATTATAGAATTATAGAAGAAGAAATAAAGTATAATTGGGGAGTTTTAGAAAAAAGACTTGACAAGGAATGATATGAGCCAAAAATTTCTAAAATTGAAACAATTTTTGTCACGTCTACTCCTGTACTTAGGGCCTTGAATCATGCTAGATCTGATACTACCTTTAAGTTAAGACTTTTTGTCAATTTTTTGCGTAATATGTAGATAAAGAGAAAGAAAACATTCTGTGGAGTGAATGCAAGTTGTCCTTGGTAAATCCACTACTTTTAACTGACAATCCTGGTTGTTATTCTTTGTTCAAAGCTGAAACGTCGGATAGGAAACTAAACTGGCATTTGGCCCCCATCCCGAAACTAGATTTATTCAGCTTCCCATCAGAAAGCCTCCCCTTATTGCACTTACCTTGCTGAGCTATGTTGCTATCCGTCTTTGGCTTTACAGGTGAATCTTTCTCAAGGTCAATTACAACAGTTGGCTCGTGCTTGATGCAAGTGAGATCTTCATCAACTGTGCTGCTTGATGGCACTGAATGATCTCGATTTGAATCCAGCGATTGTGCTGATGTGATTTCACTGTAAAGACCCTGATTGAGCTGCTTCTGCCCTGAAAATAAAAAACGAAAAAAGTTAAAACATAGTTTGGTCTCAGTTTAAAGCGGTTATATAACTGAAGATCTCAAAATAACTTTACAACAATGTGTGTATGTAAAATGACCATGACAGAATAATGTGTCCTCATTGAGTCAAAAAGTTGCTGTTACCAACTTGTTTTTACTTGTAGCTAAAAAGCATTTTGCTCATTGATATTGGGGAATAGGTTTGGTTTTCTGAAGAACTGAACTAAAGGGTATTATTATGTACCAAAGTGTAACAAAAAAATGTATTAATGAAAATACCAATACTCGAAATGCCATTATACAAAATATGTGTCCATATTCATAATAATCTAAATAAATAATAAAGAGTATGATATCACATAAAACTGAAACAATGTCAAAGTATTGCTCGTAGACGTTTATGCATTGAGCCACCTTTTGCCAGTGACAGAGTTGGCAGTCACAAAGTTACGAAAAGAATTTAAAGATTAAAATCAATTTACAAATAATATAAGTGTAGTAGTATTCTACAAATAGAATAGTATTACGTACCTGCTTCTCTTGTTTTTTCTGATACAGCTTTGTATCCATTAAGACTACTAGGAGAAAGCTGATGCTCAGATTTCTTGTTATCTCTTCCAGACAAAGTGTGGTGAATCTTCACAACTATATCATGTCTTGTCTGTACAGACATACATATAATGCCATCTATCTGCAACTGTCCCTGGGTAAGATCATCAAATAGGCTGCTCTGGCGACAAAGCTTCACAACACTGTCCTGAATTCCTTTCGACAATACACTGATTGGTCCTTGCATGGCGGCTGGTATAATATCCATCATTTGTGTTGAGAAGCCAAAACAACTCCTAAAAATAAACAAAGTACACAATATGAATAATATAATACCATCAAGTAAAGTAGGGAGTTATATACCCTTTAGAAAGCTATTATGTGTTTTTTATGCAGGGGTTTCATTAGCAGCAGGCAACAGGCGATTTTCACTGTTGTTTTCAGAAAATCGCCTGTTGTTTTTAGAGACTTTTCAAATTTTCCATGTTAAATTTATGTTTTCCATTAATTTTGCCTGTTGTTTTCACTTATTTAGCCTGTTATGAGAAATTGTAGTAAAACCCCTGTTGATGCGTCAAGAGAATTGATTTAAAGCAAGTGGCCCATTACTTTACAATACTCTTTCACTTGATCTCAAAAAGTCTAAACATATCAAATCATTTGAAATTTAGTTAAAGTTTGATTTGCCAAGTCATTATTAGATCTACTTTGAAAAATGCTTTCTTCTCATTACTTGTATTTCATTATGATGCATTTAATGCTTTGTCATTTTTTGTTTCCATATAACCTGACTGTTAATATATTGTATGTTAAACATGGATCTTATACACCCCACTGGGTGTCTTTTCATGTCAATGTGAAATACTGTATCTGAAATATTTGAAATAAATTTTAATTGAATTGAATTGAAAGCAAATTGTTTGAATTAAAATACCATAGAGGTTACAAATGTTTAATTAAGTTGTTAAATAAAACATAATGGACATCTTGCTATTTCATTTTGGTCTTTGGACATGTTAACTTATATTAAATCAAATATTTGATTAAATATTTGTCATTTATGTGGCATTCATGTTACTATTGATCAGTCAATTTTATACCACACAAAAAAACATGTTCTACTGTGCATCATAAAAAATGTTATTTTTTCAAAATATTTGTTCAAATGAAATACACACCCATTGCCAATTCAAGTTGGTGAGACCTGTCAAATTAACCTCAAGTCAATGCCACCTAATAAAGTTCAAACCTCAGCAAAACTATTTATTTATTCCAAAATATAATTTCTAACAAATAAATGTTATATCTGATAGATGATTTTGTAAATTTGTGATTTTCTTTAAACCTGAATTTATAATTAATCCTCTCATATGTGAAGTCTGGCATTTTACAACTAGTTTCTACAATAATGTTTAGAAAGTGTTCATTTTCCCTCTACATGTAGGTCTCAACTATGCCAAAATAATTCAAATTTTCCAATTCATTAAACTTCATATTTGGATATTTTTTGCCTCGTCGAATATTTTTCTCAAAAATGCCAATGGTATTACGTCTCTTAAAGACTAAATATTTAACCAATACTGTATTGTAAAATTGTTAAATGTAGGTTTACCATGTATCTGTACTGTAATTGTTTTTTGCAATTGCTTTAACATGCTTATTCTTTGAAATAAAAAAAATTATAAAAAAAAAATATATATATATTTTTCTCCCTGTCACTTTTTTCTTCCTGGTTACGCCACTGAATGGAATTGCATATGGATGAATTGAACACACTGTTTCAACAACAATACACCCATCAAAACAAGTTAAACAAAACAAAAATCAGGAAATAAAAAAAGGCATCGGTTAATCTTTTTTATCTTTGTTTCTAGTATTGTTAAGTAAGATGAATTCTGACTGATGTGCTCTATGAATAAAACTAGAAAATGGCAACTGATGAAAACTATTCACCAATATACCTCTTTCCACCAAATATGAAGAAAATCTGTTGACTAGTATTCAAGTTATATTCCGGACTGACGGACGGATGGAGATTGGAGGGCTTCACTATATCCCTACAGAACTTCCTTCGTTGGGATAATTAGAGGTATGTACTGAGTCAATGGTCAATATATTAAAAAAACAAGTACAAATAAGTACAAATAATAGTAAAATATTTTGCCATTCAAATATTTTGTTTCAAACCTTTATGTTCCACTTCAAAGTATTCAACAATTTGTTTCACCCTTTGGCCTAGGACTACATTCTGCAACTCATGAAGAATTTTTGAATATCAAAATCTGAAGAATGTTTGTTTGTATCCTTTATATTGTTATTATATCGCTTAAGGTGTGTATGTTGGGAATTTTTATGCAATCCTCATTTGAGTCAATGTCATTTATCAGGATAACTTAATTAATGCATACCAAGTCTACATCTGGCACAAAAGGTGCACTAAGGAACCTAGAAATGAACGTAGACAATAAATTAATAAGATGTATAAAAAATGAAAAAATTCTGTGCCTTACTTTAATATTTTGTACTTTTAAAGTAGGTCACTGAATTTCTCATTGTTTAAACATTCTATAAAAATATTTTTCTTAAATCTTTTCTCAGTACATAAGTATGTGAACTATTTGTGCAAAACTGAAAGATGTAGGCTTATGGAATAATGCAAGTATTCCTAAAAATAACATGCGACTCCTGAATGATCGCGAGGATTGCAAAAAAATTCCAAAGCATCAATGGCGGTACACACCTTATATTTGATCACGTGTTGCTACTGTAGTAATGTCCACTTGCTCTTTGCCAATTCACTTGTCCATGAAGTCTTTGAATTCCTATACTATTATTTTCAGTTTTTATATGTGCTCGTTCTGTCATTTAGAACCTCCTGGCTTGCTTCATGAAGTCTAGAAAGGCATTCCCAGAAAGAAAGGCATTTTACCATTTGATGGTTGTGACACTGTGACAGGTTTTCGCTTTGTTCACTTAGAATCTAGCGATCAAGGGGTGGATTTATGTTTTCCCCGAGGAGCATGTACTGTCTACAGTCAAAGAATATTAAGTGAGAAATTAAGAGAGGACTATTACTATTTTACTTATTATAGCAATCGCTTTCAAATCTACCCTTTGAGTTTCTCAAAAAATTATAGCTTATTGTGTTTCTTATTGTCTTATACAAGAAAATGAAATTTAGAGTCCTCTTGGGGAACTCTTATGTGGATAATGTGTTTTTTACTGAGATGGCATTCATGATTTTCCCTGAGTATAGGCGGGAGGATGCAAGTTATACCAAAAGAGAACTGTGGCAAGGAAATGAGAATTGTCTATGTTATTATATTCATGGCTGTAGTCAGGCCAGCAAGAGGTAGAAGAGGCAACCTCCTCACCAAAATTCAACAGAAAATTTCAGATCATGGCTTCACCCTGTGTAACATTACATTTTGGCATTTTTTATATGTCACCATTGTGTCTCTCAATCATTCGATGAATACACACAAAAAATAATCATTAACTGACAAGTAAGTTGAACCGTGAGAAAAAATCTGTATTTGTTTAATATTTGGTCAAACGTAAAACATTCCATACTTGCTTTTTCAATCATTGTGTATGGCTTTTGCATGTCAATAAATCAATTCAGATTTTAAGGAAGGGCATCAGAAAAAGGGTCACCTTCATGCACTTATTTTATAGAGAATTAAAGTACAGAATTATCACAAACGTTCTTAATTCAGATTTAAAGGAAGGCAATTACAATAAGGGTCACCTTCATGCACTTATTCTATAGGGAACTAAAGTACAGAACTAGACAAGGCATTAACATGACAAAATGTCACCACCTAAAACAATTTGGTCAATTTAAAGCAAGTTGGAAAATACCTTTTGACCTTAAGAAGGTTTGATTTGAACTTCTTAGAACATGTAGATGATTTTGAAAAAAAAAATCGTCAATTTGAAGCAAGTTGAAAAAATACCTCTTTGACTTTTTTTGACCTTGAGAAGGTCATTGAAGGTCAAAGGTCAAATCTAAAGTCAGATTTGAACTTCTGAGAACTTGTAAAGTCAAATTTGAACTTCTGAAAAGATGTAGATGATTTTGAAAAAAAATTTGGTCAATTTGAAGCAAGTTGAAAACAGACCTTTTTGACCTTTTTTGACCTTGAGAAGGTCATTAAAGGTCAAATGTCAAATCTAAAGTCAGATTTGAATTTCTGAGAACATGTAGATGATTTTGAAAAAAAAAATTAGTCAAGTTGAAGCAAGTTGAAAAAAGACCTTTTTGACCTTTTTTGACCTTGATAAGGTCATTGAAGGTCAAATGTCAAATCTTAAGTCATATTTGAATTTCTGAGAACATGTAGATGATTTTGAAAAAAAATTTTTGTCAATTTGAAGCAAGATGAAAAAATACCTTTTTGACCTTTTTTGACATTGAGAAGGTCATTGAAGGTCAAATGTCAAATCTAAAGTCAGATTTGAATTTCTGAGAACATGTAGATGATTTTGAAAAAAAAATTTAGTCAATTTGAAGCAAGTTGAAAAAAGACCTTTTTGACCTTTTTTGACTTTGAGAAGGTCATTGAAGGTCAAATGTCAAATCTTAAGTCAAATCTAAAGTCAGATTTGAATTCCTGAGAACATGTAGATGATTGAAAATTTTTTTTAGTTAATTTGAAGCAAGTTGAAAACAGACCTTTTTGACCTTTTTTGACCTTGAGAAGGTCATTGAAGGTCAAATGTCAAATCTTAAGTCAAATCTTAAGTCAGATTTGAATTTCTGAGAACACGTAGATGATTTTGAAAAAAAAATTTAGTCAATTTGAAGCAAGTTGAAAACAGACCTTTTTGACCTTTTTTGACCTTGAGAAGGTCATTGAAGGTCAAATGTCAAATCTTAAGTCAGATTTGAAGGTCAAATGTCAAATCTAAAGTTAGATTTGAATTTCTGAGAACATGTAGATGATTTTGAAAAAAAATTTAGTCAATGTGAAGCAAGTTGAAAAAAGACCTTTTTGACCTTGAGAAGGTCATTGAAGGTCAAATGTCAAATCTAAAGTCAGATTTGAACTTCTGACAACATGTAGATGATTTAGAAAAAAATTGAAGTCAGTCTAAACAGTATTTGTTAAGTTATAGGAAGTTGTAAGAAATTGTTACAGACGCCGGACGCCAACCACCAACCACCAACCGCCGGACGCCGTCGCAAAAAAACGGAGACCATAACAATATGTCACCACTTTTGGTGGTGACATAACAAGAGCAACACCAAATGTAGCAAATCCCGTTTTTTCAGGAAAGTATCATTACACTGTCTACTTTTAGTAAACCTGTAACCTAGTAAACAGGTCAATGGTAGCCCCTGTGTTGTCTGGAAACTTTGAAAGAAAATTTGGAAAAATAGAAAGTATGAAATATCGGAATTTCCTGGAGTTCCCATTGAACTCCTACCAGATATTCTAAAAGAAGACAATGTAATCATACTTTCCTGAAAAAAGCAAGGAAATTGACACATGCCTTCATACTTTATTTTGTACCAGAAAATAACATGTGCAGGTATAGCAATTTTTTACCAAAATGTTATTTTCCAGCTGTACCTTAAGTGGAGAGGTGTTTCATGATTTCAGTGTACATTATAAAATGAGTTGTAAACCATAGATCTATTTTTTTTAAATGTTAAGGTTCAAATTGTATTCTATTCAAATTATATCACTGTTAAATTATATATCTGCTTTAAATGGGCTTATTAGCCTTTTGTGGATTATTGATGTAGATGTATAAAATGGTTGATTGCATATGCTATACTTATGCCTGGCACAACCGTCACCATGTTATTAGGTTTTTTAAGTTTCGCAATAATCCTGCCATGACCGTGGTATTGTTATCGTGAAAGCCTGGTATAACCGTGACAGTGCTATACTATATTGCAAGGCGTGTCATGACTGTGGTAATGTTAAAGCCTGATATGACCGTGACGATGCTATATTATATTGTAAGGCCTGTCATGACTGTGGTAATGTTAAAGCCTGAAATGACTGTGGCAATGGTTGTAAAGCCTGTCATGACCGTGGTAATGTTAGAGCCTGATATGACCGTGACAATGCTATATTATATTGTAAGGCCTGTCATGACCTTGGTAATGTTAAAGCCTTAAATGACTGTGGCGATGGTTGTAAGGCCTATCATGACCGTGGTAATGTTAAAGCCTGATATGACTCTTGAATGAGATTAGAATTATAGTTTGTGGAAATGAATTATGAGTTAAAGAAGTAGTTGTATAAAGTAGTCTAGATTTACATATTTAAGGTAGATAAACGATGAAATTTTTTATTACAGTATTCTCAAGCTACTAATGTCATTTAATATAACCATTGTCACAGTCATATTGTGCTTTAACAATACCACAGTCATGGCAGGCCTTGCAACCATTGTCACGGTCATATCAGCCTTTAACATTACCACGGTCATGACAGGTCTTGCAATATAGTTTAGCATTGTCAAGGTCATATCAGGCTTTAACATTACCACGGTCATGACAGGCCATGCAATATAGTATTACATACCCAGCGAAGCATTTGTATTGAAGTCAATGGAGCTGAAGGTCGGCTATATATTCCTGTATAGCCGCCAAACCTTTTACCATGACAATCTAATGACGTCATCGGGACGTCATGTTTCCTTTCTTCCTAATTTCACTCGCACACAGACACGTGGCATCATTGATATAACGTAGCCATGATATAAAAGTATGTAATACAACAGTTATGTCCGTATCATTGAATATATGCCTTCGGTCTGTCGTAATATAACCCTCGCAAGCTCGGGCTATATTGGTGACAGACCTTAGGCATATATTCAATGATAGGGACATAACTGCTAAATATAGCATTGTCACGGTTATACCAGGCTATCACGATAACACTACAACGGTCATGGCAGGATTCTTGCGAAACTTAAAAACACTTAATAACATGGTGATGGTTGTGCCAGGCATATGTCTTGCAACAGATAGGGTCTCGTTGATTGGGTCAAATTAGTTTGCACATTTGTTACCTCAAAAAAATTAATTTGCTTAAAATCACCCTTTCTTATCTTATTTTAACGCAAATCGCTTACCTTTCTCATGTCTTATTTCATTTTCCAATGTTTTCTGATATTCTTTCGCTTTAAAACTGTTTTAGCTATTCGAAATGAACCATTAATCTAAAAAATTACTTTACTTTCATTTCACCCTTACTAGAAGTTCCCGGATGTACCGGATGTTCGGTATTTTAGTGCATTAGCATTCAGTATTTCAGTTCACTTTTCTCAGACTCTTTCTCGATGTACATCGCGATATGCATCGATGTATACTACTGAAAATTGCCGATGCATCGATGTACGATTATGGCACATCGCGACAACACTAACTTCAACCATGGGCTCTATCAGGTGGTAGAGCCCATGCTTCCACTTGCTTTATTTCCACTTGACAATAAACTGTGTTACTTTTTATTGCATTTAATTGTTCCTTACTACTTAATTGAATTTTTGTAATGTTTATTTTATTGAAGAAATGGTTCCTCTAACTGATAAGAGGCGACGAAAATAAAACATCTGAATTTGAATCAGAAAAAAAAAATTGTTTTTTATCAAGGAATTTGAGACGAGCTCTATGTAGACTACATGCAGAACCCTCGAACTAGGAAAAGATATACTCACTAATTAATTCCCTTCTTTAAAGCACACTTGACGCTGTAGCTTGGGGTACTGTTTGTAGTCTGAATCCAGATATTGAAGATTTGGATCTCTGTACAAACGTCGCACCTGAGGTTTTTAGCGCCATTCAAAGAGCTCTTCAAAAGGAAGTAGATCTTCAAAATAGAAGGGGACAATTTACCGCACTTTATGCGAGACAAAGGTGTGCAGTTTATTGGCGTTTCACAACCGATCGTAAGTATAGATGCATTCATTTTATGTGTAATTATTGAATTGAAATATTGCCCAAATTAGAAATAGAAAAATTAATCTATACAATATATAGTTTCTCCAGAAATTAACGGCAAATTTATGGTGGTTTTGATTTGGAAATCAAAATGTGAGAAATTGGGTCATGACAAACCACATAGTAAATTAGTGTGAATCACTGAAGGGGTCAAGTGAACTAGTCTACAAGATAACGATATGTGTTAAGTATATATTATTGTGAGTTTTATATATGTAAACAGTACTATAGATACAGATGATTAGTGGTTTCTAAAGTTATGGTCTATATTTACAAAGAGGAGAGACAAAAGTTACCAAGTTTTTTATTTGAACCAATTTCGATTTTGAAGATGTCAGAGGTTTCTAAAATTTAGATACATAATAGATGAGCTGTAGGTTTTTGAACAGTAGAGTGTTCCTTCTGAGATTGATTTGCCTATAGATGCCTAAAACTCTTATCTCAAGCACGGACGTCAAGTACGTTTCTGGCGAAAGCTGGAGCATAGATTATTTAGAGGACTGGAAACAAGATGGCAGTCTATTTCAATTCTGGCAGTTCATTTTGGCCTATTTCTCACTATTGACTCAGTTGTTCATCTAGTTTTACTTACCTTAGATGCTTAGTAATCTATTTAGTGTAATTTTGTTTCCTAAATTATTGTCATTTGCAATAATTAGAGGTACTAAAAGTACTTTGAACAAATCAGCTGCCATTTGCTTGGCTTAATCGTACCAGTCCACAAAAACAGTGAAATCATATTAAAGATACTAATTAAACTTTAAAATTGAGGCAGATGCGATACAAAAAGACTCTATTAATACAGATATACAGGTTACAGTCACCAAGATGAGCTAATTTCAGGCGAGATTCGGGAAATAAAAAGGTAGGTCATTCTGGTTTCCAGTCCTCTAAATAATCTATGCTCCGGCTTTCGCCAGAAACTTACTTGACGTCCGTGATCTCAAGGATAGCATTGCACAATTGAAGCAAAAGTTGCTGTCGCCGGGATAAATCTCAAAGTGATTCTACCTGTTAGTCTGCATTTGATCTGCCATTTTTTATTGGTACTATTTAATGGGAACACAAATTCTACCAAATGTAAATAAGAACTAAAAAAACAATCAGATTATTTTATATTTTGCGCACATGAATTATTCATTCCTAAGCTCTTACCATGAATAATCAAACCAAACATACAAACCTGACAGAGATTGCCCTTACTTCATTTATCGAAATCTGAACTGAACTCAAACTCATAAGAAATGCACCATGTATACTTTGGTATAGAGCCTTGGAGACATTCATTTTGGTATATATAATTTATGGGCATACTTTTCAGCAATTTTTCTTCCAAGGTCTCCTTTATTTTCTTATCGAGTCGCCATGAAACCTTATTTGTATTAGTTTTTGTCAATTAGTGGTGCCATGTTATATGTATACAGTGGTCTATTTCCGTAGTTCGGGTCAAATAACTTGGCAGATAAAGGAAAAGGTTATAAACTTCACTATTCAAAAGATCAATTTTCATAACACCTTTTTATTTTGATAATTATGCAATTGAAAATATGTCTGGGTAAAAGATAATGTTATCAGTCAGTCAGTCAGGAAATTTTTTACTTGGATTTCAAACATGATACCACTTTGACTAAATCTTGAACTATAGTTTAATGACATAAAGTAAGAATTGTTTCTCCTTGTATCTTACCTTTAATTTAGATTTTACACCAACCAAACCAAAAAATAGCAATTTAACGACCACAGTATAGTATACGAAAAATACATTTATATTTTAGAAATATAAACCTATGGCCTTTTGTAATTGACAGATTTCAGCATCAAAATACAAAAGAGGCCACATATTTGGAAGCGAAACAACAAGCAATCCTAAAATAATAGAATTAAATGATATTCTGTTTATGAACTTCAAAGTGCTGAGATTTTGTACCATTTGTTGTGATGGTTTATTGTGATTACTGAAATCTAAATTTATGTACAAATACTAAAGATTTCAGTTGAGGTTTCCACTTTCAGTCCAGACGATGGCCTCTAGGGCGAAAGAAGTGACAAAGTTGATACAGGACGCTATCCTGAAGATTTGTTCACAATATGTAGAATTCCAAAAATCATTGGAGATCGATGGAATTATTTGTCTCTCACCTGGGGAGTTCCACCCGGATATTGTTGTCAAAATGCACCGGACTGTTCTACAGCCAAAATTCAAGGAACTTGCCAGTGACTGGCATGCTGATGTCAGCACTGTTTCCCCAATTGAATCACCTGACCCTCCCGCCCCTATGACATACAACTATGAGCTTTATAATCCACATCCGAGACTCCACACATCTGGGAGTAAATCTGAGCTTCCTAGTCAAACATTTCAAGATGGAGGATCGCAGTCATCATATACAACTGAAGAAGGACAAGTGCAATCTACTAATGGTGAGTACTGTTAATTATCACATGGTTTGGAATTTCTAAGCATTTTGATTGGTCAATTGTTATGTAGCATATTATATATCACATGGCTCATTTTCATGTGATATGATGGACTGTACAAGCAAAATGTGATACAGATATAGAATCAAAATTACCAAGTACAGAGTATTGAACATACTATATCACAAATGACCAAATCAAAATGCTTAAAACTCCTAGACATGTGATAAAATCGCATGGAGTCTTTTTGCAGGAAATATGGGCTAATTATTAAAGCATCGTTTTCTTTCAAAATATTATGATGTTGTCTATTTGTTGACTATATAGGGACAGTGCTTTGCTCATTACCATGCCACTCTACTACATATATTTTCAAAGAACGTGAGACACCATCACAATCATGGTTCTAATTTCTAGACCCTCACTTTACCAAGTATTGACATTTCTTGACTAACACTTTTAGCCACCCCTTTAAGTGTTCAGTTAAATCAGGTTAACTCTACCATGTATATTTCTTTAATTCAAATAATTTAAATTGTAGAAATCCGCAATGTAAAACGCAAGATGATCATGGACTACAATACCCCTACACCGACCCCTGAAAAGCACGCCAAGATGGATCATATTGAACAAATCACTATCGAACAAGATAACTATGAAGATAACGAATACACAGATGATGTGAATCTCGATGACTCACAATCTGGAATCGCGTCCAATATTGGAGATATCGCGAGAGAATACCAAACAGCTGACTTAGAATCGAAGGAAGGTATGTATATTTTTGTTTGTATTTTCTATACCCAGTGTAGTCATTAAAGGGAAAATACAAGCTGGTCAAACAGGCCCGTTGAGCAGTCAACTCAGTCTGTCTCTTATTGCTGGTTGTCAGAATGAATAATATCACAGTCATCATTTCCGAAGATATTAGAAGATGAAACAAAAACACTGGTTAAAATGACCAGTAATAATTTACAGCTTCTAGACCAATTTGGTGCTAATTCTACTGGTTCCTGACATCCGGAAAGGCTGTTAATGACTACACTGGTTATACAAAGATTCCATGTTTGCAATTGTTTGTATTCGGGATGCAAACATTTGTGCCATTAGAATGGAATTTTTTAAAGTGTTAGTATGCCATACAAATTCTGCATATGATGTCATTTTCACCAACTTTTATTTGATCATATTATTTCATTCTATAAAACTGTTTTAGTGGAATGTGATCACAAATGTAAATTATATCATTAGAAGGATTGGGAGTTCTTTTAAAACAACAATAACTCAGGTTTGGCATACTGGCACTTTAAGGGTTGCATTTTGAGAAGAATTTCCAGTATCCATTTTGAGTATTTGCCAGCTGTGTATTCTTTAAAAACAAGTACATTTTAGATATACTTATTACCTTAGCTTGTGGGGCACATTTGGTAATTTCTGTTAAAATAATAGACGAAAGTAGGCCTAAAAGTCGGCATTTTCATATTATCCTGCACATTTAACTCTCTGTTTGAAAGATCTTCATATAGTTTAGTTTACCTCCATGAAACACATTATGTTTAATTGGGTTACATTGAAGCTACGACTCTATGATATTGTACCATTTTATTGGAAATTGAATTATCCATCAATTTTTATCTACCAACTTTTTATCAAATAATTCATTCTGGAAATTAAATACAAAAAATATCAAAAAACATTGAATGTGCACTTGGTGTATTAATACCACTGACCCAACCTGTACTTCAGACAAATTGAACATCTTTTTTAAAGTAAAATCATCATTGATGGAAATACCTGGACATTCTTCTCAATATTTCATTAGCTGCACCAGTTTTTTGATCAGCTATAAAGCCTCTTCCTAGAATAGTATGTTGGTTTTCAGAGTATTTTTTTATTACTTTTATAGTATTTTACATTCTACATGTAGAATCAATCTTAACCATACAATGTGCTGAATTTCTTAAGAACATGTTTAAACATGAGCTTATAACAAGTCAGACATCGTTTTACTAAAATTAGGAATTTATCTTTACTTATTATTAATTTACTAACCAATGCAGTCATGATTTTCTTTGATCCTCTAAAATAAGAATGACTCGAGAGATCAGGCCCATAACCAGGGGAGGGGAGGGGGTCTAGGGGTTTAAGTAAAAACTCCATCAAAATCATGCAGTTTTCACCATGCCAAGCACTTTTCAAGTGATTTTGGCCATTTTTGGTCAAAAATTGTGAATTGTGAACCTCCTCTGGTATTTTTTAAAAAGTGAACCCCCATGGCAAAAGCTGGTTATGGGCCTGGAGAATATAAGGCACATCTACTGAAGTGTAGGACTATACTTATATGAATTGAATATGTTGATATCATTATTAATTTTTTTTCCATAAAACTTATTAATAAAGGAATGAAAGTCATATTCACTGAAGGGAGTTGCTCTGAATATCTGGCATGAAAAATTAGTATATACATATAGCTTAATTGCGTAAATTGTGAAAATGAGAACTTCACTCCTACTACAGAAAAATACCTTTGGAGAACACTGAACCAATTACCTTTGGTCTACTTTACAAATATTGTCACTTACAGATGTTTAAATTAGATAGAAGTTTCAGATGATTCACATGTTTACTTATCAAGGATTGATGTAATCTCTTGGTATTATTATTAAGTGTGTTGTCATGGTATTTGAAACTGGTGTGATGTCACACTGGTAATGTATTATGTTGTTGGGCAAGGTTTAGGTGTCGTATCATTTTCATGGTATCAGATATGATTTTATATTATGATATTAGGGTAGGTTTAGGTGTCATTTCATTTTCATGGTATCAGATATGATATTATGACATTAGGCTAGGTTTAGGTGTCATTTGTCATTTCATTTTCATGTTATCAGATATGATATTAGGCTAGGTTTAGGTGTCATTTCATTTTCATGGTATCAGATATGATATTATGATATTAGGTTAGGTTAAAGTGTCCTTTCATTTTAATGGTATCAGATATGATATTAGGCTTGGATTATGTGTCATTTCATTTTCATGGTTTCAGATATGATATTAGGCTAGGTTCAGGTGTCATTTCATTTTCATGGTATCAGCTATGATAATATGATATTAGGCTAGGTGTAATTTCATATTCATGGTATTAGATGACGACATTATAGTATTAGGTTATGTCATTATGGTATTAAGTATGATATGGTGTTAGATATCAAGAGATAAGTTGTGATATCAGTGTATTAATATTTAAGTGTCATCGTATACGGTTAGATTTATGTGTCTTTTAATGGTATTAAATGATGTGACATAATCATGTTGTTAGACATCAAATGATAACTTTTGATGTTAAATATCAAGAATTGATATCATGATATTTTATGAAGATGCCATGGTGTTCAGTGTGATATTATTAAGATGTCACGATACTAGGTGATTTAAGGATTTAAGCCCTGAATCGGTGCATTGTGGACTGATTTATTATTCCTCCAAGGCATTGTTTCAAACTTTCTCCAAGATTGGCAGAATTGAGTGCCTAGAATGCATCAGCCACAATGCATTGAGTCTTGGGCTTCAATTCTTTTGAAATATTTTGTCCGACATCACCTAAATGATATAAAATCACTAAAAGAATATATTTTTAATGAAACTTTTTGCAAGATTGAAGTTGGTTACAGTCTGTTGTCAAGTCAAGTTGTCTCTTTTACAACCATTCAACAAATGACCTTGGGTGGATTATCGGTAATATACTGGTATTATATAATGCAGTTCTGGAAAATAGCGTGTTTGAATTGTAGAATTTGACACACATTGCGCCTAGCTATGTGTCGAACCACCATTATATAAGATGTTGATGTATAGGTTGTGATATCATTATATTACCTAACAATTATGTACCTAACACATTGTTTTTTCAAACGCACAGATTTACAAGATTTCTTAATTAAGAAGTATCCCTAATCTCACTGAAAATTAATTCCACATTATTTTATATTTTCAGTGAGATTTGGGAATATTTCGAATCCAGGGGAAAAACATACACTTGGAACAGGAAAAGAGGCGAAAATAGAGGAGTATGCAGTAGAAATGGATTCAAACATATACGATATGAAACACACATCATATTCAGATTCAATAACACCATATAGGAAGGATGGATCACCACAAAGCCACAGTGATTTAACTCACAATACTATTGGAAATTCAACAAAATCCTATACTGGCGCCACCTATCAATGTGAATTATGTCATAAGATATTCAACAAAAGCTCTGTATATAAGCGCCATCTAAAGGTTCACTCTGGTTTAAAGCCATATGTATGTGAGATCTGCAGTAAGGGATTCAACAGAAAGGATGTATTGCAAAGACATATTAAGCTCTGTCATTCCACGCAGATTAGCACAAATGTACCGAATATTGTTCCAAAGATTGAAATCATTGAGGACCATGACTGAGAAACTAAGATGCCTGGATATAACCCTAAGGTTATCTAAGCTGGAGAGATTACCACAAGAAGTTAGAAGATTGGAAAAGTTTTGATAATCCCATCAATCAAAGTTCAGAGGAATATAGAGAATGCATTCATCTGCCATCGAACAAAGTTCAGAGAAATATAGAGAATGCATTCATCTTCATCTGATGGCTCACCATTTTTTTCTCCAAAACCAAATTTTCAAAATGGAAATTTAGTGTTGTTTTAAAGTATTTTCATAAATCAAATGCTCTATTTTAGATAAGGATTGCGCTATAACTCGAAAGTGAAAGATTGATAATATTGTTTATTTTTCATGTATATCATAAATACATGGAAGCATGACTTTAACTTATTAACTGCAGTGATAAAATATCCAAGTTCTCTTATGACTGTCATGTAGATGTCTGCCACTTGACAAGAGGGTCAATAGGATTTGCTCTGGAATTGACTTGTACAGGGTGTCTCAAAAGAAGGAAATTGAGATTAAATTGCTAATTTTTAAAGATGAATTATGTTAAGGAAAATTCGCAGGTACCATCATTTGCATCATCATCTCTTCCACCTATCAGATGGGAGCTGTGAAATTTTCCTAATTGTTATTCATATTTTAGAAATATGCAATGAAATCCAGTTTCCTTTTTTTGATACGCCCTGTAGTGCAATAACTTTGTGCAGTAAATATATATATTAGTGGAGTGGAGCAGTTAGGCTCAAGAGATTCATTCAAGAAATCAGTTATTAAAGGCACTCATCTCTTGAGATTAAACATTCCAATTAATTCAATGTATTTCATAATTGTACAGTTATTTTACCATTAAGGATGCTTGTTGAACAACTTTTTTCATTTGATGTCTAAATGATTGTGTCTTTAAAGAAACTACTGTATTTAAAAAGATCCAATGAACTTTTAAGCCACTTTGGTTGTACTAATAAATTTACCAACTTAAAGGAATATGCTTTGAATCTGTTAGAAGTTGCGTTCACTATCTTCGGGGCAAACAGTCTATTCAGTATTCAGAATGATATGTGGTTTGTCATGGATTATGTGGTTTGTCATGTTAACCAATCATTCATCTTTAACTGATTCCAGTTTTTAACAAACAAAAACCATTTACAAATTAATTACATCGGTAAAAAGCATAAAAGGCATATCATAATAAGGGGCTTGGTCAAAATACCAATGCTTTTTTGGAAGTAATGTAACAGTAGTAACTCTCTCTCTCCCTCTTCATAAGAGCCATGTACATTCATTACTTGAGAATAACATGAAATACTATTGTTTTTCACTGCATATAAGATTAACAAAATTAATTGATCTCCCCAGCATTAAAGTGGGTGCTGCACCTACTTGAGATGTTAATTATAGGCATGCACCCACCTAAGAATCTATTTGCACCTACTTGAAAGTAAGGAAAATCAGGAATATTTTGAACAAATTTTGGTCCAAATTGTAAAATTCTGAATTTTGCGCCCACTTGAGATAAAATCTGAGGGAGAATACTGAGTAAGACATTGACGTTTGACCTGGCCCCTTAAAAACTGGAGAAAATAAAATGAAGAGTAAATTTAGATGTTTCTTTTTGCAGTGATGAGTATAGGAACTAGGAGCAAATCAGCCTACATGAAGGCATTAAAGGAAGAGAACAAGCCTGACACCCAGGAGATTGCTGACTCGAAGGTATTAAAGCAACAAGAAAAGCTTGATAAAAGGGAGAATCCTGACTCCCCGGTTAAAAAGACAAACATGGTGGTTACTGATTCACCTGATAAAAAGACAAACGATAGCACAGATATGCCAAGCCCTAAAGCAACTCCACAAATGAAAATTAAACGGGAATATAAACGGTCTTCACCTAAATCATTTGAATGCCCGACATGCTCGAAAGTGTTCGGTGATGCTTGGAAATTTGAACGTCATTTACGTGTCCACACGGGCGAGAAACCTTTCCAGTGTGATATATGTTCTAGAACATTTGCCGATAAGTCTACATTGAGGGCGCATACATTGAAGGTCAATTGTTCCCGTAAAAGGAAATCAGAAAGTACTGGAGAAGAAACTGTTGAGAAAAAACCAACGGAAGCTGGTGACGCTGAGGATGATGTAGAAAATACAGAAGAGGCTGTAAAAAGTATAGATGAATCCAAAGAAGAAGCAAAGGTAGATGAAGAAGTGAATGCAGCTGAAGATGAGTGAATTGGAACAATCAGTATTCAGTATGAAGAATATAATCAACAGTGTACAAAACTATGGATATGCTTTCAAATGTATATTGACTCAATTCTACATAAACTTTGTATAATATCAACAAAGATGTTGACAGGCAAGTACTGAAGTGGCATTAGCGAGGAATTATTTCATTTATGAATGCTGTTTGTTGGAACTATGAATTTTTGGATTGCAACACATTTCTTCAGAGGCTCCTCAATTAGAAATACATTTGAGGCATAACGTTGAAACATCATGTATAATGCACAGGCCTGTAGCCAGCTTTTCCCAAGAGGGGTTCAGTCTTTTCAAATATCTCTAGGGGGGTTCACAATACATTTGACAACTTTGGCCCAAAATCACCTGAAAAGTGCTTTGAATGGTTAAAACTGCTTGATTATGAAAGAAGGAACCCCCCAACCCCTTCCCCTGGCTATTGGCGTAATGCATCAAATTACATCTGTCATGCTAAATGTACTTTCACATAATTTCTTTCATGTTTACAAGTGGATGAGTTAATGTCTATTTTATAATATAACTTGGAGACTTTTGCAATCTACTCGAACCCAAGACTGCTACTTTTTATAATTGACAAATACAATCTTCTACCAAGTATTTCTACTGAACAAGGTGCAAGGTAATTTTCAGAATTTATTTTAACTCACTACATGTATGTATTTTCACTCTCTAAATTAGAACACAATATAGCCATGCTATAACAAGACTGTTAGGATTTTTCATAGAAAATAATGATAAGGGAAAACATGATCCTGTACAAATATTAATAAATACTGTATTATGAAAGATTAGCCAATCGGTGCTTGTGCTATGTTTTAGGAATTTGGCCTTTTGACGGTTGATGCCCAGATCATATCATTAGAAAAATGTTTTGTGGTTATTAATTTTATAAATTATTGTTATCTTCATAAAATTCTTGAAATTTTTTTCAAAATGTGAGATGGGAAATCACAGGAGAGCAGCTGATTCAATGTATTCATTTCTTGTATGTTAAAGATAAACCTCTGCCTACTGGCCTCATTTTAAGCCACATGAGAATATTGTGCTATCAATCACCCACATGTCCTGGGTTCAATCCTTTATATTTGTAAATTAATTGAAATGTCTGGATTGCTGTGGTCTCCCCCAGCATTAGAACTTACTCTTACTCAAATCAAAAATTACACGCCGCCCTGTTAGAATCTTTTTTTACCATGTCAAAAAGATGAAATAATCACACCAGTAGATCAAAATAGGATTTAGTGAGAAAAAATTTGGGAGATCACTCTGTAGTTAATAGAATATTATACTACATCTACAGTACATGTTCTTACGGTGCACATATGTAAATACAGTACACGTATGTTCTCATTCATCAAGATATATTTACTCTTTAAGTACCTTATAAAGAGAGAAGTGGATAGAGCTCAGAAAATGTATTAAATCTATGAAATGTTATTCTAGAATATAATTAGAATTACTGTACATGAATTACTGTACATGAAATATAGAGAAACTGGATTATATTAAATTGGTAACTACAATTGTAGATTAAGGCCAGAGTGCACTTTGGATTTTTTTGCAATTTTGAAAAGTAAACCACTGAAAATTCTAGTTATTCAAACATTCTGAAGAATTATCAACCCTCAATTAATAGTCTAGTTACACTAATGCATCTTTTGTGCAAAAATGAAAGATGTAGATGATGTTTGGAATGAGTTATGTTTATCTGAAAATAGCACATGGTCATGAAATTTCATCAAAGTGCACCCTGACCGTAAGTATGTTTGCATAAATACATTGAATCTTTAAGTATCGTTATGGAGTAAATGTAGTAGCACAATTATTATAACTTTTTGCAGAAAATCGAATGTAGCTGTTTAAATCAACTTTTAACTGTTAAAATTATATTTTATACTGTACATAATATAGATGTATTTCTTCTGTGATGTTTGAATAGAATTATTGGTAACATGAAAGTACATAAACAAAGCTATTGTTTTTGTTAAAAGTAGACTTTAATTGGAATGTGATAGTAAACCTATCATTAAAGCAAGACTTTCATTCTGACAACAGACCAATTGAATAAAAAAAAATGAAACAAAACAATTGTGAAAATAATGTGTTGCCTGCTATAGTAAGAAAGACTGTGTATAAACACCACTACCAAACACCAAGTTCTTTGATTAGTCTAATATATTATCCCATCAAAATGTTGTCAGGTTATCACAACAATTTACACTTCTGCATAGCACAGATACAGGGCGACACCAAAAAAATGCAACTCTTATTTTGGAATGACTTTTTCAAATGTTGTACTTTTATTATGTCACTCTGTAGGTAGCTTATTTTCAGTTTACATTCCCTACATTTACATTCCCTAAAAAGCCTTGAAAGCTTTACTTTCACTTATCCTATTAGCATCATTACTAAAGTCTTATGCCGCAGTCAGAGGATAGTGTGGCTAGACAAGGGTAAAGGTTCATTCAAATCTCACATAGATCTGGATTTAAAAGGAGAATCAGATGTAACAAGCAATCCTAATAAGTGAATAGAGTTGGAATGATACAATGCCAAGCCAGGATATAGAGATTGACTAGAATGATTCTTCATAAGTTGAGAAAAATGATTTGTCAACTAAAGTAAAGACTGGTAGTACTTCCTGTTTATGTTAATCTTACAACACCCCCAAGTGAATAAGCTTTTTACAAATAATTAATAATATCATGGAAATAAAGTTTGTCGTGTTATGATGGAAGGAGATAAAATGTTTTGGTTACCATGGTTACAAATTTTGTTTAAATGATCATAATTTGCCTAAAATCTTGATACTTTACGTGATTTAAAAATTCAATTTTAAAATCTTATGTCAAAAAAATGTAAATATGGTAACCAAACATTTTATTCTTCCACTTGCAGAAAAAAGTGCCAGTAATGAAGACGAGGCTGAAAATGACACTAGAAATACACATAAAGAACCTGAAGGTGTCCCACCTAACATACAAATGATCATCAAGGAAGAATTACCTATTAAGAATGAACACAATATCGATAATCCTCGCGTCTTTAACAGAACTCCCAAACCAATAAAAAACTCATCCACCAATGAGAAACCAAAGCATTCAAAGACAGAACCCGAGTCTCCTGGGATTAGTTACGCTGATAACCCATATGTGCGAGAGTATATAGCAAGTGATAACTTTAAGACATATGAATGCACTCTATGTAAAAAGAAGTACCAGTCTAAACAAAGCGTTGCCTCGCATACCAGGATCCATACTGGCGAGATGCCATATAAATGTGATATCTGCCTAAAGGAGTTCAGATACAGCCAGAGTAAAAACAGGCATATGAAACTGACACATTTTTACTATCAATCCGGAACTGGCTGACTGAATTTAAATTGTGCAATGTTTCATTTGATATTATGACACAATACCAATAGTTGGATATTGATATACATGTACTATGCTTAACACTACATTAATGATCATTGAACTCACCAAGAGCTAAGAGGAGGCCCATTTTTTACATTATAAGTTATATTGCACGGTATAAGTACATATAGGTGCACAAAACTTATAGGGCTGTTGACTATCAAGTGAAAAACATAAGAACCCGTAAGTAATGTGTGTTGTGCTAGATATAGTCGATGTAATGTGCAATATACAGGGTGTTCCATATGTTTCAGGAATGATGCTATGTTTTATTGGTTTTCTTTTCAATCTAACTGAATTTTTGACACAATGTGTCTAAACATGTTTTGAATAAGTTGGGAAAGTTTCATATCGTGAAGTTCAGTAGTCTTAATTATATGGTTGCTATAGTAACCTAGGGGTAGGGTAGGTGGAGCAGGTGTAACAGCGCGCAAAATATAATGAAAAATTGGTAAAAAATAGTTTTTTGTACAAAGTGTGACTAGGTATTAGGTTGTCAGAGTTGGATCAAACTTGTCAGTAATTAAACAAAAATGGAGGTGGATTCCAAGAAAGTAAAAAAAATGTCACCACCGATGATCACATCACAATTTAAACACCTGTCATGTCATGAGTCACAATGGAGAATAAACACAGGTAATTTTGGACGAGCGGCCATCTTGAAAAGTGAAAAAGTCATTAGCAAAGGAAGACCTTCGACTTAAGGCAACACACAATAATCTGTGACAAGACATGACATGTGTGAATAACAGTTTTCTGCAGCAGACACAATTAAACTCCTAACGAAACCACATGGGGACTCAATGATGGTAACCTCTAGAGTGTACGAATGGTACAAGTGGTTCAAATCTGGAATGAAAACTGAGACCGATTATCCAAAATGTGGACATCCGAGAACAGTGAGAGCGCTAAATAATGCAGAAAGGATAGATGCTGAAATAATGATGATGGCTAATAAAGGGTGTAATAACATTTTTAATTTCCAGGAATCCACCTTTATTCTTTTTAATTTCCAACAAGTTTGATGCGACTATGACAAATTCATACTTTGAACACTTTATACAAAAACTACTATTTTTACAAAAATGTCATGTTTTGTGCGTTGTTACACCTGCTCCACCTGCCCTACCCCTAGGTTACTATAGCAACCATATTATTCAGTCTACTGAGTTTCATGATATGAAACTTTAACAACTTATTCACAACATATTTGGACACATTTTGTCAAAAAATCAGCTAGATTGAAAAGAAAACCAATAAAATACAGCATCATTCCTGAAACATATGGAACACCCTGTACGTATGTTTTACAGCTGAAAACTAGAAACTCTGAAAGAGGTCATTCAGTGGAATCTCAGTAAGTTGAGGACTGGATTTTTGTAAGTTGTGCATTGACAGCTGGTCCATATACATCTTTGAAGGTCAGAAAAGGTTAAAAAAGTGTTTTTTCAGAAACCTTATTTATTCTTGTATTATCAAAGAATCCTTTTGAAAAATTAATAGTTGATTTGATAAAATGTATCTTCATTCACTTACATATATATATGGTACAAATCACTAATTTGAAATCTTATACAGTATGACAACAAAAGTAACATTTTTAGCTTCATTAGAAACTTTTTAGAAGAGATGAGAAATATCATAGATTAGGTATTTAAAGAATTTAGTATGACGTATTTTTCAAAAATGTAATTTTGAAAATGTAGTGTGGCGCATATCAAGTGTGACTTAATCCCCTATGACTATGGAAAATCATGGTACATATCTATGGAATTTGTGCCTGGAACTTCATGAACTTCCATGGGAAATACTAAGAGAAACTATGAATTTCAAAAGAAAATACCATGGTTACTATGACTTTTTTGGATAGGTAGATCTAGTAGAATGAATGCCATGTAAATCACCAACTTGAAACTGACTAAACAGATCTCACTCAGGTGTACTACTCCCACCTTAAGGTGAACTAAAATGGTATAGAAAAAAGCACAATACAGAAGTAGTTGATTAGTATGAATTATGCCTATCCTTAAGTTTCTGTAAAAAATATTTCATGTCAATACCTTAATGTTATGATACTTTTTTTGCCTTCTAAAAAGGTTGCAAAATTTTTTGGCCCACCCTGTATATAGGAATGTGCAGAATACAAGAACTTAATTTGTATTTTTATGTCACCACGGAAAGTGTTTGTTCTCAAACTTTTGGTAATGGTGGTTGGTGTTTGGTGGTCGGCAGTTGGCGTCTGTAACAAAGGCAGGTGGTGACATTTTGTATGTTAATGTCTTGTTTTCGATTGTGATCTCATGATGGACACTCAATTTCCGAAGGCCAAATTTACCAGTAGATCATTCTAGACTCAATTCAATTACAGCTGTATTTAGTGTATTACCACCTTTACCAAAGTTATTGTATTGCTTTATCTGAATATACAATACTATTACATTAGATGTTTGTTCGGTGATTTTGTAATGTTAAGTACGGCATTTATTGAACTCTGATATTGTTGAGATATCACCAGCATTTACTTGATGTAAATAACATGTTCAATAAAGTTCAATAAAATTCATTTTTACTTTGAAATATTTTTTTGCAAGATATCGTATTTAACTTAATATATAAATGATGTGGATTTTAAAGAATTTCAAATAATCCCTTTGTTTTACGGACAAGGCAGATTCAATCGCATTGTAAATTAATACTATTGAAATACACTGGATGTGGATAGAGATCAGTTTTAGGGTACTCTAGTAAGGATGATGTCCCTTTATGTCCCTTTATCAACAGTCGTGGAAAATTCGTCATGGTTTCACCCCCTACACTCATCAAACAAAATTTTAAAATGTTGATTTGTCTTGCTCTTGAATATTACGAAAAATCAAAACTCTTGGGTAACATACCCCCTCCCCTTAATGAAACTAACTTCATAATTCCATAGCTGTTGATAAGTGGACATCATCCCTAAGATCAGTGCTGTTAAAAGTATACCTCTTTTGTCCCACTTAGCAAAATGTGGTCCTGCATGAACTAACCATGTGAAACGTATTTGAACCCCAAATATGAAGAATCATTCAAAACATTTAACAGCTACAAGGTTCCAGTAGGTAATTGCTAGTTTGACCACCAGATGGCTAATTTGGGTCAGATAACATGACAGACATAGATATAGGGAAAGTTCCTCTGAATTACAATGTTTAGATTATAAATATATAGATATACCTGTACATGTATTAGATTACATGTAGTTGATGAACCTAGTTGATGATCTTTAAAACAATATTTCTACATGTATTTTGGATGTAGATTTCAAATATGGTTTTATTTTGACTCAATTTTGAATATTTACTGTTGCAAATCAAGATTATTTCTACATGCATCGATCGAGTCCATTAACACACTTCTATATGATTCTTCTATTTTTCAGGACTTTCAGGAGTTAAAAAACGTAAATCAAGGGAGAAAACAACGGCAAAGCGAGCAAAGCGTGAATCGGCATACAAACTAGAAGACATGATACGTGTTCATATATCTGAAAACCAACAGACTGGGGAGCAGACGAAGATGTTCCGGTGTGTATTATGCCTCCGGGACTTTGTAGATAGAAGTAACATTAGACAGCATGTTAGGATCCATACTGGTGAAAAGCCATACACGTGTGTGTTATGTAATCAAGCCTTTACTCAGAGTTCAAATCTTAAAAGACACGTGAACCTCAGACATCTTGGCCTGAAGGAAAATAAATCAAAGCTCGGAAAAGCTGAACAACTGCTTTATACAAATAAGTTTCAGGGGGATTTAAGCCAAATGGTTTCACAAGCAGTTTCTTCAGTTCAGTCTGAGAATTTATCAACTGCATGTTCGGACAACCTTAATCAAAGTTCAATTCCTTATCAAAACCAATCTGATATTGAAAATATGTACCCACCAAGTTCGCAAGATTTAGTTCAATACAAACCAGATTCTGAAGGTGACAAATACCAATTACCTCCTGAAGATTCAGTTCCTTCAAATCCTGAAAATTCAGTTAAATATGAACCAAATCCTGACAATTTAGACAAATACCAATCAACTCCTGATGATTCAGTCCATTCAAATTCTGAAACTACAGTGAAATGTGAACCAAATCTTGAAAATTCAGTAAATTCCCAACCAAATCCTGAAAGCTCAGTTAAATATGAACCAAATTCTGAAGATTCAGTTGAATACCAACAAAATCCTGAAAGTTCAGGCAAATACCAAACAAACCCTGGAGATTTAGTAGAAGATCATGTTAATTTTGAAGACCCAAATTCTTATGCTAATTCTACAGTGTCAAAGGCATACCTATCAAATCCAGAAGACACCAACACAAAAGAATGAATGCCAATGCTACCCTTGGTATTATGAGAATACAGTGAAAGCAAAACCTAAGTGGAACATCTTTGGTATCTCTGAAAGCTGTTCCACCTGAAAGAGGTTCATTTAACATTAAGTAAGAGGGGAGGGTTTTCTCTTAGGATGTTCCACTTTAGATTTCACTGTATTTTAAAGATCAGGTCCCCACAGCTACTATAGTAGCTTAAAGGTGCATATATTGTCACATGGTTGTGCTTAAATTAATGATAAAGATGTATATTAATAAATCCTGGCTATTATTCCTTTAATCAGGCCTTTAATATGGTACCTTTAATATGACCCTATGTTCACATATCACTACACCTAATAGACTAGATGCGAGTAGAAATAATCTTGATTTACGTTATTAATATTCAAAATTCAGTCAAAGTGATGTCATATTTGAAATTTGCATGGAAAAGTACATCTAGAAATATGGTTTCGAAAATTGTCTATCAACTTTGAAAATTTAATTTTTTTGAAAATGTGACTTCTTGTTCGGGTTGATTCCCCATAGACCCCATGTTACAAAATCACAAAAAGTGAATTATCCTCTCTTGTATTGGACAGATAAAATTTTCTTTTACTGGACATATTTTAATTTGCATAACTATTAGATACGTAAGGGTTATATAAAAATTGAACCACGCAAATAGATGTAATTTAAGATAAAGGGAACTTTCTACTATACGCACCATGCTATCTGACCCGAACGAGCCACATGGTGGTGAATCTGGTAACTACCTACTCGCATCTGCGTTATTGGGGCATAATTTGTAAAAATTTCAATGCAAATTATATTGGTAAAATCTATGATTATACATGTATACTTTTGTGCAATAGATTGTATGATGTAATATGTTTTTGGCTTTTGCCCCTTGATCACAAAAAATAGAATTTCTTATCCATAAGCCTATTGAAAGCCATTTTAACTTGTTGACTGAGTTGGCATAAATAACCCTCTCATATAATGAAGGTTAAGAGAATTAGCATAAAGAAAACAAAAATGAAACACAAAACTAAACAACAGAACCCCTAAAGATAATTTACATTAATAGGCTGTAGCCTGTAGGATACTCACATAATGGTTCATTCATTTCGTTTATACTCATTGGTTGGTTGGGCTAGTTTAGGTAAGGCCTCATTTAGGTAGCCACACCCACTATATCCCATTGTCTCCCAAAAGAAAGTCTCTTAACTCAATTCAACCCCTTACCATTGATGTAGTCTCCCTTATCTGGCCTTGCCTTGGTATGACCCCTACTCTCTCCCCTTCATTCTCTGTTTCCGTCTTTTTTTTTGTTGACAGAATCAACCATTATGTGAACTTTTGTAGTTTAGCTGTGTTCTATGCAATCATTGTAATCCACTCTCTGTATATAGACATTATACCTAGGGAGGGATTGTATATTGTTTTTATCCAGAGGGAAGATATGTAATCTCAAAGGATAAGTCCTATGCAATCCTGACCAGGAGGTGACGTTTTTAAACCATTGATAATTAAAAATTGACATCTAAAAAAATTATTTGTTAAAAACATTTACATCGTGAAACACAAGTTCATAAAAATCTTCGGAAGAGAAGTACATGACTGTTTATCAATTTTATAAAATCGTTTTATACTCATGATATCATATTGATAGTGGAATGAATATATTTATACAAATGTCATACATCCATACTTTACATCTATAAATTGACTTCCAAGTTATAAGAGTATAGAATACTGTTAATTGCTTTAATTTGTGATTCAATAATTATGTGCAAGATTATGTGTCAATTAAGATCATGTCTTTAACCAATTTACAATTTTTCTCCTATTGAGCTACATGGTATTTTCATACATTTTCTCAAAATTTTACCATATTAAATGAAAAGTAGTATTTTATTCAGGTGTTCTCTTTTGCAACCCTGGATAATATATATGAAAATATAAATTGCAGATATTAGTACACAATTTTAACAGAAATGTAACAGTATGTATATAGCATAGCACAGCTTGTTATATAGTTAGTAACTAATAAATAAATACAATTATTAACATATATGTTGTACTTGTTCTGTACTTTGAGCAGTTCTTTTGTGACAGTGCAGTATAGCAAGGGGTTTTAACTTTAAAGTTGTCAGAAATTGAGGATGGTACAAAATAGCATGCAATGCAACTTAAATTGTCCTTTACCCGTTTACCACTGGTTTATCTGGAAGGGGTTTCACCTACTCAATCCTTCCACGATCATGGGAAGATTTTTGGAATTTCTTTTTTGGGCCTAATAAAGATACTGTTCATATCTGGGGCTTATTTGAAAAGCTGTCATCTTTTTTAAAATGAGTCTTATTTAACAACCTTAATTATATTCTCTGTGAAAGAGAATTGAGACAAAGTATGTTTGAAACAGAGTTGGGCCACAAGAAGTAGAAGTCTAGCAAAAGACACATCGTTCAAGGAAAACAGTCAAACTAAAGTTGCTAGGAAATTTAAGATTGCTGGCTAAAAAGGGGAGATAAACCAATTTGCAGTGACTCTACTATACATCGTAAACTACTTTTCGCACGCAAGAGGATGTAAAATAAATAATCTACTTCTTATGAGTAATGCAGATTTTCATAAATACAACAAGAAAAACGTATTTATTTTTATAGTTTTTATTGACATTTTACGTTTACCACATAATAAATTACATGAATGACTTTTGAGTTGGTTCTCTAAGTATGAGATATTATCCATATCTTAGATTAAACTAGTATATACTCCCGAACACAGGCTGCGTTGCCTTCAATTTGGGATAACTGTGATTGAATGTTCGAACACATATCGCATCAGTCTCTTCAAATGATGTTTCGAGTTTAAGCATCGCTTTGTTATTCTTAAACAACCGCTTCTCAAGATCCAGAACTTCAAATTTTGGATCTAATATTATCATTGATAACTTCCATGACGGTGTATCATCCCCGGGTGAAGACATCGGCTTGGCGAATTTCACTCTCCAGTCGTCGATGTTTATGCACGTCATTGGACTGAAAGTACGAGATATTTCAATAAGTTTTTGAAGTTCAGAAACATTCAAGGAAAATTCATGATAACAACACAATTATAAAGTTGTTTTTTAGTAATATTTATGGACGCAAATGATAAAACAATGCAAAACCTTGAAAACCACGGGAAATTCATAGATGACACGTTTTATAGTTAACATTTATGGATGCAAATGGAAAGACGATGCGAAATCTAAATATATAAGCCGCCATCTCTGTTGTAAGGCATCATCAGTATATGATGATCGCTTAGAGATGCAGGTTGTACAGATGTTTGGCAGTTTAGGCTATGGTGGGAGGCTTTTGTGAACAGTTGTTTTTTGAGAAAAATCAAGTTAATTGCAAGATATTTCCTCATCTAAACAATTTACGTATTCGTACATTCTCTGACCACCCGAAACCCACCTGTCAGTTCCATAACTACTAAAACACTCTGCCGGGGCCAGCATCCAATTCTTATTGATGAGGGTTCCAGCACACATTAATCTCCCCTTCTCATATAAAGCCGCTAACCAAACCCGATTTTGTGATGCGTTCTTGCAGGTTTCTTTGAAGTGATCTGAGAGAAATAAAGGAAGCATTACTTAATTTGATAGTATTTAACACAATGTACCCTATGCGTCACATTGATATTAAAAATTTTAAGATAATTTGGATGGAACGATAAACTTAGCGTGTATTTGCGAATGCAACTAACGGCTAGCGGCTATCGGATTAACCTACTATTTTATGACCAACTCATTTAAATATGAATGGAATAGTAGCAGGTACTGTTCATATTTAAATGAGTCGCCAATAAAATATAAGGTTAATCCGGTAGCCGACAGGCGATTCTAGTTGCATTCGCGAATACAAGGTTAGACTTACTTACTCGTACATCCATGCAAGTAAAACATTATGAAAATATGGATGGCTCTTAAAGGGATTAATAAGAGGGAGTTAGAGGGTTATCTGTCGAAAATGAAATAGGGGCAATTACAATTGGAAACTTCTGGATCTCAATCGTCAGTAGTTTATATATTCTATCAGATATCTCATTTTTTTCTTCGAAAATGAAATTATGATTGTAAGCTATCACAACATTCTAAACCATCTATCCCTTAGAGTATATTAAGTAAAATAAATGTACCAAATTGTGGTTTATCTGTTACACCTCTTGGTTGTCCAACATCTCCCTTTGGTTTTGTCGCACATGGTTGCGTCTCTCTGGATGTGATTCCATTATTTTGAGGTTTACAATTCTCTATGCTTGGATCTATTTTTCCATCCTCCATTTTGCAATGTCTTTCTCGAAATCGGACAGTCCTATCAAATTTATTCGTTTTACATTTGCTCCACTCTGACCATTTGCCCCAAGTGGAATCTGAAAAGAAGCAAGCCTTTACTATTTTCTTTCTCAATGTTAATAGGCTCATATCATTTCACGTGGTTTTACCTAATACAATCGGCATTCTTGAAAGTAAGCTTAAGCTACACCTTTTGGGCCCGTTTTTGAATGCACCTAACGTTTATCAACAAAACCATAATAATGGACTTACTTGCACATTCATGGTTCATGGTACAAATTTCTTTGTCGGTCCCGAACGAACACTTGTCTTTAAACCTCCCATAACGAGCGTCGATTTCCACAAAATTGATTGGTTTGATACAGCCACGTATTCGCTGTCGTTTCCCTTCACTACATTGAGAACCGCAGCCAATATTCTTACAATCTGCAGAGCACGACGACCAGGCACCCCATTCTGCCCAATCTTAAAAAGTTGACACCATTAAGTATAACAAAGCACACAGCGATAAATATCGCACATTTATGTGACGCCCGAACAGACAGACGCACGTACGGAACTCGCGCACGCACATTCAATTGAGGACAAAACATATTAGAATTATTTTTCCCAAATGAACTAATTGCGTGATGTTTGGACCATTGCGTTCGAACAGATGATTTAAACCGACAGCCTAACCGCTAGACCATAAATGATCTATTGTCCCTCAGTATATATTATCCATCTATACATTTCAAAGCAATATATACAGTCCGGGTGAGGCTATACATCCTTAGGACCCAGATCCATAAGAGCTGCGTACCAAAGATGTTGGTGGGACTATATATTCAGAGGCCTATATTCACTCCGACAATGGTGTAGTAATCGTTACCTTTGACCCTTCCCATGATCCACTGCATGTAGTGTGGTATAGACATGACTTGAGTTGTACAAGCGTCTCTTGATCTACATCCTTCCATAGAAGTCGAACTTAGGACTCCTAGCACAACCTCTTGTGTGGAATTATCGGCAACTTTGCAAGATAGGGGACCACCACTATCTCCCTAGAAGTAGGCTACTAGTTAATTGATTCAGTATTATGGATTTCTGTTACATCGATTTTTTAATTATTTCAAGAAAATGTCCTCTTCAAGATGTATTGGGCTTTACTTTATGTCAAATCATAGCATGATGCAAGAGACTAGAATGGAATCAATGGATATAGTGTAATAGGGATTAGTTGAGGATAGGTTTCGAAAAGAATGTCACAATTTTTGGGTCTCATCATTCCATGAATTTGGGGGGACGCCCACTTTTTCAATCTAGTGAATTTGGACATTTTTGCATCTAAATCGTAACCTTTGAATGAATAATTTCTTTATGGATTGTTTTCAACATTTTACACTCGCTAGCCCTTCTCTAATTCCTTTATAACGGTATAGCAAGTCAATGTACAAGAGTATTACTGGAATATATTTTGACACATTTTTGAAATTTATATAACATTTCTTATATCAATTTACTAGTAAGCTTATCAATAATAAAACATCACTGCTCAGTATTTAAAAAATATGAGAATCATTCCTACCAAGCCCGGTGATTGTGAATGTTGACCAGTACGCTCTAATTTAACGCCAATTTCTTTTATATCTTCTTGACTTTGTTCATGAAAGGTATCTTCGAAAATTTTCAATCTTGTTACTCTAAAAATAAATTGTAAACTGACAATAGCAAAATATGCTAACGGGGCTGCTAAAATTGCTTAAATCGCTCACAAGAAAATTCCCAACTGCTGGCCTCAAGTTAAAAATCAGAGCATTCTGAAAACTAATGATGATGGAATTGATCTTATTGTTGAACTTGTACATATCAGAGTAAATGCAAATGTTGCAACTCATTCAATTGAGCCAAATCGAATGTCAGATACTACCAAAACTTAAAATCGTTTCATTAAATACGGAGAGACGAGCAAATATACTGGCCGTCAAATTTACTCTTACGATTTTTAAGATAAGCATGTGTATTTGAGGACGCGAGGGATTTTCGGCAATACTTAATGGTTCAATTATAGCCCTTGTACCCTCTTCGTGCAAACGTCTTTCCACCTATCGTAGCAAAGCAGTCCTGCATAAGTGAATCGGTCCAGTGGGTTGAACACGTGTTTTCTTCTTTCGTAGAATCGCTACAAATCACTCCAGGCAACAACGCTGGTCGCGGATCGTCATTCCCAGCTCCCATACGGACTGGACTCTTCAAGCGTATTAAAGCAATATCATGTGTGACTACATTGTCTACCATTGTGTATTTACCATGAACTATTATCTTATTGGGGTGTATACTATCTTGAAAGTTTCGCAAACCCATGTATAAGTCATTGTCGGGGTTTGGATCCAAGGCTCTGATTTTCCAACGTCTGTAGTTACACTTTCGTATATCAACTCTCCTGAAATGGTTTCATTTGTATCAGGCAAATGAAAATTCATACACGTTTATCGAAAAAGACTCGCACCGGGGACTTGCATTATTTAACCGATATCCTACAGTGATGTTGATATAAATACCATGGACTAGAAGACGACTTTGTTTCCCGTGAACAGCATTCCTGTTTGATACCACAAACACAATGTCCTGCTGTTAAAACCCAGTAATTGTGAAGAAGAATGCCATGACAAAACCGTTCTGGTAGAGGATTACTTCTTTCGATTCCGACTGCCCAATTCCTTATCCCAGTTTTGTTCATATTCAGTCCGCACATGACTTAAAAACAAATAGTGGAGAGGTTAAGCTAACGATGTTTTTCACAACGTAACCGTAAACGCAAAGTACAAAAATTAACAAAGGAATGTATCGAGCGCTCATAGTTTTATGCGCTCTTAGTCTACTTCAGATACTCTTTCAGCTTCAGAGTTTCGGGTTTAGAACGGGAGATTTAAATATTTGACGTTGGGTCAACGGGAACCATTTAACTCGTGTCTATTGAACACTATGCTGTCAATTTTGATTTCGATGTACAGTTGAATTCTTGCTGAACACGATGATGTATGTCATGCATGATTTAGCGCCAAAAATCTTACGAAACGAGCTCGTTTAAAATATGTATTAGAAAACCAGCTATAAAACCGCATCAATGACATACTATAGAATCATTACACGCTATGGTGTAGTCTAAACAAACACTGGATTTGAACGGCTATTTATATGAGAAGGCTACATGAATTTGTATATGGTCGAGTGATACGTACAGGTTCAGTTTCGATTATATATGCAGAGCTTAACCTCTCCAATATGAAAGTACAACTACGTATTGTATCATACCTTTTGGAATTTTCGTATTGAGGTTATCTTCACGTACAGTTACTTTTTAAATCTGTTGCTTGAAATTTTTATAACAATGCGTTTTGAACTTTTCTGACGTACTGTTCACCGGCATAACATAAAATGGGACTTGGTTAAGTGGTGCGCTTTAAAAAAACATTTTCAAAGATACTTGCATCTTTCACGGGTTTTGTTAACGTGATGTATTCAAATACGATCGTATCCAACATAACACGTATATGTATTTGCATTTCATAGTGTTATGTAATGCTCATTCCACAAGATCACTTACTTCTACACGCTTCTCCTTTGCAACATTCCTTCTCATATGCTGCATCTTCTCCTCCATCGCACAAATCTTCACTGACAACACTTCCATTGCTAAAAATGCACATTCTGGCTCTGAACCTGTATTGTGGCGAACATATGGCTGTTTTGTTACTTCCGCATCTACTCCATGGACTATATCTTGTCCACTCTGGCTTTTTTTGTATTTGGAAAGATGCCGTAGATGTTATAGTTGGAGAAGTTACCGTTGTCGAAGGTGGTCCATGAAATCCCGATCGTGCACCTGATTTGGCAGTTGTTGTAGGTTCGCTTGTTGAGTTTGTGGATTTAGGTACAGTTGGCGTTGTAGGCACTGTTGTTTTAACATCAGTGGTGGTAATGTCAGTCACTGTTGTAGTAGCTTCAGTGGTGGTAGCGTCAGTCACTGTTGCTGTAGCTTCAGTGGTTGTAGCGTCAGTCACTGTTGTTGTAGCTTCAGTGGTTGTAACGTCAGTCACTGTTGTTGTAGCTTCAGTGGTGGTGGTGTCTGTCACTGATGTTGTAGCTTGGGCGGTGGTAGCGTCAGTCACAGATGTTGTAGCTTCAGTGGTTGTAGCGTCAGTCACTGTTGTTGTAGCTTCAGTGGTGGTGGTGTCTGTCACTGATGTTGTGGCATCAGTGGTAGTAGCGTCAGTCACTGTTGTTGTAGCTTCAGTGGTGGTGGTGTCTGTAACCGATGTTGTGGCATCAGTGGTAGTAGCGTCAGTCACTGTTGTTCTAGCTTCAGTGGTGGTAGCGTCAACCGTCGTTGTTGTAGCTTCAGTGATGGTAGCGTCAGTCACTATTGTTGTAGCTTCAGTGGTGGTAGCGTCAGTCACAGTTGTTGTAGCTTCAGTGGTAGTAGCGTCAGTCACTGATGTTGTAGCTTCAGTGGTAGTAGCGTAAGTCACTGTTGTTGTAGCTTCAGTGGTAATAGCGTCAGTCACTGTTGTTGTAGCTTCAGATGTAGTAGCGTCAGTCGCTGTTTTTGTAGCTTCAGTGGTGGTAGCGTCAGTTACAGTTGTTGTAGCTTCATTGGTGGTAGCGCCAGTCACTGTTGTTGTAGCTTCAGTGGTAGTAGCGTCAGTCACTGTTGTTGTAGCTTCAGTGGTTACAGCGTCAGTCACTGTTGTTGTAGCTTCAGTGGTAGTAGCGTCAATCGCTGTTGTTGTAGCATCAGTGGTGGTAGCGTCAGTCACTGTTGTTGTCGCTTCAGTTGTGGTAGCGTCAGTCACTGTTGTTGTAGCTTCCGTGGTGGTAGCGTCAGTCACAGTTGTTGTAGCTTCATTGGTGGTAGCGTCAGTCGCAGTTGTTGTCGCTTTAGTGGTGGTAGCGTCAGTCACTGTTGTTGTAGCTTCAGTGGTGGTAGCGTCAGTCACTGTTGTTGGAGCTTCAGTGGTTGAAGCGTCAGTCACTTTTGGTGGAGCTTCAGTGGTGGTAGCGTCAGTCACTTTTGGTGGACCTTCAGTGGTGGTAGCGTCAGTCATTGTTGTTGTAGCTTCAGTGTTGGAAGCGTCAGTAACTTTTGGTGGAGCTTCAGTGGTGGTAGCGTCAGTCACTGTTGTTGTAGCTTCAGTGGTGGTAGCGCCAGTCACTGTTGTTGTAGCTTCAGTGGTGGTAGCATCAGTCACTGTTGTTGAAGCGTCAGTAGTACTGATAGCGTCATTGGCTTTTGTTGAAGCATCAGTGGTGTTACTGTCAGTCATTGTGCTTTCTGTTGTTGTTGTTGTTGTAGTTTGAGTTGTTGCTTCACACGAAACTCCATTTCCTTTGTACCCAGTTGGACAGCTACACATGTACGATCCCGGTATGTTGGTACAGTTGGCTAACTGATGGCAGTTGTTTGAATTGTCTAAACATTCGTCAATATCTGGAACAAATATGAAATTGAATTAGCATGTATTTCGTATTATTTTGATCCTCGAGGTAACTATGATTTGTGTGTAGTGTAAGGTTTGACTTTCATAAAATCATTAAATGCCCAACTTTAAGTTAGACATATTGCAAATTTCTGCAGTTTTTGTGTATCGTTGTTGTATATTGTTAAAATTCCTTTTAGCGCTGTAGGCTATTTTACTTTAAAAGAATTTACGTAGTTGTGTACATCGTTGGATTTGTAAATGTGTCTTTCAAACGCTCTTTGCTTTTACCTGAACAATTCCATCCGTTGCCAGTAAAACCTTTTATACATGAGCATTTGTATGATCCTCTCAGGTTTTTGCATTTTGAAAACTCATGGCAACTATTTCTCTTTGTGCATTCATTTATATCTGAAAATACAGCATTTACATTTCTATTACCTAGGACTAGTTGTTTCAGAATTTTGATTTATAATCAACTTCACCTAGTAATACTAATGAGAGTAGATGATCAAAATCAAGTAAAATTGTAGACAAAAAGCAACAAGATAAGTCATCAATGCTAGATGAATAAATCATTTTTTAGATAAAAGTTTTGTATTGGGAGAGGATAAATAATCAAATTGAATCAAGAACCTCTGCACATGCGTCTCCCATTTCCGGTGTAACCGCTCGCACACATGCAGTCAAAGGAACCATTTGTGTTTATACAAATTCCAAATACTCTATGACAGTCATTAGCATAGGACACAGCACATTCGTCGACATCTACAAAAAATAAGTAAGCGCTCTTTTGTAAATTGAACAGGTAGTTCGGTGGTATGAATGTATTACACTTTACAGCTATACGTCTTGTCAAGTTGGCATCAAGATTATTTGCTAGCAATGTAGGCCTACTCATTTCCGTGTTACCTTGACAATGTGATCCATTTCCGGTGTAACCTTTATCACATTGGCACCCAGTGGCACCTGAATATCTATCTGTTTTACACGTTGCAAATGTATGACAGTCGGCTGTGGAATTGCATGACGATGCTGAAAACAAAGTGCAAACGTAACAATACTATAGCAATTAGGTACGGTGGAGCAAAAGCATGAAAACAGAGAGTATAAATCATCTAAATCTCATCGTCTCCAGAAGGAAAGGTTTCTTAATCCGACACTGCCCCTTAATGTTTCAAATAGCAACTCCTAAGTAACGCTGCAAAGGCCAATTTTGTAAACCGCCAATGAAAATATCACCAGATGAATTTGGGAACAGGAAGAGAATACATAATCATTAAGTACCTGCTTCTTTACTGCAGATATAACCGTCAGTCCTTGTGTTACAGTGAACAGTTCGCCATTCGGTGGTATTGAATCCTGTCCCAGTAACTTGAGCACAGTCACTCGATTTTGGTCTACCATTAACATTACGCGGCTTGGGTGCCCATTTCTGGTATGAATAGGGGCTTCCATCTGTCCATACAAATGAGCCTTCTTTGTCTATATCGTTAAGACCTATGTAATATCCCAATTTGTTGTCTTTCATTTTCTCTGAAAAAAGATGTAATTGAGAATAACAGTCCGTTCATTTCAGCTTACAGTATTTTCAACGTCATGAACTCTGACGTGCATTCTGTTGTGAATGAAGAGACGCCATTTGCTAATGTTGTGCTGTATTAATACATTACTATCTATGCATTACTATCTTCAAAGTTTATGAACGTGAATGACCATAATAAAATGTATATACATTAAAAAGTCGTAAAAAGACCCTACTATTTATTTTAACAGTCATGAAAATTGGAATAAATTATACATAAATAGTTTAATAAGAAGAAAAAAAATTCCTAGTATTGGGTTAATTAGTTCTGGCAGATTCAACCATGATATCTGAAAAATATTATTTATTTTAAATCTCATCTTACCAGCCATAAATGCTTGTTCAATGTCGCTATGGACTGATGCGAGGTGCCCACCTCGGGTTTTACAATCACTTTCGGCCTTTAAGTACTTGATACCCGATGTTTGCACATCTAGAAAACACCGGGTTCCAATCATTGTCCAGTTACTTTCTTTAGGTCCTTTTACTTTTAGACATGTGTACGAGGCTTCCACATTCGAGACAGAACATGCTGTACGTTATTTACAAAAGTACTTGTTAGTGACTATGCACCGTTTAAACATGGGCATTCATTCCATTTTAGATCAGTTTTTTTAATTGAAATTGTCTACGTCAATGAAACGATACAGGAATATATACAAATCATTGTACATGGAGGAACTCACATTAGTTTGTCATTATCAAAACTATATGCGTCAACTTCAAAAAGTCAAACACATTCATGCTTAAGATTTTAAAAGAAATATCATCAAATTTCTTTATATTTCTAGGTAAAACTTTCCCATAATAGAAAAACAAAACTCGCTACTCACCAAACAAACCCAAAACAGCCGTGACAAGATGCAAATGCACGTATTGCTTTTTCTGTGTGATCATATTTACAGAATACATCCTTCTTTATTTTAAGCTTTGTGTAGTGATGATTTCAAGCTAACTTTGACAACTGACTGTGTGAGCATATTTACAGAATATATCCTTTATTTTAAGCTTTGTGTAGTGATGATGTCAAGCTAACTTTGACAGCTGATTGTGTGATCATATTTACAGAATATATCCTTCTTTATTTTAAGCTTTGTGTAGTGATGATGTCAAGCTAACTTTGACAACTGACTGTGTGATCATATTTACAGAATATATCCTTCTTTACTTTATGCTTTGTGTAGTGATGATGTCAAGCTAACTTTGACAACTGATCCGTTGATCTTTGGCTTTCCAACTCTCTGCTCAAATTTTGCAGTCGTAGTCTTTTGTAATCGTCGAGGCTATCATCGTGTGGAAACATTAAAACACGTTTTAACGATAACTACAGTTATCGTATTTTCAGCAACGGATCTTGACAACTGACCTACGTTAGCTCCTTTACATCCACCTACGCCGCGTGTTTCTAGGTTTCTAATCATCTGAGTTTATTCTATCACTGCAGTGATCAATTTTAAATTGATCACGCACTTTAGCTGCGTACATTTTTCGATTAGTCAGCCATTATGTGAACAATCGGTATAGCTATAGAAGTGCAGCGTTGCATGATATTGCTTTATCCTTATTAAATATCGAAAGAAAAACAAACAGACTATATAAAGTGTATATCATTTTACTTTTTCATTCATAAGGCATCATCACTTGCATATTGATTTTAGTGGATAGCCGATTATTGTTGATATATAAAAGTAGACATTTAAGAAAATCACAATTGCAAAGACAAGATGAAGTTATGATATCAGTAAATTAAGCCAAGCGTAGTATAGGTCAATAGTCCTATTGATTCTAGTAGATCTTGCTTAGGTACCTTGACAAGTACGTTAAGTTTAATTTTTCTAGTCGGTCGGTATCAATAGCTGTTTCTATATCGTCTAATCTACAGGGTGTACCAAAACACTTCACCCACCTAACGATGAATATCTCTTTAACCAACAGAGTTTGATAAAAGAAAGCTTGCACCATTAAAGTTAGTTAAATGTTCTTCAAGTTGATGAAGTTCAATTACTATAGCAATTGTATGGCCCATTAGTTTGCAATAGTTTGAGGGTTGTTTGCATACACAATATCCTAAATGAACCCTCACAGATAAAAATCTGGAGGGCTCAGGTCTGGGGAGGGGGTGCCCAGTTGGTATCTGCTCTACGACTGATTTATCCTATAAATGATTCTGAAGCCACCCCAAGGTGATGTTGCAATTGGATGTATGTGGTAATGCTTTATCTTGTTGAAATCATTGGCCTATCAACATCATGTAAAAACAGAAATGTAAAAACTCTAAATGTAAATCTATACATTTAGAGTTTTTACATTTCTGTTTTTACATGATGAAATATAATGCTTTGTGTTCATGGTTATACTTTTCCCTTCCTCATTTTCTATAAAGTATGGCCCAATAACACGTGACCATGCTTACTCAAAGCACACCAAACACTGCATTTTGCACAATGAAGTAGTCTCTCAGCCACTTCAATAGGAGCATAGTTACCCAATAAACATAGTTTTTGCTATTAATTGCCATTCGACTGAAAACGCGCTTCATCGCTAAACCAACTTTGCCTGGCGTTTGCAAGTCTGTCTTTAGAGATGCGATGCCCATTTTCGAGCACATTATTTGAATGGCCAGCAAATGGGCCCTACAATTGCTATAGTAGTAAAACTTTAACAACTTGAAGAACATTTAACTAACTTAAATTATGCAAACTGTGTAAAATAGTGACCTTTTCCCTACGGAAATGAAGATACATACATTATACAGAAAACAATTGTATACCTTTGGATTTGTCCGGGCATATATCTTAAACATCTAAATGAAAAGCTCCTGAGGAAACAGTTGCAAATTGACTTACAGGGAAGATGCCTATCAAATATTGGCTGCAACCAAGGACGTCCTTGCTGCAACTATAAACTTTCCATGAGATAAACGAAATTAACTGAACCAATTGGTTGAACTCTGCCCTGTTAAAACTTGGTATAATTTTGAGAAGTGAATTTTATGATTACAATTAATAAGTATTCCACTTTTTGGAGCATGTTCAATAGTGTTTCAACAGAGTATGAACAAAGATGCATTCGAATAGTTCCAAGTGCCTTTAGCTTCAGATATCATTCGAAAGTCTCGATAGTTTTGATAGTCTAAAAATTCCATTAAATGTATCTAAAGATTCCAATCAAATCTTTGATATGTTTCAATAACTAAATTGTCATATTTGTTGGAATTTTCTTAACTACTAAAGCTTTTGGAACGATTGGAACAATCATTATCATGTGGGATATACATTTCAACTATATGGTTAAATCAGCCATTGTTGATAACGGCTTCTATAGTCGCCGTTATCAGGGCATGCCTATGTGAAAATTACTATAAAATACCTTTTATTAAATACGTTATGATTAACCAGGGACGTAAATTTGTTCATATGCATTTTGTATAATAATATAATAATCTCTAAACAATACTTACCTATCTGGCCTGAAACACTGAGAAGCATTAAATTAATTACGTGCTATTATTATACAGGGTGGACTAAAATAAATAACCATATTAAAAAGTACGCAACTTATTTTGATAATTATATATTTAATGTATATTATATGAAAACAGTGAGTAAAAGAGAGAACCTTAACAAACATAAAACGCAAATGAAAAAGAAAGCTTGCCCAGGCAGACGGAAATGGTCAAAGGTTGATTGATATCGAAAGTTTGTAAAATAAAATCTTACTTATAAAAAAAATTATACAGTAATGGAGTCCACACTGAGAAGAAATATTGTATATATTATGAAGTTATATAATGGTTGATTTCGTATATCGTGTTTATACTCAAGCGAGTACATGATATATTCACGAGTGACTGAAGGGAACGAGTGAACATATCATATACTCACGAGAGTATAACGATATTATTCAGAATCAACCATTATATGATATTATTATCCCACCCTAATCTTTAATCAATTATAGGTTAATCTAAATTCAGCAGTTGTATATCAAGTCGAAGAGTTGTATACGTTCCCCAGGAGTTGTATACGTTATCCAGGAGTATATCGTTCTCAAGAGTTGTATACGATGAGTGTTGTTTTTATATTGCTGCAGTTATACAATGCCATTATACAATCATATAAAGCACTTAGGGTGGGATAACATAATTTATTACACTCATAACATTATTCTACCATCAACATGGTTAACATAAACAACCTACATATGCTGTTTCTTTCTTTCTATGAAATCGTGTTACACAAGTATGTGATTCATCATTCTGGTCTGATATAGTGCCCCGGTTAAAAGTTCATTTCACGCCCAAAATTGAGATGGTAAAAATCAAGAATATGCCTATATGAATTGCTGATAAATTAATTAATCAATCAATTAATCAATTAATTAATTTGAATAGCTCTCATTAAAGGTTAAATAATGCATTTTGCCGCTTGACCATCTAGATTTGATTTGGACTACAGTTTGACGTGAGGGCCATCTATGTAACATTTTCAAAGCTATTTTTAATAATTGGACAAATCTTACACCTATTCCCAGGGACCTATTCAGTCGTACTTATGAGTAACGGGAACGACAGAAAGAAGTTCAGATTTTAGAAAACTGAGCACTGATAAAAGAAAATTAAGTTTACAATATGATACTCAGAATATTTCCTGTGTAACTTGGCTTAGAGCATTCAAATGCAAAGAAGATAATTCGTTGGAAGACATTGCATGATATGTATATGGTATATCCATGCAATGACTTTTTAAATCATTTCAATATAAAATAATTTTCGCATTATGATTTGTGATACTTGTAATGTCATACTGACAATGTTAATTTTAGGAATATAGGAAAATTAGAAATGATTGAACTATTTTGATAAAGTTGCATTTTAACACATAATATGTATGCGATAGATATGAGGATGTTTCAATAGCCAAGAGACAAGTTCTGATTTTTAACCAAAACAAAACTGGAATCATTGATCATCTTAGCCTAATATGAAAATGAAAACTGTTGTTGGAATAAAGGTAATAAATATATAAAAGAAAACAGTCTGGCTTATTGTCTCCAGGCAAATTATATCCAAGTAATAGACCAGTATATCAACTCAGACTTATTGTCAACTCGTTCAAATTTATTGTCAACTCGTTCAGACTTATTGTTTCCAGACAGTTAGTTGACCAGTAGTATATCAACTAATTCTTGTAATTGCCACTGCCAAGCACAGGTTGTGTCGCCTTTAGCCTAGGATTGTCTTGATCAAATGCACCAACACAAATTCCATCGGTCTTCTCAAACGAGGTTTCAAGTTTAATCATAGCCTTGTTATTCTTAAACAACCGCTTTTCAAGATCCAGAACTTCATATTCTGGATCTAATATTATCATTGATAACTTCCATCGTTGTGTATCATCCCCAGTTGATGACATTGGCTTGGTGAATTTCACTCTCCAATCCTTTTTGTTAATGCAAGTCGAAGGACTGAAAATTGAAATACATCATTGGGGTGACTCTAGTCATTACTTAGGATATACTTTGACATAGCAGAACGGTAGAAACAGTGGTATTCTTTGAGTTGAGCATCGAAATATGACAAAGTGAGTAGTATTTATCTTACGAATTACATGTAATTTATTGGATGTAAAATGGAGCGTTTTCCAATAGGGTTGATACAAGGCTTTACATTTGGAAACAAATATCCAAATTTTAAAAATCAACAAATGCTAAAGCCTTCTTCAAGGCTACACTTGGGTCAACCGAGAGAAGCCAAACGAGAGAAGGTGTGATACAAGTGTATTGAGTTAAATATGCCCTTTAAATATTAAATGCCGTATAACAATCATATATAATTTTTAATTCGCCGTTTAGATGTATGGGATTTATGTCTTTATTGCCCTTAAATGATTCATATTCTACTCACTCACTCGTCCCAGAACTACTGAAACAATCTGCCGGTGCCAGTACCCACTTCTTATTGATGAGGGTTCCAGCACACATTAATCTCCCATTGTAGTAGAAACCTGCTAATATAACCTGATTTTTCGACCCTTTCTTGCACGCTTCTTTGAAGTGATCTAAACATAACAAATAGTTATAATGACCCTATGTTGTGATTCAAATTGGCTCTTTTGTCTTTATTAAAGGTAAAGTCTATCATTATTCATCAAAAAAATGACAAGAGATTTTAGTATTCTTATAAAGATGTATTTGTTCTTTACTATTTCAAATAAGGTTTTCATTTGTATCAAACAGATCAATATGCTATAAAAGTGTGTACTTAATCACTGAACCGATTAAGGTTAAACTATTGACGGTTGAGAAAGTACATACCAAGTTGTGTTTCATTTCTTGAACTCCTTGTATGCCCCATCCTTTTGGTCATGCATGGAAGAATTTCTCTTGATGTGATGCCATCGTGTCGAGGTTTACAGTTCTCTTTGCTGGGGTCTATTTTTCCGTCCTCCATTATGCACTTCCTTTCTCGAATCGAGATCACTTTGTCTCCGCCTTTTGTTATGCATTTTCCCCACTCAGACCATTTTCCCCAAAATGAATCTATAAGTAAATGAGCTATTTCTATTATAGACATTTTTATCCATAAATCTATTCCTTTAGTTACCAATAATATACAAGCAATTGATTGCCAAAGTTTTATAAAAACAATAGCGACAATTTTAGTCAATAAGAGTAGGAATACATAGAAAAGTCTATTCAATTTTACAAGGATGGAGGAAAGACAAGTATGGGATCCTGTATCTAAGATGGCCAAATTTGGGGGTAAGAGCTCAAAAGAGAAACCTGAATAACATCTGCCTTTTCACATAATTTTCACCTTTTGAGTTATGCCTAATGTTATCAACATAGCCATAATATATAACTTACTCGCACATTCATGATTCATGGTACAATCTTCTTTGTCTGTATCGAACGAACATCTTTCTTTAAATCTTCCATAACGAGCGTCAATTTCCACAAAGCTGATTGGTTTGATGCAACCACGTGTACGTTGTCGCTTCCCTTGCGCGCACGGATACCCACATCCCAGTCCCTTACAATTCGCGGAACACGCTGACCATTCTCCCCATCCTGCCCAATCTTAAAAGGTGCATAATTTTAAGACATAATCGATTGTTCATTCTCAATGTGCTCATATGATGATAATTGGGGTCTCACTCATCTCAACTCATGATAATTGGGTCTCACTCGTCTCAACTCATGATAATTGGGTCTCACTCGTCTCAACTCATGATAATTGGGGTCTCACTCATCTCAACTCATGATAATTGGGGTCTCACTCATCTCAACTCATGATAATTGGGTCTCACTCGTCTCAACTCATGATAATTGGGGTCTCACTCATCTCAACATATGAAAATTGGGTCTCACTCATCTCAACTCATGATAATTGGGGTCTCACTCATCTCAACTTATGATAACTGGGGTCTCACTCATCTCAACTAAGGATAATTGGGGTCTCATGCCATTAATGTTTGTGAAAAGCGGATCATTGTGACTTCCATGCTCTCAGAGTTTAGGTACACAAAGCCATTGCTCACTGACTGGCCTTACATTTTCAAGACGCCAGTTGCCACTCCAAACCAATATATTTAATAAATAACTCAACTTTAGTTACTTCAGACGTTTTCGACATTTCGCCAATCATCCAACTAGCTTTATCAAGATTGCATTCAAAATGGAAGTACATCATGTTCATAAATAATATAACTGTACTTCCATTTTCAATGGTATCTTGAAAAAGCTAGTTGGATGACTGGCGAAACGTCGAAAAGAAGTAAATGAAGTTGAGTTATTTAATTTATTACCAGACTGATGAATCTACACAACAATATATTTAATGTAGCTCAGTGACTGAATGTCAATGAGACCATGGTGACTGGGTAGGCTGCTGCGAAGCATGTCATGATGCCAGGTTACCATAGTAACCATTACTCAATATTGATTGATATTATCATTTTTACTTGCTAAGAAACATATCTGAAAAATAATATTACATATGAAAGTGCAATGGCTGAAGGGAAAAACATAAATAGGAAACATAGTCTAGAAAAAAGCATCTTAGCGCACATCAAAATCTAATAAAAAAACACATAGAAAATGAACATTTCAGAGTCAAGCGGATTACAATAAAGGAAATTGTTAATATCTTAACTCAAACACTGGAGAGGTTAAGCTAACGATGTTTTTCACAACGTAACCGTGAACGCAAAGTACAAAAATTAACAAAGGAATGTATCGAGCGCTCATAGTTTTATGCGCGCTTAGTCTACTTCAGATACTCTTTCAGCTTCAGAGTTTCGGGTTTAGAACGGGAGATTTGAATATTTGACGTTGGGTCAACGGGAACCATTTAACTCGTGTCTATTGAGCACTATGCTGTCAATTTTGATTTCGATGCACAGTTGAATTCTTGCTGAACACGATAATGTATGTCATGCATGATTTAGCGCCAAAAATCTTACGAAACGAGCTCGTTTAAAATATGTATTAGAAAACCAGCTATAAAACCGCATCAATGACATACTATAGAATCATTACACGCTATGGTGTAGTCTAAACAAACACTGGATTTGAACGGCTATTTATATGAGAAGGCTACATGAGTTTGTATATGGTCGAGTGATACGTACAGGTTCAGTTTCGATTATATATGCAAAGCTTAACCTCTCCACTAATCTAACATACAACGAAATGGAGACATCGTTGTCTCCAACTGGTTGTGATCATAGATATTTGCCTTGCTGTGCTGTGTGATGCTCTAGTTTTACCCTTGATAAACTTTTGCTCACCTTTAGTATTATTACTATTACTACTAGTATCATTACCTGCGACTTTGTCCATTATCCACTGCATGTGATGTGGAATAAACATTGCTTGTGTCTAAACTTTTGCTCACCTTGAGTATTATTTCTATTACTACTAATACTATTACTATTATTACCTGCGACTTTGTCCATTATCCACTGCATGTGATGTGGAATAAACATGGCTTGTGTATAAACTTTTGCTCACCTTTAGTATTATTACTATTACTACTAGAATTATTACCTGCGACTTTGTCCATTATCCACTGCATGTGGTGTGGAATAGACATGGCTTGTGTTGTACAAAAATCTTTTGATCTACATCCATCCACAGATGTCGAACTTAGGACTCCTAATACGACCTCTTGTGTGGAGTTATAGGCAACTTTGCAAGATACAGGTCCACCACTATCACCCTTTGGATAACTTATATATAAAATGCAGTTCAAACGGATTTATTTTTGGCTTGGTGGTAATAGTGCCTCACATGGCATAATATAGTATACTATATTTTAATACAATCTGGTTATATTCAATAATATGTTGCATATACTAAATGCGAGTTTTTAGTAATGACAATATTTTGCAACAATAGGAAAAATGTACCTTGGATGGTGGTTTCGAAAACTGACCACTCCCTTCTAGTGTCACACCATATGCTTTCACATCATCTGGACTCTTATGGTTGAAAGCATCTTCAAATACCTTCAGTTTTGTTACTCTAGAAACAAAGTGAACTCTAGAAATAAAGTGTTTGGATTAGATTATTTTGATTAGCAATGAACATTTGTGTAATCTATAAATCGTTTGTACCCTCTATTTGCATACGTTCTCCCGTCTATCGTAGCAAAGCAGTCCTGCATGAGTGAATCCGTCCAGTGCGTTGAACACGTGTTTTCATCTTTTGTATAATCGCTGCAAATCACCCTTGGTAACAACGCTGGTCGGGGGTCATCATTCCCAGCTCCCATACGTATGGGGGTTTTCAAGCGGATCAACGCTAAATCATTTTTCAATGTTGTGTAGTCCGTTATTGCGTATTTATCATGAATTATAATCCTGCTAGGGTGTATATCATCTTGAAAGTTTCGCAAACCTTCGGCTATGTCGTTGTCGGGGTTTGGGTCTAAGGCTCTGATTTTCCAACGTCTATAGTCACACTTTCGTATATCAATTCTCCTGAAACGATTCAATTGTTATATCGGCTTTACAACTTATCTGGCATTTCTGGCATTGATATATATCATAGATATCCATTAGATTGCCATTTTGAAATAAATTTTATTTATTTATTGAAACGTAAAACAGTGATTCAATATTTTAAGTATTTTCTACAAAAATTATGATTTTATACCCCATCTCATGAGTGAAAAGTGTCCAATCCGGCCAGCCAGTAAAGGGATATATAGGGTAAATAAATTGTTACTTTTGGAAGACCCTGTGGAACACCCTGTATATTCAACATTTCACATACCCACATATTCTCTATAATGATTTCAAATCGTTAAACTAACGTTAATATGACTTTTACCATGAGCTATCAGAACGTTTCGTATCCTGTGAACAACACTTCTGTTTTTCGTGACATACACAATGTGCCCCTGTCAAAACCCAATAGTTGTGAAGTAGAATGCCATGACAATACCGTTCTGGTAGAGGGTTACTTCTTTCGAGTCCGACTGCCCAATTCCTGACTCCAGTTTTGTCCATATTTCGTGCACACATTACTTAAAGAAAACCATATGTCTAAACAATTTTTGTGAATTGTATTGTACGTACATGTGTGTAGGAAGAACAACTTTCTTGGTCGATCTACTATTTCTCTAACATCGATCGGGCGGAGATCAAAACCTTGGGATAAACAAAAACAAGCTATCCAATTATATTCAAGATTCAAACATACTGAGGTAATGTGATTTGTCAAATCTAAATAAAAGTAAAATGAGGAACCTTGAACTCCAAAGTGTCATTGGTTTTTCGAAATTCTGGATATTACACTTACTTTTACACGCCTCTCCTTTGCAACATGCCTTTTGATATGCTGCATCTTCTCCCCCATCGCATAAATCTTCACTGACAACACTTCCATTGCTAAAAATGCACATTCTGGCTCTGAACCTGAATTGTGGCGAACATATCGCTGTGTTGTTATTTCCGCATTTACTCCATGGGCCATATCGTGTCCACTTTGGATATTCTACTACATATAAAGATGCTGTTGTTGTACCTTTAGATGTCTGTGCTGCTGTTGAACTAGTTGGTGTTTCTGTCGCCGTCTTTGTTGATGTGCTAGGTGTTACTGGTATGGTGCATTTGTAGGAACCTGGTGTGTTAACACATGTGGTTGACTTGTGACATTTGCTTGAGTCATCTAAACATTCATCAATATCTGGAAAATACATTTTTCGTCCCGATGATAATAATTTGTAGAATAAGAATAGGAATAGAAGATGCATACACACAAAAATATAATTTAGAAGTCAGGTTGCTGCCAAACGTCTGTTTTTGCCAAACTGGTTTGCCAAGTGTCAATTCTTTAAAAGCAATAGAAAAAGAATGCACTCTTCTTTGTTACAACTGTACTTTCTTTAAAATAAACTACAGTCGATTCTATTGTGTTACTACCGAAGTAGGGTTTAGGTTGTCCTTACATATGATGAAGTCCATCTCACCTGTACAATTGAATCCGTTGCCAGTAAACCCTCTCATACATGAACAAGTGTATGAGCCCTTTGTATTTTTGCATTTTGAAAATGCATGACAACTGTTCACGGTGGAGCATTCATTAACTTCTGAAAATACAACTTTAAAGATAATTCTCGTGTGTTTAGCACTTGAAGCGTTGTTGATACTGTATTTTATATTGTTCTTGAAGATTTAAAAGTATATAATCTATGTTATATTCATTTCAGTGATAGTCGGATATCACCATACAGTGGGCTCAGATGCCGTTGTAAAATGCATGTGTGATTAATTTTTTTAGATAAGATGCCGTTGCAGAAATGCGTATGTAATTACCCTCTAGATAAGATGCCATTGCAGAAATGCGTGTTTAATTTCCCTCAAGATAAGATACCGTTGCAAAAAAGCACGTGTAATCACCATCTAGATAAGATATCGTTGCAGAAATGCAGAAAAGCGTTTGCAATTACCCTCAAGATAAGTGCCGTTGCAGAAAAGCGTGTGCAATAACCCTCTAGATAACATGCCGTTGCAGAAATGCATGTTTTATTACACACTACATAAGATGCCGTTGCAGAAAACCGTGTGTAATTACATTCTAATATGATGCCATTGTAGAAATGTGTGCGTTATTTGCTAATGAGCAAAGTACCGTTGCAATAAAACGTGGCTGTGCATTGACTTTCTAGATAAAATACATTGTACGAGTATTTATAAGTTAAGCAAGTACCTCTGCACCGTATCCCGTCTCCGCTGTAACCGCTGTTGCAACTGCAGCTGTACGAACCATTTGTGTTTGTGCAAGTTGCAAATAATGCATGGCAGTTGTTATTAAGGGACATGGCACACTCGTCGACATCTTGATTAGATAGAAATAACATTGTTACTACAATGGTAAATAAGCTGGAAACAATATAATGAGTTGGGACGGTGCCTTCTCATGATCGGGTTCAAACATAGCTGGAGATTGTTAATTGAATAGTGCCGGGGGCATATTTTTCTGAGCAGTAAAACTTGTGTTAGTGGAGCACAATTGGTAGCTCAAAATAGTGTTCCACTTGGCAGGTGCTCCACTTTACAGAGGTTCAGTTTACATTAATTAACCTTGTATTTGCGGATGCAAATAGCGGTTAGCGGCTTACGGATTAACCTACTCTTTTATGGGCAACTAATTTGAATATGAATTTTACCTGCCACTATTCCATTCATAGTTAAACGGGTTGGTCATAAAATAGTAGGTTAATTCGATAGCCGACAGCCGAAAGTTTCATTCGCGAATACAAGCTAAGGTAATGGGAAACTGGACTTTGAAAAGTGTTCCACCTCTTGAGGGGTTCCTCTTAGAAAGGTGTTTCATTTACAGGTTTTACAGCATACTTGTTTTTCAAATGCTGAAATGAAAATTACAATGCATATTGGTCGTAAAAACAAAATTTTAGGAGTTTTGTCACCCAAAAGTATGTAATGACAGGATCCACATTTTCAAAAACTTCGAAAATCGTGGAGACAAAAACGGAACACGTTTGAACATATCCGTGACGAAGTTAAAGTGGTAAAATATGTTTCCCTCAACTCTAGAATTACAGTAACCCATTAATGCTCTAACAACCATTTACCTCACTGGCAACAAAATTGATATTGGACGGTATAAAAGAAAGAGGAGGAAAGGTAAAATGTGTCTTGAAGTGGTGTTCACTTAACACATGTGTTCATTAGAGAGAGGTATTCACTAAGACAGATTCTAATTTATCTTTGGAAAAAGATGAAATTATAGAGGACCATCTATGAAGTCTGGGAAATTCCCCATCCTTAGCTTGTACTAAAAAGATACCTTCACAATGTGTTCCATTTCCCGTGTAACCTTTATTACATTGGCACCCAGTTGCAGCTGAAGATCTATCCTTTTTGCATGATGCAAGTGAATGGCAATCTGTTGTAGAATTACAAGACCATGCTGAAACATTACAAATATTACGTGTTCCAAAGGAGTTTGATTAAACTACATTTAACATGTAACCTTTGTTACGCGGTAAATACGATACAAATATATGTCATTATCAATTGCATCGATTGAGCGAACGGGTAAAAGTTAATAAATCATCATAATGACTACTGAATCAACAGTACAATGCATTGAATATATCAACTAATGCAGAAGTATCACCTAGCAATCTCACGTCATAAACTTACTCAATAAATCCAGGACTCATATTTTACTCGAATCACTAACTATATTGGTAATCCAGCGTGGTTTTATATTTAGATTCTCACAACCAATCAAATCAATGCTTTCTGTATCACGTTTTCACCCGCGATATATGTCATACTCAACTGCGGTATATGGCATATTACGCAAGTGAGTATGACATATTCCGCAGTTAAGTATTGTGTATTTACTGGAATCAATGTATCGTATATTCACTGCGGAATATTGCATACTCACCTGCGGAATATGCCATATACCGCAGGTGAGTGTGGCATATTCACCGCACCCGTATCACAAATACCGCGCAACCATGAATATATGCCATATTCCGCGTAACAACCTGCCATACAATTAAATATACGGACAACATGTAACGTATACGTAATGGTTATTTCAAGACCTTCAGCCAAAAGATTATCAATGATTGCGAAATGAGTCGCGACCCACAATCATCATATAGTCAGAATCCAAAGAGACATTCAGGAAAAGTGAAGATTGAATCGGGGAGGACTTACACGATTAACGACAAACACGATGGGGACATCTACACGAATAAATTCCTGAAACCCGATATCGGATACCTTATTCAATTTTCTATATCTTGTAAATGAATATATGTTTAGCCTACCTGCTTCTTTGCTGCAAATGAAACCGTCAGATCTCATCGTACACGGAACTGTTCGCCATTCAGAAGTATTGAACGCCGTTCCGGTAACTTGTGCGCAGTCACTTGCTCCTGTAAACCCATATGTATTGCGTTGCTTGGGTGCCCATTTCTCATATGAATAAGGGCTACCATCAGTCCATACAAAGGATCCTTCTTTGTCGATGTCATTGAGTCCTATGAAATATCCCAGTTTGTTTTCTTTCATCTTTTCTGGAATCGTAATTTTGTAAAGCTTTGATGCTCCCTCTAGTATTTAATATATAAGAGGATTTTATTTGTACTGATGCCCTTTTAGGGCCAAACTTACATCCAACATACAACTTTCAATAACAGTAAAAGTAGCAATAAAGTACTGAATACAATTTGGTCCTAAATCAATCATTTTAATCATTTTTGATATTTATTCACATAAACTTTGCATAACAGTGATAAGGATTCCCCAAGAGATGTATGGCCAATCACAAGCTAAAACATTTTTGAATAATGACTGTTATTCCCCAGATATAAACGTAGCTGGTGATACTGTAGAAAATGATTTCATTGACAAACTTTCTGAACACCATGTAACTTAGGCTTTCAAAAATTCAGGAATCCCCTTCTCCTTCCATCGCTTTCCATTATATTGTTTTTAATCTCAAATTACCAGCCATAAAAGTTTGTTCGCTGTCACTGTGGACTGATGCGAGGTGCCCTCCCCTGGCTTTACAGTGGGATTCCGCCGCTTTGTACTGGATACCCCGTTTGGGCGTCGTATGAACATCTAAAAAGCAACGGGTCCCAATCTTCGTCCAGTCACCTCCTCTTGGCCCGAGGCAAATGTATGATGATTCCACTTTGGAGACGGAGTATGCTTTTCACCGTGTGCAAAAAAACGTTTTAGTAATGTTGTTTCACAAACCACAGGCCCGTAGCCAGGGGATAGGTCCTGGCCAAAACTTTTTTCAAAAGCATGCAGTTTTTCACCATTCTGAGCACCTTTCAAGTGATTTTTGCCATATTTTGGTCAAAGTTGTCTGAAGTGAACCCCCTGGAATTTTTTAAAAAGTTAAAAAGTCCTGGCTACGGGCCTGAAGCACCAGGTATATTGCATGGTATAGCAGGTGATCATGATTTTAGACATTAGTGTAATGATTTTCTGACTCACCCTTGGTATACGCAGCTAACGAAAATTGACCGGTACGGGTCAAAAGCTGGACCGGTACGGGTTAACGGTTTTATTTGAATTTAAAACAGCCATAACCACCCTTGGTATACGCAGCTAACGAAAATTGATCGGTACGGGTCAAAAGCTGGACCGGTACGGGTTAACGGTTTTATTTGAATTTAAAACAGCCATAACTTGCTCAATATTGACTTCCTCGTGTCTAATTTGAAATATATGATGCCTCCCGATGCTTTTAAGTACCCCAATTTTTTACAGATTTTTAAACGGACCAAAACTCTCTAAATGCGCATTTATGCTCTTTTCTCTCGAGAACGACTGTCTCATTTTCACGATAACTTTTATTTAGTACTTCTAACATATAAGATCTATTTTTCCCCATCAAGGTATGATGTAAATGACATGCTATTTACATGTTGTGAGTTTCAATGACGCGCGTTTGATTTTTAAAAAAATGCCAAACTTTGTGACAAAGAATTTCATCCTGCTTGCAGCGAGAAGACGGACCGGTTCGGGGCAATAGCATGAACATAATTTAGGAATCTTTATACATGTGTGTTATTGCCCCGAACCGATCCGTCTTCTCGCTGGAAGCAGGAGGAAATTCTTTGTCACAAAATTTGGCATTTTTTATAAAATCAAACACGCGTCATTGAAACTCACAAGATGTAAATAGCATGTCATTTACATCATACCTAGATGGGGAAAAATAGATCTTATATGTTAGAAGTACTAAATAAAAGTTATCGTGAAAATGAGACAGTCGTTCTCGAGAGAAAAGAGCATAAATGCGCATTTAGAGAGTTTTGGTCCGTTTAAAAATCTGTAAAAAATTAGGGTACTTAAAAGCATCGGGAGGCATCATATATTTCAAATTAGACACGAGGAAGTCAATATTGAGCAAGTTATGGCTGTTTTAAATTCAAATAAAACCGTTAACCCGTACCGGTCCAGCTTTTTGACCCGTACCGGTCAATTTTCGTTAGCTGCGTATACCAAGGGTGATAACTTGGTCAATATTGACTTCCTCGTGTCTAATTTGAAATATATGATGCCTCCCGATGCTTTTAAGTACCCCAATTTTTACAGATTTTTAAACGGACCAAAACTCTCTAAATGCGCATTTATGCTCTTTTCTCTCGAGAACGACTGTCTCATTTTCACGATAACTTATTTAGTACTTCTAACATATAAGATCAATTTTTCCCCATCAAGGTATGATGTAAATGACATGCTATTTACATGTTGTGAGTTTCAATGACGCGCGTTTGATTTTATAAAAAATGCCAAACTTTGTGACAAAGAATATCCTCCTGCTTGCAGCGAGAAGACGGACCGGTTCGGGGCAATAGCACACATGTATAAAGATTCCTAAATTATGTTCATGCTATTGCCCCGAACCGGTCCGTCTTCTTGCTGCAAGCAGGATGAAATTCTTTGTCACAAAGTTTGGCATTTTTTATAAAATCAAACGCGCGTCATTGAAACTCACAAGATGTAAATAGCATGTCATTTACATCATACCTTGATGGGGAAAAGATAGACGTCCTTGGAAGTACTAAATAAAAGTTATCGTGAAAATGAGACAGTCGTTCTCGAGAGAAAAGAGCATAAATGCGCATTTAGAGAGTTTTGGTCCGTTTAAAAATCTGTAAAAAATTGGGGTACTTAAAAGCATCGGGAGGCATCATATATTTCAAATTAGACACGAGGAAGTCAATATTGAGCAAGTTATGGCTGTTTTAAATTCAAATAAAACCGTTAACCCGTACCGGTCCAGCTTTTGACCCGTACCGGTCAATTATCGTTAGCTGCGTATACCAAGGGTGTGACTGGAGTCAAATTGAAGTCAATTGTTATTTTCAGGTACACATATTAAACTCATTTCATAGTCTTTTTCAGTTTTGCTCAATGACATCGATGTCCCCAGATCGGTATTAGTTGAAAATTTAGAAAATTCAGTGACCTCTTTTTTAAAACTTCAAGTACAAAAAAAAACAGGACACTTAATTTTCCCTTCTCCCCCAGACAATCAATGATGTCCTATTGTTATTGCTCATATAATATCTCACATACCATGGATATATCTTGAGAATAACTTTGGGTATGTTATTGCCGAAATATCGGAAATGATCAACGGAACAACCAAACTCCAGAATATCCCAGATGCGAGTAGAAATAATCTGGATTTACGTCATTAAAAACTCACAATTCAGTCAAACTGATGTCATATTTGGAATCTACATGTATTAAAGATACATTATGCCATAGGTTTCTCCCCCAGACAATCAATGATGTCCTATTGTTATTGCTCATATAATATCTCACATACCACGGATATATCTTGAGAATAACTTTGGGTATGTTATTGCCGAAATATCGGAAATGATCAACAGAACAACCAAACTCCAGAATATCCCAGATGCGAGTAGAAATAATCTGGATTTACGTCATTAAAAACTCACAATTCAGTCAAACTAATGTCATATTTGGAATCTACATGTAAAATCACATATAGAAATGTGGTTTTGAAAAGAGTTTATCAACTTTGAAAATTTAATTTTCTTTGAAAATGTGACTTCTAGGTCGGGGAGATTCCCCATAGACCCCATGTTGTAAAATCACAAAAAGTGAAATATCTTTTCTTGTGTTGGGCAGATAATATTTTCCTTTACTGGACATATTTTAATTTGTATAACTATCAGATACATAAGGGTAATATGAAAAGTGAACCACTTAAACTGATGCATATTCAAGTTTAAGGGAATTTTGTAATACCCTGCCGTGTTAATTCCCCCGAATCAGCCACCTGGTGGCGAAACTGGTAACTACCTACTCGCATCTGAGTAATTAAACACAATCGATTCCCCGGCTAGCGAGGGGGATCCCCATTGAGTCACACAAGCGCCTTGAACCAGGCAGCCAATCAGGTTTATGATAAACAAATTCAACGACCAATCAGATAACAGGATGACTTTCCCGGTATATTCAAACTTCAGATTGAATTAATTTCTTCGAAAATAATTAGATCGGCCAGCACAACGCAAAATTAACACTGAAAGAGGGGGATTTGGGACTTCTTCTTTGATAAGTAGATGGGTATATAAGACTTATGTGGTGAAACTCAATATGCAAAAAAGTCCAGAGGGGTCTTGATTGTGCTATCCTATGGCATTGAGCCTCTTTAACCCTCAACTAACAATTTATGTATCATTTATGCATTATGTTGCAAAACTAAAAATGAATGGAATAAGTTTTGTGTACCTGAAATTAGGCTGAAAATAACACGGGACTTCAATTCAGGAAGCCGTTAAAATCTCTGAACAGAACTACCTTAAGTTTGTCTTGGTGTAAAAATTAGACTAAGTGATCTTACCTAGTTGACAGTAGTTTTGAAATCATTTTTTCACATTAGAAGTGGAAAAACTACTCACCAAGCAAAACTATAACAGCTGTGGCATAATTCAGATGCACGTATTGTTTCTGCATATTCATGCCTACTTTATTTTAACGTATTAATTACCGTTTAGAGTATGAATCCATGGAATTTTGATGATCATCGCATTAATTATCCAGTTCCTCAATCAACGCAACCGTAGTCTATTGGCGACATAATAATCGCAATGATGCAATGATAGACCTACATTTGTGACCCTTACTGCAGTTATCGTATATTCAACAACGGACCTCTATAACAAATTAATATTCTCTGGCATGCTTTCCAGATTTCTGATCAACATTTATGTGTGTGTGTGTCGCTTTGGGTTCCCAATACTAATATTTATCCTTAGGGCTGTACAGATAGGCTAATTTCTCGAGTCTACCATTTTGATACTGTTACTGTAGTTACTGCACATGTACATGGCTGGTATATTTCCTCGGCCTTTGAATGTCAAAGTATAAATTAAGAGCATTTGAGTAAACAATCAGGGTTATTTCTATATTTATTGTTTACTGGTAATGATATAGAAAATATATATTAATTTAATATACAATCAAACATTGTAGAGTTGTGTTTTATTGTATCTAGTAAGTGGAAATATGAGTACGGTAAAACATTTTTTTGTCATTGCATTGCACTCGTTATATTTTGTTGTATAACCTATATCTCTTATTAAACAAGACTTCTTTGTAAATTTTACAGTAGTACATAAGACTCAGCCCCCCCCCCCCCCCCATCCCTCCAGTTGACATTTTATGTACTTTCATAGATTATTACATAGGCTATAGACACACTAAATGCCGGGATCATATTATATATTATCATGTACAAGCACCCTTTAGTTAGTTAATATATATAGATAATTAGTTAAGCTTTTTCATTTTTTGTATAAGCTGTAAACGTGCTCAAAAGTGGGATACAAGTAGGCTTACAATAAAGCTCATAAAGATAATATATAATATGTAAGTACTGAGTTAGTCACGTAAGTCTACACAAAAATGTGAAAATACGTTGATTAAATTATATTTCTAAATGAGAAGGTTGTTTGAGACTATTTTAGGTCATTCTAGTCAACTTATGAATTTTTAGTGATCTATTCAATGTTATCTCTATAAATATTTATTATTGAAATTTGCACACACATGATACAAAATACTAAATATGGCTGATGCATCATGATTAAATCAAAATATAGATAGCGCGCAGAAGTGTTACGTAACGCCATCCTTCAAGATGGGTCCTTCACTGTTTATTAAGTGTTTAATAGCAGCCCATACTGATGATTACATAATGCAATGAATTAGTAATTACTCTTGGCCAAGGATGTGTTGTAAGATAGGCGGCCATACATATCAACATAGCCCATGAAAAACATGAAACTACTTAACGTATAAGCTGAGCCCCAGGAATACGTTAAAAATGTTTAAAAAGCCCGCTAGTGTACTGAGTTGTTAATGCGTGGTGTATACGTCATGTATATTATACTTTTACTAGATTACTTACATGTATAAGAATAAGACTGATTTTTATAAGCTTAATGGATAAGAATACACTGGCGGATTAGGGGGTGGGCCCAGAAAAAAAAATTGGGCCCAAAAAAAATTTGGGCCAAATAAGGCCTTCAGGCCCCAAAAAGTGGGCCTTTTTGGTCATTACTGGGCCTTGTAAGGCCTTATTTATTTATTTTATGCCAAATTTTGAAGAAAATGGGCCTCAAAATTTCAAAATTTGGGCCAACTTTTGGGTTTTAGGGGCCCAAAATTTTTTTCCGCGCAAGCACGGATGTTTTTTTCTCAGACTTGAAATTTGGGCCCCCCCCTTATTATCTTTAAATGATCTAGAAATACCATAATATACAACGCAAAGAAGAGGTTTCTACTAACTGCTGGATGTTGCAACTCCATTTTGATTTTTATGAAAATATTTCTATTTTTATAAAATTTCTTTACATTGCTACTGAGTAAAGTCTGAGTTTTTTCATCAAGTAAATCATTATTACTAGTGTTTCAAACTTCGAAGTAGATATCTTATTCACAGATCCGACCAAACTCTATACACAATTTTGGGTGTAGAGCTGAGAGACCGAACTTTTGGGGTAATCGAAGTGAAAAAAATTAAAAACAAAACCTTCATTTATTGTATTCTATTTAAAAGATGTAATTCAAATGTTGAAATAATATAACACAAACAATTTTACCTGCTGATAAAATATTTAAGGTTCACATTAACTGTTTGAAGTTGAAATAATTGTAGTATCAATCTTGGAACTTCTTTTAATATAATTTATGAATTTTATTTGGAATTATTACAATAATATTTTGGGCCTTTTACAATGCACAATGACGTCATATCTCCGTAACTTTGCGGACTAAGATACGATAACGATACGGAGTTTGGAGAAATGCAATTTGAAACTCCGCATCTTTCTCGTAACTTTTTAAATTTTACGGAAATCGTAACTCTACGGGTCCGTAACTTTACGGAGTTTGGAGAAATAGACCCCAGGGCCTCAGGTATCAAGTGTATTTCATAAGGCTTGGATGAAAAATTATTCTTCATCCTAAGTAGACCCAAAATACTTATGCCAGTCAAGTTAGAATGAATCGGCAAGAGTCGGAATACTTGGGTGAACACAGGGTAACTTGGAACACTTAGAGCTCCACATTCTCACTTTTCGCTATAGCGATCTAGATTCTAGTTACTGTTTCTATAAAAAAGTGACTAATAGACAACAGACCCGGTATTCAGTCCTTGCCTAGTTTTGACCTAGAAAACTGAGTAAAGTATTTTAAAACTTCTTCATACGATAATATACGGAACAAGAGACTATCATTAACGTCGAAGACATATGCATCTGATAGTTGATTATACTATCTTTTCATAATGTTGAAGCTTTTGATCAGGGAAACCGTTTTAGGTAAGATATTGTGAATGCACATAACTCGGAGGTCAGTTTCCGATTTCAAAAATTTTCATTCAACAACATTTAGTTTTGCCAAAGGTGTAAAAGAGCACATGGGATCTTGGCGCATTCCTCCTGACTTCAAAATGCACATCTCTTAACAGATTATATACAAAATATGACCCTCAAACTGACCTTTTACTTTACCATCTTGGATGAACCCAGAAAGTCAGTGTGGATGGTGCCTCATCTGAAATCGGACAGGTAACATCTGGCGTGCCACAGGGAACGGTATTGGGACCGATATTATTCCTGGTGTATATTAACGACCTCCCAGATACTCTACAACATACAACCCTCCGATTATTCGCTGATGACAGCATCATCTACAGAGAAGTTAAGACACCACAAGATGCCACTCTTCTGCAAGAAGATCTGAATGCAGCTGTAGAATGGGAGAAAACTTGGCTGATGAAGTTTCATCCTGACAAATGTACTGCATTGTCTGCCAAGTTGAATCCCAAAATCTACAAGTATGAAATGAGTGGACACACCTTGGAGCATATACCATCTGCTAGCTACCTTGGTGTTACCTTACAAGACAACCTCAAATGGAACCAGCACATAGACAAGTCTATATCCAAGAGCAACCAACTTCTTGGCATGCTGAGAAGACACCTGTGGAAGGCCCCTCGCCACACAAAGCAGATGGCTTACTTTACTCTAGTAAGACCAAGACTGGAGTATGCTGCTGCTGTATGGGATCCACACACCCAAACCCACATAGCTGCACTAGAAATGGTCCAACGAAGAGCTGCACGCTATGTGATGAATGACTACAGCCGTTACAGCTCAGTGACAACAATGCTGAATACACTACAATGGACACCACTTGAAACGAGGAGACAGCAACAACGGTTGACGATGATGTATAAGATCAAACAACAACTTGTTGCAATCCAACCAGACACATACCTCATGCCTCTCCAGCGCAGATCAAGGACTTCAAATAGTGAGAGCTTCCAGAGGTACAGTTGCAGGAAGGATGCAATGCTCCATTCCTTTTTCCCACGCACCATACCTGAGTGGAATATACTACCTGACAGCATTGTATTGGCAGAGAGCTTAGACCAGTTCAAGACTAGTCTAAGGGCTCACTACCTTACACCCATGCCTTAATCTTATACTGTCTTTTAACCTATTGTTTTAGCTTTTTATTACCTAACACTGTTTTTAGCTCATGAACTTGTGTTGATGTTCATGTTTTAACTTTCTCGTACTAACCCGCGATATAATGATCAGTAAAATTGATCAATCGTGTATCCAAATGATGATGATGATGATCTCTCAATCAGTGATAAGCATTTACCCTGTAATCTCTTCTTCATGTATTATTTCAGTCTCTCATGTCCATGTGATGTTTTAATCGATAAAATTGAATTTCTTACATATTTCTTTATCTTGTTGTTAGATAACACGTTATAATATTGGTGAACTCGCCAGAAATTAACATAATATTATTTGAAGCGTTTTTGAAAAATTTTGACACCGCCATCTTGAAATCGTGTAGTAATGTTGAACCCAGTGATTATCGATCTTGACATTTTACAATTTGTTGCTCCGCGGAGATTTTTACCTAAAAACACATCAAATACAACATTGATTACCAATTTCAATGGTAAGATCATTTGTAAACGTTATGATTAATGGAATATTAAAGTTTTGGCGTTGTTGATTTCGTAATAAAGAAAGTACTAATTTCTGAAGCTTTCTAAGATCGTGCCCCGGGAATTTTAGAACTATTTCAACAACGTCAGAGAGGTAGTGAAGATACGCAACGAACGAAATGAATTTTGAGAATGGTATTATTTTGAATGGTAACATAATATCAATTATTGACGCTGTAAATAAAGTTTTCCCGGGACAATTATTTCAAATTTTCAGAGCGTAAAGATAATGGAGTGCTTCGGTTATTTCCGGCAGTGTTTGATATTGTTCGTCTCTAAATTACATGACCAATGAAAGTAAAGGATCACATAGCCTAAACAAACCATTGTTGAGAAATGTCACGGTGTTCCCATTTTCCGCATCACAATTTGAATTGCGAGTTTTGGTCTTATTACCTCACCAAAAATTCCAAAACACACATGAAGTGATCAATGTATTAGTTCACATCTTCTGGATCGCTAACTTATAATTTACAGCTCGTTACCAATGTCAGACGTTAACAACATTTTGTCCAGTTTTCGAATATCGCCATTTTTCTTGGAGCCGTTTGTTTTAATTTTAGACAAAATCATGCAATATCTCATCAAGGAGCCCAGTCAGTTCCATTTCAATTCATGAAATATTAACATGAACGTTTTTAGAATATTACTTAAATTTATTGAACCCCGACTAGAAATCTTACAATAGTTCACGGTGTTCCAGATGGAACTACTTCTAGCCATGAATTGGCTCCAGACTTGAGTAACTTACACTACTTCAGTCGATGTGTAACATTCTAAAATATCGTTGTACTAACCATATCACGCTATAAGGAGTGGTAGAGGAAATTTATTGACAAAAAATGTTATTGAGTTGTTTATTTTCAAGATGGCTCTTACAGGAAGTAGAGTGATCTCGCTAATGTGCCTCCATGCTAAGCGATTCAACTTCCGGCCATACCTCATTGGAATCTTCTGTGACCTTAAGGTATATAAACATTTGTATATTGTCTTTCGCGCTTGATTTTACCCATTTAAAATTGTGCATCGTATATTTCCAGGTTATGTCTTCTGGTCCATATTCCAAGGCCTTGGACCAATGATTTGGTTTTATCCATTGAATGAATTAGAAATCTCAGGATATGAAGCATTTGCTGTTCTTCTACTCAGCCCAGTTCTTCTAGGGCTTGGAATCATTTACAGACTGCTGGATAATAGGATTGGACTAGGAATCCTGCGCCTGGGGGTGGTTGTTGGGCTAGGATCATTCCAGGCTCCAGATACACTGACTCGACTGATTATACTTGCTATTGGCAATGCGTGTAATATGCTTGTTTTTACCCTAACACTCTATAGCAAGAACAAGTTACAAAGGTTAGTTAATTTTTAACATATTATTATCCAAAAGTAACAGGACTGGTGCTGACATTTTGTTAAATATGCACCAATCCTCTTCACAATTTTACATAATGTACTTTCATATATTGTTACTAAGACTGCAAAGTTTCGACAAAATATATGAAACTTCGGTAGAGTTATGTTTAAAGGAGTAGGATAATACATTATTTTAAATGTCTCGGTCTTAAAGGCTCACCTTTGATTGGTCACTAATTAGTATTTCTTACAAAATGTAAAAACATTAGCAACTTAGTTTAATATTGACTATCACAAAATTCCTTAAAATAAGGAATTTTGGAAAAATCAAATCACTTTTCACCTGCTGCTAATAAGATTTAATCTTTTCTGCCAGTATTCCTATTTTTGAATTGTCTCATCGTGAAAATTCTCAGAACATGAAGATTAAAATATTCAATAGTTCTTGAGTAAATCAGAGACACATATGCAATTTTAATAATACAATTTACCCAGTACAGTTTTTCTCAATTGTATTATACCTTTAAATATATACAAAAACATATATCAAGCTGTATTTTCATAATAAATACATGACAGCATCAATTGAAAGTACAGAACTGATTTGCTGCATATTTTTTTTAGATCATTCACATTTTGGGGAATTATTCTTGGTCTCTTCCTCTTCCTGACAGGCAGGATATGGCTAGTTTCTTTCGTTCCTACTTGGTGGAGCTACCAGTCAAACTCAATAGTGGTTGCCATAGCAACTTTATGTACGATTGATAAAATTATCTCAGGTAAGTGGTGCATTGTGGTACCAACTTAAAGTGGGTCAATGTGACAAATGTGACACATCGATATTGCATATTCTAATAATATCTATTCCTATAATACACCAAAATTTTAAAACAGTCAGAATAACCTGTTACTTGAAACGTCAAACATCAAAATACTTTGATACAAGCATACTTTTCTGTTCTTCTATAATTCTTACATACTGTGCCCATCTTGCTTATTATCACATCATCTAATCTGTCAACTTGATTGATTACATATTAGTTTATTTATTTGAAATGTTGATGTCTTTAGGAGAAGATGGTGGCGAAGCCAGTGAAGACAAAAACTCGCTGAAACCATATTGGCTGTTTACTGCAGGAGGGTTTGGTAGTCTTTTATATCTGACACACTGGGTGTTTGGCGATGTGTCCCTTGTCACTAGGTGGAGTGTCTCAGGGTTTCCAGACACTGGACCCAGTCCTAACCCATGGGGGTTAGTAGTATTCAATTTACTAGCGTCTTGAAATCTCTACTAATTTCATATTTGCTTCAAAACATTTTGGACAACTCTTTTACATGCACTGTATAATGATTCGGTGTTTTTCTAAGGGCGCAATATTTTTTTTACATATTCGGATCTAGAAATGCCTGCAATTGAACAAAGAATCCAATTTGTTTATGATTCTATATGTTTCTACTCAATTGGAAGCAAAATGATTCTGTTTTTCTAAGGGCTTCTCTCAACTGGGCGCAATATTTTTTTTACATATTTGGATCTAGAAATGCCTGCAATTGAACAAAGAATCCAATTTGTTTATGATTCTATATGTTTCTACTCAATTGGAAGCAAAATGATTCTGTTTCTACTCAATTGGAAGCAGAATGATTCCGTTTCTACTCAATTGGAAGCAAAATGATTCCGTTTCTACTCAATTGGAAGCAGAATGATTCCATTTCTACTCAATTGGAAGCAAAATGATTCTGTTTTATACTCAATTGGAAGCAAAATGATTCCGTTTTGTACTCAATTTGAAGCAAAAGGATTCAGTTTCTACTCAATTGGAAGCAAAATGATTCTGTTTTATACTCAATTGGAAGCAAAATGATTCCGTTTCTACTCAATTGGAAGTAAAATGATTCCGTTTCCACTCAATTGGAAGCAAAATGATTCCGTTTTATACTCAATTGGAAGCAAAATGATTCCGTTTCTACTCAATTGGAAGCAAAATGATTCCGTTTCTACTCAATTGGAAGCAAAATGATTCTGTTTTATACTCAATTGGAAGCAAAATGATTCTGTTTTATACTCAATTGGAAGCAAAATGATTCTGTTTATACTCAATTGGAAGCAAAATGATTCACAATGTGGTGCAAGATAATCTTCTGCTTCAATTTGTCTAAGAAATAAAACAGGTGATTTAAAAATATGCTCTGGATCTAGACTTTACCATGACTGCAAATGCTAAATAACTTCAAACAATTAGGATCTAATGAAACTATCTGTATATTTATGTCATGCTTTATTGTTATAATGTCCACATCATATTTATCTATTTAAGAGGTATAACCTTTTCAATACACATCTCCTAAAATCATCTGTGTGACATTTTCCTTGAAATTATGCTATAAAAAAAATTTTTTCAATGTGCAATATGAAGTTTTTTTTTCGTATGTCTTTGCAATCAACAACTCATATTTTCAGAGGTGTAATTCTTGTGTGCCTGGCAGTGGGTGCCTTGTTATCCCAGTATACATCACTGGCCCGCAGTAAACTCTGGTGGCTTCTGGGATGTGCCTCTTTTGGTGTGCTTTACTATCAGCAAACTTGGACAGCATTTGCAGGTAGATTGTGTTCAGAATATATACACATGTATCTCATACTTGAGTGGGTTTGGGGTAGATATCACCCAGGAATATATATCATATCTGAGGAGCGGGCAGGATATATTGTATATGTCCCGCTCCAAGCCAAATGCGGGCAGATATTATATATCCATCCCGCTCCCGGGAATTTTTCAAAAGTTTTAAAAATCTAAATTTTTAAATTTTAAAGTTTAAATTTTTTAAAGTTTAAATGTTACAATTTCATTGTATTGAACAAAAAGAATATTACGAAAATGTTAAATATAAATCATGCTTTTACTATAGGCCTATCTTGTCATTTGAAAAAGGTGGAAAAGGTTTTATCTACCCTAAACTTACTCAAGTATGAGATACACCAGTTATGTACGGTCGGTTTTGGATATAGGGTATATCCCTCGGGAAATATTTATATCTCCCCTTGGTCCCTTCTGTCCCTCGGGGACCGGGAGATATAAATATATCCCTCAGGATATACCCTATATCCAAAACCTCCCAGTACATAACCCTTATGTATTCCATACCTGTTGAGGTTTCAGGAACATATCAACCACGAATATATTCCATATCGAGGCGAATATTTTTCGTATGTCCCGCTCCAATGAGGATCTGGGATATATAAATCGCATTTCCAACTTAAGCCATTCTCCAGGACATAGGATGGCTATATATCCCGCCCCGGGAATTCACTTCATAACTATTTCAGCACTGAACTAAACAACTAAACTTCGGGCCCTTGGGAAGATATAAGGGTTATGTACTGGGTGGTTTTGGATACAGGTTTTATCCCAAGGGAAATATGTGTATATATACACATATTTCCCGAGGGATAAACCCTGTATCCAAAACCGACCGTACATAACAGATGTATTTCATACCTACTGATGTTCTAGGTACGTCATATACCTTATTAAGTTCCAAAATTCAAAAATATACTTAAGATACGCATTTTCTTGGTGTTATAAAATGTTTTTTTAAGTTTCTGAGATTTTCAAACTCATATAACTCATATTTTGAAAAAAAAATTTGAAAAAATGTCAAAAAATGTAAAAAATGTGAAAAAAAAATTTGAAAAAGAATGTGAAAAAAAAATTTTGGAAAAAATGGGAAATTTCTTTTTTAAAATTAAAAAAAAAATTTGAAGAAAAAAAAGATTTTGAAAAAATTTTGAAAAAAAATTTCAGGAGCGGGACCGGGATGGATACAGCGTGTATCCATCCCAATGTTTCTTACTTTCTATTCTTTAAACTTGAATAAACTTTCAAACATATATAGATGGTTTATTAAAGTTGTTTATATGCCATTTTAGAATATTAAAAAAACATTTACGACTTGGACTAGGATGATATGGATGTTAATCAAACCAGATATTTTAAATAATGTGGCCTTATAACAAAAAGCTTTGTTGCTAAGTTAGATATTTTGATATCTTATAGGTGGCGCTGTACTGGCCATCTACACAATGTCGATCTGGCCAGAAATGATTGACAGATTGACGTCAGCTCCACCTGCCCGCACAGTCACATTCGCTGCCATTGTTTGGTTGATTGAAATATTTTTCTACGTTTGGACTGTTGCCTACAATTTTGTACCTGGGGGTGTGTACACAAGAGAGCACACTGATTGGCTGATTGCATTTGTGATGTTCAATATTGGACTTGCCTTATTTACAAGTAAGTATTGCGACATTTTAGTAATTAGGCGATGTTCATTTCATGATGTCATCATATTTTATTCTATTATCTTTATTTGAGAATCAAAAGGGGGTTGAGTCAAAAGCGACTAATTTATTTTAAACCAAAATTCTAATCTAAACCTCATGGTGCTGCATATACTTTTGCTGAGATGATTCATATACAAAAAAGTATTCTTTCACTTTCATCTGTTGTGTTGGTGAAATTCAGAAACAATGCAAAAGATCTGGCTAGGATAAATCAACATAATTTCTCTCTCTATTGGTAGTCATGGAAACACCATTTAAATGTATACAGTGTCAATTAAGACTGTGAAAGGTATATTTTACATAAATTGTACAGGATCTCAGAGTTCTGAATAGGATAAGGTGAACATAGATTCAGATTCATTTTATTGTTGCCCTTTGCACTGGAGATTGCAGAATCTGTTTAGTAAGTAATGTTTAGTAACATTTATTTTCTGCATTCAAATTAAGCTACATTACAGGTATCCCATTCAGCACGGTTCATTGACTGAGGTTGAAACATGTTTGCCACAATTTACTACATTGGCATTCAGTTCATTACCCAATAGGTACTGCTTTTGCAAGTCCATTGCAAGAGTGAAAACTGGTTGTTTTGTGGTTCCTTAACAAGAATATGATGGCAAATGCTTTACAGTGTGTACAAATATAGTAAAGCTACACAATGTCTTCAACAGTTGCATGACAGTTCACAAGCATGTCCTTTAGCCTTCAATTTGTGACCATCTCCTGGGATATGTAATTTATGTGCAGTTCGTTGCATTCTTAAATCTGCTCCGTTGGTTTGTAAAAGCACTGATAACATGACATCATACATAGCCAACAGTTCTGTGCTGAAACAAACATACCACATTCTTTATTATAAGCAAGTAATTTTGTATTGTGTTATATTGTATTTATTGTATTTATTGTATTATATTATATTGTATTGAGAGAATATACTTATGTTTAACAATGTATAATTAAAAAAGTGTCGATTAAATAATAGTATGACTCTCTGGGATAAGGGATCCTTGTTTTTTCAACTGTTTCCTGTATTTCTTTATTATAAAGTTTGCATTCATGCCAAATAGTTTTCATCTACTAAGAAGTGATTATTTCTTTTTAATGGTATTATTTACCTTACTCCCTGTATTTGACATTGAAGAGGTTGCCATTGAGATCTCCAACCAGCAGTTGTCCCTCATTGTTTATTGCTACAGCAGCTGGATCCTCCAAACCATCCTTCTGTGTGAGGACATAATGGATGAACTTCCCATCTTCACTCAGCATGTGGACCCGGTGGTTGCTACTGTCAGCCACAAATATGTGGTTGGCCTTGTCAGTGCAGATGCCCCAGGGATGATCAAGTTGTCCATAACCATCACCTTCCTCTCCATATGAGAATAGCTCCTCACTATTTTTATCTATTCCTTTTATACAGTGGCCATGATTGTCACTAACGATAACTGTGTCATTTCTATTGCATGCTACATAGAATGGCGACTTGAACATACCTGGCTTACATGTAGACTTGGATTCCCCAGTGTTTGGATCTATATGATGTATTGTCTTGTTGTGAGAATCATAGACCACCAGGTCACCAGCACTGTTTTGAGTTATTCCATACAGCCTCTTTGCATTGGTACAAACAATATTATGCTCATGATCCCCAGATGGATTATAGACACTGATGGTGTTGGATCGATCAGTGAATGCTATATTGCCATCTTTCATGATCATTACATTCTCATATGTTTTACTTAGGTTCTTTTTTAGTTTGTATTGTACATCATATATTTTTGAAGTGGTGTATCCTGTGCCACCTGTTGTTACAAATTCCCCTGCAGGTGTTACAGTTAAATCATCAATCCTATCTGAATGGAGTTTATGTTTTTGCACAATGCATTTAGGCAAAAGTGTAAGTTTCACCTCAACTGCATCTTCAGTGTCTGCTTCTGTCTTAATTGTTACTTTTCCAAACTCAACTCTATCATCTTTGATGACTCCATCTTTGAAGTCAATGGTAAGTTTACCATTGAAATCAACCTTGGGCTGTTGGGACCACTGTTCCGTTTTAGTGGTAATCTGTTCCTTCAGTCCTGCTATTTCTACAGGGTGGCCATGCTCAACAATGGTGCAGAATTTCTTGACTTGACCCTCAATGATTGTTTTCTGTAGTTCCAGTTGGCCAAGATGGGACATGACTTGCTTCACATTGGTTTCCTTCTCCTTCATTACTTGCTCTGTACGGAACTTACACTTCTTACGTAGAGCTTTGATCAATGTGTTAATATCATTCTTAATGTTTGCTATGACGTTTTCTGCATTTTTCTCCAGTTGACTTTTATAGGCTTGTGTATCTTGGATTGCCTGTTCATATATGTCAATAAGTCCTTTACCTTGTGTTATCAATGCCCCAATTGGCTTCATATTCTTGGCAGCTGTTTGTTTAATGTCCTCAGCTGCATGGCTGTGGTGATCCAATGTGTAGCAAAGTTGACAGAGCACTGCATTGTCTACCTTACAGTAGATCTCAAGTGGCTTAGTAGGGTGCTGTTGGCAGTACACAGTACGCTCTTTTATAGACTGAAATGCCATTTGTAGATCGTTTGCCCTATCTCCTGTGAGGTCGAGTACCTTGTGACCTTGTGTAAATGTGTCATGCAATTTACGGCACCTTCTGCATAACTTTTTGTTGCAGTCTAGGCATTGAACTTTAGCTGGGATGTGCTTCTCATCAGATTCAAGACATGAGTGACATTCTGGCTCTTCAGTCTGATTAATGTCCTTATAGGCATCTAACAGGAATGATATTGTAGGGCTCACCTTGAATTCCCCTACCCCCTGTTGTGGTACATTACAAACATGGCGGCATTCAGGGCAGTTGAAGCTTCCTCCTGTAAGCCCGCTTTTCTCCACAAGATCATGTAGACACTTAAAACAATATTGGTGTAAACATGGCAATGTCCTTGGGTCACTTAAAGTGTCCAGACACAGTCCACATGTAAGAGCTTCCTTATAACGATCTCCACTTGCTGTCGCCATTGCTAATGTCTACTTTAGTCAGTTATCTAAAGATAAGATATCACGTGACGAGACCTTATGCTTAAAAAGGTTATAGAACTTCAAATATGTTGAATTCAAGGTGTTTATTGATTTTATTCAATACCAGTTTAAAGTTTATCATGACCTCACTTTAGATACGCTATTCAAACAAACAAATACAATATGTGAAAGAATTAGTACCACATGCCATCTATTTAACTCAACAAAGTGTGAAATTATCTCAATTTTATTATCAGACTTGTGTTCCAAGGCAACCATTTTACATGAATCGAAAACACTAGAATAAGGGGAGATGTATATGTATCCAATACAAAATAAAGGGTCATGAGGTTCTTCCCTCATTTACCATGTATATTGGATATATGTACAGTAAAACCTGTATATAGTGAACTCCTATGGAGTTCAAAAAAAGTGTTCACTGTAGGTAGGTGTTCATAACAAAGTGGGAGGGGATTTTATACAGGAGTCGATGTAAAATGTGTCTTGCAATGGGGTTCACTAAACACAAGTGTTCACTAGAGAAAGGTGTTCACTAAGATAGGTTTTACTGTACATCTTCCCTTGTTTTTGTCAGTGTTGATTCATTTATTGGATTTCTGTGCCTCGTGCCTAGGTCCAGTCGATTGAGTATTTTGTTCAAAACTAAATACAATTTTGAACAAAATATACTCAGTCAGTTGGGCGCTGGCCGATGAATCAAAGCAAATGTCACCCAATCAATTTGGAAACATTTATATAAAATAGTTTAGAATGTATATTGTGGTATCTACTATCTACAGTATCTTGAAAACAGTAGATTTGCCCTTGTAATCTAATAATAAGAATGGTGATTTTTAAACTTTTTATGTCTTCTTTTTGAAGGTTCACGTCCAGAAGGTGAGGCCTCTAATACTGGGACGATAAGACTTGGGAATCAAACCATGCCCAATACCACAGCAAAGTGTCGTAAGTGTTCTATATTTAATCTTTCATTGATATTTATCTTTAGGGGATATATAGTCAAATCACTTATAATCTCGCCATCTATCTATGCAATGATGGATCATTTGAATTTTACACATATTTTATGGGAGTAAAACTAACTACACCTTCATGTACAAATGTACTTCAATTCAATATTGAAACTGTTGCTGTTTTAGTTATGATTCTAATACAAATTTTGTCCATATTTTTGGCCTGGTACATTTGTATTTTTGTTACGTTTATTTTTGATCTATATATCATGTGTTTTATACTGCAGAGAGGGTTGCAAAAAATCATTGCCTAATAGGAAAACCTGATATTTTTCATTTTGTTCATAAGGAAATAAAAAAAGAAATTAAAACAAATCATTGAAATGGGACGGGGTCTTCTGGGAAGTCTGAATTTCTGAATTGCTTATGCCCTGTAGGCCAGTGAAAAAACAGCCCAACCTAGGACAAATTACAACAGTTTGCAAACCTTGTTTTTTAAAATGTTGATCAATATTCACATAACATATCTAATACATAGGAAAATATAAGTAGGTGATGTGAAAAATGTTAAATTTCACTGCAAAGGCCTACACTTAACTTTGAGGCTTTTTTCAATTTTTTTTACTTTTCAGATAAGCACCTCCGTCCTCTCCCCATAGAATGGCATGGTGACTCTGGCAGCTCTAGATTGACTTTTTGTTGTTTTTCAGTGCTTGTCCTTCTAGTTCTTGGAGGTCTTGGTGGCTTTGTGTACAGATATGACCCTCAGAGAGGCAATAATCCACCCAAGGTAAACAAGACCATATTATCTGTTCATCCATGTTAGCCTTTTCCATACATACAGCTTGATAGTCACATGCATATTCAGGATCCAGTGACGCACAAATAATTGATATCTTTGGCAAATTTAAAGCAACTCTAACAACCCATTGGACTCAGCCCTCTAAATATCAGAATTTGAGTTATGAAGATTCCACCAGGTCCCTGAATTGGGAGGAATTCTGAGAAGTTACCTTTTATGTACTAATCAAGGCTTTTAACAGGCATATACTGTATCCAATGATAGGCACATAACTGCTAAATGTAGCAACTTCCTTATTACTTCAGGAATCCCCCAAGCAGTTTAGTGCAGCTATATGGACCTATCACTTTGGTTATGACAATGTGGGATGGCCCAGCTTAGAGAGGGGAGCCAAATTGCTCAATGACACAGGTACTGTACTGTATATAGTAGAGATGTCACTGAACAAAAAAAAATCGGAACAGTTCGGTTCGGAACATTTTGCTTTCGGAACAGAACAATTTCGGAACAGAGTGTCTGCATGTTAGTGGTCGGACTCGCCTGAAAATCTCCACTCGAGTGGGCCATGAAAAACCACGATTATATTCGCGATTTGACTTAGTTGAGTTACTTCCGGTTTCAGTTTCCCAAGTATTGGGAGAATTCATCAATTTGATCAAGTCTTTCAAGTGCCTCTATACTTTTTATTGTCTAAATCCCGGCTGTTGGATATTCCTAGAATGCATCAAACCGGAAATGAAACTTTTGCATAAAAATATCGAACGCAGAATAAAATCCAAGTATGTTTGTCAAAAATAAGTTGTATTCTATACAGATTTAGCAGAACATTACAACTATAAGCATGGAAATTGCGAATAGGTGAGACGAATCGCGAGTCAAGGTAAGGTGAAAACGAGTGAAAAATATTTTTTTGGTAAACATTTCAAATCGTGAGTTCAAGTTTTCAACTCGATCAATTGATTTTTAGGACAAATGCGAGTAAAACTCGAGTACACGAGTCAGTCTTCCAACCACTACTGCATGTATTACATTAAAATAATTTGATAATCTAGGTCTATTGGTAGCGAAAAGCTCTTCAAAACTCTTCAAAGAGAAGGAGTAAAAAAAATGAACCTCTTTTGGTACAAAATATTGAAAGAAAAATGCTGTTTTGTGGAGATTCAGGGGCCAGAAGTTGTGAAAGGGTAAAATTTTCTTGTTCCGGAACCAAACCGAAATTCTTAATTTTTGTTCCGTGTTCCATTCCAAGGGCATAATTCCACAGATCGGAACAAAATCTGGTATCCGTGACACCTAAAGTAATATAGTAATTCAAATTATTATGCACCGCATTAAAATATTCAAATCTGATTGGTTAAGAGCTGCAGGGTATATTGCCATACGTGGCAGCAAGATCTCGTTCTATCCAGTATTGAAGCAACGAGATCTCCAACCATCCCGTATGCCAGAATACCTATCCTCGAAAAAAAATACTAGGCTCTTCTTCTGTTTTAAAATAAAGTATTTCTTGATATTTAACACCATCTTTTATTTATCTACAGTAAATTAATGGTAGGAATGTGATATTAACCAAGGGAGGTGCATAATATGCGCCTCGCCAAGTATTTTTTTCCTCGGATAGGTATTCTGGCATATCCACCTCATGGTCATCCAGTATTTGTTTAATATAATATTGTAACCATGTAAAATGATGAAGCACAAGTCTGGAACATATGAAAATGATAAAAATGTTTGAATTTTTAAACTTAAGGTGAACATGCTGACATCTATTTGTATATATGTAAAAATTGTCATTGATTAGCAGAGTTAAACAGGGGTGATTCTTTTAAAACAAATGAATCCTTAAGTGTTTACTTAAACAAATTATGTAAAACAGTCCTTCGAAATTATAGAGTTTATTAAATATAAGAAATACACTGTTGCTCATAAATATGGAATATTGGATTTGGCAGCTCAGAATTCAAAGTTTGGAGTAAGAGAACATTTCTTTGGAGTTGGTTCACACATTTATTTTCTAGGCAAATCATAACCACATATTTTATCTACAAATTAACATTTTTTAGAAAAAATATTTACATTTAAGTTTAGAAAATTACTGTTATTTAAACAGGGGTACACCAAGAATTTTTGCATTTTCAAAACACCCCGATCCAAATCGTCATGGAAAACAGATCAAACAAGATGAACATCTGGTCATGAAGATTGAAGTGTCCTCTATCCAATGATAGCACTAAAATGCCTTATGTCCTCCTTGTTCTGCAATCAGAGCATCAACCCTATGGGACAACTATGAATGAAACATCACCTCTCTAAGTGAAATAATTTTAGTGCTATCATTGGATAGAGGACCATGTTTTTTACAGAATGTTTTCAATAATTGGTTTAAGAGAAAAGCATTGTTGAATTCAGTTCACCATATCTATACCTATCCTTTATTGCAATAAAAACGATGTTCAGTGTCTGGCAGTTGGTGGTTGGCGTTCAAATTGCAGCATATGTAACAAATGGCAGGTGGTGTCATTTTGCATGTTTAATGCCTTGTTATTTTAACATGAAATCCTATGAATATCAAAGTAGCTTGATAATAACACTCTTTATTGTATATCATTATTAGGTGCAGATTTTATAACTCTACTCGAAAGTGATGCATCCAAGCCTTTCCTAGGCAATAATGACCTGGGCATGTGGTTAGCAGAGAGGCTCAATATGCATGTTGACTTTGGGCCTTCCACCAGGGACCACACTTGGGGGTATGTATGAGATTATTCAGGGGAGTTCAATAACAGGATGTAAAAGGGTGATTTTTCTCATTGTTTTTACCAAAATAGTCTGACTATGAGCCCCTGTGAGCCCACTCCCCCCATTTCACACCTCCCCTATGTGAGAAATGTGTAATCAAGTAGTGGAAGACAAATACGTTACAGGACATTCCTCGATCATCTGGACAACATACGTGGCAACAACAATGACATAGTGGGGCAGTTTAAACCGTCGTTTAAATCTACTTAATAAATGAATCCATGGGTCCACTTTCAATATGAAAAAAACAAAGCCAAAATTTTGTCTGAATTCCACAAGAACATTGTCGAAATCTGATATTCGTAAGACTATCACATCTTTAGAGGATATTCTTTATGCCTACAACAACTGACATAAATCTCATGTGGTAGTCCAATACAGTGTTACATTTGATTTTTAATGACAATTATCCAGGATAATTATTAGCTACAATAGACTCGATGCGAGGAGAAATGATCTTGATTTACGTCATTAAGTATTCAAAATTCAGTCAAAGTGATGTCATATTTGAAATCTATATGTAAATATACATCCGAAAATATCGTTTTGGGGTTGTCGAGTTGGCCGAGAGGGCTTGAGCGCCGGCACTTTCAGGCTAGGCAATTGGGCGCCATAACCATGAGGTTGTGAGTTCGAGACCCATGTGCTCCTTGTGTTTATTCAATTATCAACTTTGAAAATTATTGAAAATAATCATTCCAAGTGTAGATTGTTTGTGCCTTTTTCGATAACTTCATTTGAGTTGAGATCATAATGGGTTTCTGACAAATTTTATGCAGAAGCATGATTGACATTGTCATTGCATGTGACATTGTCATTGCATGTGACATTGTCATTGCATGTGACATTGTCATTGCATGTGACATTGTCATTGCATGTGACATTGTCATTGCATGTGACATTGTCATTGCATGTGGCATTGTCATTGCATGTGACATTGTCATTGCATGTGACATTGTCATTGCATGTGACATTGTCATTGCATGTGACATTGTCATTGCATGTGACATTGTCATTGCATGTGGCATTGTCATTGCATGTGACATTGTCATTGCATGTGACATTGTCATTGCATGTGACATTGTCATTGCATGTGGCATTGTCATTGCATGTGACATTGTCATTGCATGTGACATTGTCATTGCATGTGACATTGTCATTGCATGTGACATTGTCATTGCATGTGGCATTGTCATTGCATGTGACATTGTCATTGCATGTGACATTGTCATTGCATGTGACATTGTCATTGCATGTGACATTGTCATTGCATGTGACATTGTCATTGCATGTGGCATTGTCATTGCATGTGACATTGTCATTGCATGTGACATTGTCATTGCATGTGACATTGTCATTGCATGTGGCATTGTCATTGCATATGACATTGTCATTGCATGTGACATTGTCATTGTATGTGACATTGTCATTGCATGTGACATTGTCATTGCATGTGGCATTGTCATTGCATGTGGCATTGTCATTGCATGTGACATTGTCATTGCATGTGGCATTGTCATTGCATGTGACATTGTCATTGCATGTGACATTGTCATTGTATGTGCTGGATCATTTTCTCTGTGAATAAGCAGCTTTTGAGTTAAAGATAAATTGCGTGAAAATCCTAAAATGTCTCAAGAAAACAACATGCATTGACCAAATAAGGCGATGGCATCCCATGATTAAAAAATTTAAGCCTAAGACTCAATGTATCGTTTGCTGAATCATACTGAAGGTACCATGAAGTTGTTGTTTCCAAACCTTTGCATGACCACATAGCAGGAATGCAAAGTTTAGGAAACAACGCCCGAGTGGAATGAAGCAGCTACAATGCATTGAGTCTTGGGCTTAAATTCTTTGAAAATGGAGTTTAATAATAGACAATGGCAGAGAAGGGAAATGTTTTATATGGGACAAAAGTAGAAAATGGGGACAAGGAAATAGAAAATAAATAGAAATGAAGTATGGGGGACATATAGAGGCTACTTGACTTTTGTTCTTTTAAACTTTTTCTGAATTGTCAGCATGAACTAATTATTACAAATGGCAGACACGATACATACTTAAGTATAGTTTGAGGAAAGTCAACATATCTTCAAGTTACAAAACCCTAATTTGAAAGTGTTTTGTTTTGACTGCCTCGTGATTTATACTGATGATAAAACATTTGAAGAGACCATTGTCACTTGTATTCTTCTTGATTATGCTGGTTACCAAAACGTTTCGTTTCTGTTACAAAATGTCAGAACCTACGATTTTTCTCTTTTCCTTATTTCACATGTGGTAGGCAGAATTTCCATGACATTTTTATCACAAATGTGTATCAGTATCATATGTTTAAGAAAATAAACATGTACATGTTTGCAAACAAATAGTTCAGAAGACAACAGAATTGTTGATTTAATACCTCACGTAACGTAAACCAAACAGATAGAAGTTCTGTTTACGTAACAAGAGTGAGGTATTAAATCGATGATTCTGATGTATTCTGAACAAATTGTTTTCAAGCATGTACATTTTCTTACACATCTGATAAAATGTCATCGGAATTCTGCCTACAACTCGTGAAATAAGAAAAAAAGAAAAATCATACCTTCAAGGTTCCGACATTTTGTTACCGAAACGATCTGTAATCGTAATCGAGTGGAGCACCAGTGATTTTGATGAACAAACTCAAAGGCATATATCGATTAATGAATTAACCCTCACAAAAAGATCAAGGGTTTTCAATGTAATATCACAACCCCATTTCATTGAATAACAAGGCAATGAACTACCATAGATCGATGCTTGATCAAGCATTGTTGAAATAGGATTTTATAAAGAGACTACTATTGATCAAGGGTAGAAAACCCTAGTTTCCATTGACAGACTACACCTTGAAATTGAACCTTGATCTACACCTTGAACTACCCCTTGATCAACACCTTGATCACGTACAACTCCTTGAAATAGTTCTACCAATGATAAAATCAACTCCTTGACACATTTCATGGAATTCTGACAACAGTAGAAAGATATGTCAATGCCATGATTTTCTTTAAGTTTACAAGTACATTTACAAGCTCTTTATAGGAATATAGCTTTGAAGCCAAAATCTATACATTATCATTTTGTATCCCAGGATCCCATCCCGGAATACTCATTAACACCAGTTTGTATACAAATGCAAGTACAAGTTTGTAGAGAAGGCAATTTGATCTGTTTACACATATACTTATTAGGATAAATTTCAAAGAAAGAAATACAGTTATAGAGTTTAGTTTAGTTTTATTGTTATTTTGGGTGTCAGGTTTACATCCGTTAATTTAGTACAATTCAAAAGAGAAGTAATGAAATAACAACTCAGCCCACATGGGCTTATCAGCCACTTAAAGTAAATATACTTGTAAATAAATATTACATCTTTTTGACACAAGTATAATATTTAATATTTTGACACAATATATAATATTTAATATTTTAAATTGCATTTCTTCTTTTAAAATAGCACAATTTAACAAAATGAGCAGCTTGCCAAGGCATTTTTTCAAATAAATACTGAAACTTAAGTTTTACAGCTGATTCTCTTTCATCAAAATTAGATGATTTTGTTAATATTTTTCCCTTATTTCTTTAGAAAATGTGCAATGAAAAATAAAATGATCTTCATCCTCAATGTTGCCAGATTTACATAAAGTACATGTACATTTTCTATTTTCCAATTGCTAGAATAGTAGAAATAATAGAAATGAGTAATGGGATATGAATATTTCTAGGTAACGTATTTCTGAAATATTATTGTGTGTGTCTAATTTTTATTATATTAGATTTGAATAACTTAATTAATGGAATACTTTATAGTTTTTCATTATGTCTTTACGAATTTCAATGTCTACACCTAGTACAATGGTAGTCAAGTCAATGAGGTAAAATAGTGGAGGAGAGGATTGTGACATTTTGAACATTTCTAGGACTTTCTTCATATTTAAAGTATGTTAGTGAACAGTTTTTGATCGAGTGAGTTTTTGTAATATAGTGAGTAGGGAGGGGGAATGCAATATTTTGAATCATTCATAAGGATCATTATGTCTCAGAATATTGATTTCTAATAAGTGTCTAATTCTGATTATGTTAGATGTGAAAAACTTAATGACATCAGAATATATAAATTGTCCAACTTTCATTTTTAAATGATGGCTAAAGTGGGGGGGGCTATGTATTTATGCATTTCAATGTCTACGCCTAGCACATTGGTAGACAGTCAATGCTGTAGTATAGATGAGAGGGAGGGGGGTGTAATATAATAAATATTTACAATGATCATTATGTGTCAGAATATTTATTTCTAATATAATGTGTCTAATTCTGATTATGTTAGATGTGAAAAACTTAATGACATCAGAATACATAAATTATTAATTGTCTGTCCAAATTTCATTTTCAAATGATAGCTAATGTGGGGTAGGGGGCTATGTCTTTATGCATTTCAATGTCTACGCCTAGTACATTGGTAGACAGTCAATGCTGTAGTATATAGGAGAGGGAGGGGGATGCAATGTAAATGAATATTTACAATGATCATTATGTGTCAGAATATTTATTTCTAATATAATGTGTCTAATTCTGATTATGTAAGATGTGAAAAACTTAATGACATCAGAATATATAAATTGTTAATTGTCAGTCCAACTTTCATTTTCAAATGAAAGCTAATGTGGGGGAGTACGTATTTATGAAGTTCAACGTCTACACCTAGTACATTGGTAGACAGTCAATTTTGTAATATAGTGGAGAGGGAGGGGGGATGAAATATAAATGAATAATGATCATTATGTGTCAAAATATTTATTTCTAATATAATGTGTCTAATTCTGATTATGTTAGATTTAAAAACCTTAATGACATCAGAGTACATCAATTATTAATTGTCTGTCCAACTTTCATTTTCAAATTATAGCTTATGTGGGGG